CGTTGTAAGCCTTGTCTAAACGTGTACACTTTAAACCGTCTGACCTTTGACGCACCGTCTTTTTAGTTCGTTAGCCTATCAGGAACAAAGTTTCAAATTGATTAATTTTGATGGACAATTAATTGGTCTACGCCAACTTTACAACAGTAGGAATTAATGGCGTCTATTGTGACTTTTTATTGATCAAGTTTAAGTTAAAAATAGAAGTAGATGCCATTCTGAGGCCTTCCACTATCTTGTGGTACTCTACTGTACCACAACTTGCATTACCATACCTTATATTGCTTTACCATCTTATACTCTACCCTATCTTACCCCATTGCTTTGCCTTTGCCTTTGCCTTGTTCTCTAACTTACTTTGTATTATGCGATAACATACTATATTTTTCTATACTATATTACCGTAATCAAATCAAGCTTAAAAATTTTAGGTTATAATACTTAGAGTTAACATTACAATAAGTCGAATTCAGTAATGCGCCAAGTTTACAACAATAAAGAGTAAAAGAGTAAAAAAGTAATTGTAACAAATGACTGACGCAGGCTATAAATGACTAATGAACTTGAATCCTACAGTGACAAATGGCTTCAAAGAATATAATAAATTTCAATTTAGATAGTTGGAACTGTAAAATTGTAAATTTATTTTCTATTTTCAAAAGACATGTACGATACAAATTTTTAAGTAAATTTAAAATTAAAAAAAAATTATTTGAAGACCAAAAGATTCAGCTTGCTATCATACTACTAACCTAAAAGCCTGTATAAACAGATTGTCTTTGCCTTTAAATTAGTAATAATCAATATTACATAGTAATGTCAAAAAAAAGTAAATGTAGTACATCTTCGATCATACTATCATTCCCTTTAAACCAGCCCAACAGAACATGTGTTCAGTAGAGCCGTTGACACGTTTCACGTGTCAAAGTATTCCAGTAAAAGTGTAAACTCATCTACGTTATCATTCAGAGACTAAAAACTACTGCCACGATTGTTAATTGGGAAATTCTCGGTAATTGATTGTAAAGATATTTAGCGAGTAATGAAGAAACAAAAGGTTCGATTCACACTTTACAAAAAATAGTGCCAAAAAATAACAATGAGGAAGAAAGGAGTAGATCAGTGAGCAGATTACGATAATATTTGTACAAGACACAATTGAAAAAAAAGTAGTAAATTCAAAAACTTTAAACAACTTCAGAAAACAACTCTGCGTAAATTTAATCCACTATGTACCAAGCTTTACAATACTCTCTTATCTTACAATACGCTACCTTACCTTCTCATACTCTAATCCACCTTGTTCTACCGTGGAAGTGAAGAACCGGACTTTGACATAAACACCTTAAAATATCAAGGAATTTGCACCAAATAGCTATGGGCTTTTAGTACTAGACCTATATAGAGTAAAAGAACATAAAAAATAACGAGAAAATTATTTTCAAAAACTGCTATATTAAATCGTTAGAAAATTACAGTACGCTCAATATTCTCACATAATTGAAAAGTGTAGCTTTAAAATACTGATCAGTAACAAAAACCTTTTCGACTTTAATTATTTTGAAAAAAATGACGTTTTATTAAAAAATTAATATATATCATATTTTAACATTTTTCAAAATTTCAACGTTCTTTCTGTGTTCATGTTTCTTTAAAATTAAAAAAAAATAAATTTTGAACTCTTAACCTTTGCAATTTCATCAAACTCTTTCCCAATTCTTTTCTATTTTCGTATTTATGTTTTGCTGTAATTTGTAAAAACTTGATGTTGTCTACGCTTTTATTAATTATTTTTAAAGATTACAATAGTGGAATTGACAAAACTATTTCGATAAAACTTTTTATCCCAAAGTGACCAACAATTTTAATTGTTGTTGTTACTGGTTTAGACGCGTGACTTCCAGATGCCCTTAACTCGTTTCAACGAAACGCTTAAAAAGCAACGTACGCCCAAAGGACAGGGGTTACATGACACGGTAAGTATCTTGTTGTAGTGATTTTGGAAAAGCAATTTGAAAATAATTAAGGTTTTTAGAGCGTTTAAAAGTGTTGAAATCAAAAAGTTAATAATATACCATAGAAAATCAGTAGAGTAATCCTTTATAGTAACAACATCCTCCGCTCTCAAGAGGCATGTTATGATTATAGCTGATCTTTTACAAGAAAAGTGCCCAAATTGCCCTGCTCTGATTGACTTGAAACTTTTTATATAGAAAGTTCATCTAAATATAAGATCTTCAGAAAATTACTAAATCGTGATTACCAGGAAATATCAAAAAAATCAAGGCCAACAAATCAAATTTTAAATTTTCCGCCAAATTGGCATTGTGTTTCAAGCTAATAACTTTGTCATTTTTTGACTTTTAATCATTTTTCTCTCATATACTAGTAGAAAACCTTTAAATATACCTAAATTTTTAAATTTGTATACGTAGCTTGTTTGTAAAGTTAAAAATAGTGCTTGAAACACAATGCCAAAATTTACCAAATTGGCGAAAAACTCAAATATTTTAAAGTTAAAACTCAAAAGCAAAAGTTGAAATATTGAATGGGTACTATTGGTGAAGCAAAAATTGAAACGAGGCAAATTTGTAAACAATAAAATTATTTTTTTTATTGTTTTTGTCTGCGAATTAAAAAATCTGTCACTTTGAATTAATCGAATCACCGTAATGTAACCTCAACCATCTGAATCGCATACCAGTTTTGCATTATTTGCACTTTAGCTGCTTGCGACGAGAAAATAAAAAATATATAAAAAATCAAAAATCTTGAAGCGGTGTTTAATTTGCAGTAAAAGTGATATGGTAATTACTAAAATTTTAAAAATACTAATTTTTATCAAAAATTAAAATTTTAAAAGTTATCAACCTAACATACTATACTCAAACGTTACATACACTACCCTACTCCACCTTATCTTATCATGCCTTGCACTACCCTGCCCTACCCTGCCCTAACCTTAATTACTATACTTTATCATGCTCTTCTCTACCTCACCTTACGTTCCCCTACCATACTTTTGCTTGCTATACTTCTTCCTACCCCACTCTACACTACTCTACATTACCCTACTCTACATTACCCTACCCTACACCACTTTACCTTACCATGCCCTACACTATCCTACTCTACTTTACACCAACCTACCTTACTATGCTCTATCATGCTTTACTCTACCTTACCTTACATTCCCCTATCATACTTCAGCTTGCTATGCTTCAGCCTATCCCACTCTACCCTGCCCTACACTAACCTATCCTACATTACCCAACCCTACCTCAAAATCACATAAAATTTAAAAGTACATCCTCTCCAAGACCAAGCAGTTCAATATTTCACACTTTTTGGTTATACTGTGGGTTACTCACATGATTAATAAGGTATTTTTTCCAAAAATGAACAGACGAGATGTCAATCAAATCGTATTAAAATTGAAACAAAATGAGTGTAGAAAAAGATTGGCGCATGATCAAGGAAACGAATTTTTAGAAAGCAAAATGACCTTTTTATGAGACCATCGAATTAACAAGAGATTTTTGGAATTGTAAACACAAATATTTTGTACATTAGGTTTCTGAACCTTGATCTAGACAAATTTGTCAATGAAAAAAATTAAATCTTTTAAAAATGAAGCAAAAGTAACTAAAAATTTAAAAATTTTTTGAAAATTTAGGTTTTAAAACTTTGCGTAAAAAATATTAATACAGTGGAACCTCTACATAACAAAACCCCTGTATTACAAAGAACTATTGAATACTCGGCGAGCACTACACAGTGCATTTAAACCTCTGTGTAACGAAACCTCTTCATAACAACCAAATTTTACAATTTGTTAAATCCCCTAGCGATTGGTTATATAGAGGTTTCACTGTACATTTTAAAATTTAAAAAAGTAATTTTAGTCTCGAAATTAATTTTAGGCTTAGAAAATGAATTTTAGGTTTCAAGTAAAGTACCCAACATGCCCTGATCAGAACCAGCTCAAAATTTTTATATGAACTCGTTGTACCACCAATAGTACCCATAAAAAATGTTAGCTTGTGCTTTTGAGTTTTAATTTTTAAACATTTGAGTTTTCTGCCAATTTGACAAAGTTTGGCATTGTGTTTCAAGCACTCTTTTCCACTTTCGGGAAAAGATACGCTTACAAGTTAAAAAACGTAGATTTATATAAAGGTTTTCTACTTGTATATTAAAGAAAAATTCCTAAAAGTCAAAAAATAACAGAGTTATAAGCTTGAAACATAATGCCAATTTTTTTTATTTTTTAGTTAATTTATTTGTAGTATGTTACCAAATACTAAAGTTTAAATTGGTAGTGTTTTTGTATTTTTGATACTAAATGGTACTAAAAGCCAAAAATGGTACTGTTATGTTAAAACCGTACCAATTTAAACTTTAGTACTATGTGTTACCAAACTACAACTAAATTAACTAAAAAATAAAAAAAATTCTTTAAAAAATCAGAAAATGTCCAAAAACCGCATTTGTCCTAGCGCCTTCTATTATTAAAAGTAATATAAGCGAAGAGATATTTATCAATTTACATCTTATAATCCATTTCATAGCTAATTATAGAAATCAGTTGTTATTCCCGTTCACTCATTTATTCTTATTTCGTTGTCTGGCCCTAACCTGTCGACTATTTGATCGGTGAATGTGCATGCTACAATAAAATTGGTACGCGTATCGTTACGAAAATCTTTGACCGCTAGATACCATCTCACTCCGAAGAAATGTTTTGAAAGGTAACGAATTATTTAAATTTAAATAAAGATGTCAGAGGGCACAGAATTAAATAAATTTTAATAAAGATGTCAGAGGGCACAGAATTAAATAAATTTTAATAAAGATGTCAGAGGGCACAGAATTAAATAAGTTCAATAAAGATGTCAAGGGGCACAGAATTATTTAAATTTAAATAAAGATATCAGAGAGCACAGAATTATTTTAATTTTAATAATAGTTTATAAACTTACCGCTACTGGTAGTGTGATTCAAACGTCCCCTGTAAATTCCACAAACATATAACCAGCCACCACCTGCTTCATTTTGTTAAGTGCTTTGCAAAGCTTTTGAAAGATAGGTCTCATTTTGTCGTACCCAATCGCATCTATGTACAATTTTGCTTTAAAAATTAGCTTCTTCACACAAACTCTTTCAAAGTCACTTAGAATTGTCCTGTAGATGTCAAAAATGGCATCATCAAGCATATCATACATTCGAAGAACACAGTAAAATTCTTTATCTTGAACTTGTGGAGGTAGTCTAAAAATGTTTACGTTATTCTTTTTAAAAAAGTTTTAATAACTTTATAACAATGTATCTGTTAACAAAACTGTTAAATCGTTGTCGTTTTTTACAAACACAATATCACATCGAATGTTTAACTAGGTTTCGGCACATAATGAAAATTGATTTACGGCTAGTGTTATATAGCAAATTGGAGAGAAAAAAATTCTAAGAAACGTGGTAAAGAGATCTAAGCTGCCAAAAATCTCGAAACAAAAACTTTACGGTAACCTAAAAGTTTTTATTGGCATGCAATTTTGAACACCTAAGCATTCAAGTTAAACATTAAATATACCAGATGAAAATGCAGATCAAAAACCGTTACTGTGCAAAATTTGACTTATGTTAGATACGGTAGTATGTAAGAACGACAATTTACAGTTTACGCTGTTACAGTAACTTTCTCAGAACAAGTTCCTCAAAAGTAAAAAATAAACTTACGGATGGTAATGATAAAAGGTCAAAAATTTGATGGAATGCAAAGACGCTGTAGCAAACTGAGTGTCAAATAATTCGGCCAAGTCTAAAATTTAACGAAGTAACCAACAATTAAGGAGTTATGAATAGAACTTCTAAACAATTCTTTAGTATAGTACTAACATTAATCATATACACTTCTTTAGTCCAACACAAACATTTGTGAAGACTTACAGGCATCGGCAATTGCCAAATTACGCGGTTTTCTACTAAACCATAGTTCTGACACTACGTGATGAAACACTTTGTTCTTCCACAATTGATCGGCTATATTGATAGTATTAGAATTTTTCGGCTTTGCTAATGGTACTCCATAAAATTTCCATTCATCTCCCATTTCAGTATCTGGAGCTCTCGACTGATCATATATTTGATAATTGACTTCGGCCAGAACTTGCTGTACTATACGAGTGTGAAGGCAAACAGAAAACCATAATTTAACGTTCAATTCTAAAATTACTTTCATTATTGCTTTGTATTCCACAATTTACATTGGTACAAAAGACTACGGAAAATTGAACAGAAAGTATTTTAACTTTTAAAACAAGGTTCGCCTAAGAATCGAACATGGCTCAAATGGGGGTGTTCAAAAATTTCAAACTATTTTAAAACCGTTCATTTTTTGACAAGAGGTAGTACTTAGAAATAGAAATGCAAAAATGTAAAAAAATTCAAAATTCAGGTTACGGTAGGATTACGGTAGGATTTAAACTTTTTTTTTGTAAATTTTGTACTAAATGTTAGAATTGAATGGGACTTTTTTTAAAATGTTTGTCACTATAAGGCATTCATTTTACCTGTTGACAATTTTTTTTATTATGCCCGGAAGGCATTGAAAAAAAAATTAAAATTTGCAAAAAAAATCATCAAAATTTTACTAAATTTAAAATTTCTCAAAAACACCTCACATGTGATACACTTTTGACGATAGGTAGTATAACTACATGATATTGTGGTTCTAATGACATTAATTTTGGGTCATTTCAGCGGAGCCTGCAGTAGCCACGAATTTTTAAAGTTGAAACCCTAAGGTCATTAGCAGAGGATTTGGATGTAATTCGGTCCAAAATAGTTAAAAAAGGTGCGTGGCACATATTGCAAGTTTTATAAGTGTTTACAAACAACTTCCTTTATACTATCTTAGGGAAGTTGTAATTTAAAAAAATTATTTTTTTTTAAATTAAAAAAAAAATTTTAAAGCCTGGAAATTAACATATTTGTGCTTATATGCCTTGGCTTATGGAAAGTACAAAAGTTAAGAAAAAAAATTTTAAATCCTGTCGTAATCCAAATTTTAAAAAAATTTTTATCTTTTTGCATTTCTATGCTTAAGTACTACCTCATGTCACAAAACAAACGGTTTTAAAATAGTTTGAAATTTTTGGACACCCATGTCTGATTCTTGGGCAAACCTTGTTTTAAGCTAACTTAAAAAACATACTTTTTGCTTTGTAAATCATCTCAATCAAATATCTTTGTGCCGGACAATTTACTTGTTCCGATATTTGCAGGTAGGCATCCTTTGGAGCATAAAGCGCGTTGAAGGCAACAATTTGACTAGGTTTCTTAGTATAAAACACAAACTTTTGGCCATACGACGCGACTTCACCGTCCACAATTGTGCAATGTCCAGCACCACACATGAAACAGTTCAGTATTCTTCTAGATGTCAACTAAAAATGTCAAATTTACACCGTGACACGGAGGCTATAATCGCACTTTAGTGCAATCTCCTGGTGTCATAGTGCAGAGGTTTGACTGTAAATGCTCGAGGCAATGTACACTGCGGGGTGTGAAAAAATTTTATTTATATAAGAAAAATTAGCAATGCCCTGTGCTAAAGCAATATCGTAACAGAATTTACGATATTGCTTTTGAGCCCGGGAGCAATATCCTACAATGAAATAAAAGTACTCACCAAAAGTTGACAAACTTTGCCATTATACCTAGTACGCTTTCCAGAATCTCTGAATTCCAAACCTGACAATAAAGTAGTATGTATCAAATAATAATTCAAACAGCTTTCATTCAGAACTTTGACTTCAGTACCTTTTTTATGAAAAGGCATAGATTCTTCTTGAGAGCCGTGAGCGTAAACATTGGGCACCATTTTTAATAAAACTAGTAAATGAAAAAAGAAATCTTCAACCTTTTTTGAAGCTCTTAGATCGTTTGAAGCTTTGTATCAAAGCCAAGAGAATTACGTTTAAGTCAACTGCTTACAACAAACCACGGCTTTGAAACTATAACATAAGCGCACTTTTGGCGCTTAAACGTAAAGCCAAAGCAAATAATTTTAAAAAAAAGTAAAGGACTAAAAAAGGTCTTCGCAAAACGTTGGCATTCTGCGTCAACAATCAGGTAATTTCGCATGCCCATCAAATCAAAAACTACAAAAAATCAGTTTATTTGCCAAGCCAATATTTTGTTTGTCGATTTACTCATGCATTTGTACGGCATCTCTCAATCTTTCCACTACTTCCTCTTCAAAATAGCACACAACTTGTAGATTGACGTCGTCACTGTACCCCACAAACCTCCATTTATCTGGGGAGAGTTGGAAGTCGCGGCGTTCCGAGAATCCTCGAAAATCTCTGATGAACTCGTACTCACGGTCGTTGTTCTGAAATTGACGTTTTTAAAATCAAAAGTGCAGTAGAACCTTATTATACTACACTCAAAAAGTTCAAGGAGCTAAGGCGGTGCCACGAGCAGTCAAGACACCATCAGAAAGTGATTCGATCGACAAAGCTTAAATGTACTTACTACCAAAAAATATTATGCATGAAAGTAAAATTTACCATTCTTTTAAATATTTTATTTCAGACATACCTCAACTGGTAAGTGAATACTAAGTTTCCCTTTGAACACCAAAAAATCATATTCAGCGTTCAGTTCCTTTATCTTGTCAATCACTTTGAACACTTTCTTGTAAAGCGGCTTCAGTCTGTCATATACAATGCAATCAATGAACAATATGGCAGAAAGTTCTACGGAACCTACACGAACTCTTCTGAATTCATCCAGGATTTGTCTATAGATCTCAAAAGTCGAATCTTCAAATAAGTCCAGGAACTTGGCAGAACAGTAAAATAAAGTTCCTATCACTTTTGGGGACAAACTGAAATTTTTTTATATTAAAATTATTAAAAAAAGTTATATAAGAAACCTCTACTTAACAAAACCCAGTATTACGAACAACATTTGAATCCCAGCTATCATCACACAGTGCATCTTAAACCTCTCTATAACAAAACCTCTTCATAAAAAACAAATTTTAAATCCCCTAGCGATTCGTTATATAAAGTTCACTGTATGTTATAAACTTACGGTAGGTAGTTGAACAAAACTAAAAAGTTGATGCTATTCAAATATACTCTATAAAAAGAGATGTCAAACAGTTCAGCCAAGTCTGAAAGATTAACAAGTTAGCTAGGTCTTACTAGATAAAAAACTTGTTTTAACGGTCTTTAAAACGTTACTATTAGAAAAAGTCAAGATCTTTCCCCACCTTCATCCTTGACTAAAAAACCTACATCCATCAGAAACAGTCAAGTAGGGAGGTCTGTAGTCGATATACAGATCTAACGGAGAAACATGAAAATCTTGGCCTTTCCATAATTGATTCGCCATAACTACAGTCGACGTCGCACCTTCTGTTTGTAGTATAGGTACTCCGTAAAACTTTAATTTTTCTACCATGTGGTGAGAACTGTCACTTACGTCCATTTTTAAGTCTGCCAAAACTTGCTGAATCACGCGGCTCTGACGTTCAGGAGGAATACGCAGTTGAACTTTCAGCCCTAAAAATAAAGGTTCATCGGTAAACTAATAAGCAAAAAGTAGTTTTTAAAATTTAAATTCAAAAAACTAGAAAGTTACCATCTATTTTTCTAGTTTGGTGTTCAGTAGCTCATTAATTTTTGTACAACCCAATACAAAAATTAATATATTTTTATGTCAAACTTACGATAAGCCTTGTAGATCATTTCAATCAAATATGTCTGAATTGGTGTCTGTTCGGTCGATAGCACGTAAACATCAAAAACAACGTTTCTCAATCGGTCAACAAGTGCCCACAAGATGACAAATCTTCCGGGTCTTTGAGTGAAAAAACGAATCCCACTGCCGCTGAATGTAAGCCATCCCTCACTGAAATAGCAAAAACTAACGGCATGGTTTACAAGATGTTTAAGAATCCTGTTTGATGAGAGCTGAAACCAAAATTTAATTAATTTTTTAAAATATTTTTGATAAAGTAGAATTGTTAGGGTTATGTGTTTGGGTTATTTCCTTCCTTCCTACTTTACCATAAGAATCCCATGCTACCCCGATCTGTTCGCATCGGACCCGCTAGACCTATTCCCTGTACGCCTAATACCTTACATTATACAGTCCGAGTGATAATTATTTTTATTATTTTGTTAAGATTTATTTATAAGAAAAGTATTTAAAAGGTTACTGTATTACATAAAATATATAAACGCAAGACACACCTGATCGCTCCCTAAGGTCCGAATTTCTCTCTCTCTTTTGAAAGAGTCATATCGCGGCCTTTAGGCATCGGCGTTGCGTTAGAGACTGCTTTTCGCGTGTCGCCTCTTTGATTTACAATATTAACGATAATTTGACCGTAACATTATAACACTAACATTGAAAAAGAAACATAAGTTATCAGCTATTTACAATACCTTTTAAAAACTTCCCAACTACAATATTAAGCCCACTCCACCTCTTATCCCCGCACCCATACAAAAATGTTTTAAAAATCAACACACCAGCAGCCGATAAATTTCATTTGAGGTATAAGTACCATGCCGAGCCCATCTAACTTCGATTCCAGTTAAAAGATTCGAAAAGACCATGTAGTACAACAAGCAATCCCTTCTCAAAGCTCTGTTCGGTTCACGAGTGCAGGCACAGGAACTGGTCTTATCACAAGCAGCAGTTACTTCAGTACGAGAAGAAGAATCCTTGGCCGTAAGTTCGTCCGCTTCAGTGGTTGTAGAAATGAAGCCAGCATCCGTAGGGTCACGGGCAGTTAAAACAGCATCAGTAAGGGACTCTCTGGCGGTGACTAAATCAACATCAGTCATGTTTTAGAATTCAGAAGTACATAAGCCGCAGAGTACAAAAGTAGCCAAAGTTAGTCTTGAGGAAGTTTGGCCAATGCGAAAAGACCACCAGTTTCCAAAAGCTGAAAATTGAAAAGTATCAAAAATATTCAAATTTCTGACAATTTATGAAATCTCAAGTCCGTGAGAAGCAAAACATACACAAGGTCAGTCATTTTACATTTTACAATCGTTGACAGACGGTCGACGCTTTCGGTTCTGGTCGGTTTCTAGCTGAAGTAGTGTTCCATCTGCACGGTGAAGAAATTTTCGCCTGGTTTTCCGACAAGTTGACCTGAAAACAAGGTTAGATTTAAAAAAAACTTTATAGGTCAAATTGCCAGTTTAAAAATCTTTTTTAAATTTTAAAATTTTTGTTATTTTTTACATTTTAAACTTGTAAACTTTTTAGTTTTGCCCAGAAATAGTGATGAAAGGCAAGAAACAAAGAAAGACATCAAGAGAAAGAGAAGAAACGTCCGAATTGGCGTCGGTCGAACCAGTGCCAATCAACCAGAAGACGATATACGAAGAATGTTGCAATGAACCATGGTTTTTTGGCTATGTTCAGGGAAAGGCGCTTATGGTAGGCATCTTCATAACCTTTTTTTTCGCATAAACTAATATAATAGTTTATGATAATGTTTAAAAATCCCATTTTTTAATAAATTTCAAAAATTTTTTTTTGAAAACAGCGATTTTTCATTTTTTAACGTTTTAGCCATACCTAAAACAACCCGGCGACTTTGCGGTATGTTACATGGACCAACTAGAGATCATCGTAAAAGGAGACACGTCCAGCTACATTACTGCGGCCATGATCGACAACTGCGAAATAAAAATTAGCACAATTTCAAAGGTCAGTACTAATTAAAAAATATTATTTTTAGTGTTAAAACAACATATTACTTAAAGTTAAATATATTAATGTTAGAATACCTAAAATCATAATGCTTAAAGCCAAAATTTTAGTCCTTTAACTCCGTGAAAAAGATGGTCGCAGAGATGACAAAACGAAGATTCAAGCTGATTAAAAGTGGCGAGAAGGTTCGACCAGTAAGACCAATGGAAACTCCGCCTTGGATCCTGAGCAAAGAATTTGTAAATATCGGGCAGAAACTGGAAAGTGAAACTGGTAAGACAAACTTTTCACATATTTTCTAAATTTTTTATCACAACTAATCCTGTAAAGCGGCCGAGCTCAATTTTCGACCGAGCCCAGTTTTCGGCCCGGCCCACGAACGGGGTCATGGTTTTACGTATTTTATTTTCAGATTACCACAAGGTGTACGATGGCAAGCTGTTTGACAAAATCGATGTGTTAATCAAAATGACATCCCATGATCACAACAGACAAACCATAGAAAAAACAAATCGAGTCTTGTCCAACGAATGCCAACGATTGGTCAATTTGAAACATCCTAACTTAACATTGGTAAGACTAAATAAAATTATTAAGTTTCGACATATTTAGTAAAACTATATCTAATTCCATAATTAGAAAAACTATATCCAACTTTATACTTCTAAATGATAAACTTTGGCTTTAAAAACATAAGTAAACAAAATATTATTGTAGGTATATGGCTTGGTATGCACTGATTTGCCAGTTCAATTAGTATTCGAAAGTTCGCCAGGCAGAACCCTGAAGGAGTTCTTGATTCTGCACGGTTCAGCATGTTCAGACGTCGAACGATACAAGTTTGCCATGGAGATCACAAACGCGTTGGTCTATGTTCATGAACAGTAGGTTTTGAAGTCATGATTAATATAATTTACAAAAAGTTGAATAACTTGGGCTAATTTTTACACATTTTTCGTTAAAAAAACATGAAATCAATTCTTTTTACAGAAACATTGTTCATCGACAAGTGGTAGTGGACAAATGCTATGTCAGTATATATGGCCATTTGAAGTTGTCTGGGTTTGGCCTAGCTAATACTCCTGAAGAACTAAATGATACCAAGCCTGAGATCCTGACACAACAAAACATTCCAATCAGAGCAATGCCACCAGAATGCTTGACTAACAAGCCGTGGTATTCGCTGAGCTGCGACATATGGTAGGTTAAGCAAATGAATAAACTTTTATATTAGGTATTGAGACCTCAAAGTACTTAATATATCACAGTATCTGATATATTGAGGAGGTTCAAGTAATTCTTTGCCCCTACTCAAAGCAATTTTTTGGAGTTGGGGGCACAAAATTATTTGAACAATGTAATATTATCAATTTGCTTAACCCAAATATTTCAGGTCATTCGGTGTGTTTATGTACGAAGTCTTTTACCATGGTGAAAGCCCATGGCCAGACTTGGAGCCAAAACGAATTGCTACAGCTATTCGCAAGGTTCAGATGCCACTGTTACCTCAAAAAATGCCTCAGGAAGCGAAAGAGTTCGTGGAAACAAAGTGTTGGGTGAAAGATCCAAAATGTCGAGCAAAGATTGGCGAAATCAAAATATTTTTGGAAGAACAATTGAAGAGTTTGGCTTCTTCTGGCGATGAGGGACCGCAGGTAAGCTGATATCCAAAATAAATCAAGTTTAGATAGCCTTTTGGCTTCAAAAAACTAACTAGATCAACGCTAAAACTAACTTATAAAGGAAGAAGCCGTTTTAGGAAGCCCTGAAAGTGATAAGTGGTGTAGAACCGCTGACAACAAGTCAGGTTGAGCAGAAACACGAGCAGATGATTCAGGCTTTCAACGACCTCAGAAGCAAAGCAATTTGGATCCGTAAAGGAGGACCGGCAAAATCTGTAGAGAAAAAGAAGAAGGTAATTAAAAAGACGGCGACAAGCAGAAGCACAACCAATACTACCACCAACAACACTACTTGTTCAACTCCTAAAGACGACGTAAGTTGATATATAGGAAAGATTGCTTTCGTGTAGATCAATCCGCAAAAATGAAGCATAACTGGCTAGTCTAGACTTCAAAAGACTTTTTTGTTTTCTCAAAACACCAAAGCTAAAACAATATTAGGTTAACAGCGATATTACCTAAAATAAGATTAGACTAAAGACTAATAATATCGTTTTAGTCGCAAGAAAAGCTGGATAGAACTCAAATGAAGTCAGTAACATCAAAAGCAACTTCGAAAAGCACCACCCATAAATCCGAAAAGAAGGCCAAGAAGACCAAAACTGTATCCAACAATGCCCCTCCCCCCAAATTACCTCGCCCACTTCATGCTCACCATGAAATTGATGACGATTACAGTGGAAGTCTCAAAGACGAGAAATAAAGCGCAAAGCAAAAATCGATATTAATTTTAATTTATTTTGATGATACTCCACGTTTTTTCTATAAAAATTATAAAAAACAAGAGAAAGACATCATAAAATAGGCTCTAAAACCAAAATTGGACTAAAAGAGGCGGAGATGCTGCCAAAAATTTGATAATATAACCAAAATAACCCAAAAATTTAAAAATCTTAAACATACCTTGAACAATAACGTCGTTCCAAACATTACTTCAGCATCAAACTCGAATTAACTTCGAAACAGGGATCGAAATTCAGAGAAAGAACTGATTGCAGTCGACTTCGAAGAAAAATCAACAAAAGGGGAGAATTTTGGCGCGAACTGCGGGAATAAAAGCGCAGGTTGCGAAAAAGGATATTGTTGTTGTTTTTTTATCGAAAAAAGTTTATTTCAAAACCAGCAACAAATCGTTCTTGAATATTAAAAACGGAGTATAAATTAAAAAAATAGTTTTTATTTTTTCTTTATTAAATTTAAAAAATGAAGGATTTAGGCCAAAAGGACAACTCGAACAGCTCGACGGTTCGATATAAAATAGCCGTCCTTTTCTTGCTTTTTCCAAATTTTAATTTTTCTATGTAAAATAATGTAACTTTTCTCAAACTTACCTTCTTCACAAATTTTCTCACTTGCCAATCGGTTCTCGATTTACCGGTCGGTTGATTAATGTTGTTTTAACTTTATGAACTGAATTTGTTCACCGACTTATTGAATTGAAATTGTCCATCAATTTCTGAATTACCCGCGCTCTAAAACTTACACATACTGTCAAAATGAGCGACACTGACACGATATCGGACTCGGATACGTATTGTACTGACTCCACCTTCTGTAGCGAGTCGGATACCGAGAGTACGGCGGTCGAAGAGACGAAGAAGTTGCCAAAAGTTTTGAGAAAAACGTGTTTGGACTATTTTTTAAGCTACAGGAATGTTTTGAATGGGGTTGCGGTGGAAGTGGCACAACGGGTATCGGATTTGACGGAGGATGTTTTAACGTTCTTGGTGAGTATAATACGATGATATAACTTTATTTTTGTAATTTGTGAAGGGAAGGTTTTGTTATTTTATGTATTATGGAGAGATGATAGTGTTATTCTGTGTTTTTATTAAGAGTGAAAAAGTCTTGTCGTCAATTTATTGATATTGACAATTCTTTTTTGGCCTTTTAAAAGTGTTGTTATCTTTGATCTTTTGCTACCATCATATAACCATTAGTCCCAGTTATGATATTTCTAGCTATAAATATTACTATAACCTACTTTTACTCAAGTTATACCTAAAATTAGCCAATTTATACCAACTTTTAGTCAAGTTATACCTAAAATTCCACTTCCAGATGACATCCGAACGAGTTCTGAAGCATTTTATGGGAGGTCAACAAAGTGTTTGTGCTCTTCAAAATGGCCAGGCTTGTATGTACAAGAAGGAAATCTCATTTGCTACACGAAAACCGAGTCTTCTGGTCGCTATCAAAGGTGTGTTATATCCAAATCAAGCAATCATTGGTATTGGAAATATGGAGCGGAGACCTGCGGAGAAGTATACGGTGGAGATCATTTACAAGGGAATCAGTATGTTTATTACAGTGGGGTTTTAGAATTTATACTAGAGTTTGGGTGAGGTTGAAAAAAATGGTGAGGGGGGGGGTTTCTGAAAAAAAAATTTTTGTTTTGCTTTACCTCTTTAAAACCTTTTTTTCCTTACCCTTATGAATCTTTATATGAATTCATGCCCAGCCTATCTCTTATATAAAACCAATTTTTATTACCTATATTTTGTGCAGAACTAAACGTCAAATTGGTTATCCCATTCATTCTGTACAGCCGTGTCGTTCAACAAGTACTGGTCGATTTGCAGAAGGAATTGTCGAAGACCAAGGACATTTTGAGTGGTGAAGGTTTTCAAGGGTGGCATTATCACGGCGTTCCGGTGCTAACAGACGAGTGTCGGCGAAAAGTGGCTGTAATACACATGGCGAATCACTTGTGGAAGAGTCGGACCTACTTTTATTCGACTTATGACATGAGGATCAATTCGAAACCTCAGTTTTTGAGTGTGGCGGATGAGTGTAAGTATTAACTTGTTGGTCGATTTTTTAAATTGTTTAATGGCTTTTTAAAATTTTATTTTTTGATGGATTTTTTAAAGTTTTTTACTGGGTTAGGCCTATTTTTGAGTTTAAATAGCCATCGTTTTATTTTTTTAATTTTTGAGTTTCAGATTTGGCAGATATGTTAGATAATCCATGTGGAAAACTGTTCCTACCATGTGTTAACTTTCTGTGCGTTTACCAGTACCTCCCGTAAGTATAACGTTATTTTACAAAACATTTTTTTACTACTGTAGATACGTAAAACATTGAATTGTGTTTTTAAAATGACAGTATCAGGTTATTCAATTAATTTTGTGCTCTTTCTCAACTCAAATTTTTGGAGGTTTTTTACTTTGAGAGGGGGCACAGAATTTTGTGAACGACTGAACGACCTAATTATATGTTATTGGTAGATCTGAAAGGGATCTACTAGGCATGGCTCAGTGCCTTTACAGACCTAGTTATCAGCGTTGGGAGAATAATCTTATTATCAGTGCTGATAGGATAATCTTAAAAAGGAGAAGCAGGGAAGATCAAGAATAATTTTGTGGACAACCCAATATTTGAATTTTCAGTCTGTCACCACAAGCCGAAGCCGTGCAATTCCATTTTTCTGTCAAATTCCATGACATTTTCGACATTCGAACCTTTGATCTCTACAGAACCATCCTCGACGACTTTAAAAGAGTCAAAGCAAAACGAGTCAAATTGTATGCTAAGATGTACATTGATTGTAGAGAATACGAACAGCTGAAGCTGATTCTGAAACGGACGCGGAAAGCGTTTTTACGAATGAAACAGTTACAGTTGGAGTACAGGTTCATGAAGTTTGAAGGGTTTCTCAGGGTTTACATGCCTATATCGGTAAGGGTTTTGGTATTATCTTCAATAGAGGGACACTGCTTTATCTTATCTTGCCATATTGTGTTTTACTCTACTCATCCCTACTTTTAAACCCTACATTACATATACTACAACTCTGTTGTTGCCATCTTATTGTATTTTTCATTTTTCAGCAAAAACACCATGACGCGGACTTTATCACAGACATGAGAGAGCTGTCGGAACGACGCAACTTTTGCATTTCGCCCGACCGCTGGAAGTTTATAGCTTTGGCCAAGCACTTGGAACTACAAATAATTTGCAGTTTTGCCGACGAACCCGAACTCCGACTCCACCCTGATGAATCTATTGTTATGAAGGAGTGATGCTTCGTTACACTTACAAACGGCGATTAAACTAACTTGTTCGAATTTTTAAAGCATGGTTATTAATTTTGTTCAAGCTCCCTTATTATACCTAGCCCTATCTTAATACTGCCCAAACTATCAAATTTACAATAATATTGTTTATGCCACTAAAACCGTTTAATATCACAAGACAAACCTCTACGAAGATTGCGAGCACAACCCATTGTCACAAATGTATCCGTCAGGGCATTTGGAGCAAGCATCGCCTTCTGTGTAGACAGGTTGACCAAGGTAGTTACCAGCAGATTGATAGTTACATACGACGATGTAGCCATTGTCAAAATCAGAGGAAAGGTTTTCAATTGTAGCACATTGCTGCACACCACAACCTAGGGTAGATGACTTGGCCCAAATCACCTGAAATTAGAAAAAACGTTATATTATAGTAGGTTCTGGACTAATATTTGAGTTTTTTTGCGCTTTAAGTCAAGGGACTTGATTAAAATTTAATATTTTAGACTTAAAAATTAAAACTTGAGCTTCTCTTTAAAACCTACTTGAGTAAAATGCCCAGTAGTAGCACTAGAATCCACCTCAAAGTCGCTAACATCATTCACATCAAAGTCCTCAACCTCATTAAACCACATCTGGACGCTTTGTTGAAGTAGAGCAGTGTTATTCATGCCACTACCTCCAAACACAGCCAGATTTTGACCACCAGCATATCCGTTATGGGAGAAGTTGCAACTATCAGCCCAATCTTGAGCAGCCGACTCCACATCAGTATCATAACTGTACTCTAACATATCAGCAGCAGCTGGCAACTTGCCATTAGCCGCTTCTTGCTCTCCGAAAGCTACTGTCCGTTTGTAGTCATTATGGTAGCCAACTACACTTGATTGTTCATCGGCAGTTAGCGCAGAAGCCACTGATATTATACTAGATATAAACAATATAACCTTCATTTTATATTTTAGATATTAAACCACGATTTTAAACCTAAAGCGTGATCTGACAGTCAAAGCACGATAAAGCCAACGTGCCAAATGTGAAATTATTAAAATTTTAGCCAAGCTAACCTTTATATACCCGATATTAACCTTGGTAATTCTGTATGTTCAAATATTAAAAAAGCAGTATTTTTGACTGTGAAAGGTGACTAAACAATTTGCGCTTAAGGGCAAATATTATGTTAATCTCTTGGTTAAAAACTATTCACTCTTCACGCAGTTTTTTGAAACCTGTTCAAACACTTCCGGCACAATCAATTGTTTAGTGAAATTTCTAAAAATGTTTTCCTTATAAGCTAAAAATACTTAAAATCTACCCTACTTAAACTTACTCGTCCCTACCTTGCCTTGCATTGCCATTGCCTTGCCTTGCCTTTCCTTGCCTTGCTACACTCTATCGTTTTTCTACCTTCTGTACCTTAATTTAACCTATTGTTAATTTTAAACAATCAACACAATTATCCAAGCCTTTCCTGTGTTTCTTATTCACCGGCCGGCCTGTGGAATCATTTCAGTAAGTAACCTAACACAAACTACAATCAAAATTAACAAACTTTGAAGTATTAATCAAACAAAATCACAAGGTAAAACCCACGCCACCCTGGGAGGCTCGTACATACGTCTTATCAGTCTGAATCTGCTCCTTTTTTGTTATTTGAAAGTCTGTTTTTTTTAGCTTTCGCAAGTTTCCTCACTTTGAAAATGCCATTTCCCTAGTTTTTAGAAACCAAATATGTAAAAGTCACACGGTTTTTAGAAAAAGAATTAAAATCTAATATTATTTTATTATTCTAAATTTTTTATATTAATTATGTGTTTTTATAAATTAAAAAAAAATTTTTTTAAAGTCTCTGGAATTCAATAAATCTTTTGCTTTTCATACGTCATAACAAGATTATGAAAGCTTTTCAGCTGTTTTTTGCTCTCTCAACTTTGCTCAACGTTTTTGCAGATCAAATTACTCAAATTACCGTTCTAAAAAGTATCATATTTACCTATAAATCGGCCTTAAAGTCTATCGCTTGACCAATATCTCGTATTGAATCTATTAAAAAAATCTTAATAAACTAAAATATTAACTTTAGGTTTTTAATATTAGTATCCCTACTTAGACTCACATTTTTTAAATATTTTACCTATTTCTACATAAAATCAACGAAATGTCAAAAAGCCGATACATTTGTGACATTTCGCGCGCGCAAAAAACTATTTTTCGCGGAAACGAAAAATTCGTGGAGTTTACCCAAAAATACGTGAAGTCCGAGTAAATATGTGTTCGAGGCGAACTTTGCTCACCATTTTCTTCCACCGTCTACGTTAATATACCTCGCGTTTGATGGATTTCTTTTGTTTTTGTAGCTAAAACTTTGCTTCCAGGGTTTCACTTATTCTTCATGCTTTCAATGGTTTGACAAGAATTATTCCACTATTTCAACTTGTATCTTAGCGAACTCAACTTTCCTTAAAACGACGGGATTACATTCCAATTTATATTAACCATGGGCTTTTTAACAGTGTGTTTCTTGGTATTAGCGGCGAATGGATGGGTATGGGGAGAACAACAAGTAGATTGGATAGAAACGCCGACCAAGGAGATAAAGTCTTGTTTATCGCCGGATTTGGAACATGAAGTAAGTGTTTTTTCTTTTTTATTTGTTTTTAGGCGTGTTTACTTTGAATTTGATATTCAGTTGCATAAAAACAATCTCCTGGACTTTTTTTTAAATATTAAACTGAAGATGTTATTTGATTATAACTTAAAAATGCTTGTTTAACTTTTGTTTTTGATGAATTGTTAATGGAAAACCTAAAAAAAAAGACAACATTTGATAACAATATGTGTAAAACAATAGAATTTACTTTTAGGAACATGAGACGTGTCGATTTTATTCAGCGGTAATCGACGCTGGTTCTACTGGATCTCGGCTTCATTTATTTGAGTTCTCACATGATCCAGCTCAAGAGCACAGCCCGTTTAAACTGGAATCAGAGACTTTTAGACAGGTAAGACAAGATTGACGTTTTGTCATTGAGTTTGATGTCTTTATTGCTCCAGTTTTGAAAAAATTATCGATAATCTATATTTTTTGGTATCTAAATTAATTTTTTATAAGCTAGATGAATTTTTTGCAGTTAATTTTGGTTTTCTAAAAGTTAATGTACATCAAACTTATAGACAAACCCTGGCTTATCATCTTATGCAGCCGATCCATCAAAAGCAGCTGCCAGTATAAAGTATTTGATAGACGAAGCCAGGAAGAAAGTACCAAAAGGGCTGTGGAATCATACGCCTATTGTGATGAAAGCTACAGCTGGATTAAGGCTTTTGCCGTCAGATGAAAGCGATCGTATCTTATTTGAAGTTGAAGCTGTAGTTCAGAAGAGTGGACTGTTAACTGAAGCTGAAAGTGTTGGAATCTTGTCTGGAATAGACGAAGGAGTATTCGGATGGTTTACATTAAACTTTTTGACTGATAAGATGCAGTTTATTCGAGGCGATGGTAAGATATTTGTTTTTTTTTGTTATTTTAGGTGTTTAAAGCTTAGATGAGGGATTTAATTTTTTTTTGGTTTTACACTAGATTTCTAGAGAGGTTTTTAAAATTTTGAGACTACTTGTTACAAGATGAGTCAAGTTATTACCTAAAATCATTATTTTAGCTCAAAAAACAGCTGTAGCTCTGGATCTGGGTGGTGGATCAACACAAGTTACTTTTATGCCGACAAACCCAGAAGAAGCCTTTACAGCAGGTGCTGTTGAAGATGAATTTGGACATCAACTCAAAATATTTGGCCAAAAACTTCGTCTCTACACTCATAGTTATCTGGGTAATGGACTGATTGCTGCTAGACTTGGAATGGCCAGGTTAAACAATGATAAGGAGACTGACTTGGATGTAGACTGCTTTCCTAAAGGTTATGTTATGAAAAACTGGGATTATGCTGGAAAGAATTGGACTTTAAGGTTGGTTTTCAGGGGTTTTTAGGCATGGGTATGCTTTTGAAGGTTGTGAAGGTTTAGGGCTGTTCAAACTGGGATTTATTCTAGATATCAAGCCTAATATAAAAATAAATATAATTTCAGAGGAACATCATCAAAATCCTTTAAAACCTGCAAACTTTTGGCCGACAAATACGTCAAAAACACAAATATCCGACCGGTTGAAAGACTCATCAACAAATATGATATCTACGTGTTTGCCTACTTCTTCGACCGAGCTGAGCAAGCTGGTTTGACGACGGGAAAAGATCAAAAAGGTCGATGGATTAAAGTTGGAGATTTCAAAAATGCGGCCGAAAAGTTCTGCGCGTTAGAGGAGCACGAATGGGGAACTGAACATTGGAGACCGTTCCAGTGTATGGATCTCAGTTACATATACTCACTGTTGTCTACTGGCTATGGGTTACAGGATGACGTCAAGATTCATGTGGGTTTTTTGATATTTTTTATATTGTTATGGGGAAAGATGGTTAATATAGCATAAAATTCAGTGTATTAAGCGTGGTAACTTATGTAGTATGATGTTATTGGTATAATATGTTGAATATGCTATCTATTTTTTTACTTTGTAAAGGTTTTGTATTATTTTTATAAAATTAAACAAAAAAACATGTTGTTATAGGTTTCAAAGAAGTTAAAATCAATGGAAGTGTCATGGGCACTGGGAGCTGGCTTCCATTTATTGAATTCCTATCACGAGAATGCAAAACAATCTTATCAACCATATACTGAACTGTATAAAACTAAAAATGCGACCTATGTCACGAGGATATATAGTTATTTAAGCGAGAAAACGACTGATCTATTGGTTGCTTTGAGGATAATATCATAGGCGGAAGCGTTGGTTGGTTGTTAGCTTTGAAGATGGGATGGGAGGAAGATAAAGATTAGCTTGTGATAAGAGAAAGCGATTTTTTACTAGTATCTTTGAGGATATTATCTTAGCAGCAGCTTCTTTTGACTTTTTTTTATCTTTGGTATATTGTAGTAGTTGTCTATGACTGTTTTAGCTCTTTTAGTTTTTGGAAGAGTTACTATGATATTAGTTTCTTTACTAACATGAAGATTAGAGTAATTATCAGTAGATTATTAGTTTGTTCACATAATTCTGTGCTTCTTCTCAAAGCTTATTGTTGGGCTTACGGGGCACATCATTATTTGAACAATCTAATAGAATTATTATTGAATCTTTCTTTTCACACTTTACATTCATTGTTTTTAGGTATCATTTCATTTAGTATACATTCTTTTCTTGTTTGGTATACATTCGATTGAACAACGAATTCCAAGTCTTCTTCATATCACTTTACTTGATATATCAAATGGGTAGCTTCTTTAACCTTTTCATCACTTATACAAATACCTTTATGTTATGTTTGTTTTAGTATACAAAATTTTACTTTATAGTTGTGTTGGTATATAAGGCGTTATATATTATGATTTTTTTGGATTTTTGAAAATTCAAAATTTTTTGAACACGTGTTATGCCTCTGTGAGTATTATTGTAACGAGTCTTGTCTTTTTGAGTGTTATTTTAACAGGATTTCAATTTCTAAACGTATTAACATTATGTATAACATACGAGTTGAATAAAATATTATTGTGAATTGGGCGGATCTTAAAATTTTAAAAGTTTTGTTTCAATTTAAAAGTTAAGTTTTTTTTGTTAAAATACGTGGTCGACAGATCCCGTAGTGTTATATATAAACACTGTAAAAAGGGTATCTTGATATAAGCAAAATTTAAACCGATCTAGATTCGGAAAATTGGTTAGGGACAGGTGGTATGTCCTGAAAAATCGAAAAATAGCTCCTTCCTCTACTCTTCGTATAACGACCTTCTACTATAAGTTCTTTACTTTCACTAAAGATTTAAAAAATCTAAAGATAAGAAAAGCTATTTATTGCCCATTACTCACACCTTTAGCAAAATTAATAAAATCCTTCAACAAGTAATCGTAGATAATTTTGGATTCACTATGCTTATTCTCCTCTCTTGTTTCCTCGTCCATATACAGCATGTTGAAGGTTTGCACCAAACTTTTGTCAAAAATATTCATACACTGGTTGGTTGAGTTTGGTGCTTCTTCGAATACAGTGTTTGGTGTGACGGCTTCGGTAAAGTAGAATGGCATATAAGTGACCAACTTCATGATCTCACCATTGTACGGACAAAGTTCATTGACGTGGTAGAAGATGCACGGCAGGATTAGGTGCATTAACGGGCTGAAAAGTACGTTATTGTTAGGATTGAAATGACTTGTTCTAGCCCCATCCCCACTTCTAGCCTTAGGCCTAGTTCATAGCCCTAGTCCAGAGCCCTACCGCAGAGACCTAGCCCAGATTCTTCCTCTAGCCCAGTACACTTACCCACAAAATTTTTGAATGTTGGTGGAATTTATGTCTGACTTTTTGAGACTACTCTTTATTAAACAAATCTCCTTCACATCTTCGATCAGGTACTGCATGCATGCGCCTCCTGTATAAAATCTGTCAAACGTTTCTTCCATTTGTAGTAGTATTTCATCGTATTGTTTTTTGAATGCACCTACAAAATGAAAAGTTATTCTGAGAAACTATGTAGTGTTTAAGCTAGCATAGGGTTAAACACCAAGTTTTGCGGCCTAGCACATGTTCATATACTAAGATTGTTAGCCCAATATATGGTCGAGTACTAGGCTGAACAATAAATTAAGGTGCCGACATAAAGAACCCGCCACACGTTTCTTGTAATTTCCTGTAAAAAGTGGCGGGTTCTTTATGTCGGCACCTAACATAAATAACGTTGTGAAATTCCGTTTTTGCCTACAATAGGAATTTATATGACTTGCTTTAAACTTACTTGGAAATTTGGTACAATCTGCGATATAACCAGCAATTCGGTAGACATCTCTAAATAGTGCCAAATAAGTTTATGAAAGCAAAAATAAACAAATCAAAATTTTATTATCAAATTTCTTGTTCTACCGTCTCCCCAAATCGTAAAAACAATCAAAATATAGATTTGTCATCAAATCCTTACTTTACTTTACAAACCTACACTTTAACCTACATGTTGTGTAACATAACATTACAACAAAAACTAAAAAATTCTTACCGTGGAATATCCGCAAATCCATTATAAACGAGTTCCTGAAGTGTGTACAAGGCTTCGTGTCGAGCAATATCAATACAATACGCGATGGGGTCGATTAAACTATAGTCAAAATGATGTTCATGACTATGATTGTTTGAAAACACTTGCAAAAGAAGTGGCGTTACAATAGAAAATGACAAAATGCGACGGAAAATCATCACCGACTGGTAGAAAAGTAGTAGAGAAAAATAATAATGGAAATTCAAAAATTTTTTTAGGAAAAATAATTTGATTAAAATTACAGTATGAATCTTAAATTTCAACACATTAAGTCTTCAATAATTTTTAAAAATTTATTAAAAAATAAAAAGCCATTAAGTATATTTACAACCCGCATAATTTAAATAAATTGAACAGTTAGACCATTTCCAAGTCTGCTGCCGTACTCGGTTTGACAGTATGAACTTTGCCATTTTGTAGACGTATCATCCATGGCCGCTTGAAACGACTGTCATTTTCAGCATCAACGGCAATCAAGTCCTGGGTATCTTCTTCTATGTTGAAGAATTTGCCTAGAAATAATTGTAAAATGTATAATATATAGTAATGTAAAAATTAGAACGATACGTCTACTCTGCCCTACCGCAGAGCCCTAATCCAGAACGATAGCCCAGAACCCTAGCCCAGAGCCCTAGCCCAGAGCCCTAGCCCAGAGCCCTAGCCCAGAGCCCTAGCCCAAAGCCGTAGCCCAGAGCCGCAGCCCAGAGCCCTAGCCTAGAGCCCTACCCCAGACCCATATCGCAAAGCCCTATCCCAGAGCTCTAGCCCAGAGCCCTATCCCAAAGCCTTATTCCAAGTCCTAACCTAGCCCAACGATAATTATACCTAAAAGTTACTCTATTAAAACCCTAATATAACATACTAAAAACCTACCAATAGTCCACCAACAATCGAATGTTAATGAAAGTACCAGTAAGAATAGAAACACTACCATTATAACCAAAAGTAATGCTACGCCAATAACGCAACTTAATGCGATATTGCTGATGATTTCTTTCCAAATCATTTTGTTCTTTACTGTTTCATCAATCCTAGAAGTTAGTATCTTAAAAATAACAAGTCATCTTGTAAAGTACGAATATAACAATAACATTAATTGAAAACAATGCAATTTACTGTTCATACAAACCAAATAGTTTATCACAAGTGTGTTGTAACGGTAAACAATAAAACAAAGATAAAGTCATGTTATAATAACATTAAAATCTAAAATCTCCAAAAATTACAGCACAAGATAGCAGTAAAACTGATAAAACACGCCAACTATTGCATTAAGAGAAAAAAGTATAGTACGTCAAAACTTAATAATAGTTTTTATGTCACTAATAATTAAAAAAACCGATTCTTATTATTTGATTGAAGTACATATAAATACAAATTCAAATAACGAGGTTAATCCTCTAGTTCTATGTTTTTACAGTACGAACTATAAATTACTGACTATACTTCAAATTGTTAATACCTATTGAATACCTAGAATATAACATTTTTAAATTTTTGGCAAAACCGAAACAAATTTGAAAGGGGCTGGGTAAGACCGTGAGGGTCCTGAAAGCCGGGCCAAAACTAAGGCCAGAAATGGTTTGAGCCAAACCAGGATCCCGTGGCCTGGCTAAAGTCTAGCAACAAAAGATAAAATAAAAAACACGGGCCCGGCTTAACCTTTTTACTGGTCTAACTTAAACACAAAAAACAATTTTTAATTTTTCTTCAAGACACAACCCACACCCCTCCATAACACTTTTGAAAGTACGAAACCCGGAGAAGCGTATGTATAAATTGCTGAGAGATATAAACATTTTTCATGCTTCTTTTGTTTTCCAACTGCATAACCACAAATTAAAGACGAGAACCATTTCTGCGCAATAAAACGTATTCCCGGAATGTAAAGCTTAAATTTTACTCAGTAACGGACTTTCGTGACACTTATGCGCCTATAGTTTGGTCGTAAAATAGCAATCTAAACTTTGTTTTTAAAAGTTTGGTTTAGTTGTTTTACTAGTTTAAGGTTCGCTTTATGGCTGTGATTAGGGCAAGGGTAGGTGCAAGAGGGGTAAAAGTAAAACATAAATTTTTTTTTGTGTGGGCTGTCTTTTCTTTGAGAAAAAATAATAACTTACGTTTTACCCAACCCCTTCACCTCCTCTCCTCCCCCCTCCCCATCCAGCCTGTTATAAAAAGTACCTTTAACTCAAGTCTTAGCCTTAGAATCAGAACTTACTAAACTTGCCAAGAAATCAAGCCGTGCTTTGGTTTAAACCCCGGTACTCAGGTCTACGTGTGCCAGCCGGAACCAACCCTTTTCGCATTTCCTTCAGCCTGGATCAGTGGGCCCTCTTTCAAGCCTAGCTATTGCTCAATATAACTCCCCTTTTCTAGACATGATTTATAGAAAAATTAAGTTCTGCCCTTTAAAACCTCCAACAGCACTCCCAACCTAGCCCAATGTGACTTACAACACACTAAAATATATTGTACAAGCCTTACACCAATTGAATTAAAGGTAACCTAATTGTCTCGCCAACAATGCCACACTCTTGACAAAAACAAGTTAAACTCAAGGATTTATTTTGTCTGGACGGTAAAATGAAGCTAAGAGAACGCTCAGCTCCTCTGCTGGGACTTGTTTTCAACACTATCTTTGTCTGGTGATTGATTTTTATTACTGTGTACTATGTCTAATTTTACTTTTTTGGACTATCTTATTTAAAAGGTTTTAATTGTGGTGTAGAGGAGAGAAGAAGGGTAAGAAAAAGAGTGATAAGAGGGGGGGGGGAGAAAGAATGAAAAGATAAAATTAAAAAAAGTTAAGGCTTATATGTGGCGTAGGATAGAATAGGGTAGGTAGAGTAAAGGTAGAGTATGGCAAAGTATGACAAGGAAGGGCAGAGTAGGAAGGGGTACATTAAAATAAATAAGGGTATGACGTTTGTTAAAAATTTTTAAACATATTCCTTCGCTCCTACGCTTTACTAACTTTTTCCTTCCCTACCCCTGCCTTTTGAAAAACCTCAGATCTACTCACTCACCTTTTACCCCGCCCTGAGTTCAACTAGCTTCTGCGATACTTATTGTGTTAACAAACTAAATAATGAAAATATTAGTTGAGTTTTGAAATGCTATTTTGAATCCTGTTATATTAAAAACAAAAACAGATGTCACGGCTTTGTCTCAATAAACTAACCTAAAAATAATGAAGAGCTCCATTATAATTTGTCAAAAGAAAATCAGACACAACATGACAATGTTTTGAGCTACAGTGATATATAAAAAAAACTCTTATTTTTTTTGTTTTTTTTTAATTTTTTTAGGCTTTGGGAATTTTAAAGATAAAAAAAAAGACTTTTTTAAATAATAGTACTAAAGTGGTCTCTCTATATAGTAAACATCTGCATAAGCATCTCTCCTTATAGTCAACAACAGTGTTTTGCCCGGACCGGTCCGGAGCGTTTTTCATCGGTCCGGTCCGGCGATTTTCGGGTCCGGTCCGGTCCAAACCCAAAATTTTTGCGTCCGGTCCGCAAAAAAATTTTTTTTATTTTTAAAAAAAGCAAAGAGCGCTAAAACTGCTTTCTCTACGTTTAAAAACACTTAAAAATATGTTTTCTTTGCAATTTTTAAAGCAGTTTTAATAAAATTAAAAAAAAATTTTCTTCCGGACCGGTCCGGAGCTTTTTCTTCGGTCCGGGTCCGCAGGATTTTGGGTCCGGTCTGGTCCGCAAAAAATTTTGTTTCGGTCCGGACCGGACCGGTCCGGCAAAACACTGGTCAACAATAAATTTAGCCCCGCCAAGTCAATTTGCACTAAAAAGCCTCTCTGTAAAAACAACACCCCTTATAGTAAACACGAAATGTCGGTTCCTTCAGGTTGCTTATATAGAGAGAATACTGTATAAGTACCTTAAAGTCTATCAGAAAATATAAACTTAGTAAAAATTTTACTTTCCAAAAGATAGTAAAGTAAATCCCAGCCGCAACCCAAATTCTCACATTTCGAATAAAGTACAAGTACTGGCCAAAGCAATTAAAGACTGCCAAAATAATACCAGTCTGGCCCGGAGGCAACGGAATGCTTAATTAAAACAACTAAAATCTAAAACGAAATCAAACACAAACAAAAAACAAAATTTAATTTAAAAAAGCCATTATTTGGGGCCGCATGGTTCATATAGTTTATAGTTTTAGTGAAGCAATGTTACATTCATTACTTTGCGAAAAAAATAAAAGTACACATATATACGTGCATAAGATAAAGTAAATGGGGCAAGGTAGGGCAGAGAAAGATATCGTAAGATAGAGTAAGATGAAAGACGATAGGGTAGGTTAAGATAAGATAGCTTACAGCAGAGTAGGATTAGGAAAGTTAAGGTTGGACATATATTAAAAAAGGTTAGGGCAGGTTAGGCTGGGATAAGGCTGCAGGGTAGGGTAAGATATGATAATGTGAAGTAAGATCGAGTAAGGAAATTTAGAGTAAAACACATTAATACAGCGTAGGGTAAGGTAGGGTAAGGTAGGGCAGAGCAAGGTAAAGCAAGGTAGGGCAAGGTAGGGAAAAGTAGGGTAGGGTAGGGTAGGGTAGGGTACGGTAGGGTACGGTAGAGTACGGTAGGGTACGGTAGGGTAGGGTAGGGTAGGGTAGGGTAGGGTAGGGTAGAGTAAATACTATCAGGTTGTTCAACTAATTCTGTGCCCATTTTCAAAGCAAATTTTTAAGATTGTAGGGCACAGAATTATGTGAACAACTTAATAATTCTTCCTTAACGCTTTACTACTAAAAATCTACTCCAAATATCATTTTCGTACTAACCCAACCTAATTCAACTTGAAACGTACTCATTCTGAACGTGTGTAATCCTATCGTTCCAAGCCGCAAATTCTATCGCTCCCGAATCGTTCCTGACCTCACAAATAAACTCTTGACTTCCGGCAGCAAACGATTCTGTTTTAGGCAAAGATAATCCCTAAAACCCGCTTTTAGGCATTTCCCACACGCGAGAAATGGTCACAATTTGGAACCAAGAATAATTCCCTTAAAACAAAAAAAACTATGAAACATTCGGAAATTTAAGAGAGTTTCGTGCCCTCAAGGCCTATCAAGTAAAACAAAAACCGCGTTTTTATAAAGAAAAACAGTATTGGGTTTCAAAAAAAGAGTATCAGTCGGTTGGCAATCAATTTCCTGTCGGCAAAATTTCATTTTTTGAGCAGGAGACACTTAATTACTATACAATAAAGTATATACAAAAAAAGTTTTAGCTCTACTTCCCATTTCTATGCAAAAAACACTAGCCCTAGTTGATCCTGCTAACATAAAAAAATTAAAAATCCGCCCTTACTAAAAAAATTATTCTTGATCTACCCCCGCCTCTTCCTGCCAAGATTATTATCTCAGCAATAGTAACCAAGCTTGTAAAAAGACCAAGCCAAAGAAAGAAGCCCACTGAGCCACTTTTCAAGCCTATTGATAACATATAGAAAAATTAGATGGTTCAAATAATTCTGCTCCCCATAATACCGAAAATTTGCATTGAGAAAAACACAGAACTCAGTGAACATCCAAATGAAAGATAAAGTAAATTCAAAAAATTAAAGTCAGGTTTCATTTGTATTGTCCCAACAAAAACTGAGAAAATGCCTAAACACGCTACAATGTTCACATGCAACCACATTTTACTACTTTCGTCTTTTCATGAATAAATTAATAGTCCTTTTTGTTCGATAATTTCAAAGAAAACGCGGTATCAATTAAGTACAGTGAAAAATGACAATGCATTGTAGATGTATTGTTAACGCATTTTTATAAAAAAAATATTTTTCAGCTAATTTATTGAAAAAAACGTCATTATGTAAAAATAGTGTAAAAGCATGATTTTACTAGAAAACAAGTTTTAATGGTCTTCAGCACGGGACGGCGACGGTATATAATACGATAGAACAGGTTAGGGTAGGTTACAAAGAGGTAAAGTAGAAAGGAACAAAATATTCTACAAGGCTGGGCAATAAGAAGAGGAAACAACCTTTTCCGTATTTAAAAAAAAATCAAAACAAGAATAAATCAACACATAGACAAAAAGATGTTCTTACTAGACATGTAAGGGGGCCGAGCCAATTCTAATTTTGCAACTGTGATTCTTTTTTCTATTTTTATATAAATTTATTGAAGTACTAACAGAAAAATCTCTTTTTTTTATTTTTTAATAAGTAGAGAAACAACAGGAATTTAGAATCAAAAAATTTTTATAAAAGATCTTCTCCACATTCTCCTCTTTTCTAGACTATCATAATCCCAAATTCAAAAAATCAAATAAAAACAAAAATACAAAAAAAATTCAAAAAAAAAGAACTTTTACAACATCTGTATCTATAAAACTCATAAAACCTAATCAAAACTCTTGTAACGCAATTTAAGTATAAAGTAGTGCAAATTTGTCCTTTCATGTCAAAATTGATTTCCGACATTCAATTTCGACAGGGTTTTTGGATGTTGCGCAAAGTGGATAAAGTGGCATATTCAACACTTTTCAAGGTTTTGTTTCTGTTTTCTACAAATTATTGGCCATTTTTTTTAACTTTTGTTCTTTTTTCATGAGTAATATGTTTTATTTGCAGATTTTAATTGCAGGCAATACTGGAAGAGCTATAAATCAAGAGATATTACATAATTCAGCTTCAAATTAGGAAAATATTTGTGGCTAGAAAGGGGGGGGGGTGGGAGAACAGTAGTGCTAGCTAGAGATTTAAAAATTGTTCGTTATACGGGATTTTTGTTATAGAAGACGTCGTTATAAAAGAGCTTGTTACACAAGAATTTCACTGTAATTAAAAGCAGAGAAAGGCTGGCTTTGAAAGTGGTCCCACTAGGCCCAAGGCGGACTAAAGCAAATTTAACAGACCGAGCTAAAAAATTAGGCTTGGTCCGGTCTTTTTATTAGTCCAAGAAGGAGGAATTGAAAAAGGTACGTAGTTATAGTCAAAAGAAGCCTAGTATGAATAGAGAATTAATATTATATCTAAAGTTTAGGATCCGCTTCACAAAAGTGTAAATGCGTCCACCGAGCGTCAGGTCATCGGCGGTAGACATAAGAAACGGACCGGGCCTGAAAAAAAGATAGATCTGACCAGGTCTAACATTCAGGCCCCACCCGAGGGACGGGCTTAAAAAATAGGCCCGGCCCGTTTCCCGTTTCTAATTGGCGAACGCCATAGCTCGACCATTTTAAACGCTAGAAACGTAAAATTAAATTCTGGATTACCTAACGGTATAACACTTATTTTTGTTATTGATTTTAAAACTTTTAATAAGTAAAAAAAAATTAGGCGCAAAGAACCGAAAAAAAACGTTTTTCAACTCGAAAAGCTTAATTTTTCATTATAACTATGAAAATAACTGCAGTAATAAAAATATTTTATAACCAACTTCAAAATGAGAACCAACTAACCCCTCGTACACGTACTACATTATTCTCCCTTGTAAAACAATAAGATTACCCAAAATTATTGACAACCGGAAGCCTCCGCGCAAGTCCCCACTTTTTCCCTTGGCCTAACATTTTTTATTGCCGACAATAACATCTGAGGATTAGGCATGGCGAAGCGAAATGCATCAAAAAAGATAAGAAATAAACATTTTTCGTATTTGACGCTATGTCAAAAACAATCGTCCCATATATTATTATATGGTCGATGGATTAAAAGGGTTTAGTCGTTTTTTGGGCGTTTTTCAATTTTTTAAGTTTGTTTTTTGAAATGGACTAGAAATTTTATTTTAAAATTTTTTATTTTATAAAAGTTAAAATTTTAAATTTTAAAAATATAGCCTAAAGCAACATTTACACGTAGATAAAAATGTAAGTAAAAATGAGCTTATTTAATGTAATTACTTGAGGCATTTTAATTAAAAAATGAAAAAACGGGCGTTATATTCGAATTAATTCTTGGCTAAATGCCACATATGTACTTTTACATTACCAGACTTTGAAATGGAAGGGAAAACGCCGTTGTTTTAGCCTAAAAATTATGGTTTGTAAATTATCTTCTATTTATTTATTTATTAATCATTATTCAAGCGTTTTCAGTTACACATTTGGGACATATAGCTTTAGCTCAAAATAAAAGTGCTCGACTTCCCGCGCTCTGATTGAGTTCGGGCTTTTTATTATAGAAAGATAATGTTAATACAGTACTCTCTCTATATAAGCAACCGGAAGATACCGGCATTTTGTGTTTACTACAATGGGTGTTGTCTTTACGGAGAGTCTTTTTAGTGCAAATTAACTTGGCAAGGCCAAATTTCTTATTTACTATAAAGAGAGTTGCTTATACAAATGGTTCACTATATAGAGAGACCACTGTATAACATATTCAGCAATATTTTAAATTGTGTTTTCTAGGAAATCACTGTAACATCGAGATTAAAGTACGTTTTGAATTTCTCGCCAAAATTGGCATTGCGTTTCAAGCTTATAACTTTGCCATTTTTTGGCTTTTGATTATTTTTATTTGATATACTAGTAGAAAACCTTGAAATAAACCTACATTTTTAAATTTGTAAGCGTAGTTTGTCTGGAAAGTCAAAAAAATGCTTGAAACACAATGCCAAACTTGCTAAATTGGTAGGCAACTCAAATATTTCAAAGTTAAAACTCAAAAGTGCAAGCTAAAATTTTTTATAGGTACTATTGGTGGTACAAAGAATTCATATAAAAATTTTTAGTTGATTCTGAGCGAGGCAGGTTGAATACTTTTCTTGTTAGATTGGTTGATGGGTCTTCGTGACAATATGTTTCTTATTAAACTATTGCGTATAACTAACTATCTGTATACAAAACAAACAAAACACTAAATTTTTTTTCAGATATTAATGACGATGGCAATACCTACTTTACCGTAACAGTGGTCCTTGATGGTAAACAAAATGTACGTGAAATTCCCAGCAGAAGCAGCATTTGCCATCATAATATTTGTCGCTTCAACCCTCTTAATATGTTGCATTGTCTCATACTTAAACCAACTAAAACAGCTCTTCTACTACTTTCTACCAGCCAAAAAGAACCACTACGTAGCCCAGGTATCAGATCCGAGTACTTTACATGCCTACATTGTCAACCGTAACCATGTTTGTAGTGATTTGAGTAAATGTAAACGACATTCGATGCCAGTATGGAAACGATCGACTACTTTTGGGTCGATTTATGATATGAGTATGTTGAGGCGGTTTGATAGCGATGATGATGATGATGATGAAGAATATGATGAAGAGGGATTTGATGTAAAGAATATACGAGTCAGCAAAGACATGTGCTATGTTAGTGTAGTTTGATATGGGTTTTTTTGGTTGGCAGGGCTGGGAGGTAGGACCTTTACACTGCTCATCTTTTTAAAGTTGAAAATGCTTCCCTGTTTTAAAAAAATTTTCAAATTAAAAAATTTTTTTTCTTTTTTTGGCTAAAAATAACCCGCCCAGCAGTGCAAACCAACATGAACATTTTTTCATTTTTATAATTTAAAGACCAAATAAAACATTTTTCCTTATTCTAAACTCATTTATTCTCAGTGTTATAATAATATTATATTACATTTAAAAACTTGTAATGTCATGGCAACTATAAATACATTAACTTTGGTAAAATATACAGTTCAATATACTACAATATAAAATTATTACTACAGCTAGCTAAAAATAGTTAAAACTAACAAGATTAAGGCTGCAAAAACGCAAAACAAGTGATTCGACCACGCGAAGCTTCACAGAATATCTTGGAGCTTACTACAGTATAACTGAACTTGTTTCTCGAACAGATAACATCAATGGTCTGGCCGAAAGCTAGTCGGCCTGCACTGAAGATCAACTGCTTTGATATGGTGGGGCTTGATACTATGTTCTGAAAAAATTGTGAAATTTGACTATTTTTGCAAAAATTTTGGTTAATTTTGAACTTTCAGTAAAAATTTAAATGTAAAAAAAATTGAAATTTAAAATTTTTCAAACAAAAAAAAATTATTTTTTTTTCCAAAATTTGTGCTAAAAACATATTAAAAATTTAAAAAAATATTGTTTTGTCAAAATAAGTTATCCTACCTCATGCATGATCAACCGTAGGGTCTCACTGCTACACTTTGGGTCTCCAGTAGCATCTGGATCGGCTGCCATTGGATCACTGGGTACACCAGACACCTTTGATTTGAATGAATTTTCCGAGTAATCAGGGCTTAGCAACTAAATTTAAAATTTTATATAATATTCGTTTTTCGTTTTTTTTTGTTTTTCGGTCGGTTTTTTCGCCTGATATTCAAACTTTTTATACAATTTTGACCAAAATGTAGCAGAAACTAATGGTAAATGGCAAATTTCAACAGATAAAAGACGTAAATTTAAAAATATATGATTTTTGTTATTTCACAATTGCAATTGTTTCATAAAAGTTTTCTTACATTTTCAGCTTTTAATTTTAAAACCAACCGTGATTCGGCGAAATGTCAAAAAAAGAAATAATTCGTTTTCTATTGGTTCAGAGTGGCGTGTAAGGGTCTACTAGGCCCTTTTTTAAATTTACTTCTTATCGTTTTTTTTTTAAATTTATCCTTTAAAAATTTATATAATAGATCATTTTTTCAATCACTCTAAAGTCTCAATAAAAAGTTAACAAATAGGTATTAAAACATCATTGGGATAAACCTACATCATTTTTGACGTCTTTTTTGTTTCCAGTTGAATTCGAGTCGGCTTCCTCGCCTTCAGGCACCTTGTCTTCGTAAAAGTCTTCTGTTAGGGGCTTAAATCATATATATAAATTATGGTTCTTCTTTAAAAAAATATTTTTTACTATAACATTGTCTGTAACAAAATTTTAAAAGCAAAAACCTTTGAAAAGACCAATCTTACCAATCCAACAGTACTAGACGGTGGTACAACAAGTTTGTCGCCAAATGTTTCTACTGAAGTTATGTCACTTGGTTTTAGATTGTCGACCTAAATTCATATTTTTTCATAATAAAATTCAGTTTTATATAAAATTAGGTATCAAAAATTTTAAAAATTTTAAAAAAATCATAAAAACTTTGAACTGAACCTACATTATCATTGGCATAGCTATTGAAATCGCTTGTTGAATGCGGTGTATAGCCAGGAGTAGTATGATGATTGTGATAAGGATGTGGAGGTGGGTTAGGAGGAGGCGGCGGAGGTGGTGGAGGATGTGTTTCATGTTGATCATGATCGTATTCTGTACTTTTATATTCGTAACCGCTCTAAAAGTATAACTTAAAAAATCAAAATCATTTTGTATAACTAACATAATATATCATGCTATAAATTTTAAATAACATACCGGCTCTGAACTAGGACTAGGATTGTTAACATAGTTATCAGGTGGAGCGGGTGGAGGTGGTTGAGCCGCCGCCACAGGTGTTTGAACCTGAGTTGGTGCTGGCCCTTGAACAAACGGCTGAAGCGCTGGTGTAGTCTGCAGAGTAGGTTGAGTAGAAATTCCATTACTACCAAAAGGCGCACTTTGAAATGGCATTCCAGAACATCCCCCAAGCATTCCAAGTCCTCCGCACCCGCCTGAGTAGCCACATCCACCTCCGAGACCACCGCCAAGTCCGCCAAAGCCTCCGCCACAACCCGATCCACACCCCATTGGTTGAGCAAAAGCTGGCTGGGCTAGGCAGGGTTGTTGAAAGCCTCCGCCAAATCCACCACAGCTTGGGCCACACATTGGAGCACATCCGCAACCACAGCCACATCCTCCGCCGCCACCGCCTCCGCCGAGTGGAGGGAAAAAGAAAGTGGACACGGATTTCAGAGAGAGTAGAAGAGATAATAAGTAGGCTAGAAACTTGCGGTGGTATATGTGGCGCATCTGGAAAGTGAGAAAATAAAATTTTTCACTTTAACTTGAAAATTGTATTCTTATAAGGCGTTTGAAAATTAATTAACCAGCTTGAATAAAAAGTATTCAAATGCTTAGTAAAATGTATTTTTTAAAAAGGTACGATATACAGCTTTGATTGCGAATTGACTACAAATTTCCATATTTTTTTTAAAATTTATAAGCGCGATCATGTTAAAATTAAAAAAAAGTAAAATGTTTTACTGCACTGTTAAAATTGTTTCTAACAGTACTTAAACTCAGCATAGACACTTTAACCGTACTAGAATGCTTGGTTTTGCCAGTACTGATAATCTTGGCTTTGACATTACTAATAAGCTTAGCCTTGACAGTATCATGAAGATAGGCTTCGGCAGTACTATTAAGCTCGGCTTCTACAGTACTATTAAACTTCGCTTTGATAGCACTGCTAAAGTTGGCTTTGATAGTACTGTTAAGCTACTCCATAATTAACTTCTGTACATTGAACCACTTCTATCACTGCACAGTGCATTTAAGACTCTTGTGTAGCAAAGCTCCTTTCCATAACGAACAATTGCAAAACTTTGCAGCAATATACAGAAGTTGCCTTGGATGACAAAAAATATACAGTTTTACCGTAAATCATTTTTTTCAAACCACCCAAAAACAAAACATCCAAACCTTGCCCTATCCCCTAAACGTCTATATGTAAGATCCAAAAATGCATCCAACATATACCCGTTTACTTTATAGCATCAAATCTTCGAAACCAATTATGAAAAGAAAGAATAATTTTATACGCCAATTTCGGCGATTGAAAAGTGAAAACTGAAAAAGTTAAATAATGAAAATCCAGTCAGAGATGGGATCAAAGCGTTTCTCAAGGTAAAGGGCACGGTAATTACTTTCTTTCCGCAAATTGTTATTGTACTTTTGGGGTGGATTAAAAGTTACTAATATATCATGCTGTTTATTGGTATATGATATATTGGTAGCTTAGATTGACTGGTTTAACTAAAGGGTTAAAAGAAGAAAGTTGCTGCAAAAAATTGAAAAAAAATGCTATTAGAGATGAGTAAGGAGGGGCAGAGCTGTGGCTATAAAAATAGAATACAGTAGAACTTCTGTATAACAAAAGGTAAAATAAAGTAAGATACGGGTAAAGCAGCGTGAGGTAAAGTAGGGTAGAGTAGAGTAAGGTAAGGTAGAGCAAAGTAGAGTAGGGTAGGGTAGGGTATGGTAGGGTAGGGTAGGGTAGGGTAGGGTAGGGTAGGGTAGATATTATTTAAAAATGATAAGGTAGGGTAAGGAAGATAAAAAACTTTAAATTAAATAAAAATAAAAATTTAAAAAAAATTTGCAAAATCATCATGCCGATTAAAAAAACTATGGCGATCACGATTTCACGCAACATACAAGAGAAAGTGCAAACGAAAGTGCCCAAAACCCCGCGAGGCGAGAGAGTGCCGGAATCTCAACCAAAACTTCGATGCACTTGACCGACAAAACAAACAATAACATTGCATCGGAATCAAAGAAAATATGTTTCATGAAGTTTTCGCTTCTTTTTTCGGTTTAATGCAGTTTGGAAATTAAAAAAAAAATTGAAAATTTCAAAAATTATACAATGACACACTATGCCAATTTGGCGGAAAATTCAAAACGCGATTTTTCAGTCTTTATTTTCTCAAATGTGGCCGCAAACCGCAAATTAGAGTTTTGAATAAGGTCTTACACTTACATGATCTTTCGATAAAACAATTTTCAAAGAAATTTGAGCGTTGCAGGTCGTGTATCTTTCCTGTTAGTTAATTTCTTTTAAAATAATTGTTTCAAGTTTACTTGTCAAAAAAAGCAATAGCAATACAACAAAAAACTTGATGAATATTAAAAAGGTAAAACAAATTCTCAGTGAGATCCGAATTCAATGACATTTTAGGATGTCTAACATAGATGACTTTGTTTTACTTTTACAAAATACAGAAATAAGATCAGTGCGTAGAGAATAACATAGGTAAAGGAATTTTAAAAGGTAACATAACACCACTATTTATAACAACGTTTTTCAAATTTTTATCAGAGCATGAAGAGTTAGTTTACACCTCTTCCTTCATTATCTTTTGGCGGTGGCTTTTACTATTACACTTACATATGGATATATAAACATATTTAGAAGTAAGGGAACCCACATTATAAAACATATTTAAGCCAAAACATAACCACACTCTCAACACAATTTACAGCTTTTCGGACACAAAGCCTGCCTCTGCTGAAGTGTGTACTTTTCATGAGTACAAAACCCTTTTGATACCCAAATAGCACATTTCGGATGTCGATCTTCACAAATCTTGCTATTATGAACAGCCGCTTCCATGATCACAGAAGCTGGCATCAAAACAGCCGCTGTTCCATTAATATCGTGCGGCGTTCCAATTACCGGTACAATCACATTTGGACCGACTGAGCATTTGAAGCACGTTTTGGCACAGTATTTGATCATGAACTCGGCGTGCAATGGTGAGGCGCATAAGTGCTCGTTTTTCGTACAGTTTTCGGCCGTGTCGATGCATTGTGGCACTGGGGGCTTTTTTAATGGCACTGAAAAAAAAATTTTGAAAAATACCATACTCAAATATTTAAAAAAATCTTTTCTACTTACTTTCATTGATTCCCTGCCCTCCAACAACGCAGAATCCACAAGTTCTTGCGCATTTCTCCCTCATATCATCAATTTTGTCACTCTGAAGACATTGATCTTTGATTTCACGGCAATTCACATCATAATCACGGCATTCTGATCGTGTACAAAGACCACAACTTCCAGCACAAAACTTGGTAAGCACATCAAACCACTTAGAGACATGACACTTGTCTAATTGCTTTGAACAGGAAATAATGTCATCTGAAAGTGTTATAATTTATATTGGATAAGCTGTTAGGTGAAGGCAAAAAATTAGGATAAAGTAAAAGCTAAGGTAGAGTTAATGTAAGACAATATTTGAGTATAAAGCAGAGTAAGTTAGAGTGGCCAACTACAAGTAAAATACAGTGATTCCCGTATAAAGAATCACGACTTGAAATTTGTTCGTTATAAAGAAGTTTTAAATGCAGGCGGGGTTGAAGATTTTAAGGCTGTTTGTTATACAGAATTCTCGTTATAAAGGAGTTTTTTAAACAAGAGTTTTACTGTATTAAACAGTCCTTGAGAATGATTGGTTAAAATCCGTTTTTTTTTAAATTTTTTATTTTGGCTATCAGCTCCAGCCGGCTCCAGAGCTTAAAAGAGTAGACCTTTTGCGTAACGAACTTCTTTATAACAAAAATAACGTATAATTACCTCGTCTATCACTACACAGTGCATTTAAAACTCCTGTATAACAAAACTCCTTTATAGCGAAAAAATTTCAAGTCTTCGAGCGATTCTTTATACGGTAGTTCTGCTGTATGAACAACAAGACTAATAAAAGGGTTTTCTATTTGAAATTAGTACTTTAACTTTTTTTAAACATAATATATAAATTAGGAAACTTCCAAACTTACTGTGGTCATCTTCACAAGCATATTCAATTTTCTCGCAACAAATGGCACATTGTTTTCTACATGAGTCAGCTATGTCTTCCATACCTTCAAAATCAATCAATTTATTTTACTTACATCTTTATTTACATTTCAAATTTTATCTAAATTTTTATTTTTAATAATAAATTAAGTTTTAATTTATAATCAATAAAGCTTTTTCAGAAAATTAAAGTTGGCGTAAACAAAAACTTAAAAATTAAAGTTTTAAATTTAAAAAAAAACTAACTCACCAGCCAAGTTACATTTAGGGTCTCGTTGTCCAGTGATCGGATCAGGTTCATCAAAAAGGTAAGCACAAATCCTATCACTTCTGTCGTTCTCACAAGTGGTTGCACTTGGGTAGAACTCGGTACTAACCTTAGCTTGGCATCTTCTTCTCTTCTCATACTCAGTAGTCGACGCATACTCACTTGTAGTACTTGTAACAACTTTTTTCGTATTTATATGCACTTTTTGCGAAGGTTTTTTAGCCGCTGTAGTTGTAGCTACCACGTCATCTTTGTGGGGCTCGTTAATAAAATGTCTTGTACTGAATTGAGAATTATGTTGAGCATTGTACTGAACATTAGATTGGCCGGTATATTGGCTTTTATATTGCTCATTTGGTGGTGAATATCGTGCTGTTAAGAGCTTGAAAGCTTGAGATTGGATTGTTGAGGTAGAAGGCTTAGAGTTTTTGATTGAATACCGTTTGGCCATCCAAGACGTAGCCTTAACATTGTTGGGTTGAAAGGACATACGAGCTGTCGTAACATAGCTAATGCTTTGACCTGGTGTTGATGTTGGTTTTAGCTTGAAAGAAGAGTATTTTGATCGGTTTCCAGCTGTTTTTTGTTCGGTTGGTGAAGTCACGACTTTCTTATCGTTTATCAAAGCTGAATTTACGGCTGGTACATTAATTACAGTAAGTAAAGTAGTTGAGTTAGTATTACGTTGAATTGTATTCTTACTGCCTTTGTCTTCAGCAGTACTTATGTCAACTTTAGAGCTAGGTATACTGACAGTACTAGCTCTACCAAGTCCGTTTTTATCATTATTAGCACTAGGTGGTACTGTAGTATCAGCCGAAATCACTTTATTATCAGCCAAAGCTACTGTAACCCCCGTACCGTCAAACAAAGCTATAGTAAACACTATCAAACAAAGATATACTGTAGAATATACCATAGATCTTTTATTTTTTAGAATAGTCATGTCTATTTTTAGAAACCAAGAAACGGTTACTACTTCTAAATGACCACACTGAACTTGCTTCGAAGCGCTTTTAATATAATTCGGGACAAAAGTTTGCGCATCTGTGTTGACAAATACTAAAAATGGACCTAAACCATCAAATGGGGTTGTGTTGTAGGCTTGTTGTAGTTAGTAAGCTTGTACACATTTGTATTATATAAATATTGATTTTTTTAAAAGTATTTTTATTAAAGAATTTATTGGTAGAAAGCTTTTTTAGTCTAGGCAAGAAAGAAACCCCACACAAAACTTTTTTTATATTGTACATATATAGTCATCCTTCTTAACTGTTTAAAGGCTTGTGTCCTTGTTAACAATTGTAAAAAATAGCAAAAACTTTCTTTACAGAACAAAAATGGCAAGAACTTTATTTATAACGCAAGATTATATATAGAATTTTTTACAAAACGTAAAATGGCAAGAGCTTTCTAGATAAACTAAGAAATGGCAAAAACTTTCTTTACAAACTTAGAAAAGGCAACATTTTCCTTTACAAACCAAAAAATGACAAGAACTTGCTTTACAAACCAAAAAATGGCAAAAACTTTCTTTACAAGCTAAAAAATAGCAAGAACTTTGTTTACAAGCTAAGGAATAGCAAGAACTTTGTTTACAAGCTAAGGAATAGCAAGAACTTTGTTTACAAGCTAAGGAATAGCAAGAACTTTCTTAAAAAACTAAAAACTAGCAAAAACTTTGATCACAAAATTAAAAATGAAAAGAACTTTCTTTACAAAGTAAAAAATAGCAAGAATTTTGTTTACAAATTACAGATTAGCAAGAACTTTACTTTCCTCTGCCTCCGCTGTCGTACAGTATAATAAAACCCTACAAAATCTATTTTTAAATAATATAATGTTTGAATTTAAAAAATATTTTTTAAAATTGTTGACAATTTCCAAGAGTCTGACGTGAGTAATGATAAAAGCTATAAAAAAAGGTTTCCATAAATCTTAACAGTCGTAATAAAATAATAATTTTTCCGGATTTTGAAACAAAAATGACTTTTTATTATAGCACATGATCATACGTGCAGTTTTTAGAATTGTATTTATTTTTACTTGGCATTAAAAACAATGATGCGTTACCTCTTTGACAAAATACAAAATTTGAAGTTTCCTTTATGTAATATGTAATTATATTGTTTTTGAGAGTAAGACTGTGAAAGAATAGGAGTTAGACCTGTAGAGAGGCCGACATAGGCTTACAAGGAAAGTACCCGACCTGTCCTGCTCTGACTGACTTCAAACTTTTTATATAGAAAAACCATGTAAATTAAGACTTTCAACAAATTACTAAATCGCGTTTCCCAGAAATCTCGAGAAAATCAAGATCAAAAAATTTAGTTTTGAAACTTCTGCCAAATTGGCATTGTGTTTTAAGCTTATAACTTTGTCATTTTTTGGCTTTTATAAATTTTTCTTTTAACTACTAGTAATATAGCTTTAAATAAACTTACATTATTATATTTGTGAGCGTAGCTTGTCTGGAAAGTTGATAAAAAGTGCTTGCAACACAATGCCAAATTTGCCAAATTAACGGGAAATTAAAAAAATTTAAATTTAAAATTTGAAAGCGCAAGCTAAATTTTTTTATGAATGCTATTGGTGGTACAAGGAATTCATATAAAAATTTTAAGCTGGTTATAAGCGGGCAGGTAGGGTAGTTTCTCTGTAAATCTCTCTTATAACGAACAACTTCTGGTTCTCCAAGCGATAAATTATTCCCTACTTTCACTGTATATTCACTATAATCTTAAATTTAAAATTTTAATTTCAATTAAGACGACATTTTATCTGTTTTATGTCTTTTTCTTTTCGAATCTTGCGGCCCGAAACCGTTCGTTTTTGCCCAGCTGCTTGCAGAGATTCTCCTCAAGGTCAGAGACAAAGCGGCGGATATTATTCTTAGCATTTCGAGTGAGAATTTTTGAAATTGTTCTTTGGGCTTTTTGAGTAAATCTTCAGGGTTTATTACATCGCTTTTCATAGTGAAAGAGGTTTTTATACGTTAATATTAGGGTAAAATTGTAGTTTATGGTTGTAAAGCTTTACTTTATGGTTGTGAAACTACACTCTATTGTTTAAGAAAAGTATTGTCGTTAACTTACTATAATTTTCAAGTTTAAAAACGACAAGACTTTTTTATTTTTGTTTTGAAACTATAATATCAATATATTAGGCTGTTCAAATAATTTTGAGCCACCTGACCAAAATGCTTTGAGAAAAGGCTCAGAAATATTTGAACAACTTAATAATAGAGAACCTAATAACGATATAAACTTATAGTAAAACCTAGAAAATTTTTAAAAATAGTATTTTGACGACATTTCGTTATCAATATAGGTATTGATATCAAAGTAAAACCTTGTAAAACTTAAAATATTGTACCTCAACTACTTTTTTTAACCTCTGAATATTGTATCTCAATGACCTTGGTATAGTATATTGTCAATAGGAAGATTAGGAGATGACGTGATGTGGCTTTTTTCGTAATTACTGTTATCTTTGGCAGCCGAATTGACTTTAACTACAAATTAAACTCACAAGAATTCCAAAGAAAGCTGAGTTTAATTTAGTTTATATATGTACTTTGAACTTAATTCCATTTTTATTTGAGTCAAGCTTAATTCTTTTAAAATTTGGTTGCAGTTTTTGCAGCATGTTTACAGTATCGTACTATGAAAACACAAATTTTGCTTTTTTAGCATAGAATTAACTTTCGTAATTCAGAAGAAGAAATATTTTTAACTTTCAACCTATTGTCTTCATACCTCCAAATTATATTGTCATCCAGCCGTCTTGCAGAAAGCGGTTTGTTTTCTCCAAAAAACCGAATTTCGCAGCAAAAAGAATGACCAGTGTGAAGAATCTCTAGGACCGAAAGAATTTCGGGTTGTGTTTGACTCGTTCCCTTCCGTGTTTGGCATGGGATATCGAGGAAAAGCCGGAAATTTTTCCCTCTCCTCCGGTTACTTTTCTTTTTACGGCCAATTAAACTCGGAATCGAAGCGTTTTGGCGCCTAAAACAATATGGTTTATAGGCTTATTGGGAACAATGTTAATTTTTTTTATGTAATTTCTGGTTTTGGGGGAAAGGTGGGTGGAGGAAGTGGGGCAGAGGTTGGGCTAGGACAGAACATTGATAGGCAGGGTAGAGTAGGGCAACACTACTCTTTGGGCAAAAATCGGATAAGGGTAAAACAAATGTAAACTGTGTAGAGAAGGAGTAGGGCAAGCGTTCTTCAAGGGTAAGGCATTGGCAGAGCAAGAGTAAGGCAAGGGTAAAACAGGGGCAAAGCAAAGGTAGAAAAATGATAAGGCCAGAGCAAGACAAGGAGAAGTAAAAGATACAGTAGGGAAAAGGTAAAGGAAGAGTAAGGCAAGGTTAGAACAAAGGCAAAGCAAAGATAGAAAAATGATATTCAGCGTAAAGCAAGGAGAAGTAAAAGATAAGGCAACGGTAGGGAAAGGGTAAAGCAAAAGTAAGGCAAGAGTAGAAACAAGGGCAGGTAAAACATAAGAAGACAAGAGTAGCGAAAGAGTAAGGCAATGTTTGGTAAAAACTAAAGGCATGGATAGAGCAAAAGTAGGGCAAACGTAGGACAAGGGTTGAGTGAGAGCAAGGTAATGGTAGGACAATGGTTAATCAAGGGTAACGCAAGAGTAAGGCAAGATAGAGAAAGGTTAGGACAAGGATAAGACGAGGATAGGGCAAGAGTAATGAAGAGGTTTTGTTAAAGAAAGATTAAAAATAAACTGTGCAATGACAGTCGGGGATTCAACAGTTGTTTGTTATACAGGGGTTTCGTTATAAAGAGGTTCTTCATTCGGAAGTTCCACTCTATTTTTGAAATTTTTTCTACTTTTTGGTAATTACTGATATTGCAAAGTTAATTACTGCATGGACTGTTTTGTTTATTCACCAAGTTTTAAATAATTACAAGTGTGAGAAATGAAAACTAAGAATTGAAGAAGATAACAACTTCCTTTATTTTACTTTACTTTGCTATGACATAGTGCTTTAACTTAACGTTTTGGTTCTTATTTTCTTTTTAAATTTTAATTTCTGTCACATTTAAACCCTTTTTTAGCTAAAATATTAAAAAAGCTAAGATATTTTAAACTTTAAATCTCCATAAAATACGATAATGTTTAATATCGCAAAGATTACTACCTCGCACCGTGATGAACGGTTTTTACAGTGTTTCAACAAAACAAACACAGACTTATTACTATGGAGACTCGGGCGAAAAAGTGGGCGGTAGTAAGAAATTTCGGACCAAATATTCTTTTTTGGAAATGGGCTTTTCAAAATGAACTTTTGTGGCTTTTTAAAACGAACTTTAGAGGGGTTTTTAAGTTTAGATTCCAGAAATCTGAAGAAAGTTTAAAGGGCAATTTATATTGTAATACTTGTGGCAGTTGAATGTGTTTGTCTGCAGGCTGGGTCAAGGGAGAGGTTTTTTTTGGTGTAGGAATTTTGTGGAGCGGGGAGAATTTTCGGCTAGGCTATTTTTAAATTTGCTTTAACTTACCCTACCTTACCTAGTGGTAGGGTATTGGTTTGGCTTGTACAAACGACTTGGATTGCTTGTCTCTTATCAGGTCTAGAGACAGCAGGTTTTATTACAAGGCAGTACATTTTGTTGAAATGCCTCACTCTTCCGCCTCGTCCTTTTACAAAATTTTGAAGCATCAAAAGCTGGACATTGTCTACTGAGTTTAGTGGATCATTTTAGGTTTTAAAAAGGAAAATGTTTTGTAGCGCTTGTCAACTTAAAAAAAATAACAAGTAATTTTAACATCGACAAGAATGTTTTTTACTTGAGGAGTTAGGTAAGAAGAAGATTGCTTTTTTAACCGAGGTGTTGGACGGAGACGAAGCGTGTTATATACATACTATTACGTTCTATTATATAAAAAATTATTGTGATAGTTTTTGCTGACGTATGTTACTTTTTTTATTATAAGCATTTCACTTCAGGATGGACGGTAGTCAATCAGCCAGACTGATTGTCGAACGAACACGGACTGTAAGTCGTTCAGAAGAGCCACAGTTTAAACCAAGCAACTTATCATCAAGTAGTGGCGTTATAAGAAGGAATTCAGCCTACACACACACTTCTAGGTTCAAAGTGAGTTTTCAAAAAATTTTATTTTTAATTTTTTTTATTTTTGTAGTTTTTGGTCTACAAACTGTCACAGTTTTCTTCAATGACATTTTTTTATAAAATGAGCTGCTTGCTATTCCCAGGGTTTTAGTATCATTCTCACGCATTAAATACCAATATATTAGAACTTTCTTTGCATGAATATACCTTATCAAAACTTATTATAAAGTTCGATTTTAGCTTTATATAGGGTGCGGCAAAAGTTCCGTTACACAAATTTATTGTAACAGAACTTTTGGCGCACTCTGTATACAAGCCCATCTTATGTAAAATTGAAAAATCTTCAAAATTTTTAAAAATCTTTTGTATCTCGTGCTGAAAAATGTTAAAATAAGAAAGAAAATTAAAAAAAAAGACAATAAAATTAGCGTTAAAACATCTGACGGATTAATACACGGTCGGAGACTTGTTAAGTTGGTTTTCCACGCCACTGCAAATTTGTTAATTCGTAAGGAGGAGGATATTAATGTACGTGCTGTTCGAGCACGTTCTTGGTTTTTGGAAGACTCTTTTTGGGATTTTAAAATTCCTGTTTTTTAACAATTTTTTAGAAAATTTTTTATTTGCAGTGGAACTCTTCTATAACGAACTTTTCTGTAACGAAATCCTTTATAATAAACTGCTGTATAACAAAAAAGCATCAAATGCCCAAGCAATTAGTTATACAGCATTTCTACTGCAATTTAAGGTTGAACAGTGCCAGATTTATGCAAAAAAACAGTCACGTAAACCTTTTTATCTGACTTATTTTAAAGTTAAATTTAATTACATTGAAAGTAATTATTCAGTTCCTCCGAACGTATTTACAGAGAGTTGTTTTGGCTTACGTAGGGTTAAAAGTCAGCTATTTTTTGGCAAAAAATATCTTTGATTGAAAATTGGACCGCAGGGTTATGAGGGAGATTTTTTGTATTAAAGGGGTGGGTGAATCAATTTTTTTGCTTGTAAGTAAGGACACAGACTATTAGTTATAGTCTATAACTGAAAGAAAGCCCTCGGGGCCGGGCTGAAGCTGATTTGAAAGTGCCAACCGGATCATGCTGGTTTTAGCTGAGAATTTAAAAACTATTTTACCCCTTCCTTATCTTTATTTCTGTTCTAAGCTCTTTAGTCTTTTCGTGTCTTACTATTCAACTCTACTTTACAATTATTAGTCTTACCCTAGTCATTTTTTCGCCCTATGTTAATCGTCGTTATAGTCTCAACTCAGCTAAAGCCTGATCCTATATCAGCTAAACCGTAGAAAAGGCCTACTAGTAGCCAGGCCGGGCCGGATCATGCTAGTCTGAGGGCTGAGTTTAGATAAAGGCCACCGGGGTTCAGCTAAGGTCTTGCAACAAAAGATAAAATAAAAAAATTGGGCCTGACTCTTTTATGCTTCTGACACAAACTTTTTTTCTAATTTTTTGCCTTAAGATCGACAGTAGAGATCAACCCAAATTTTTGTAAAAGTTCAAACAGATCATGTTTTTAAAAACTTTTTAAAGTGCTAAGATGATTGTTGTTTGGTGAAAGGAGGGTGGGAAGATGATGGTTGATCTTCATACGCAAATTTGTTTTTCATAATCGTTCTTCAGAGTTTTATAGCTTTTTTTCAAAGGGCAGAACTATAAAGAACAGTGTTCTTTTGCGACTGTAGTAGTGGTCAGTAACCACTGGTCACTCATGTTTTTACGCCTAGGGGTAGTTTTTAAATTTTTATTGAAGCTTGCTAATTCAATGTAATTTCTTTTTAAATTTGTAATTTGAAAATTATTTTTATAGCGTTTAATGTTGTAGGTAAAAAGTTAGTAAGGTATTAGGTGCTTACGTTTGTAAGTGCAGAAAGCAGAACATTGCTACTTACTAGGAAAATACATTTTCAAATTTAAAAAGCATCACGCAATATTTAATATCCAGGGGCAAAATTTAATTAAAATGGTCTTTTTGCACTTTCAAAAGTATAATACAGTTTTTGGGATTTTTAAACTTCAAAATATAGTTTAAAAGGCTAAAAGAGAGCAAAATTTAAACATTTTATCAATGTTATCAGTGCTAAACGGCTGATTATGGGAAAGACGGTAAAAAGAATAATTGGGGAAGGGGGAGATTTTTTATTTGAGAAGCTTACTTTTGACCCCACCCTACCCTCACTTATCTTTACCTATCCCCTTATACCCTCACCTACCCTCATCTACCCGCACCACCGATCCCTTCTTACCCTAGCTTACTCTAGTCTACCTTACCACCCAATTTTGCCTTCTGTATTACTCTGCCTTATTGTATTTTATTATACTCATCCCACCCTACCCCTTCTACTTCCTCCTTTACAATCTTTCCCCTTCTCCTCCCCCCTTTTTTCCTATACATTAGACTGCCTCTGTTGTCACATTATCACAATGAAACTAAATTGAAATTTGGCAAAAGTTTAATCAAACAGACCGTTCATTCCAGGACAATATCATCACTCTGTCCCATCGTTTTTCAAAAATTGTTTCAAAAAGTTCAAAGGCCGTGACGTCGCGAATATTTACAAAATCTTGACACTTGATTCATATTTTTGGCTAAAGTGCTGACTCTTTAATTTGTCTCTTCATTCGCAGGTGGTTAACAACACTGTACCGAATGAACCTTATGGCGGATAAGGCGAATTCGTTGCTCGTGCCAGGAGAAGAAGGCAGGACGCGCAAGCTGAGTGGTCGATTTTATGTACGAGTGTTCAGAGGTTGTTACCGTAATTAAAATTAAAAATTTTTAAAAAATTTAAATTTTTTAAAAATCAAAATTTTTAAATTTAGGTAACATTTTAGCTTAATAAATTTCAAAAATCAATTGTTAATACTTGTTATCTCTTGTCCTAAATAAGAGACGAAGAAGGGGAAAGTTTAAAGCTGGTTTGTGAACGAGTCCTCCCCCCTTATCTTCCTCTTCTTTACCCTGGAAGGCTTTTAAAAATTCCAAAAATAAAATTTTCTTAAAATTTATATTGAAATATCTTTTAAAAAAAGTTTAATTAGCGTTTTGAAGTCTATAAAAAAAAGTTTTTTTTAGGTAACACCATCCAGTAGTAATATTGTCAACTTGGATACAAGCGGTGACAACCCAAATAATGAAGATACAATTGGTCCACAGATACGAAAAGCATCAGCTCCAGCATTCACTACTGGATGTAATTATACCAACAATAATGATGTAGGCTTTTAACCACAACCCGTTTTTAAGCCATATCTACTATAATATAAAGCCTAGTATTTAAAATAAGATGGTATATAAAATAAGTAAATAAATACGATAACATTTTAAGAAAAATGAATAGTATTACATTATGTAGCATAAAGTATGCATGCATGTTGCCATTTTCAGATCCTACAAAAAGAAAACAGTGCTCCAGTAAACAATAATCTGGATGATGAACAAGCTGAGCATCCACACAAAGGCGTTCAATTTGATGTTGGTCCTGAAGTTCATGATGTAAATACGACAATAGGAAGTGGGAGTGGGGCTGAGAATACAATCACCGCCAATTTGAAAAGTTGGAGGTAAGAGAATAGAATTTTATTTTACCTGTGGTTCCTTTAGGGTGTTACAAAAGTCTTGTCGTCATCTACCATTGTTTTGCATGGTCAGAAGCGGCAAGAATTTTTTGAAAATTTTCAATTAAGCTAGTAAAACAAATGTAATGTCTTACCTTTCTTCTTACTTCAATTTATCTTTTTCTATTCGCGAAATGTCAAAAATCTTAGACGAAGTGTCAAAAACTGTCAGAAAAACTAAAATAATTTTATTTCTCGCTATTTTTCGATATTATTTTAGATGTTTCGATGTATTTTGAAGTATTTCAAGTGTCTAAAATACATTTGGCTCTTAAAATTCGTATTTCATTATCTATTTCAATATAAGATGGCAGAACTGTATGAATCTATCTTTTGTTTCTCTAAATAACATTATGTTTCGTCTTCTCAGATGAACTTTTGCGTTAACCTTTCGGTACCGTAAAGTAAGTTGTCTAACCTAATTTTTAAATATTTTTTAAACGTTTTTTAAGGTTTTAAAAAAATAGTTTTAGATATTTCAAACGTGTTTGAGTATAAATAGGCGATAAGATATTATAGTACCTGTTTTTGACGGGTTTTTTGCTTTGATTCGATTTTTCAGATTGATTTTAGAAACGTCAAGCATAGAAAATGAATGTAGAACATAGAGAAAATACTTTTATTGCTTTTAGATTAAAAATTATATTAGTTTAAGTTATGTTATGGGTTTAAAATTAAAAATAAACCTTGTAACACTACTTTTTTGGGTTTTTTTCTTTTATTGTACCACAAAACCTTGTCTTATCCAGTTGTATTACCCTGGTTTATCTTGTGTAACTTTATAAAATATTAAGAATATACTGATAGAATAGTTTTTTTGATTTTAGGTACATGAAAACCTTGGACCACCCACCTTTGTTGGACTTTTATCGCAATTCCACTGACGAAACCGGCCCTTCCGCTCATCGGCCGTCGATGCTGGAGCTATTGCACGGTGAAAAAGCAGATGAAGTTAAGAATTTTCAGAAACAGAATGAAGATCTGGTTGATCAACATCTTTCGCACGAATGTTTGAGTGATAGTAAGCTATTGGAGGATGATCTAGATGATAAAGATAAGAAGAAGAGCAAAAAGAGCAAAGTTGAAGACAAAGAGTTTACTATACCCTTAATGGAATCAGCGTCGCCAGTGAAGATCAATCCGAAGATCAGTACGCCAAGGAAAAAGTTTGGCTGGATTGAGGGAGTTTTCTTCAGGTAGGTGTGGGGTTATCTACTACAATATGGTGATATTGTTGTAGCCGGTGGAAACTGTTTTATTTGAGATCCTCTCTATGGGTATAAAAGCGAAGATAAAGCTTTTTTCAATTTAAAAATGGAAAACCGTAATTATATTACCTAAAATAATGTTTTTAATGTTAAAAATATTGTTTTTACTGATTAAAGCAATTTTTTTCAGATGTGTACTAAACATTTTTGGAGTAATCCTCTACCTCCGAGTAGCATGGGTCAGTGGTCAAGCTGGTATAGCTTTGGGACAAGCCGTGGTACTTCTAGCGTCAACAGTGACAACGATAACAGCCTTATCAACATGTGCAATATGCACGAATGGTGAAGTTAAAGGAGGAGGAGCATATTTCCTGATCTCCCGGTCATTAGGACCTGAGTTTGGAGGTTCAATTGGACTAATATTCTCTGTAGCCAATGCTGTTGGTGCTGCTATGTATGTGGTTGGGTTTGCGGAGACAGTGCGAGACATGATGAAGGAGCATGGAGTGGTTATCATTGATGGAGAGATGAATGATGTTAGAGTGATTGGATTGGGTAGGGATTTTAATTTTAAGTTTTTAATAGGTTTTAGTTTATGAACTTCAAATTTTTTTTTGAATTTAATTTTTTTTTAAATTTTGATTTAAAAATTTTTTTAATGGATTAAAGTTGAAAATTTCAGTGACATGTGTAATATTGATGGGAATCATCTTCATTGGAACTGATTTCGAAAGCAAGATGCAAATGGGACTATTGGTGGTGCTACTACTGTCAATTTTGAACTATTTTGCTGGTACTGTCTTACAACCTACTGAAGCTCAACAACTTCGAGGAATTACTGGATTTAGTTGTAGGTTTTTGGGTTTTACTTTTTTTTTGTATATAAAATGATTTTTTTTTGCTAAAAATTAGTTGTTGTATACTAAAAACTACTTTAATATTCTATTCCAGTCTATACCTTCAAAGAAAATCTTCTGCCTCAGTTCCGAGATGGCTACAACTTCTTCACAGTCTTCTCTATATATTTCCCTGCAGCTACAGGAATCATGGCTGGAGCAAACATCTCTGGCGACCTTACAGACCCTCAGAAGGCGATACCTTTGGGCACTTTAATTGCCATCGCTTTTACCACGGTAATATACATCTTCTTGATCTTTGTAACAGGCTCAACAGTGCTTCGTGATGCTGATGGAATTCGTTTACCTGCTCTTTTGGAGACACTGAATTCTACTGTTGCTGGTATAAGCTCTGGAGAAGGTGCTTTAGGGTCAGGAGCTTTGAGATCGGATGCTATCGCAGCGTCTTCATCAAGCTACAGTCTCCAGACTCCTTTAACCTACAGTCTTCTAAATCCATCTTCTTACGGCCTACCAAACCCTCAACCATTAGCCTCATACGTGATGCCCAATTGCGTACTAAATAGCACGTGTCCGTACGGATTGATGAACTACTTTCAAGTAATGGAAACCGGCTCTCTATGGGGCCCTTTAATCACCGGAGGCATCTTTGCAGCCTCGTTAAGCTCAGCTCTAGCATCTCTGATCAGTGCGCCGAAGGTATTCCAAGCTGTATGTAAGGATGGGCTTTTCCCCTACATTACCTACTTTGCTCACGGCAGTGGTAAAGATGACGAACCAAGAAGGGCATACTTTTTGGGATTTGTACTGGCTATGCTGATTGTTTTAGTTGGAGATTTGAATGCTATCGCTCCAATCATATCAAACTTCTTCTTATGTTCATATGCCTTGATCAACTATGCGTGTTTCGACAATTCTTTTGCTCATTCCCCGGGTAGGTTTAAGGGTTGTTATCTATAATAATAAGAATTTTAAAGATATTTTTTAAAATTGGCTGGGGAGTTAAGGTTTGAAGTTTGTATTTTAGGTTTAAAATGAACTTTTTATGCTTTATTATGAAATTTTGAAAAATTTTTTTTAATTTTATTTTTTAGGTTTCCGACCAGCCTTTAAGTACTACAACATGTGGGTATCATTGGTTGGTGCCATTATGTGTGTGACCGTTATGTTTATTGTTTCATGGTTAACAGCTTTACTCACCTTTTTCTTCTTTGCTCTATTGTTCATGTATCTATCTCACAGGAAGCCAGGTAAAGCTTAATCTGACATATATATATCGTACTTTCGTTTTTTATCACAGTATTATCTTGTTATTAGCAGTGGTATAACAGTATAAAAAGAAAATAGGTTATAACATTATGTAAAAAACATACTGTTATCTACAATTATATAATTATGAAGTTGATGACTTTGAAGTTTAAATTTAATATTTCCAGATGTAAACTGGGGATCGTCAACTCAAGCCCACTCCTACCGTAATGCTTTACATGGCATGACAAAGCTAGAGAATACAGATGAGCACGTTAAGAATTATCGACCACAAATCATGGTACTAACTGGTAATCCGGCAGCAAGGCCAAGCTTGGTTGACTTTATCAGTAATATCACAAAGGACACGAGTTTGATGATCTGTGGCTATGTTGTTCCTGTAAGTTTTTTTATTCCTTTGCGTGTTTTTTTTACCTTTAGATGCTTTGTGGTATGGCAAGTTATTTAGAGTACAATTTTTCTTATATATAGTACGATAAGGTAAAGTAAAATAGAATGTTTTTGCTTAGTCAGACCAGTATTCAATAACAATAACTTATCTAATGTTACAGTACAACCCATCAGATCAAGTGTTTGCAATGCTTCGCAAATTGAACGAACAGCTACGTTACTGGCTACGAAAACGACATGTCAAATCATTTTACATCTCCATCGCCAATACCAGCTTCAGATCAGGCGTACAATCTCTAATTCAGTCATCTGGTTTAGGACGTTTAAGGCCAAATGTCTTGGCTATGGGTTTTAAACAGGACTGGCAACAGAAGGGAAAGGCTGGGCTTTATGGCATTCAAGAGTATTTTGGCATTATACAGTAAGTTCTTGGCGTTTTATTGGGAATACAGTAATATTTCAATATATTCTTGTGTTTTATGTTTTTATAAAAGATTATCTCCATAAGACAATTTTTGCTACAGTAACTACAAACCCTTACAGGGATGCCTTCGATGCCAATCTAGGTATCATGATCTTGAGAGAAAACTCTGGAGGCTTGGACTTTAGTGAAATGATGAGAGCTCACAATATTGGAGACACAAATCGCCTCAAACTACCCGATCTTTCTACCGTAACCATCAGGCCAAATGTCTCGGATAAAAGTCTGAATGTGACAGCAACGAATGCCTTAGCAACTCAAGTCAATTCGTCTGTAAATAGTGTCAATACCTCAAAGTTGGGTGAACAGAAAACTGATTCAACGAATGTTGTAGCCAACTTGGGATTGATTGAAGAGTCTTCAAATGCTTTTAGCTCGAACAATAGTAGGTGTTTGACATCAAACGTTTTATATAGGAAGATCATGTAGCTATAAGGTCTGAAAATCGAGATCAAAAAATGAAGTTTTGAATTTCCTGCCAAATTGGCATTGTGTTTCAAGCTTATAACTTTGTCATTTTTTGACTTTTAGAAATTTTCTTTGATATACTAGTAGAAAACCTTTAAATTAACCTACACTTTTAAATTTGTAAGCGTAGCTTGCGTGGAAAGTTTGGAAAAGTGCTTGAAACACAATGCCAAATTTGCCAAGTTGGCGGGAATTTCAAATATTTAAATTTTAAAAATCAAAAACGCGAGCTAAAAATTGGATTGTCGGCTAAAAAGGACTTGAACTATTTAAAAATTAGAATATTTTACTTAATTCTATTATACTATACTTTTTAGGCTCATTCCGGGAAAGTCATGTCCAGTTGGACGAGGACTATATCTCATCTCAAGAAGAATATGAAGAAGAAGCTGAAAGTGAAGAAGAAGACAAGGAAAAGAAGTTGAATAATGCAAGTTCGAACGAGTTGAAGGATATGGAAGAAGCTCGAAAAGTCAACTTTGAAACCCTTGGACCTTCAGATGACAGGCGGAAACATGTGAGGAGGAAAACGTAAGTTTGTATATTTTACTGAGACATTCTAATAATTAATGTAGGCTATAAGTATTATAGAACGTAGCTTTTTTTTGACTTTGCTATCATACATATCTTCCGGAATATTTTTAATTTTTTTAAAACTAACTTTTCTATTTATGAATAACCAGTATATTATAGTATAAGGTTGACATTTCTTTATTTTCTTATTGGTTTTAGAAGGAAATCAGCTGATAATGGACATCTCTTTACATTAAGAACGTATGTTATGTGTAGAGGTGTAGTGAACCTTGTTTTTAGTTAGTAAAAGTTGTGGTACTTTTTGTATAGGTGCTATTATGTGTAGTTTATATGTATGTAGTCTTATTGTTTGGAATGTGATGTAGTGTGATAATATTAAACTCTTTTGCATGACTTAATGTATACAATGAAAACCTCTCTAGTATGACCTTCGATAGTACCTCTTTATAATTACAGCTTTTTGACTGTTCTTTGTAATAGAACTCTTTTCAAAACTTACCTGGATAGTGTGACGATGTGCTTATAATGTACTTTGTTCTACTCCCTTGAGTGTCATTTCAAAAAGGCTTGACTGTATTAGGTACTGACCGAGAAAATGTGATGAAATTATAAAAGTGCATATATAAATTTTACAGTTTGGTATTGTAAATGAAAGCTGACAGTGTCAGCTGCAAGACAAATTTGGTTTGACTGTTGAAGTTACCTACAATTTTCTACAATTTAGAGTTTAGTATTATCTGAATGTCTCTAGTGTAATATAAATAAAACATCAAAATTTTTTTAAAAAGTTGAAAATTTTGATTTTTATTTGACATTGTAAAGTGAGCTGACATTAGCGTGCAGCCTAAGGCTATTGACGTTATTCTAGGTATAAAAAATTTATTTTTAATAATTACTTTTTGAGATATGAAATGTTTAACCTTATTAATATTGTGTGGTAGTCTGTTTAATACTTTTATCGTTTTTTATTGTAATAAGTCACAGAAAAACGCTTTTTGTATTCCATCGTATTTTACCTTATATTTTGTTATTTAATTTTAGTTCACGGCGCCTAACATCAGCTCAAAAGGACCTTCTTTTCTCGATAAACAAGTTCCAACGCAAAGTAAAGAAAGGTGTGATAGATGTTTGGTGGTTGTACGATGATGGAGGTCTCTCTCTACTGGTACCATACCTTCTAACTCAGCCTAAATCGTATCTTGAGAATGCGACACTTAGGTTATTCACTATTTCAACGTCGGCTTCTGGAATGCAGTTGGAACATCGTGCTATGGTTTCACTTCTGAGCAAATTTCGAATTCAGTTCTCGGATATTACTGTAATCCCGGATGTTGGAAGAAAACCGAAGAAGGAAACGTAAGTTGAAGTTTTACATCACTTTTGTTATGGCGTCGTACGTTAAAGTTATTGTGCTTTTGATTGCTCTAGCTCATCTTACTTTTTTCTATTTTACCTTCGTTTATACCACTCCATCTTATCAAAATCTGCTTTACTCTACTTGGTTTACACAACCGTACCTTATCCTAACATGCCCTATCTTACTCTTCTTTGTCCTACTCTACTTTACCTACCTTACTTTGCCTTGCTTCACTTTACTCTACTCTATCTTATCGTACCTTATTTTGCCTTACAATACTCTACCCTATTATATCTTATCGCACTCTACCCTATCATACCTTAACCTACATTACCTTTTATGACCTTACTGTGCTCTATCTCGATCTACTTTACTTTGTTTTACTTGACATTACTCTATCTTGGTTTTGGTTATTATAATGTCACCCTTGCTTTGCCCTACAACAAAACATCCTATAAACAAGCTTTCTTACAGTATTCAAGAATTTAACAACCGAATTGAACCCTTCTGTGGTGATAAACCTCCTCAAATAACAGAACACGAGCTGGTTAGTCAGAGAGATCGCACCATGCGACAGCTTCGTATATCAGAGCTGCTCCGCGAGCATTCTCAAGAAGCCGACTTGGTTATATTATCTATGCCTATCCCAAGAAAAGGCATCACTTCTGGCTGTTTGTATCTGACTTGGCTTGACATGATGACTAAAGACCTACCCCCGACTTTGCTGGTTCGTGGCAATCAACAATCGGTTCTGACCTTTTATTCTTAATCAGACGTATCTTTGAGCGAAATGACATATCAAGTATTTTATATGTGTAGCTTTTACATTATACTGTACTGAGTACAGTGTTTTTAAAAGTGTTATAGGGATTGAAGCTTTTATCTAAAAATATACGGTCTATCTTTTTTCAAAATATCTCATATTTTTATTGTACAAAAGTATTTTGGTATATATCTTTATAGTATAGAGGACTTATATGAATATCTTATTGTTACATGCAATGACTTAGAGTTTAAAGTATATCTGTTCATATTACACCTAAATTTGACTGCCTAATTGAATAAAGACACAATATAAACATGTAAGGTTAGGCTTGTTGTTTCTTTGACGCTTAGTTACAGTACTGTTGCGCTTGGCCTTGACATTATTGTTAAACTTGCCATTTACAGTGCTATTAGGTTGTTCAAATAATTCTGTGCTTTCTAATTTCGAAAATACGCTTTGAGATGGGGCACAGAATTATTTGATCAATCTAATATATTATTTTAACATTAATTTAAAGACTTACAAGGGCAAGTATACTCAACTTTTTCATAAAAAATGAGGGGGTTGTTCATTCAAAATTGGGAAATTTTAATTTTTTGGTATAATAATATTGGTGAAAGCTAAACTCAAAGCTTGTATGAATTTGTTACATGCATAAAAACCTGTCAAAATTTGTTATACGAAACGGAAGGTCATCGAAACAAAAAAATCATCGCTGTGGGAGAGATTTCACGAATTTGTATACAACAACAATATACAAAGTAATCGAAAAATGTGACAAAACACTAAAGTTTTGGTCATTGGACGTTCAAGTACGGTCAGTATTTCTTAGAAGCACGATCTTATTATAAAATGGATTATTTTACCGTTAGTATGGTAACCTATGCTACAGTAGGATAAGTAACGGAGAGTGGAGTAGACTAGAGTTGAGTATAATATGATAGTGTAAAGTAGGGTAGGATAGAGTAGGGTATAGTATGGTAGGGTACGGTAGGGTAGAGCATGGTATGGTAGGATCTGATAAAGCGGTTCAGAGTCATACAGATCATAACAAACTGTATTATTTTAATATTCACTATCATTTTCTTCACACGATGTGTAACTCTTTCCAAATTACATGTTAAAAGACGTTGTGTAGAAGGTCGAGACAACCATGAAAATAAGCGTATTATCATCAACATAATACCCGCCGCAATAACTTTCCAGCAGCGTTTTTTAGGTATTGTCAAGCGAAAAGAGTATGCCAAATTGAGAGAGTGTGCAAAGAAAAAGAGAAACAACTTGGGCAGGCTGGCTAACAGGTTAACAAAGCTCGGCGGGTATAAATAGTGACAGAACGGTGAAGGTGGTGTCGGTAGTTATGGCCCACTCTGACGATGAGAGTGAGACCGTTTGCAACAAGTTTACGGTAGGTTTTTGTAAGTAGAGTTGGGTAATGCTTAAATAGCGGTGTAGGGAAATGGTTATATAATGGGGTAGGGTAAGGGTTACGTCGTAGGTTTGGCAGGGTAGGATACGGTAAGGATCACACAATGATATAGAGTAATGGCCAGATACTAGCGTGGGCTAAGGTTTACGTAATGGGTCAGGTTAAGGGTTTCATTGTGGGGTAGGGTAGGAGTTCTATAGTGGGTAAGGTCAGGGCTTTATAGTGGGGTATGGTAACGTTTACGTAATGAGGTAGGGTATGGGTTGTGTTAGGGTACTTCAAGCAGTGTTTGGTTGGGCGGGTTTTTAAGCAGGGCAGGGGGTATATTAAAATAAAAATTTAAGAAGGAGGGGCCTTTAATTAGGGCAGGTTTGAGCAATTATTTGTTTTTGGCTGTGGTTATTACTATTTTTAAAAAGTTTAGGGCACGGTAGAGTACAGTAAATTTTTACAAGCTAAAAAAAATTTTATTTGTAAAAAAATTTTGAAAAATTAAATGTGTAAGTTTAGGTCACATCCATGATACCAGAAGATGCAGACGACAGTGAAAATCACACGATTCATATAGATGTGGCTGATGAGACACGAGAAGCTCAGGATGTAAGTTATTAATAATATGATTTCTATTTTGGTTTTAAAAGTATCTTATCTGTTCTTATCTTTTTACCCCTATAGGGGCCTACCCTTCCATTGCGTCACCTCCAAAAAATTTTTAAATTTTTAAAAATTTTTTTATTTTAGCTTCCACTCTCCCCATCCCTATCATCCTACCTCAAGAATACTGAGCCCCTCTCATCAATCCCATCCTACGGTCATGACATGACTCCAGATACTGTAAACATTAGAAATAATCGAAGATTTACCAACGTTTGGGATAACAACATTCTTATCAATGCTAATCAAAACTCATTGGATCGCCCGCCGGTGGTCGATAATTATCGGCATTCGGTCGATATTGGCAGCACTCGACCAACCTTGATGCAGCTAATGCACGGTGATACTATGGATGCGTTGGAGGAGTTTGAGGTAAAGATTTGGATATTGTAGTAGACTTGGGATACTGTAAATTTGAAAAGGTTTGTATTAGGGAGATATTAGTGGTCCTAAAGATGTTATTATTGGTCTGTGATATTGTTATAGGCTTTAATGTATAAAGTTAAGTTATTGTAAGTCTTTAAAAGGATCAAAATACTACAGTATACTGTTTAGAAAGCCCAACATCAAGTAGAATCCGAAATGGCGGAAAACAGGTCGAAAGTCTCTCGAACGGAAAACTTTGTCAGTTCGGTACTAAAAGGACCACAAGGAAGAAAGTACACGGCTTCAACTGGTACTCCTTCGGTAACTCTACGTAAGTATACTTTTTTATTTTGTATATACTCTACCGTATCTCACAGTATATTACCATAGTTTACACTAGTTTACTCGACTCTGTCTTACTTTGTCATACATTACTCTTACCTATCTTACCTTGTTTTTTACTACGCTAGGCTACTTTATTTTACCCTACGCTACCGTACCCTACTGTAACCTACTCTTCCCTAACTTACCTTACTCTACGCTGCTCTATCTTACCCTACCTTACCCTACTTTACTCTACCTTACCCTACTTTCGTATCCTGCCTTGTCCTGCTTTACTTTGTCATACTCTACTTTATTTTACTCTACCGCTGTCTTACTCTACAGTACTTTATTCTACCTTACTATTCTTACAAGATATTTAAAAGCTTATTTCAGCCGCAGGCCCAAAGTCCCGGACCGGTCCGCAAAAGTTTGGCTGGATCGTCGGTGTCCTAGTCAGATGTATTCAAAGTATTTTCGGTGTCATTCTCTACATTCGTGTGGCATGGGTGGCGGGACAGGCTGGAATCGTAATGGGTAATGTGATCGTTCTATTGGCTTCAGTTGTAACAACCATCACTGCTCTCTCGACTTGTGCCATCTGTACGAATGGCGATGTGAAAGGGGGCGGGGCGTATTTCTTGATATCAAGATCGCTCGGCCCCGAATTCGGCGGATCAATTGGACTGATTTTCTCGCTAGCTAATGCTGTTGGAGCGGCTATGTACATTGTGGGATTTGCTGAGACGATGAGAGACCTACTGAAGGAGTACGGTATTATGCTGATTGATGGAGGGCTGAACGATGTCCGACTGATGGGATTGTGTAAGTGGGGTCTAAAGTGTTGGACTTTATATTTTATAGTATCGTCATCAGTCTTGGGCGGGTATTTAAGCCTAAGGAGAAAGGGATGAAATATCTTTCCCTACCTTATCTTGTCCTTCTCTGTTTATTTGAGCTTTCCTGTACCTTTAATGGGTTTTGTTTCAGTAGCAGCAGTCATTTTGATAACGATCGTCTTCATTGGCACAGGATTTGAAAGCAAAATGCAAGTGGTACTCTTAATAGTACAGTTCACAGCGATTGCCGACTACTTTATTGGTACCTTCTTGCCGCCATCGGAAGATCAAAGGCTTCGTGGACTGACTGGCTACAATGGTAAAGTTTTTTGCATACTGTAGTGTTGGTATATAGTATTACTTTTTGTATACATACTGTGTCAGGGGGTGCAGAATTAAGTGAACGGCCTTTAAATGAAACGACAAGAAAGTTACAGTAGGGTGTTCACTCAAAATGACACGAAGTTATATGTTCATATTAGAGCTTCCAAAAAGTTTTGTCGTTTTTGAACGTGTAAAGTGATTTAAATTGACGTCAAGGCTATTTTGACGTTTTATAGGGATTAAACTGATAGTAAAACTGCTTGGTGTATTTTATAATAGTACTTTTGGTTTTAGTAAACACAATTAAGGACAACTTTTGGCCGGTATTTCGAGAAGGCTACGGATTCTTCCAAGTGTTTTCCATCTACTTCCCAGCTGCTACTGGCATCATGGCCGGAGCAAACATATCCGGAGATCTGGCCGATCCACAGGTAATATCTTTTAACTTTGTTTTTTAAAAATGAAAAAAGTTTGTATATTATGGTACTGACATTAAAGTTTTGATACGTAATGGTCTGTATTATAACCTTTTTTGTTCTTTATCATTAACTTATGAGTACTACTAAGCCAGTATGGTACTATTATCGTAGTTTAAAAGCTAGTACTCCAATATCAACTTCTAGAAAGCCATTCCCCGAGGCACCCTCTGGTCCATCTTCAGTACAACCATCGTCTACATGCTTCTCGTATTTGCCACAGGAGCTACAGTTGTCCGCGATGCTGATGGTGTTCATGTTCCAGTCTTGCTGACAGCCGTAGCCAATCAAACTCTAGCTCAAGAGAATGGACTATTTGCACCAAAACGACCAATGGCCGCGTACTTCGAACCCCAATGTGCTCAGAACAGCACGTGCCCGTACGGGTTGATGAATTACTTTCAAATCATCGAAATGGGCAGTTTGTGGGGACCATTGATCACGGCCGGCATCTTAACATCATCGCTGAGCTCGGCTTTGGCTAGTTTGGTCGGGGCGCCAAAGGTTTTTCAGGTAGGGATATTTGTAACATCAAGAGCAATGAAAATTTTAATTTTTGAAATTTTGAAAAAATTAAAAAAATTGAAAATTGTTTTGAAAATGTAACTTTAGGCTGTATGCAACGACAAACTGTTCCCATACATAAAATATTTTGCCAAAACGTTCGGAAAGGACGAGGAACCTCGACGTGCTTATGCCTTGACCTTTATCATCTGTTGCTTTATCATTGGCATTGGTAAGTATTATATTTGGGTAAAATACGGAAGACTTCCATACTCTAAAACTTAAAACCATATTTTTTTGTCTTATTTGACCTAATCTTTCAGGTGACCTAAACCTGATAGCCCCAATCATATCCAACTTCTTCCTATGTTCATATGCCTTGGTCAACTACGCTTGCTTCGACTGCTCTATGGCCAAAACGCCAGGCTTTAGGCCCGCATTTAAGTACTACAACAAATGGGTCAGCTTGGCTGGTGCCATTCTTTGTGTATCAGTTATGTTTGTCATGAACTGGTTCACCGCCTTGTTGACCTTCTTCTTCTTCGGATTACTGTTCCTTTATATGCATCATCGGAAGCCCGGTGAGTTTTTTTATTTTGGAGATTGGTACTGAATAGTACGTACTTTTTTGGTTTGTATAATTATGTACTCTTTGGTACTGTGTAGTACGTACTGTTTGGTAGTGATTAGTACGTATCGTATCATAATAGCTAGTACTTGTTTCTTTGTACTGAATGGTACATACTATATTGTACTATTAAGTACATACTTTGTAGTACTAAATAGTACGTACTATATAGTACTAAGCATTTTATAAAATATTTGTTCAGAAGTTAACTGGGGATCTACCCTCCAAGCCCACAACTACCGTAATGCCCTTCAAAGCGTCACCAAATTGGAACGTACTGATGAGCACATCAAGAACTACCGTCCTCAAATCCTCCTTCTCACTGGAAACCCGGCGTCACGCCCATCATTGATCGACTTCTTCAGCAACATTACCAAAGACACTTGTCTCCTCACTTGTGGCTATATCGTACCGGTCGAAAAGAGTGAAATGGTGACATTATTAAACAAGAAATTCGCGAATGAAATCAGAAGTTGGCTAAAGAAACGCCACATCAAAGGCTTCTACACGGCTACAGCGAACAAGAGTTTGAAGGCGGGTGCGGCCAATATGATGCAAACGGTTGGGCTTGGCAAACTAAGGCCAAACATTTTGGCTATGGGCTTCAAACAGGATTGGATGGAGAATGCAGACAAGTTGAAGGAGATGAATGAGTACTACAATATTATACAGTAAGTTTTATATTGACTTAGGAGAAGGAAGTTCTTTGAATGGGCGGTTTTGGTTTAAAGAAGTAAAAAGTTAGGGCAGGGTGCGATAGTGTACAGTAAGGTAGGGAGGTAGGGTACTTTAGAGTAAGGTACGATAAAGTAAAGTAGCTTTTTATGTCATCTTGGATGCATTTTCAAAAATGTTTTAGAGAAGCCTTTGAAAACCAGATGGGACTACTCCTTCTACGTTCCGATGAACTTGGATTTGATTTCGAGGCGATGTTGAGTCAATTGGGAGCAGCAAAATCGAAAGATATCAAGAGAATGAATACCATGTCTGAAGATGGCTACCAAACGATGGGAAGTAACCGACAATCGTCGATGTATGGCGAACAGGAAACATGCCCAGACTATGACAAGTTCGATCTGTCTATGAATGTGAACGCTCTTCAGAAGAGGCCGTAAGATAACTTTTTTGGTTTTACATGGGTTTTGATGGTAAAATACGGTTTTTAATGCCTTTTATTTGTTAAAAAAACTCTTAAAATCATGAAAAAAATTTTTTTTGATTTTAAATTTATGCAAATTTTTTCAGAGCTTCCCGAATGACCACAAAACAACGTCAGATGGCCTTCTCCTTGACCAGATTCCGTGAAAAAGTCAAAAAGGCAGTGATTGATGTCTGGTGGCTCTACGACGATGGTGGTCTAGCTCTACTCATACCATACCTGTTGACCCAACCCAAGTCGTATTTGGAGAACGCCAAGCTGAGAGTCTTCTCCATCTCCACCTCTAACGACATCACTCAAGAACAGAAAAGCATGGCCGCTTTGTTGGCCAAGTTCCGAATCAATGTGGCTGATCTGATCATTATCAACGATCACGAGAGGGCTCCTTCTCAGGATACGTAAGTAGTTTAAAGTTGGTTTAGGTTTTACGGGTAGAAAAGGCTGTTTTACTGGCTTAGCTAGTAATTTAAATTTTTAGTGTTCGCAACTTCCTACACTCGATTCGACCATTTTATGGCGATGGTGAAGGTATGATAACCGACAGTGAATTGGAATTGCAAAAGGAACGAACAATCAGGCAATTGAGAGTGGCCGAACTGCTTCGTGAACACTCTTCAGAAGCTGACTTGGTTGTTGTGTGAGTTTAAATTTAAAATTTTGGCGTTATCAAAAAGTCAAAATTTAAGAAAATGAAAATTTTTAAAAAATGAAAAAAAAATTATTTTTGAAAATTAAAAAAAAAAATTTTTTAAATTTTAAAATTCGAACAATTCTAGTTCCATGCCCCTACCACGAAAAGCCATTAAAAGTGGTGCTTTATATTTGGCCTGGCTTGAACTTATGACCCAAGATATGCCACCAACCCTATTCGTTCGTGGTAATCAACAATCCGTCCTTACCTTCTACTCTTAACAACAAAATAATCAATATCAAAACTTTTTAAATTTCTAAAAATAAACAAAACTTTTTGTAGCGCAGATATTAAATTATAATATTTAATATAATATACGGTCAGAGCCCTAAAATTAAAAAAAAATTTGAAAGTGTTACCTAAAATTTACAAAAAAAAACAATTTTTGTATTTTAGGATTTAAAAATGCTTAAAAAATAATTTTGTTACCTAAAAGCATCAGAAAGCTGATTTTTGTTATCTAAAATTAGCAAAAATTTGATTCTGTTTCCTAAATTTAAGAAAAAACTGATTTTGTTACCTAAAATTATCATAAAAAATTATTTTTCAATACCTAAATTTATCAAAAAAATATTTTTTATTACCTAAAATAATCAAAAAATTAATTTTGTTACCTAAAATTGCCAAAAACTTATAAAACTAATTTTTGTTATCTAAAAGCATTAAAAAATTATTTTTGATACCTAGAATCTATCACAAATGCGGTTTTGCTACCTAAAATTTTAATTTTTTTGCCACTTTGTTTACAGTACCAACTTTCTGGTTGATGTTGTTCAGTACTAAAAATTGACCTTATGATTAAAAAAGTACTATACCGCTACCACGTGGCTAAACCCAACTGCGTATTGACCTCATTATTAATCATTGATCGCTGCTTTAATTTCTGTTGTTGCTACAGTAGCCCGCGGTCTTAATTTAGTAAATTTTGGTATTTTAGTAACGTTGGAGGGATGATGTGTCCACTACTCTTGCTAATTACACATTTCGCAAAGAATATTGCTTTTTGAACGCATTAGCATTAATTCATCTCAACACTCGAACGTGACGTCGAAAGGCGATTGTGATGTGGACTAAAGACCTTCGCTATGTTTGAGGTTTAGGGTGATGTATCTAAAGTAACATGCACTCCTTGTTGATGAGAGATGTGTTGTCACAGGTGACTGAATTAAGGCATTGTACGTAGAATGTTGTGTTTTGTTATCTGATTTAGGAACGTTAAACTGTTTATGTATCATAGTAGCGTAGGGTATGGGTAGGTTAGGGTTTTCAGGGCAGGATAAGGTTGTGGGGAGTATATGGTAGTGGAGTGCAAGGCATGGCAGTGTACGGCAGGACAGACAGCGCATTGAAAGGCAAGCAAAAGGTAGAGCTAGGGTCAGTGCTTAATTAGGCAAGAAGGACTGAAGGTAAAGTAACGTATGCTACAACAAAAGTAAATAAACCTACATAATCTTCAACATATCTTTATTTACTATGTTAAAACTGACCAAATCCCTACTTTGAGTGTTTATCCTTTCCCTCTCTATACTTCGTATCTCAGCTTATGGCATCTATTTCGTATGTTTATAACAGCAATATTTTTACTGAGTAAAGACCACGAATTATTTGAAAATGTTTGAAGGTAAACAAATTTAAAGAAATTTGAAGAAACTGTTTGCTTCATTTTTGCATCTTCATCATCGTCCCCAGGGACCGGGGTTGATTAAAACGGCTAGATAAATTACTGTGAGCTTAGTTTGAACTGGAGAGTGCAAGTAATATAGATCTTGTTCATGGCTAGTTGCGTTTTAGATTTTGGGCAGGGGGAGACGGAAGGGCTTTGGGTGGGCAGTTTTGGTATAAAGGGGTAGAAAAGGGGGGGGGGGCAAGTTCTTTGTCTTTCCTAGGCATAAAAGTCGGGTTGGCCCGGCCCGGCTCTTTCCTCATTTCTAGTTTTTCCGGCCTAATCTGAATGATTCTAGATGAAAAAATTTTGGACTGGAAAAATCTCAGTTTGGTTCGGTACGGACCGGAAATTTGCGAAAAAATTATCGGCGGACTGGACCGGTCCTTCAAATTTCTTGGACTGGGCCGGACATAAAAAAAATGGTAGGCGGGTTAGTCCGGCAAAACACTGGATAATGTAGGGAGGGGTATGGTAGAGTAGGGTAGGCTAGGGAAAAGCTGGATATGGTAAGAAAGGATAGGTAGAGAAAGGTATATTACGGTAAGATAGGATAGGGTAGGGTAGGGTAGGATAGGGTAGGGTAGGGTAGGTATAGCGGTAGGGTAGGGTAGGGTAGGGTAGAGTAGGGTAGGTTAGGGTAGGGTAGGGTAGGGTAGGGTAGGGTAGGGTAGGGTAGGGTAGGGTAGGGTAGGGTAGGGTAGGGTAGGGTAGGGTAGGGTAGGGTAGGGTAGGTGTAGCGGTAGGGTAGGGTAGGGTAGGGTAGGGTAGGTGTAGCGGTAGGGTAGGGTAGGGTAGGGTATTGTAGGGTAAAGTAGGATAGGGTAGGATAAGTTGCGGTACAATAACGTATGTAAGGTAGGGGGAAAGTTAAAGTTTTTAGGCCGTGGTAAGAAGTGTACAGTAAATAATCTCAAACATCAGCGCACTGATGATACTGCTGTCGTCTTTTTCCGGAAACACATAATTTCAATAGTACTACAACAAAAACATGTATTTCAAAAGTTTATGTCAATTTACTACTGAATTATGGTTATTGCCTACATCCTTAGTAGACGCAGTAGCTGAGATGTTTGTACTTATTCATCACTTTTTATGTGTTTAGCTCCGATGCTATTCATGGCTAGTTCTTCAAAACGTTCGTGACAATGTTTAATGTCTTTACATGGTGGTATTTACATCGTATGTGACGTTCGCTCTTTGTTAATATTAATTTTACAACCATCAGCTTGGGCTTGTGTAATATCTTTAGTGTCAAGTTTGTGTCATGTTTAATACGGTATTAGGTGTGCATTACACTGCTAGTTACTGTCGTTGTGTACGATGAAAGTATGTAACTAGTAGTGTAATGTAAAAGCATGTTGACTTTGGTTTTTGTAAAGTAATTGAAAGTTTAAAAACTTTTAAAAATTAGATTTTAAGATTAATTTCAAACAATTTAATATTTACTAATTGCGTGGAGCATGGTATGTTTGAAAAAAGCTTAATTTAGATACCGATCTTTGGCTTAAATCGACTGTAAGATTTTCTTGAATACTTCTACAGTAGTGTTGGAGTACGGTATGGCTAAAGCTAATGAAGCCTAGGGTAAGGTAGGCCTGAGTAGAGAAAGTTGAGGGTAGGGATCAGGCAAGGGTAGGCTAGGATAGAGCCACCGCAGAACAAGCCTAGGGTAAGAGAAAGGCAAGGGTAGGGGAAGAGGTGGGCTATAGTAAAGCACGAGAATGAAGAGCAGTGGTAGGGCAAAAGAAAGGCGAGGGTAGACCAAGACTAGGATAGGGCAATCGCAGGACATGCATAGGGCATGGGTAAGGGAAGGCTAGAGCAAAGATAGGACAACTGTAGGGCAAGAGTAGAAGAAGTTCAGAGTAAGAGTAGAACAAGGGTTGGGCAAAAGTAAGGCAACTTAAAGCAAAGTATGGCAAGGACAGGGCAAAAGTAGAGGATGGGTAGAGCAAGGATACAGTAAGGAAAGCTAAAAGCTAAATTACGTATACTGTAGTGCGTTAAAAACCAAAAGAATCATAAATTCATGGCTTACGTGATTTACCTTTACTGAAGCTAACATTTTAAAATAGCTTGTTCAAGAGTTTTTAATTTAGATTAGTAAGTATCACATTACAAATGGACTTTTAAATTAGGTACTGGGATTTATTACCTGACCGTAACATTTCCAGGTACTAATCCTGTTCGTCATAGCATATATTATCTTTTAGGCAAAGTAAGAGTACAACAAGGTGAAAAAAGTTTTTTATAAAAGCACTGTCACCTACTGTTACTGTACATCAAAATATGCACGTAGGCTACTGTTATTTATGTCAAAACATGTAAATAATTACTTTCAAACACCAGAATGCAATAATATTTTATGTGCATCCATTCACTTGAAGTCAATTATATTGTCTGTAATCCTCGTTACGACAAACACTTGATTAGATGATTAATTCAGTAATTATGCGAAATCTATATTACTATTTATATTTAGTGCCTTACGTAAATGTGAAATTACTGTATATACATTTTTTAATATTTAACTATGAGTGTTGTTGTAGGGTAAAATACGTTATTGTAGGCACAGGCCAGCATAGGGTAAGGTGAGGCACGGTAGAGTAGGGTAGGGTGTAGTAAAGCACGATAGGATAGGGTAGAGTAAAGTAGGTTGGATTAGATTAGGGTAGGGTTAAGTAAGCTAGAGTAGGTTACGGAAAGGTAAAAGTAGTGTACGGCTAGGGCAACGATAAGGTAGGGTTAGATAAGGGTAGGCCAAAGGTCGGGTAATGTAAATGCGGTAGGGTAAAACAGGGGTAGAACAAAGTTAGCACAAGGGTAAAGCAAGGGTAGGGCAATGATAAGGCAAAGGTAGGGAAGGCAAGCGCAATTGCAAAGACAAGGCAAGGAATGGTAGGGCAAGAGTAGGGTAAAGGAAGCGGTCATAGCACGAGTAAGGTTGCTTAAGATCAAAATTGGGTAGGATAGGGTCAAAATGCCATTATTTATATTATGTTACTACTACAAAGTACCAATACGTTATATGAATTAGTTATAACATCATATTGTTCAACTTTACACTATAAATACGACGAATTACAGTGTAGCATGCGAAATTTTAATAATTCAAAGTGTTTTACACTTAAGATTGTAAATGTTTTAAAAGACCTCTTGGTCTTGTTTATGTTAATATGGTATTTAAATAGCATTTTTTAAAAAGTGCTTTAATTGCCAAAGTTTAAATGCCTTTAATGGGCCTTACAACGAGATTTTAATGTATTTTTCTTTACAGTTTGGACAAACTTTAAAAATATCTCAAATATACTTATAGCTTTGTCATGTAAACCCTGGTTATTAGTATTCTTGAGCTCTTGCTCATGATGCCATTGGATCTTAGGTATTATGGAAGTGAGGCACGCGCTGTTTTCGGTATAAAAAGCTTATTTTCTAATAACTTCTTGGTATTACATCGTCTTAAAATGACACATAAAGTATAGTAAAGATTTTTTTAAAGGAAGTTTGTAAAATTTACAATTTGCTTATTCATTTATGCATAATATATATGACTGTAGTCATTAAAAAGTAAAATATACCGAGTTTTTAAAAATTTTTTATATTAAAGAAGGATACGTTAGTGTACCTTGAGCAGTCTGATATTGTACTTTACTGTACACATTCTTTGTTATGTGTAGACCATGCGTGTTGTGTTTGTAAGTACAGTAGACTATTTGTATGTGTGTCATTGTTTTTATGTAGTATCAGCGTAAACACACGCTAATTTTTGTGTTTATTAGTTCATGTTGATAAGACATGTATATGTTTACTATAAAGAATGTGGTAAATGTACGATTACTGAGCTTCTAAAATAATGGCAATAGTACAGCAAGGTATGATGATTATGATCAGGAGTACAAGATTGGGGTACAATAAGGCTTGTAGGTTGGATACGGTAAGGTAGAGTAAGACGTGTAGGTTATATACAATAAGGTACAGTAAGGCATGTAGGCCAGCTATCGTAAGATACAACTGTAAGACTATAGGTTTAATACGGTAAAGTATGTGGGTTTTGGTACTGCAATCCAATGTAAACAAAACGTATTTTTATACTGTTTTCTAAATATAGCATTGTAAGTACTGTGTAGTGTTACCAGTCTATGTTTGCACTAGCTTTAATCAAACACAAAGTCCACAAAATTAAACTCAAAATGTTCTCAAACACTTTTTTTGTTATAGTAGGTAGACTTTTAAAGTGCGAAATGATTAGTTAAAGCCTGAATAGCTTAGACACTGATATAGGCAAGTATGTGTAAATAAATTTAAGGATTATCACTGTACGTTAAATGAACTCTAAAATTGTTGAGATGATACTGATAATGTCATGATAAATGCAGATATACCACACAACGGGTAAAACGGTACTAAATGTTTATGATATACTAACATTGCTCTACGCTTGAAATACCACTGCTCTACCCTTGCCCTACTCTGTTTTTCCCTTACATTATCCTTGTTGTATCCCAGTCGTCCAATACCACGTTATTTATTGTTTTCTCCTCAAGGTTATTTACAATGAATTCACAAAGTAACATGCCAAAATAACACTGTAATGTGGCATAACATACCTGGACAATATATGCTTGGTATCACTAATTAGTTATTTTGCACACAACAACTTTGTCTCGATTTCAGTTTTCAAAGTAAATCTGGCTGATATCTATCCGATTAGGTTCTCCTTCTTAGCTGTGTCTTATCTATGGCCAATTTGAGGGTCTGAAAAGGTGAATATGTTGGATGGGTATTTAAGAGATATGTTAGAGTAGGGTATTTGGGAGCCGGAATTTGGAGTCTGTGACATAGGTTTTTGTTGATATGTTGTATGGATGTCATTGTGAAACGTGCATTTTTCAATGTTTTTTAGTTTATCTTATGGCAAATAGTATTAGGGTAGGAGAGTACATTGGCAAAATAGGTATGACTAACATAGGGCTAAGACTCAGACTAAATCTGAGGCTAATGCTAGAGATAGGACTAGGCTATGACCAGAACTATGGCTAAGGCTACGGCTAAGGATACGGTTACAGCTACGGCTACGGCTAAGGCTAAGGCTAAAGCTAAAACTACGGCTAAGGCTAGGGTTAGGGCTAAGGCTAAGTCTACGGCTAAGGCTACAGCCAATAAAGCTACGGCTTATACTAGGACTAAAGCTACGGCTAAAGCTAAGGCTAGGTCTGACTAGGGTTATGATTTATGGGCCAGGGCTATTGCTGGAGCTATTGGCTATGGCCATGGCTTTGTTTAGGGCTGGAGCCAGGAACCAAGGCCAGGTTAAGGGCCAATGCGAGAGTCAGGATCAAGACCAGGTCTAGGACTAAAACTAAAGCCAGAATCAGGACTTGGCTCGGCTTTAGGATATAGTAAAATATAAATTTTGTTTTGATAAACTTCCACTTATCTTGCTTGAAAAAACCCCACGACATTTTTAATCTTACCTTTCAACACTGAAAAGGCTAAAGTAACATTAGCTATATCTTCAATTTCCGGTACCAAATTACTTTTCAAAGATCCGTTGTAATTGTAAATATAGAACTATTGATAGAAACTTGTCACATATTGTGTAAAAAGTAATTAAGGTTGTGGGATTAAACGGTTTTACTTCCGCTTAATGCTATGTTTGTGTAGTAAATACATTGTTTTTGCAATGATATAATATATTCGGATTGTCACGTTTGAAAAAGTCTTTGGCATAGTATTATATAAGCCTTTTTGTTATATTAGTATAAGCCTTGTTGTAGTATCATTCATATAAGATGCTATAATGTATTGGGTATTATGTCATTGTATTCAAGGTGCTGTACTACACTCTATTTAAAATACTGTGACACATAGCAGCAAAAATACTAGAACACTCTACGACAAGTGTTGTGGCAAGTTACTTGACAGTATCGTATCTACACCATCAACATATTTTTGTATTTGCCTCAATTACATGGCTCAGCCAGTAATTAGCTTTTATAATCGTTCTCTAAATTTCAGTTTTTGCTACAGAAAACACTGTAATTTTGGTAAATATGTACGTGGATGGTGTTGATTGACGACTTAAATTGGGAAAACGTCTAGTTCTTATTTTTTCTTTTTAAAATTTTTAGAGATACGTTGCAATATTAGGCTTAAATTTTTATTTATTTATAAAAAATTTCAAATTTTTTAAATTTTAAAAAATTTTTTATTGTCGTCGGCACGACGAATCGCTGCCTTCCCGAGATACTTGGGAAGGCAGCGATGAGTCGCCGTCGGCTCCTTCCCACTCAAGGTTGGGGAAACGGTTGTGGCCATTTCTTCTGTTTGGTCATCCGTCAGAAAGACGGTTTGTTATTTTTATTTCTTATTTTTTGTGTATTTTAATTGTATTTATTTATAATTTATACGCGTTTTTGTATTATTGTTTGTATTGTTTATTTGGTTTATTAACCCAAGTTTGAGGTTTCACAATAAACTGGTACATGAAGAGTACATTATTACGTGTTTTAGGCCATAAGATTAAGGTTTAGGCTCACGTTTAGACAAAGGCTGAAGCTAATCGTATGACTAAGGCTTAAGTCTGAAACTTAGGCTAAACTTAAAACTAAGGCCGGCATAAGGCCAAACCTTTAAGTTTTCTAATAAAAAATTCAAAAAGTTGATTTTATTAATTACAGGATTAAACCTATAAAAAATCTTAAAGATATTGTAAAACTTACTTTAAGTTATTGGTTTAATATCAGTTGGATAGTTAATAGAGCGTGGGCTATTAATTAGGCTTGTTTTAATACACAAATTGCAAAAAATTGATTAATTTTTAAAAATATCTAGACAGGCGGTAAATTTTAATTTATTGTTTCATGTTTACTTCGACCAAAATTTAATTGTTCATCAGAAAGTATATGTCTACTTTGGGATTAACTTTCAGAAATGTTGCACATGTACGAACTTGTGTTGTCATATGTTTGAGGGGTGGATTTATAATAAGTGGGCAGAGATAAGGTAGGGGTAGATTAAGGTTAGGATATGAGTAAGGAAAAGGTATGTCAGGAGGTACTATTAGGAGAAAATTAGGAAAAAAGTAGGGCGAGGGTGTAGCAAAAGTAGAAAAGGGGTAGGGCAATGGTAAAACAAGGGTAAAGCGAGGGAAGGGCAAGAGTAGAGAAAGAGCAGGACATACCTTTAACCACTTAGCAGGGCATAGGTGGTTAAAGGCTAAGGCAAGGTTTGGCAACGGTAGCGCAAGGGTAGAGAAAAGTAGAACAGTAGTAAAGTAAGAACGTTAAAACTATGGTGGGGCAAGGTAGGACAAGGATAGGAAAAGTTAGGGCAAAAGTAGGGAAAGGGTAGGGCATGGGTAGAGAAAAGAGAGAGGGTTTGGAGGGGTGTGCTAAAAAAGGATTTTTTTGTAATACACAAAGCAGGAAAATTTGTTTGCGGTTACTATATCCTTTTTATACGAACTTGCTGGTCGTATTTGAAAATGCTTGCAGAAAAAACCATATTTTTTTTTAAATTTTATTATCGATGAACTCAAATTAGTCTATACAAGTCTAATTTAATTATAGTTTAACACACAATTACTACTGTCTAATTCAGTGTTCTATATTTGAAAATTCTATGCAATAGCATTAGATACGATATGTATAGTACAAGCTTTGGCACTAGATATGATACTATAGTACAAGTTGTGGAACTAAATACGGTGAGTATAGTACAAACTTTGATGGTAAATACGATTTACTACTGGTCTCATGTTCAAGTTCTATCAATAGCCTTTACTAATGCAAAAACGTATCTATATCAACGATATTGCACTTATGATACTAAAACTGCACTTTAATAAAACCAAAAATTTTGTAAATAATTCATACGTCTTACCTTGTCAACAGGTGATTGTTTTGGCTTTGGTTCGAATGTTGAAAGAACGGTTAGTTAGGGATTACTTTTTGGCTATGGCACGTTTCTTTTAGAGGTAAGGGAGGTTTAAGTGCAGACGCTTCAGGTGCAATTATGTTTTTGAAATAGTATGTATAAATTTTTTGTTAAATAAATTATGGTTCTGTTTTTTAGTTTTTATTTTAAACTTTTTTAGCGTATTCATGGTTAATGGGGGGAGAGCTGGGCTAGGAAGAGTTGTGTTAAGGCTAAGGTCAAGGCTAAGATTAAGAATGCGGTTGTGGTTGAGGCTAAAACTGTGGCTAAAGATGGCACTATTACTAAGGCCAAAGTTAAGATTAGGGCTAGGTCGAGTCCTACGGTTAGTTCCAATGCCATGGGTAAGGCTTGGGATTTAGGTTAATATTGGGTTTATGCGTGGACAAAGACGAGGGCTATAGCAAGGCTAGGATTACAGGTAGGACCAGAACTAGGGCTGAGGTCTAGGTTAGGATTGAAACGCAAAACTAACCCTACGACTAAGGCTAGGACTATGGCTTGAACTAGGGCAAGGACTAAGGCTAGTACGGACAGTTTTTAAAATTTAAATTTTTTTTTGATGAAGGAAGTTATGACGCAATGAATTGTATAAATTTTTTAAAGCTTTTGTGGCCCAACACGAACGTTGTTTTGTTTGACGTTTTTAAATACAACTATAGGTTTTAATGGCACTTCACTGTCAATCTCAGATAATAGGATGTTCAATATTACAGGGTTGTTTTTAACTTTTTACAGTTGGTACTTACTACATAGTAATAAACATGACAATGATGTAGAAAAACCTTAATTTTGTTTGTGTACAATTTAGACGTGCATATAGCGTACTTCCTCTAAAAAGTTACTATGTTTTGAAAAAGTGTATATATCAATTTTTGAAAGCATTGTTTTTTGATTTCCAATCTTTTTCAATTGTTTTTGGCAACATATTTTAACTTCGAGATAGAGGAATATTAAGACTAATGCTAAAGTCAAGGTAAAGGCTGAAGGTAAAGGTAGGGTTTGGGATCAGGATCAAAGGTCAAGGCTAAAGTTAAGGCTAAGGCTAGGTCAAACGCTAACGCTAAGGCTATGGCTATGGCTAAGGCTAAGACTAAGACTAAGACCAAACTCAGACTAAGTCTAAGACTAAGACCAAGGCTAAGACTAAAGCTAATGCTAAGGCTAATACTAAGGCTAATACTAAGGCTAAGGTTTAAGTTAAAGCTAAATCTAAGGCTAATGTTAAGACTAATCCAAGACTAAGGTTACGGCTATGGATAAACGTAAGCCTTTGATACTAAGGTTGAAGCTGAGACTGGCTAAAGCTACGGCTCAGAGTCAGGCTAAGGCTGTGTTGAAAAAAGGCTTGTCGCATTTAAATTTCAGTACCTTTGTTTAATCATTTATAATTTTGCTTTGCCTTTCAAAGTTGAAGAACCACTCAATTACAGTTTTGTCTTTAACATATGTATTTGTGTCTACCTTCTTGAATATAATGATATGTTTTTTGTCTTTGGGACAACAACTGATATATGACATTTGAAGCTTTAAAAAATGTTAAAATTTTATTTTTTTGTATTTTTTAGGTATCAAACGTGCTTTTTCTTTTGTTGTCTGTTCTTTTATGGGGATGACTTGGCTTTTGGGCTATTTTTGTGAAACGGTCCGGGTTGAAAATTACGTCAATTTTTTTATTCTGGTGCACTTTATTTGACGTGGTTAAAGTAATATTTATAATTTTTTTATTTTAAAAAATATGAATTAGACATTTTCAGTCACTTCTTATCGTTGTTGTCTCATATTCCCAGCTAAGTATTTGATGACAATACTTCCGTATACACCTCCATGTTTGCTCTTTCCTCTATTGCTAAACTAATTTCTGGTTCAAAGGAGTCTAATTTATTCGGCTGTTTACCGTGCATCGTACCATAATATATCTGGTAATCATGATATGTTGTGGGTGAGTGGGATTAGCGGAAATCCGCGGTCTGCAAAACCCTCAAGTCTTATTTACATTTGTCGGTGCAAAAGTGTGTTTTTTGACAGGGGATTTTCAACACCTACTAAATTTTGAGATAATTTTAAATTTTTGGAAATTCTAAATTTGAAAAAAATTTTTTTTTGGGTTTTTAATTTTTGAGTACTGGACACTTGTTTCTTAATTTCTGCTACTCTACTTTACCGTACCTTATCCTACCCTATCTTACCCTACCCTACTCTACCCTACTCTACTCTATTCTAACCTACACTATCCTACCCTACCCTACCCTACCCTATCCTACCCTACTCTGCCTTACAGTACCATATTGTAAGCTGCCCTACTCTACGTTACGCTGTCTCACATTGCCCTACTCTACCTCACTCTACCTTTTATTGCTTTGTCTATGCTTTATCTTTGTTGTATTCATGATCTACCTATGCCTTTCTCTTGCCTTATCCTTGTGCTATCATTAGTCTATCTTTGCTATGCTTTATCCAGGCTATTTATGGCTTCTCCTTTAGCCTTACTCTTGTTCTACTTTTACTTTATTGTTTTTTATCCTTCGCCCTTCTCTTGCTTTAACCTTTCTTACTCTTGCCCTGTCCTACCTTTTTCTTCTTCTTTTGCACTTCTCTTTGTTTTGCTCTGGCTACATAAGTCATAATAAATTTTTAAGTTAAATAATTAGCATTAATATTAAGCCACTTCCCACAAGTTTAATTATTTATTTTGTGGCTTGAGAAAATATTTTAATTAAAATAAAATGTACTTTAAGTTTTTATTAAAAAAACGGGCTTGGTAAATAATTAATTGTATTGTTTATCTACAATCTTTTTTGTAATTTGTTACTAGTAACTTATTTTCAAACTATACAAAAGGTAAGTAGCATTAACAAGGTGCAGTTTCGTGGCTATGTAGAGCTAATAGTGGGGCATTTAGTGTAGTAGAAGTCAGATAAATGGCGTTTATATTGAAATTTAGGTAATATTTTTAGAAAATTTAATGTTTTTTACTATCACAGAGTTTTTGTGGTTTAAAGGGTCTATTATAAAGTGTCAAAAAAACGTTTTGTCGTCAATTTGCTTTAGTTTATATTATCAAAAAACGCAAGACTTTTTTAGGGCTTTTTTATAATATTAGGTTGTATATAAAGTAATGAGCTACTCAATTTCATAATAGAAAAAAAAATTGTGTTTTTTTGAAAATTTGTTACGAGCTATAGCTCATTACTTTTTATACAACCAAAGATAATATAAAATATCGGACCTTAGTATAATATAACTCTCATATATGACTAGCTATGCTGTCCTAACCTTTAGTATGATGTTATCTTTTAAACGAACGTGAACATGTTCGAACGTACTTGAAAATGCAAGTTGGTGCAGGAGAATTAATGTCTTTCTGGCCTCCGGAAGGCGTCATGTTTCCTCTCTTGTTTCAGTGATAATTGAGCCGAATGCACTTGAATAATTACCATCATGGTTATATAGTTAAAGTGCGCGTTGAAACATGTTGTGGGGAGGGGTATTGTATTTTTTATACATTGTGGGAGATTTTTTTGAATTTTTTATATCGTAGTAGATTCTTAATATAAGAAAATTAAGATGGGTGATACCCCGCCCTAGCCTTAGATCTACTTTTAACTTTAGCCTTAGCTTAGAGCCCTAGCTCTAACTTTAACCCTAGCCGAGAGCCCTAGCCCAGATCCCTAGTCCAGAGCCTTAGCCCAGAGCCCTAGCCCAGAACCTTAGCCCAGAGCCCTAGCCCAGAGCCCTAGCCTAGAGCTCTAGATCAAAGCCCTAGCCCAGAGCCTTAGCTCAGAGCCCTAGCCCAGACCCCAGCCCAGAGCCCTAGGCCAGAGCCCTAGCTTAGAGCCCTAGCCTTAACCTTAGTCTTAGCTCTAGGCCTAGTTCTCAGCCCAAGCCCTAGCTTTAGCGCTATTTTTATTCTTAGCCCTAGTTCAGGTCTTGGTTCTATCCCTAGATTTAGTCCTAACTAAAGCCATGGCTCTTAACCCACCCCTGCCACTCACTGCCATCCTAACTTAAACTAAGCTGCATTCGCCATTTTAAGCCAAAAACTTTTTAAAATTACATTTTTTCGATTGTAAAAGAATGTATTAAACGTATATTGTAATCCTCTTTTTATAAAAAAAAACATTTTTCCATAAAAAACACAGTTAATTCTCTGCTCCGCCCCTTTTTACACTTTTACCTTACATGTCATTGTAGTCGAGAAAGGTATCATTGGTAGCTTTTGTGCACTTTTCGATCGAGTTATTTTTACACTGGCTTTTGTATTTTACTTTTTGTAGTTTCTGAGTTTTGTTATAGACGGGCCGTGTATAATTGTACTACATATTAAGTTGGCCCAAAAGTAGTAGTATAATAAGAGGTTGAAAAAGTTTTGTCGTACTTTAACTTGTATATCAAAGTAAATTGATGACAAGACTTTTTTTGAGATTATTTTTTGTAGGAATGTTTAACTATTTCAATAGTACGTGCTATAAAAAGCAAAAAAAAAGTTTTGTCGTTTTTCAACATTGGTTTTCAGTTTAAAAAACGACAAGACTTTTTTTGCCACTTAATACTATATCTATATAGGTATATTAGCCTCATCTAGGTCTACTAGCTTTATATAGGTCTCATAGCCCTAATTATGTTGTGTGTTATTCCTAGCTCTGGCCTTGGCCCTAGCCCATGTCTACTAGCTCTATATAGACCTTCTAGTCCTATATAGCTCTACTATCCCAACCATAATACTCTGTCAATACATATAAGCTAGCTCAGTAACCCATACGTCTGCTAGTCAATCCTATGTACATTATAGACAAATACATCATGTGCATCAAACCACATATGTCATTGTTTCTTTTGTCAATCTTTTCGAAATTGATGCCAACCATTAACCTCGCCTTGCTTGATTTATAGGTTGAATTGAAATGTCATTATTGCAGAATTCAGTATTTTATTCAATTTCATTCAGGTTCATATATTAGGGTTAAGTGGTCACATCTGTTTGTCATTTAGAGGCTGGGTTCGGATCATTGTTCAGTTCGAAATTTGAAATTTCTTTCGAAATTTTACTTTTTTTTGTTAATTTTGAACTTTTTCAGATATTTTTTTACTTTTTCTGTTTTTTTGATTGGAAAGAAAGTTTTTGCGGTTTTTAAAATTCGATTTAAAGGACAGGGTAGGGTAATTCAGTTTAGAGTAAAATAGAGAAGAGTTGGGTAGGCTAGGGCAGGGTAATCGAGTTCGAGTAGGGCAGGGCAGACGGGTAAAGTAGGGCAGGACCGGTACTGCAGATTCGAGTAGGGTAGGGTGATCTAGCTCCGAGTAGGTTAGTCGGGGCAGAGAGCTGAAGCAGGGCAGAGTAGTTCAGGTTTGAGTAGGGTAAGGTATTTCAGTTTATGTTGAGTAGAGAAGAGTAGAGTAGGGTACGGCATGGTGAGGTAGGGAATGGAAGGGTTGGGTAAGGTAGGTTAGGGTAGGGTGGATAGGGTAGGGCATGGTAGGATTAGGTAGGGTAGATGTTTTTCATTTTTTATCCGTTCTATTTTAAGGCGTGACATTTCTTGAAATTTTAAAAAATTTAAAAATATTTTAGATGACAGACTGGACCGAAATCTACCGGTTGAACGAGACCGTCGATGACGCCAACCCAACTTGTGGCTACACAGAAGACTGTGGCTTCGGCCGCTTCATGTTCGTCTCGTTCGCATCGTCAATGGCCGTTCTCGGGGCTGGTGCTAACATACTATTGGCTTACATTTTTATTTTTAAAACCAAAAAGAATACCCCGCCAACGTTATACCCCACCGTGCTGGCGCTACTAGATGCCGCACTTTGTATATTATACTTTCTGTGCTTTGGCATTGATGTAGCCATGTTATTCTTGAGGATAGAGGTGAGTTTTTTTTGGCGGGGTAAATTTTTTAAATTTTTTTGGGGGGAGCGCGGGATAAAAATACAAAAAAATGTTGAAAAAAGAGTAAGAAAACCTATTCAAACAAATTTTCTGGGCGGTTAAAAAAATTTTGGGCGTGGTAAAAAATATTTTTGAAAAATCAACGCGAAAAAGATTTGGGCGTGGTAGATTTTTTCAAAAATAATTGTTTTGCAATTTCAGGCCTTATTCCAACTATATCATGCGTATATTGTGCCTGTATTCTTAACAGTAAAGTTCGTTCAACTTGTCATACCGTACATGTTGATCTTCGTTACCATGGAGAGATACGCTTGGATATCAAAGCATTGGTAAGTTCTGGTTTACTTTTACCTAAAGTCTTACTGAAGGCTGAAAAATAGCTAATAAACGACGAAAAATGGGTAACAAAAGCTAAAAAAATAGGTAATAAAAGGCACAAAATAGCCAAAAAAAAACCTAAAACAAGGTATAATTGATGACTTTTTTCAGTTTTTCCGAATGGCTCTTCTCCAGAGTAGGACGAGTAGTCAACTTGGTTCTATGCTTAACACTAGGAGCTATAATTCGCCTACCTACTGGACTAGCACTAACTGTAACGAGCTACCCAAACTGTACAGACTCATTCAGAACATTGGCGGTGGATTGGAGAGATTGGGCCAAGGTAAGGCTATATTATGATTAAAATACTAATATTTCAAAAAATAATTTCAAAAATTTTAAATTTCGAAAAATTTTAAAAATTAAAATTTTTAAATTAAAAAATTTTTTGAAAAAATCAAAATTTTGTTATCAGCTAGCTTATCATTTAGTAAAAAACATGTTTTAGGAAAGTGAATGGTTCAGCTTCTACGACCTTCACCTGATCGGAATCCTACAGATCTTGATACCTTTTCTAATATTGGTAGTACTCAACTTTGTCATCATTCGAAGACTTTTAACTTCTGATAAAGAGGTTCTTAAGGTAGGTTTTTTGGCTTTTTATTTACATTTTTAGCTTTTAATTTAAAAAAACTTAAAAAAGTCGATTTTTTCAAATTTTTTTATAAATTTAAAATTCTTTACTTTCAGAACGTTCCCCCAATCTACGTAGACGACACATCAGCCGAAAAACGCCGTCCTTCATTTAAAATGCTCAAGCTAACCTTAAAACGCCCCACCATGTCCCCATCAGTCCGCCACGCCGTCTACACAACAGTCATCATCGTAACCTCATACCTAATCTGCTCCGGACTCCATCTGATTCTCACAGTAATGGAAAAAACAGATTCTGATCTTCTAAAAAGCTTGGACGATCCAACCAAAGCTTCCATCTTCTACACCATCTTCGGCGACATGATCTCCTTCCTCTACATGTTCACTAGCGCCATTCGTATCCTCATCTACTGCAAATGTAACCCAGCTGTAAGGCAAAACGTCATGAACACCCTGGATTTGTGCCCCAGGGGTTTTATCAAAGCTCCCAGCATGGACTACATTTCTACCACTCCTGTCACACCGGTCGACTTATAATTTTTCAAAAACATTGAACTACGGGTATTATTATGGGCTTTCTGTTAAAATATATTGTTTCTAGTTATGTTTTTGTACATTTTAGCTTAAAATGAAAGCAAAGACTATATTTTATGAAAGAAGCTCTTGATTGAATAAAATTTTTACAAATCGATAATTACTTGAAATATAAGCTATAACATAACATATTCTTATAAACCTTGCATCGTAAGACTAAAATCTAGCTATACTATCGTTTGCTATCATTATATCTTTGAAATTTACACCAAAAATGGGAAAACAATATTATACACCCTAATCTAACTAGCTTTGCGCATCCGCCATTTCTTCGCCGACCTTCTGCCGAAACTAACCAAAGAAATGAAAATGTATTACTACTTACTACTGAGTATCTTTTACAGAAAAAACTAGATTTCTATTATTTTTACTTTTTGAGTAACAGGCTTTTAAAAATACTTTACCTTCAATTTTCCGTAAGAGCTCAGATGAACACTTTGATCGGCCATAACATGGTCATATAAAAACAATCAGACATCAGAAACCGGCATAAAACGTAAAATGGTCTTCTCTAACAATACTGTTATAACATGAGCTATGAGTATTCCTGGTTTTTATGTAAAACATTGTTTATTTTTTCAGTCCCACCACGAAAACGAAAGCCCGCGCGCCCTTTCTTTTGAACGCGTGATTTTAATTTTCTTCGATTTTCCTCTATTTTTTGCTTTCCAAGAGCAACAAGCTGTATTTATAAGGTTCAGCTGTCATATTTAGTGTTCTAAACATAGTGGTAAGTTGTTTAAAACTGTAAAAATTAAGGATAACATATATATACGTCTTGTTGCTTGGTAAATTGATGTTTTAAGGGGTTTAAATTCTTGTTTTTAGACTTTTCTTTATTTATTTACATTGTTTTTCGTATATATTGCTTGTGGATTATGACTTTCCTTTTTAGAAAGATGGATGCAAGAAAGCAAAGACTATTGTCCATGACATACAACGAGATTCGAGCTCTGTGCCGAACAAATGGCATCAAAGCAGTTGGAACTGTAAGTTAGTTTAATATTTTGTTGGTTTTTAGGTCTTTATATGGAAATTAAGATGATACAATGAAAATAGCGGACGTGTGTTATATATTATTATGAGTAATATTTTTTTATGATTTTGCTTTAAACTTTGAAGCATCTTCTAATGCGTGCTTTGTTTTAGAAGGCAAAGATGGTAGAGACTTTGTCAGAAACGATGGTTGAAAAGGACGAGACAGTAGCTGCAGAACAAGACGAGAATATGGATCAAGGACATGACGAAACTCCAGTTCAACAGCAAGATGTTAACATGGAAGAGGAAGCGATGGATACTGAAGAACAAAAGGAGAACCGGAACAACACTTTTACCATGGAGGAAGGAGAAGTGTCGGTTGTTCCGAAGGAAGTTCTGAAGGCTCATGCTGACATTTCGCTGGACGAGAGTTATGTTACTGGAAATTTGTTTACTCCAGATGAAAGTCCAGCTGTAGCTCCTGTTCTTGAGGTTAAAAAGAAGACGGAGAAGGTTGTGGAAGCGTCAGTTAGGCCTACAAGAGCTACAAGGAATAACGCTGGATCAAAGCTTTTGAAACCTGGATTTTCCAAGGCTAAAGGTTGGTTTTACGGTTATTTTATGTTGTTTAGGATTATATTGATGTTGTTTTAGTTGTTTCACCGCTTTATAACCTTTTTTATTTTATGTTTATCTCTTATATTTGTGTTACCTTTAAAATATAGCTGTGTTAGATGTTTGTTCTTGCTTTTAAAGTCTATGTTGCAGCTACTGATCGTTTTGCTTCGATTCACAAGAAAAACTTTGATAAAATGGAGTCAATTGAAGAAGCACAGAAGAAACTTCAAAATCAGCGTGCCAAATACGTCAAAGCCGCTTCTGAAGCTACTGTTGTAAGTTTTTGTAGTTTTCTCTTTCAAAGAAGTGTCGTAATTTTGGCTTTTGAGCGTTTTAAACTTAAGTTTGTAAAAATTACCATTTTAATTGTATACCTATATTTATATAAATCGCAATTCCTGAGTGTTTTAACCTCAATTTCATATTTTTCAGCGTCTAGCCACTCCAAAACGTGACAGATCAGCCCCAAAGTTCTCAACTCCAAAAACTCCGACCAGTGCCAACTTTAAGTTTGGTAAAACTAGGCCAGAGAACATTGAACAAGTTCAAAAGCCATTTGACAAAGAAAAAGCTGTAGCATCAAGGCTAACACGAGCAGCGAAGGAAGTACGACAACCTGAAACTGATGTAAAGAAGTTGACAATGCAAAAGAAGAGGACCAACATCAAATTGACAGTACCAGACTGTTCAGAACGGATTGAGCAGTTAGCTACTCCGAAGTCGGCTGGACGTAAGTTGATATATTGTTATATATTGGAAGGAGGTTTCGGTTTTTGTAGTGTATGTTAGTGGGGTATCTTTTTTTGATTTTTTTCTGCGGTTGGGATTTAAATTTTTTTTTGGTATGTAATCATATACTAGTACAATACCAAAGTAATATTAAATATAGAATCCCACCTTACTCTTCCCTTTCCAGCGGTATCAATCTCGAAGGAACGCCGAAGCTATACTCCGAAAACCACACCGTACAAGTACGTGGACACAACCAAGATGAGCGACGCAGAACTCCGCGCCTTCGATGCCAGACAGAAGCGACTTGAAGCTCGCTCAAGGAGACTCAACTTCCAATAACTAATATTGTTATACTAACCACTTATTTTGACTTCAAAATATATTGATTCATTTATTGTTTGGGCATTCTTTTGGTTTATATTGTTTTAGTTCAGTTTTATTGCTTTTGTTGGCATTTTGATTGATTTTTTTTGTATTTTAGGCCTATTTTTCAATATGTTTTGCGTTTTTTTGGATGTTATGGTACTTTTTTAGCTGATTTTTGAGAGCTTTGGATTGATTTTTTAGTTTTTCTATACCTACTGAGCTCTAAACTCTATGTTTTAGCCCACAAAATACGTAAAACATAAAAAAAAACTAATTTATTTTACATAAAACACCTCAGCAATACCATTACTAACATTATAATGCATAGATAGAGTTAATTTAATGATTAATTTTTGGAACTACAATATAATCATAGAAGAAGTAGATAGAAAAGATGAGATTACCCGTTTATGAGGAAGAATATGGTCGATTTCAAACGAATTTCAAAACGTTAAAGCAAGAAAAACTTGACGTTTATAGCCTTTAATGTTATTAAAATGGCAAAAAGTCTTGGTCGATTTACATGTATTTGCACGTTCAAAAACGACAAGACTTTGTTGATGCTCTAATAATGATTTAGGTCTAGTTTTTTACTTTTTTAGACTTAAAAAGGCTCCACAATGACTTTGGTAACACATTTTGAATTTAGCTAGAAAAGGTCTAAAAATATTATAATTGACCAAAATATTATCTATTGTCTACTACAATATTCTTTTAAACCGTTTTAAAACCCAAAACTTTCAAGTAACCGGAGGCATATCATAGGTATCCTTGCTCTGGTCTTTGCTGTGTCCACGCGAAAAGAAGAACTTCATTCGTTTTGCCTGCGAATTGGCTGGCGGAGAGACCGGCGGAGGTGAGGATGGCGTCGGCGGACGATTCGAATCAGATGCCGTGGATTCGCGAGTCAGGATTCGGTTTCGGAAGGCTGAGCGTTGTTTTCTGAAGGGAATAGGGGGTTATATAAAGGCATATTATATTGAAGGTAGGGGTACTTTAGTAAGGGTTTTAGAACGGGGGGGGGGATGGATACCCCCTGTTCAGTTTTTCATTTTTTTTCAAACCAGTCATTTCAAGATTAAAAAGTTAAGAGTAGTGCATGATAATACCTTCAAAACCTACTCGTCGATGCCCTCCGCGTTCCTAAAAGTCTTCTTGATCTTCATATAGTTAGGTGCAGTAGAAATGTCACTTGTCAGGTCCAAATACCCATAACTCTCCGAAGCCCTCTCCAATACAATTGCCACTTTCTCAGTCAGCAGCTTGAACTCTGGCCTTTGATCCGGATTCTGAAGCCAACAAAACTTCATGATATTGAACATTTCCTCAGGACACAACTCAGGCTTATAGGGTCTGCCACCAGCTGTCAGATGTTCACCAATCTCTTTTGTAGGTATTGTGGCAAAGGGGGTTTCACCAAATGAGTACATTTCGAATAGTAGAATGCCAAAGGACCACACATCGCTTTTGGTACTGAATTCGTGCTTCAGAAGCGCTTCGATGGCTAGCCATTTGATTGGCAATCGGCCAGAGTTCGAGGTGTAGATGGAGTTGGAGTAGCCATTGTTGCTCAACTCGATACATAGGCCAAAGTCACTGATCTGGAAAGGGGAGCATTATTAGAACAAGTTTTGTGAGCTTTTTCACATTTCTGAGGTTACTTGTTGTCAAGTAACTGCCATTTCTAACCGTACGTATAAAAAAATCAAAAAAAAATGGGCCTTACTTTAGCACAGTTATGTCGATCAATAAGTATATTCCTGGCCGCCAGATCCCTGTGTATCACGTTCTGTGACGCCAAATACCTCATACCATCACAGACATGCCATGCGAACAACATAAACTCCTTGGTCAAATTCAGTTTAGCCTCCAGCGACGTCGATTCCTGTACATCTACATTAACAGCCTTGACATAATGAAGTAGATCTCGGTTTGGACAGTATTCAAGTACCAAACATATGGTATGTCCCACGGTGATACAGCCGAGCATGTCGATGATGTTGTCGTTGCGGCCGCTGATCTTCTTCATGAGCTCGATTTCGTGCAAAAACTCTCGTTTTGCCATTTCGCTGGCATACCGCGGTAGCATTTTGATGGCTACATCACAGTCTTCGTACTGGTTTTCGACCGGTAGACTGGAGTTGACGTACACGTGGTCTACACACGGGGGTTTGCCGTGAACTTTGCCGCGAAATACCTGGAAGATGATGGTAAAAGAGGGGTTTTAAGGGCTTATTTGATGCCATATTCAATTTTTTATAGGTAGCTTGATAGTATATGCAAATTTTTAAAAAGTTAAAATTTTTTGAATTTTAGGTAACAAAACCCAAACTTTTAAAGCCTCCATACCTGCCCATAAGCCCCAGATCCAATCTTTTCCGACTTGATAAGCAGCCGATCCCAACTCAGTTCCCAGAAGTCCTGTACGATGGCTGTGACATCTTCATGGGTTTTGCTAAAGTTTTCGATTCGTCTCATCCATGACAGCTTTTTCGTGTATAAAAATGTCATCAAAGCCATGATGGCCAATAAAAAGATAACACTTCCGATTATGATCACTATGAGCTCGGTTTCTGATAGGCCTACTGAAATGATAGGGGTTAGAAGTTATCAGTAGTATAAAAAGTATGGATCGTACTGAGGCTACAGTAGGCAGGGTAAGGTAGGGCATGGTAGGGTAGAGTAGGGTGGGGTGGGGTAGGGTAGGGTAGGGTATATTAGGTTTGAGTGGTCAGATCTGTTTGTCATTTAGAGGCTGGGTTCGGATCATTGTTCAGTTCGAAATTCGAAATGTTTTTTGAAATTTTACTTTTTTCCATTAATTTTGAACTTTTTAGATATTTTTAACCTTTTTTAATTTTTTTTTTCAATTGGAAAGAAAGTTTTTGCTGTTTTTCGAATTTAACGTGAAGGACGGGGTAGGGTAATTCATTTTAGGGTAAGGTAGAAAAGAGTAGGCTAGGGCAGTGCAGAATAATCAAGTTTTGAGGCTTGAGTAGGGTAAGGTATTTCAGTTTAGGGTAAGTTAGAGCAGAGTAGAGAAGAGTAAGGTAGGATAGGGTAGGGTAGGGTAGGGTAGGGTAGGGTAGGGTAGGGTAGGGTAGGGTAGGGTAGGGTAGGGTAGGATAGGATAGGATAGGGTAGGGTAGGGTAGGGTAGGGGTAGGGTAGGGTAGGGTAGGGTAGGGTAGGGTAGGGTAGGGTAGGGTAGGGTAGGGTAGGGTAGGGCAGGGTAGAGTAGGGTAGGTTAGGGTAGGGTAGAGACTAGAAAAACTAAAGTAAGCTTCAGTAAGCCTAAGGCATGGCTAGAAAAGGCTAATTTTATCTCTCTTACCATTGTCATCTTCCTTAGGATCGGTCGGATCCAATGGTATTACTACAAGATGATCAGGATCCAAATAGTGCAACATACGAAGATCAACTACTCGATTCGATGCACTTTTGAATATGTTATACGCAGCATAATTGTATACGTACATGTGCACATCAAACCGAGTTGTTATAGGGTGATCAAGCATGTATCTCCAAAACTTCTGGAAATCTTATATTATAGTAGGTACTTTAGCGACAGTAAAGGCATTTTTTCAAATTTAAAAAAATATTTTGTTAATATATTAGATAGTTCAACTAATTCTCTGCCTTTTCTAAAGCAAATTTTTGTGGTTAAGGGGCACAGAATTATTTGAAAAACTTAATAAAACAATCTTTTGCAGCCTCACCCATGAATAAAAGTCGGTCATAACAATCAATAGTGGCGCAGCGTCGGTTGATTTTCTTGTTTGGTGATTGTTATCGTAGTACTTGAGCGCATGCTCAACATTGTCAACTACAATCGTCGTTTTATTGTCGGTATCATTGTGTTCTACATTCTTGACTAACACACTATCATTCATGTTGTCAAGTCGATCGTGGAAAGTGTCGATATTCAATATCCATTGCTTGGACGTGTCTTCTGGAGTCGCGAAGAATTGGGCTGCTATCTCGTTATTGTGGGTTTCCTAATAAATTTAAAATTTTTAAAAAATTTGAAAAAATTTTTGAAATTTAAAAAATAATTTTTAAAAAAATTTACTTATCTTAACTGTAAGCCCACATTAAAATTATCGGTTCTAGCACGATGATTCTAAATATATATTAATACTTACGTCAAGGTAAAGTTTGACGGCCTCTTCAATATTCTCCTTGATGTTTTCAAACTTGTTCTTTAACGTATCACTCAACGCTACAGCATAAAGTATGTGCAATGAGGTAGCTGGTGGTTCAATTGTCTAAAAAAAGAAATGATTATGAACAATGTAAAACAAGTATGATAGGGTGGTGGGCCACAGTAGGGTAAAGTAGAATAAAAAAGAATACATGCAAAAAAGTACGACATTGTTAAAGTAGGTTTATAAAAATTATGTTGGAATACGTTAAAACAAAAAAAAAGTATATAGTATGAAGTGAAACAAGGCAAAGCTAAGAAAGGCAGGAAAAAAAGGCATGGCAAAGGCAGGACAGGCCAACAGGAAAGAACATGACACGGTGAATTGGCCGGGCCTGAATGTGAGGCCCGACCCCCCCGATATGAGTTTTTTTTCAGGCCCTGCCTGGCCCGAATTTTTTTACGTGGAAACGGGCTGGGCTTTTCGGACCGGGCTTTGCCGCGATTTTCAGATCGAGCTCGTCCAAAATTTTGCTCAGACCCGGTCCGTTCTCCATGTCTACTAGAGAGCACAAGGCAAGGCAAAGCAAGAAACAGTAGGGCACAACAAAGTAAAACAAGGCAGCTATAATAATTCTTACCGTAGTAGGCGTAGTCGGCGTAGTTGTTGTAGTAGTAGTACTCGTTGAAGTCGTAGTCGGTGGGATTTCGCAGTTTTCCAAATCCAAGTCTTTACAAGAGTCGTTAGACACCATACAAGGCTTAATACACTTGGCAATCACATGCAAACAGCTTGCGTTTGGTACTACAAACAGATTCTCAGTGATGTTACCATAGTAGTACTCTAACGTTGCTTTCTCTTTGGCTGGTCGGCCGACAAGGATGATAGTCGGCTGAATACAGAGATTTCTCCAGCGATCTCTGAAGTCACGAACGGCAGTTGGTAGACCACTAACTGCAATATCCATGATTCGACTGGTAATGAAGATGAAACTGTTCTTGTTACATGGGGTTTTGATCTTCTTGGTCTGAAATTTAAGGTTATAGAAGTATCTTACCGTTTCCTACACTACCCTATCTCAATTTTCACTACCCTACCTACTCCACTCTACCCTACTCTACTTTACCTAAAATACCTACCTCATCATACCACGTGATAGTGTAATTCCCAATAAAAGAAGCGTCGTCCTCATCGTCATATACCAACCTATCACCATGTAGATATGGTCGATAATATAGATCCTGCTGCACTTCAGTCAAATGTCCAATACATTCAGAATCCGTACAACAAATGAAAGCTCGTGTAGCTGAAGTGTTGTCTGGATCGAAGGTAGTAGAGACGAATGTGTTTCCTATGATTTGATGGCTACATGAGTTGATCAAGTCATGTAGAAAGCCCTTGAACAAGCCAAAGTCTGGAGCGAATCGTGCGTCTAGATCGGTGTAGATGTAGCGGATTCCTACGGTGTCCTGAAGAAAATTTGATTATAGTTTAGGTTTATATCACCAACTAGAAATATAGTATATCAGAACTCTTCAGTTGAAGCAAATTAGCCGCAAAATAAACCTAGGAAACAAAGCTTAATGCGAAAACGATATTAGTATTGATAAAGCACTGGAGTAGACGTCAAGTTGTTACTCTATGGACAGACAGTGTAACAAAGCCCAAAAAGTTGTTTGTTCAAAATATCAAGGTGTCTATTATGAAACAATTAATTTTTCATATATAACTCTTCCTTTACTTTTCCCCTTCCCTATCTCTAACCCAGACATATAAAGGGGCCGAGCCCGATTTTTCTGCCCGATCTTTGATCTCACACGCGCCGACGCGGCTCCTTTTGAATTTGCTTCAGCCCGCTCTAGCGCAGTAAAGCTCAGGCCAGCTCAGCACATCCCAGCTCAGCACATCCCAGCCCAGCTCAGCCTAGCCCAGCCCAGCCCAGCCTAACCCAGCCTAGCGTAGCCTAGCCCGGCTTAGCCAAAGAGGCTGGGACAAGCATAGTGAGCCCCCTTTTAGGTCCACTTTAATCAAAATCCCCCGCCTATATATTCATATATGCTTCTTCCAGAAAAAGCCAATTTTCGCAAAAAATGAGATTAAAAATCCAAATATAGCTTACCTCTTCTTCAGAATCTTCTACAAAAATATCGTCAAGTTCTATGTTACATTGTTTGTCTTTTGCGTTGATCGGTTCATCCATCATGTCCAGGTATTCCCATGAAGCAACTAAAATTGGCTTTATTATAGTATTTTTTTATTTTGTTACCTAAAATATCAAATTTTATCTAAATATAGAACATTTAAAACTAGATCTAAACCTTAAAATTGTTTTCTAGATATATATACAAATAAAAAATAGTATTACAGCAATAATATTAACTTATCACATTTAAAAAGATTGATTTTTATAATTTTTAAATTGAATTTTCATATTTAACTGTTTAAGAACAGCCAGCCTTCAAAGCCTAAAATTTAATTTGAAATCCAAATTTTTCTTAAAAACTTACAACAAGTACTATCCTCAGTGTTGGTGCTTAAGGCACGCAAAGTGGTATTGTGGTTGGGTAAAGTTAAAGGTAAAGAAAAGGCGATTGAGATCATGAGGCAAATGTACAATGCTCTAATTAACAGCGAGTTCGGCAGCCATACGCGCCGCATTTTTTCCTCCGCATTGGGACCGCTAAGGTTGAGATGTGCAGACAGTATAGTTTGTGGCAATCTAAAAGTAAAGTTTTAAATTTTGAAAAAAAATATTTGAATTAAAACCTCGGGTTAATTGTCAAACAAATAAAAATGATTTTTACGGTGTTTACACCTAGCCCTAGCCCAGAGCCCTAGCCCAGAGCCCTAGCCCAGAGCCCTAGCCCAGAGCCCTAGCCCAGAGCCCTAGCCCAGAGCCCTAGCCCAGAGCCCTAGCCCAGAGCCCTAGCCCAGAGCCCTAGCCCACAGCCCTAGCCCAAAACTATAGCCCGATCCCTAGTCCAGAGCCCTGGTCCAAAGCCCGAGCCCAAGATCTAGCCTTAGCCTTAGTTCTAGCCCAAAGCCCTAGCCCAGAGCCCTAGCCCAGAGCCCCTAGCCCAGAGCCCTAGCCCAGAGCCCTAGCCCAGAGCCCTAGCCCAGAGCCCTAGCCCAGAGCCCTAGCCCAGAGCCCTAGCCCAGAGCCCTAGCCCAGAGCCCTAGCCCAGAGCCCTAGCCCAGAGCCCTAGCCCAGAGCCCTAGCCCAGAGCCCTAGCCCAGAGCCCTAGCCCAGAGCCCTAGCCCAGAGCCCTAGCCCAGAGCCCTAGCCCAGAGCCCTAGCCCAGAGCCCTAGCCCAGAGCCCTAGCCCAGAGCCCTAGCCCAGAGCCCCTAGCCCAGAGCCCTAGCCCAGAGCCCTAGCCCAGAGCCCTAGCCCAGAGCCCTAGCCCAGAGCCCTAGCCCAGAGCCCTAGCCCAGAGCCCTAGCCCAGAGCCCTAGCCCAGAGCCCTAGCCCAGAGCCCTAGCCCAGAGCCCTAGCCCAGAGCCCTAGCCCAGAGCCCTAGCCCAGAGCCCTAGCCCAGAGCCCTAGCCCAGAGCCCTAGCCCAGAGCCCTAGCCCAGAGCCCTAGCCCAGAGCCCTAGCCCAGAGCCCTAGCCCAGAGCCCTAGCCCAGAGCCCTAGCCCAGAGCCCTAGCCCAGAGCCCTAGCCCAGAGCCCTAGCCCAGAGCCCTAGCCCAGAGCCCTAGCCCAGAGCCCTAGCCCAGAGCCCTAGCCCAGAGCCCTAGCCCAGAGCCCTAGCCCAGAGCCCTAGCCCAGAGCCCTAGCCCAGAGCCCTAGCCCAGAGCCCTAGCCCAGAGCCCTAGCCCAGAGCCCTAGCCCAGAGCCCTAGCCCAGAGCCCTAGCCCAAAGCCCTTGTCTAAAGCTTTAGCTCTAGCTTTAGCTCTAGCTTTAGCCTTACCCTATCCTCCTAGCTTTGACGTAATATAGCCTTAATTTACTATCAGACTAGCTATTTTCAGGTCTATCTCACCTCTACAGCGGATACAAAGCCAAGTAGCCTAGTTTGTCCCTACCTCATTCCTTCCTCCTTTTTCTCACCCCCCCCCCCCCCCGCAGTTTAAAGAGCTAAAATTAATGTAAAAAAAATTGAAGTTGATTAAGATTTTTAAAAACAATGTCTTAGCTAGCAAAAAATAAAGAATTCATAAAAGAATTCTAGGGTAATGCCTAATTAGTGAATCATTAAAGCACTTAGGTCACTTATGATCATATGGAGTTACAAACACAATAAAAAATAGTTAATCAGTGTTTATTTTGGAAAACGTGTTTTTATGATCTTATTGAGTTTTTTGTCCGGATTCTTGATTTTTGAACGATTATTCACATTTGAAAAAAGATATTCACGTTTTGGACTTCAAAAATAAAAAAAAATCATATTTTTAACTTCCTCCCCTGCCAATCCATAAGTGCCAAACAGTACTGACACAAACCTAAATTTAAGCTGTTCGGGCTAACAAAGAAGGTAGCCGACCTGCAACGCTGAGATTTCGTTCAAATTTTTTTAATTGAAAGATCATATAAACGTATGATCTTATGCAAAATTTTAAGTTGCGGTTTGCGTCCAGACTTGAGAAAATCGAAATCAAAAAATCGCGTTTTGAATTTCCCGCCAAATTGGCATAATGTTTCAAGCTTATAACTTCCTCATTTTTTTGACTTTTCACTATTTTTCTTTAATATAATGATAGAAGAACTTCAAATGAAACTGCAATTTTAAATTTGTAAGCCTATCTTATTTGAAACATCAAAAAAGTGCTTGCAACACGATGCAAAATTTGCCAACTTGGCGGAAATTTAAATATATTAATTTTAAAACTTAAAACCGCAAGCTAAGATTTTTTATATGTGCTACTGGTACTACAAAGAATCTGTACTAAAATTTTGAGCTGATTCTGAGAGTTGCAGATTGGGTACTTTCCTTGTAGGCTAAAAATCCAGCCTGTTATTTTAAAGGGTATATTTACTTTTAAAATTACAAAATTTAGCTTTTTTACCCTGCCCTTTTAAGAAATTTTTTTGAGGAATTATTGACCTTAGTTACCTGTATTCTTTAATAAAAATGATAAAAAAGTGCCACGGTTAATAAAACAACAAAAAAAAACAACTCCTACTCATATTACCCCACTCCAAACGCAAAAATCAAGAAAACAAAGGCTCAACTCAAGAAACAAAAGTCGAAAAAGAAAAGAAAATGAAATATTAGGTGAAAATCTTCACAAGTTTTTCTTATCACCACGGAATAGAATATTAAAGCGGTAGAGCGGGCATAATTGGATACTGATAAACAACATAAAAAAGGAAAATTGAGGTCTATTTTTAAGTTTTTTTAATTGCAAAGATTAGAAAAAAAGAAACTTATAGAGAAGTTAATCAATACTTTGATAGTAAATGAAAATGTTTGATAAATTTAAAAATGTTTTATAAACTTCGGTAAGGTATGCTACAATATAACTTTCAGTCCATACCGGATTGTTTCACACAAAAAAAAGATTTTAACTCTAACTTGATCTAACTTTACCTTACCATACCTTATCAAACCCTGACATACTATAACGTACCTTTTCGCACTTTACCATAACTTATCTTATTATACCTTTCCTTAACTTATCGTACCTTACCATACATTACCCCTTTTTTATTTGGCCTGTATAACTCTACTCTACTTTCTTACTTTGCTTAACTCTACCAAAATTTGCACTATTCTTCTATGACCCACCTTACTCTAGATATCAAACTCAACAATATCAACTACAATAAAATTCAATTAACCAAAGTTGGCAACACTTAACATTAATCATTAAAACTTCAAAAAACAGCTAGAGGAAAAGCGCATCCAAAAGGGACTTTTTCACAAAAAAAAATAAAATATGTTCTACACCGGCCAGCTGGTGATATCTCTATATGTTCTTGCCTTTTGACTTTTACCCTGTCTTCCTCCCTCTCCCTTCCCCCTTCATTCTCAACCCCACAAATAACAAAATTTTAAAAAACTGCATAGACCAAACCCTATCCCCCCAAGATCAATAAATTCGGTGACAAAAGGTGTGAAGGTCATGAGATAACCCTAATGACAAAAATGCAAAACATAAACTTTTAAATTGATTGAAAATTCGCGGTCGACTGCCGTCGGCCTGATAACAAGCACGAATAATCATATTATGACTGCTCGGTTTTATGAGCAAACTGCGTTTTCAAACCTCCATTTCTAAATTTAACTACCTTTTGACAACCCGTGGATGACAAAAATAGTATGTGTCACCAATGGGTGTTATAGTTCGGAAAGATTGCACAAAATACAGAAGCTAAAAGCCTAGAAAAATGAAAAAAAGTGAATAAAACTATTTTATGCTATTCTACCTTACTTTGAACAAAACAGCAAAAATATATACTCATCTGTCCAGCGATAAACCGAACGTTCCAAAATTTCAATCCCCAGCCACAGATTTACCGAGCTGGTTATTTTACTAACCTTAAATTTAGGTTATATACCTGACCCTACACCCAAAAGAAAGCAAGTATAAAGACAGTCAAATGTGTCTTGATTGGGTTCCCACGCAAAAAGAGCAGAAAAAACTGTTTTTCTTTGTTTCTCAGCGCTCTCTTCTTCTCGCACTCTCTCTTTTCGACTGGAAAATCAAGTCGCATTCACAACCCTATACTACTCTACCCAATCCTAGCATCCTTCTACCCTACCCTACCCTACCCTACCCTACCCTACCCCACTCTACCCTACCCTACCCTACCCTACCCTACCCCACCATACCCTACCCCACCCTACCCTACCCTACCCTACCCTACCCTACCTTTCACTCAGCCTTCCCTTGTCTTAACCTACCCAGCCCTGTTCTACCCTGCTTCGCTCTACCTTTCTCTACTCTAACGTCCTTACTTTACTCTACTTTACTCTGCCTTGATTCCTTACTCTTATTATACTTGCCGTTCCGCACTGTACTTTACTGTTCTTTGACTAAATCATACTATATTATATTGTCATCTACTGTACTCTGCCTTACATTAGTCATCTCACTCTGTCTTACCATATTTTGTCGTAGTTGAACAAACTTTACTGTGTTTTGCCTCAACGAGTCTCATTACATATTCTGCTCCATTTTGTCGTCATGTCGTTCTTTCCTGTGTTTTACGTTTGCTTTGTTAAAATTTCATTGTTTATATTTAACAATAGTTAACTCTTTATTTTTTTTATTGATCTACACCGTTTTTTTCCTTTGCCTGGTACCATATATAGCGCTCCCATCACACGATGTTTGTTTGTGTATTACTCGTTTGTTTAAACCACATTCGTATTTGCTTATGTTGCAAAAAGAACTTTCTTCGTTTCGTCGAATAAACAACCGGCACCATAGTTAACGAGCATAACCGGAAGCAAGCTGCAACCTGTGTTTTTGTTACCTATCAAAAATGTGGTAATTGATACTTTTTTTGGTATATAATAATTGATAGAAATAGTCAAGGTGTTGTATAGTATGGATAAAAGAAGGGTGTGGGCAATAGTAGAGTAATAAGAAGGAGAAGGAGGAGAAAGGGGGTGCTTTAAAAATTGAAAATTTAGTTTATGGTCAATTACTTAGTTCTATTTTTTAGCTACAGAGTTAGGTAATAAAGCATTTTCAGATAGTCCTTTATACGTTTTACATGTTTTTTTTACCTTTAAGTTATACATTCCAGCGCAATCGACTGCTTGTTTTGGGATTATTTAAAAGAGGTGTTACTGCACGTTCAGGGGAGTTCAAGGTTAAAAAGTCAGTCGAATCAATCGTAGAACTTTTGACAGAAAACGTTTTTATAAATTGTTCTATTATATTAAGTTGTTCAAAAAATAATAAGCTACTAAACTGCACGAAAAATTTTTTTTAAATTTTCTATGAGACATAGCTTCTTACTTCTTGAACAAATTAATATTTTATAACCTGGCTATATAAATTAGCCTAGCTCTAGCCCTAGACCCTAGATCATAGTCCTAGTTCGTAGCCAAAGTCTTAGCTTAGAACTTTAGCCTAGAACCTAAATCTTTAGTTTAGAGTCCTAGCCCAGAGTTCTAACTGAGAATCATAGCCCAGAGCTCTAGTCTGAAGTCCTAGTCCAGAGCCCTAGCCCAAAGCCCTAGCCCAGAACCCTATCCCAGAGAACTAGCCCAGAGCCCTAGAAAAAAGCCTTAACCCAGAGCCCTAGTCCAGAGCCCTAGCCCAGAGCCCTGCCCAGAGCGCTAGCCCAGAGCCCTAGCCCAGAGCCCTAGCCCAGAGCCTAAAGTTTTAGTTCAGTCCTAGCCCACAGCTATAGCTAGAGCTTTAGACAAGAGCCCAGGTCGTATTCCTAGCTCTAGCCCAGAGCTCTAGTACAGAGTACTAGCCCAGAGTACTAGCCCAGAGTACTAGCCCAGAGTACTAGCTTAGAGTTCTAGCCCTAGACTTATCTCTAGCTTTGGCCTTGCCCTTACAATTTTTAGCTCTAACTATTTGCACCCTTTTTCTATTTTTGACCCTAAACCAATGAGTTCTGTATTCTACGTCACTTACAATACAAAATGACATGGATACTAACCATCAGTCCTGGTCCCATTGTTTTCACAAACCTCGTGCTAACCGGTTGTCAGCAATTTTTTCGTTCAACGTCAAACGAATAATGCATATGAATGTTATAGTGAATTAATTAGAGCCTCTGAAGAGTGGCTGGAGTGGATCTCCATGGATTCGATGAGAGTTTCAAGCACCTAAGGCACTTTGCTTTTTTCACTCAAGCATGGCTACAATTCTGGCCTTGGTCGCTGTTTTTAAGTACTGTGTAGTGTTTGTGTTGCCTACCTTTACTACGGTAAGAATTTGATATTATTGGAGTTTGAAAGGTTTTTGAAGTTGTTACGGTAATATTTGGGTAGAGCATATAGTGATGACAATAAAAATTAGTGCTATATTTAAAACTTTAGGCTTAATACATATTTTCGTCTAAAAAGTTGCCTTAGGCTTTATATTACGACTGAAAAGTTACTTCTAGGCTTAATTACTCTACCTTCCAATTTCATACCCTACCTACCTTTTACTTTACAATTTCAGTTCAATCTCCTTAGCTTAGTACTAAACAACCATGAAAACGTTAAGGACAGTGCTATGGACAAGCTGTTTACTCAGTATACCAACTTACATTTTTGTGTTTGTGCTTCATTTGTAGCTATCTTGTCTTACATGGCTTTTAAGACTGTGGATTATTGTATTCCGCAGGTAAGGTATCTTTTATTATCTGATAATCTATTATACATGTTCAGATATAGCATTGATTAAAAAACTAAGGATATAAGTTATCTTTACCTGATTTACTTTTTTGGTATTTTATAACTAAGCTTAGCTCTATAACGCAGCCTAGACCTAGTTAATATTGACCTAACAGTTTAGAGGAATGTACTACAATATGTTTTATTATGTTTTTAGGCCCATGAAGAAGTGAATTGCTACAAAATAGGATCTTCAAGCAAATACCAAACAACATTCAACTTGCTATTACATATTGAGCTGTTCTACTTTGGTATTTCCTTTGGGTTCTTGTTTTTGGTAAGTTATGTTATTAACATACCTTTTTCTGCCTTACCCTACCCTACCCTACATTATCCTACCCTACCCTACCTTTCCCTAGTTTACCCTGTCCTACCCTATTCTTCCTTACCTTGATCATAGTCGAAACAGCATCTTAATATCTAATTTTCAAAAAAAGAGAGGGGGGGGGGGTTTAAAAAAAACTTGAGAAGGCTTTTCCGACAACATATAGAGTATTTTATTGTCGATATGATCATTTTAGTTTGTCACATTTGGCCAAAATGTATACGGTAACACTCCACATTACTTACTGTTCTTTGCTCTCTTTACTGTGGTAAATTTACTACTGATTATCTTGTTATACGAGCTGGAGATCACCAAAAGCTATAACTTTATCATCTACTTGGATTTCTTGCTTATCTTCAACAACTTTTTATCAAATTCGTAAGTTTTTCGTTTTTAAGTTTCACATTTTTTTCATTTTAAAACTTCAAGAAAAATCTGTTATTTTTAAAATTGACGTTAAGTGTAAATCTCGTATTTTACAGCTTGTTATTATGGACAGCAAATCACGTGATTCACGTTGATGGAACGGCCACATTCCTGACTATTCTTGGGCTGAGCTCACTGAATAAGTATTTTATCAGCGAATTGTTAAATTCATTCTTTTATCAACCCAAAATGGCACGGGTTTCAGTGGTTTCCGAGGAATTACTGCGAGTTTAAACGACTGGTAAGAGTCACTAAATCAAAACTAAAAAAAAAATTCTCCTTTTTTACCCTACCCTAGCTAAAATTGTAAAAAAAATGAAAAAAGTAAAGAAACCTACCCTATCCTACCTATTTTTCCCTACCATGGCAAAAACAGCAATGAATTCTCATCTGTCCAGCCATCAGCCGAACGTTCCAAAATTTCAATTCCCAGCCACAGATTTACCGAGCTGGTTATTTCACTAACCTTAAATTTAGGTTTTATACCTGACTCCATACCTAAAGGAACAGAGGTGTTAAAACAGTCAACTGCGTTTTGATTGGGTTCCCACGCAAAAAGTAGAGAAAGCCGATTTTCTTTGTTTCGCGACGCTCTCTTCTTTTCGCACTCTCTCTTTTCGACTGGAAAATCAAGTCGCGTTACCATACACTAACATACCTTGTTCTGCCTTACCCTACCCTACATTATCCTACCCTACCCTACCTTGCCCTAGTTTACCCTGTCCTACCCTATTCTTCCTTACCTTGATCTATCCTGCCCTATCTTGTGCTACCTTTTCTTACCCTACTGAAAGCCCTAATGATGACTAATGCCATATCTTTTTAAACTATAAAACAAACAATTGAAATATGACCCTTACAATAACACAATATCACGAAATTTCGTTTCAGCCAAGCCATTTCCTCACCACTACACAATTTCCCAACACCTACACCACCAGAGATCGACCGTGCCACATGCCTGAAGTCGTGTTTCATCAACAACTTCCTCTCGCCTCTCGAATGTCTCACCGATGACGGATGGGCGGCGGTAAGTGTAACTTTACACAAAACTGTCGATTGATCTTGATGCGATTCCCATTCGTGCAGAAAGCTCCCGCCGCTCCTCGAAATTCATCCAAATTGGGCATTTTTTAATTGAAATTCAGGTGGAACTAATGCTTTAGGGTCTTTTGATATAGGTATTGTAGTATACCTATATATAGGACAATGGTGCTTTTCATGTAGGTATAGGAGTATAATATTGGACAATATTTGTGGTTTGAAAGTTATTGGGTTTTTAGGTAACAACTTTGAGAAGATAGGTTTTTACAATATTTTTGTGAGCTTTAGGTATCAAAATCAAAAAATTTGTATTTTTAGGTAAGAAATTAGAGGAAGTAAGGTTTTTTACAAATATTTTTGTGAGTTTAGGTATTAAATTCGGAAATTTTAAATTTTAGGTCACAAAAAAAAGAAAAAACTTGCTTTTTCTTAAAATACTCGGCTATATTCGTAATTTTAGGTAACAAATTTATATTTTTTTCTTGATTTTTTTTTGATTTGTGGGTTTTAGGTAACAAAATCAAATTTTTTTTTATTTTTATGTAATAAATATTAGAAAAAATCGATTTTTCCTTATACTTTTCAAATTTTTTGTTTTTAGGTAACAATTTTTAAATAATAACGTGAATTTTTTGAAAATATTTATTAATTTTAATTTTTAAGTGTCAAATTTTTTAAATTTTGATGTTTAGGTATCAAATTTTAAAGAAAATGTATTTTTTACGAAAATATTGGTTATATTAAAAATTTTAGGTAACAAACCAAAATTATTTTGACTTCAGGCATCAAGTTTTGAAAAAGTTAATTTTTAGGTAACAAATTAAGAAAAAATACTTTTTGCTTTAGAAATCGTGAACAAGTTTAGAAAAAAAATAAACAATATATAGTGTTTTTAGACTATGAACTTCCAAAAAGGCAACGTGTCAGTTGATACATTACGCTTTCATTCACGTAAAACTAACTTTGTCACCTCCAAAACATGTGTAACTTTGTTTTACAGACGAAAAACATTTTAAATTTAAAGTTTTTGAGCTTTTTTTGATTGAGTTTGATTTTAAATTGAAGAGAATTATAGAAAAATGTGTTGAACCTTAGGTAAACTACTATAATACCGCCGTTTATTGGAATAAAGGCCTAAAATTCATTTAAACTGCTATAATACCGCTCTGTATTGACTTAAATTTGTTAGATCACGTTCAACAAAAAATAATTCTGTGCCCCTTAACCTCAATGAAATGATTTGCTTTGAGAGGGGCACAGAATAATGTGAACAAACTAATGTTTTGTTATAAACTTGCTGTTTTCAGGTCCTACATCTACCTGCATCAACATAACTCAAATGTAAAATGACGACCACGGAAGACCAGACTCCATTATCGACCGAATCTACTAGTGCCGCCACTTCTACAGACCTAACCAACTCAGACATCACTGCACCAAACCTAATAGTACCTCATGAAAACCCAAAAACTTTGGCTGAATTCCAAAAGTTTGGCCATTATTCAATCTTTATGATAATATTGTTTGAGTTGATGTTGTTACCACAAGCTGGAATCATGACATTTATGATCTATGGTGGTTTGGGACCAAAAGTGGTACAATGTGGAGATGTGGACTTGAGGAACTGGACTAAGAAAGAAGTTTGTGCGAGTATAGACCAGCTTTCGAATAACACTAGATGTCAGCTGGAGGCTCAGTTTAAGAGTCTGGCGTTTGATGTAAGAGTTTCTTATATTTTATATTGTTAGTAGAGCTAGGAGGGGTAGGGCAACTTTTGGTATATGGCAGAGGAGGGAGAGGAGATAAAAACCTATAGTTTTTAAGGTAGGGGTGGATAGTTTTTAAACTTTTTGTGTGCCTTACCCAATTCTATCCTACTTTACTTCACCTTACTTTCCCTTACTGGAGCCTATTCAACCCTTATTTATCCTAGACTACCCTACCGCAACCTATCTTACTCTATACCTTACCTCATACTGTGTCCCATTTTTTACCCTTTACTATGCTCTATGTACTACTCCATGGCTTTTCCTTTGTTTGACATTATAACCTATCCTATACCGTATCTCATACTCGTCTACCTTGTATTTTACTTTATGGTTTACTATATTCTTTACGTTTCGCTCTATCTTAAACTTTGCTCTATGCCTTACTTCATAATCTACCTTATGCTCTGACCCTACATTACTTATATCAATCGTTTTTCTATTCAAATAACGAGTTTTCAGTTCAGATACTACTGTGAAGATGCGGTTAAAATCAAGAATACGATCAGTATCTTAATGTGTGGTGTCCTGCTTGGTTCAATAGTTTTTGGCCAACTTTCCGATCTACTTGGCCGAAAAAGACTTTTAATGTTTTCACATTTTGGAATGGCAATAATGACGTTTTTGGCGTCTGGAAGCCCAAATCTTTACAAATTTACAGTACTTCAAACTATGGCAATGTTCTTTGCTGGCGGCAGCGGAGCGTAGGTTTATTTCTTAATTTAATAAGTAATTAGAGAGGGTTTGTTGGGAAGGGGGAGGTAGTTTTTAACAAAAGTGATTTTTTGGTAGGGTATGTTTAGAAAGGGCAAGGTAGTGTAGAGCGAGGGTAAAGAAACGATATAAAGGGATTAAGGTGGCCTAGACTTAAGGTAGGGTAGGGTAGGCTAAGGCGAGGTACGGTAGGGAGGGTAAGATAAGGCAAGGTACGGTAGGGAGGGTAAGGTAGCTCTAAAAATGTAAATTTGGGTATAACTATTATACTTTCAGTATCAACCACGTATTTCTCATGGAGAACATGCCCAAGAAGCATCGACTATGGGTGTCGAGTGTACTGACATACTCTCCAAACTATGTCATAATGTCAATTATTGCCTATTACGCTGAAGATTGGCGTACTATGCTGAGGGTCATCAGTGCTATCAACGTTCCAGCCTTCTTTGTCTTGATGTAAGTTAGTTTTTAACTATGTTGTAGTAAGTTTGACACAGTAGTTTGGCATTATATAAGCTTCTTTGTGAAATTTACATTTTATGTTAATTACAGTAAGATTTTTGTACTTACTATACGGCTATAACAATATCTATCTTACATCCTTCAGGATAGCCTTCGAATCCCCAAGATGGATGATACAAAAAGGAAAGTTGGAGGCAGCTAGAGTAACATTAAAACGGATAGATATCATCAACAAAACTGCTACACCAGAGAGGCTAGAGCTGTTGGATACATTGATTACTAACGAAGCTATTGTAAGTTATATTATCCTTATTATTCTTCATTTTTAGACAACTTCACAAGAGAAGCGACGAAGGAGATATTATGTTTATCACTTGTTCTATACCTCAAAGTTTGCTATCTACATTAGTGTCATATCATTTTCGTTGTAAGTTTTTGTTGGGTTTACGTTTGAAAGCCGTTTTTAAAAATAAAATTTAATTTTTGAAAAGCAAACTTTAGGCTTAGAAATAAAACTATAGACTTAAAAACGAACTTTCAGGCTTAAAAAGAAGTGTAGGCTTAGTAGGGAAAATTTAGGCTTGAAAATAGAAGTTGAAGCTTAAAAGTGAAAGTCGAGGCATAAAAATGTTATTGTACCTTAAAAATAGAATTTTAGGCATAAAAGTAAAATTTTAGGCTTAAAATGAAATTTTGAGCTCAAAATGAAGTTTTAGGCTTAAACTGAAAATTTAGGCTTAAAAATGAAATAGCATTCTTAAAAATTAACTTTGGGCTTAAAATGAAAGTTTAAGTTTTCTAATGAAGTTTTAGGCTTAAGAATGCAAATTTCGGCTTGAAAATTAAATTTCATTTTTAAAGCTTAATTTCAGGCTTAGGAATAAATATTTAGGCTTAAAAACGAATTTTTAAGCTCAAAAAATCTTTAAAATCAAAAAATCCAACTATAGGCTTTTAAATCAACTGTTACTTACGTTAGGTTTAAAAATGCCTATTATAATTTAAAAATAAAATTTCGAATCAAAAAAATATCTTTCTTACTTTACATTGACGATTCATTTCAGAGTATGTACCTCAATTCTCGGTTACTCAACAGTCTTCAATATGGAGTACCTGTCCGGCTCGGTATACCTAAACACAATTGTGTATGGCGTCTTCCGTTATGTTATCAACATTATGGTTGGTATCTTGGACTTTAGGATTTTGTGGCTGGGCAGAAAGTTGTTGTACAACACAACTCTCGGCTTTATATTGTTCATGCTGGGGACGGTGGTGGTGTCGACTGTTATTGGTAGGGTTTGAAAGCTTTTTTTGCTATTCGAGCTTTTTAGGCTTAGACAAATTTTTTAATTTTAGGTATGAACCACCCCTACATAATAACATTCTGTGTTTTGTTCGCCGCCGGTATGGGAAGTCAATTATACATGGTCAATGCTGTGGTAACAGCTGAACTATTCCCTACCGCTATTCGGAATCAAGCAGCTTCTTTCAGTCAGCTCTTCAGTCGATTTGGAGGTATTGTGGCTCCACATCTATTTTTAATTGTAAGTTTTGATATAACAGCTTGTAAGAAGGTGGTATTGCGTTTGTAAGGGGTATATGGTGCCAAAAAGGAAGCATGGTAAAGGTAGTTGAGGGTAGAGTAGATCAAGGTAGGATACGGTAAAGTAGGCTAAGATAAGATAGGGTTGAGCAAAAAATTTATCCGATAGGGCATAGTACAGCATATTGATGCTGGGTAGGATAGGATAAGGTAAGTTAAAGTAAGGTAAGCTAGGTTAGAGTAGGGAGGGCTCTTTAATTTAAAGTAAAATAGGTAACAGTATCATAGAGTAAGTTTCAGTGAGGTAGGCTGAAGATACGTTGTGTCTATGGTAAGGTATTACTTTATGCATTGGTTTTTTCTCTTTGAAAGTTCCTCTCATACTCTCCCTACCTCTTTGCTTATAGATCATTTACCCCGCCCGGGTAAAACTTATCTTTTCAGCGTTGATCCTTGGCTATGATAAGGCCAAATTTAAGAAAAGATCATTAAGACTGTAGCATAAAAAATCAAAAACTTTAATAAAAAATTATTTTAGAGTAAATTCTGGGAACCTCTACCATATTTTGCTATGTTTACAATATGTGTGATCAACTTGTTGTTAGTTAACTTATTCATGCCCGAGACTAAAAACGTCGCTTTGGTTGATCATATGCCACATAAAAGTGAAAGGTTATGGAATAGAAAGCCTCAGACCTTGCCGACTACTCTCACTGATACCAAATTGACAGAATAAATAATAAATACCTATTTTTGATTACTGTATTATGATCGGGGCTTTGCTGATTTTTTAGAGAGTGTGGGTTTAGGGAACAGTGGAGGGGTAGGGGAAGTTGTAAGTTAAGTTAGGCTAAAGCAAGGGGCGATTCGATAAGGCTAGGATAGATTAAGATAAGGTAAGGAGAGGTAAGGTAAGGTAGGGTAGGATAAGATAGAATGAGATAGAGTAGGGAAGGGCAAGACAAAAAATCAATATTATGTAGACAAAATGTAAATAGTGGAGGGAGGTAGAACAAGGTAAAGGTAATTTAGGGTACTGTACGGTTAGGATAGAGTAAAGTAGGCAAAGGGTTGGATAAGGTAAGTGTAAAATAAGAAAAGGGACGTGCAGAAAGACCTAACCAAGACTTCTACCTATAGTATAATAATAACATTGTTTCCGGAACCTATCTCCCACCCCCAACATCAACGTTTCACACTTTACACTGCCAGTATTAAACCAAAAATGTAAAAAAAAACGAATTCATAGCTAAAGCCACAAACTAATTTAGACTTTGAAACCGTAAAAAGAGTTGACGGGTCGACAAAAAGGTAACACATGAATGACGGACTGTGTAAAGGGAATGATGAAAGCAATCATTAAGATTTATCTGTTCCTGTGCAGACACAACGAACTTTGTTTATGCTATGTAGATATCGATTATCGACCAAAGAGTGCTGATTTATAGAGTTTGGTACTGGTATTGGAGTTGTTGGTACTGTTTGTTGGCTTTAAAGTGAGTTTTGAAATTGAGTTTTGGATAAAAATATTTTATTTTTTTGGTTTTTAAATAAAATATTATTGTTTTTTCTTTTTTTATACCTACTACAACATAAATAGTAATATTACATTAGCCATGCCGCACAAAGAAGTAAAATTCACGGCACAGGACGATGAAGACGAAGTAGACCAGCTCACTCCACAAGCCATTCGAGAAGCCTTCGATGACAACGAAGAGCTCAAAAACTTGGGAGACTTCATCAAGTTTGGCCGTTACACAATATTCATCATAATATTGTACGAACTGATGCTACTACCTCAAATGGCCAACATGACCTTCATGATATACGGTGGTTATGCGCCAAAAGTAGTGCAATGTGGTCATCATGACTATCGTAATTTGAGTACGGTGAAAAGTTGTGCTGCTTTTAAGGCTGATACGGCGGCTAGTAATTGTAGTCCAGTGCTGGAGACACAGTTCAATTCATTGGCTTATGAGGTAGTGTTTTGTGTTTGTCTTTGTTATTTTGCGAGATAGGGGAAGGTTATAGCAAGAGTAGGGCAACGGTAAAACAAGAGTAAGGTAAAGGCATATGTAAGGCAATGCAAGAGTATGGCAAGGGTAGTGTAGGGTACAACAGAGTCAATTTGAAAATAAAATTCCAGTTCAACTACTACTGTGATCGCATAATCGATGTGAAACGAACCATCAGTATAATGATGCTAGGTGTTTTATTCGGGGCAATAATCTTCGGCCAACTATCTGATTCCTTTGGCCGAAAGAAGATGATGATCATAACACATTTGGGAATGTTAACATTAGATCTGATCGCCTCAAGAGCAACATCTTTAGAGCATTTTACGTTGATCCAGTTCTTCACTAGCTTATTTGTTGGAGGTCATAACACGTAAGGCTTGCTGTACTAAAAAATAACGGTCTTTACAAAAATAGTAGTACTATATAGTATGTTAAAGTCGAAACTAATTCGCCATTTTCGCTATAAAAAATCATTTTTCAGTATAATGCACGTGTTCCTATTAGAGAACATACCCAAAAAGCATCGAGTTTGGGTATCTTGTATGTTATCCTACTCTCCCAACTACATTATCGTAGCCGGAATCGCTTATTTGGCTGAAGACTGGAGGATGTTGATTCGAATTGCCGGCTTACTCAATATCCCGGCCTTCTTTTTGTTATTGTAAGTAAATTTTAACTGTCGTAAAATAGTTTTTAAACCCCTGTGGGACCCAAAACCATAAAAAAACGTAGAAAAACCGCAAGCCGGACTCTTTCACAAAAACTGATATGAAAATGCCATAATCATGGAAGTAGTATATTTTTAAGTTTGATTCAATGTTTTCTAGATTCGCCTTCGAATCACCCCGCTGGCTAATCCAAAAAGCCTACTTGGACTCGGCCAGAACAACCTTAATGAAGATGGAGAAGATAAATGGCACCGCTACGCCCATCAGGATACGCAATATCGACCGGTTGATTGAACAGGAAATTATCGTGAGTCAATATGTTTCGAAGATAACCTTAAAACGTCAAAACGTTGATGAAAAATGGCATTTTTATCAAAAAAACCGTCTGAAAATGACTTTTTGAATAAATGAAGCTAGTATAATATTATGTAAAAACTTCAAATTACCTTTCAGCAAAACGAAACCAAAAAATCCAGACGAAAGTACTACTTTTACCATCTCTTTTACACCTGGAAGATGTGCCTCTACACAGCGATCATCTCGTATGCTCTCCTAGCAACATCCATAATATCATATGCCCTTATCTTCAACATGGAACACTTGAGTGGCTCCATCTTTGTCTCAACCGCCTTCTTCGGAGCCTTCAGATGGGCAGTGAATCTCACTGTTGGAGCTATCGACTACTTTGTTCCAAAAGCCGGCCGAAAACCGATTCATAATGGAGCTTTGAGCTTCATATTAGCAATGTTGGCCATAGTTATTGCAATCAAATCTATTGGCATTCAATCCGTCAATCTAACTAGAATTACTACTATGAGCGCAGCTGCCATGTGCTCACAATTATTCATGGTAAATGCGATCGTAACGAGCGAACTCTTCCCTACGGCCATAAGGAACTTGGCCGTCAGTTTTGTCCAAATTTCAAGCAGATTAGGCGGAGTTATATCACCTCATGTGTTTTATTTGGTAGGTTAATATCTTTAGCATCTAACCTAGCCAATGATTAAACATACCTTTCTCAACAATCTTCAAAAAGTTAATTTATCCTTATAATATCCGCTATATCAATATAAATTTGACACTTTCAAGCCATCGTTTATGATAAACTTTCAAACCTTTAGGCAAATATCTGGGAACCCCTGCCCTTCGTGTTCATGTTCACAATCATGGCCATAAACGCGATAATGTTCGGTGTATTCATCCCAGAAACCAAAGGATCATCCATGATAGATCATATGCCTGACAAGAGCAAACGGATCTGGAAATCAAGGAAACAATCGCTGCAGGGCACAAATATTCAACCAAGTGTTGCCAAACTTACTGAAGATGTTTGACATGGTCATAGTCAATGTAATATAATACTATTCTCAACTTTTTAATGTTTCTTTGCGTTGTAAAACGATGTATAATAAAAAAAAATCTAAAACCATGAAAAACATAACTAGAAATACATTTACCATAAGAAGAAGTCAGTAAAGAAGTTTTAAGTTTACCAATATTGGCCAATCTTTACATTTTACTTGATCAAACAAGTTATTTTACAAAATAACTCGCTTCTTTACAATAAGGAGACACTTGACGCAAATGTAAAATTGCGTCAAGTTTTTCTTTCTTGTTGGGGTAATTTTTCTTCGAAAGTTTATTTTTGATCTGCAAATTGTTCAAAAATGGACACATTAGATCAATCAAATAAGCCACATAGGGGTAAGTTTTTATTTTTTCATATATATAACGACACAAAACGTTATTTCTAATTTTAATTTTGTTTCAGCTCACAAGAAAGGTGGAAAAGCCGTCAAGAAGTTGAAGAATGACGCCAGTCAGAAAGGAAACAACCCTAGAGCTTTTACTTTTAACTCAGCAGTTAAGGCACATCGTAAAATTAAACGGTAAGTTAATTAATAGATTTTTTATATTGTTTTACGTTTAGAGCCGCTGATTTGAGCGAAAAGAAGAAGCACATTCCGGTAGTTGATCGTACACCTCTTGAACCACCGCCAATAGTTGTGGCAATTGTTGGGCCGTCTAAAGTTGGTAAAAGCACATTGATTAAGGCTTTAGTCAAGCATTATTTGAGGCAAAACTTGACTGAGATCAAAGGTGGGTAGTGTAATATTTATTTTTGTTGATCTAGATGTTTATTTAAGATTTAGTGTAATTCTTTAGTTTCATTATATTTAGAACAGTCTAAGATAATATGAATTAATGTGATGTTTTAGGGCCTGTTTCATTAGTTACGGGTAAAAAACGAAGGATAACATTGATCGAAGTGCCTAACGATGTGAATGCTATGATAGACATTGCGAAGGTGGCGGATTTGACGTTGTTATTGTTGGACGCTTCTTTTGGATTTGAAATGGAGCATTTTGAGTTTATTAACATTTGTCAAGTTCATGGAATGCCAAAGTTTATGGCTGTTATGACACACATGGACTTGATCAAGAAGAAGGAGAAATTGAAGGAACAAAAGAAGGTAATTTTTTTAATTTTGGTAAAAAACTTTTTTTTTAATTTTTGATTGAAAATGCTAAAATACGACTTTAAAAAATATAACATTATCTATTTTTAGATGATCAAACACAGACTCTGGAAAGAGGTTTACGCTGGAGCCAAGCTGTTTTTCTTGACCGGCATGATTCATGACACTTACCTAAAGGTTGAAGTTCGAAATCTGGCTAGATTTATATCGGTTATGAAGTTCAGGCCAATGCAATGGCGTGATGCTCATCCATTTGTACTGTGCGATCGTATGGAAGATATTACTGATGCGGAAAGTGTGCGAGGTGATCCTAAAGTCGACCGGTCGGTACGTTAATGATTTTTTAGTATATAAAATTTAGCTAGCTTAGATTTTAGAGCTGGATTTTTACGAATATAACATCTACTTTAACGATTATATTATTTTAGGTATGCCTTTACGGCTGGTTGCGCGGAACCTACTTAAGAAACCACACAGCTGTACATGTGCCTGGAATTGGTGATCTACAGTTAAAAAGCGTTGCAGTGTTACCAGATCCGTGTCCTTTTCCGGAAAAAGAAGCTAAAAGAAGTCTGAATCAAAAGGAAAGAGTTGTATATGCACCATTCTCTGGTTTAGGTGGCATTGTATACGATAAGGACGCGATTTATGTGGAGACTGGAGGTGCTCAACATTTTCAGAAGAATGTAAGATTTTTTACTTTGTTTTTGGTGTTTTATGTATAGCATTGGAAGGGTTGTGGATGAAATACGGGTAAACGTTTGTATGAGAAGTTTGTAGATCTAAAATAAGGTCTTTTTAACTCTAAACGCCTTAAAACAACCGCATTGGACTTTCTTTATATAAAACAAGGTATTTAAGCCTTTTTTTCATACAAAAGAATCGAATTTTAACTGTTTTTACCTAAATTTTCAGTCAAAAAGAGATGTTATTATCGACGCCATTGCGGACAACAATATGACTCTTGATGAACAGCTCAACAACACTTCTCTGAAGCTTTTGTCAACTTCCGCTGCTATAGATAACACTGCGGTTGAGTCAGACGACGAAGAGGATGATGATGAAGATGTGGACGAAGAAGAAGAGAAATTAGAGGATGAAGAGGAAGATTACGGTGAAGATGATTTTAAAGAGGAATCAGATGAAGAAACCAATGAACTGTTGGGAAAAGTTAGAAGGACGAAAGAGGGGTTGAACGTTATCTCTGAACATTCTGGAGACTTTTCTGGATTAAGAAAGAAGTCAAAGTTGAATTACAAGTTTGAAACGGGAAGGATAAGATGGAAGGATCTGGTTTATGGAGGTAAAACTTATAGTATAGGTAAAAATTCTGTTTTTCAGATGCCCTAGACATTAAAGAAGAAGACTCAGACGAAGAAGATGATCTACTAGGCGGTGGTTTACTCAAAAAAGCCAAAGCCTCGGTTCCAGAGTCCCAAAAAGCCTTCAAAGACCTGGAAGACGGATTCTGTTTCTTCACTCCAGCTACTACAAGTTCTGAAGCTAGAAACCTGGATTGGAGCAGTGAAGATATCAGAGAATCTATCAGAAATTGTTTTGTTACTGGTAAATGGGAAGAAGGTGATGGATTAGAAGGTTCGGATGATGAATATGGAGATCTGGATTTGAATGAAGATGAAATGGATATTAAGGAAGAGGATGGTGATGAGAAGGAAGAGAAAGAGGATGGGAAGAGTGAAGAAGGTAAGTTTTATAAGTGAACATAGGAACTGGTTAGCTAAGAGTTTGTTTATGATTCCAGCTGGACTAATTTTTACGTGACTGGCTTTATTATGAGGTTTCATAGGTTTAATGAGATGTTATACGGTCTTATATTGGTAGTGTAATATGTTTTATAATTCTAAGTTTTTAAAATTTAGAAAAGGACGAAGAACGACGAAAGTTGAGACAAAAGGCTAAGATCAAGCTGAAGGAACAGTTTAATGCTGAGTACGACGAAACTAACGAACATTACAATGCTTTGAAGGAGGAATTAGATGCTCAAGCTAAGGTACGACAAAGAAAAAGTTATTTTTTTTTTCTTTTTCTTTATTTTTCTATTTTTTATCTATTTTTAATCTACTTTTATGTTTTTCTTCAATTTTTTCATATTTATATTTATTTTTGGTGATTTTTAAACTTATTTTTGATTGTTTTTTTTTATTTCTATTTAATATTTTAAATTTTTTGTATTTTTTATTCTTATTTTTATTACTTTTTCACTTTCAGCTCAACAAAAGTGAATTCGAAAACATGGACGAGTCGGAGCGTGAACTTCTAGAAGGCTACAGGCCCGGCCGCTACGTCCGTCTAGAATTCCAGAGCATTCCAGTGGAATTTATCGACCACTTCGATCCACGAAGACCACTAATTGTAGGCGGACTCCTTCCAGGAGAACAAAACATGGGCTGTCTCCAAGTCAGAATCCACAGACATCGTTACTTTGAACGGCTTCTGAAGTCACGGGATCCGTTAATCATTTCGTGCGGATGGAGACGTTTTCAAACTATGATGATCTACAGTATTCAGGACCATAATATGAGACAGAGGTTCTTGAAGTACATTCCACAAAGCATGTTCTGTCACGGAACGTTTTGGGGACCGTTGGTTGCGCAGAATACTGGATTTATGGCTGTTCAAAGTGTGGATGAGAAGACAGTAAGTTTTTGAAATTTTGAAAAAAAAGTTGATGATTAGATAAGTTAAGGTCGTGGGTTGCGTTTTTGTGGTATTTTTAGGTTTATAGGGAAGCTTTAGCCTTTAAAACCTAACTTATACTTAAAAATCAAATTTTCAGAAAGGCTTCCGAATCGCGGCTACAGGTGTCGTCCTCAACATGGACAAGTCAATGAAAGTGGTCAAAAAGCTCAAGTTGGTTGGAGAACCTTTAAAAATCTTCAACAAAACCGCCTTCATCAAAGGAATGTTTAACAGTCAACTGGAAGTGGCACGATTCCAAGGCGCCGCCATACGAACGGTCAGTGGAATCCGTGGTCTGGTCAAGAAGGCCGTGAATGATGAACCAGGAGCCTTCAGAGCAACTTTTGAGGACATGATCAGAATGGGTGATATCGTATTCTTGAGGTCATGGGTCACTGTACCTATTCCACAATTCTTCGCTCCTGTAACAGACAAATTGTTACCGTACGAAGAGCAATGGGTGGGAATGAAGACAGTGGGAAGGCTGAGAAATGAACAAGGCACAAAGCCGGAGATTAACAAAGACAGTTTGTATAAGGTAAGGGTTGTGTTGTGGTTTGAGTGTGTAAGATAAAACTTATATTGGGATAGAAGTGTATAAGGTAAGGGTTATATTGTGATAGGGTGGGTAAGGTGAGAGTTATATTGGGATAAGTTATACAAGCCAAGAAAAGTAATTTTTTTATATTACCCTACCTATTTTCAGCCTATAAAACGAAAGCCCTTCGTTCCAACCGAGCTCACTCTAACCAAGAAACTCCAATCCGAGCTACCCTACAACCTGAAGCCTAAAGTCGAAACGGAAAGAGTGGTAAGGAAGCGGACAGCTCAAATCGAAAAGAACACTGCTGTCATCTTGGAACCACGAGAAGCTAAAATACGAAAGGTCATGAGCATTCTGGAGAAAGTTCACGAAAATCGACAGGAACAAGAAAAAAAGGATTTGGATAGGAGACAGAAACTGCATCAAAAGGTAAGGGAGATGATGATATTGGGGGTTTTTTATTTTGAGTGGGATAGGAAAGGCTTTGAGGTGTGATGTGTGAAGTATATGGAGAAGGTTTGATCTTGATAGTCTTATCTATATAGCTCAAAATCAAAATTTTTTTTTAAATGAATAACTTTTCTTGTTGTTCTCTCTCGCTTTGTATATTTCTATATATGTATTTACGAAGTTATATTGGTTTAATTTCAGAAAGTAGCCGAGATTGACACGAAGCGAAAAGAGAAGATGATGAAGACCAAAGAGGAGATTTGTCGCAAATTGTCGAAAAAAGAAATTGCCAGATTGAGAAAGTCGATGAAAGCTGTCAAAGGTCGAGGCGGTCGCAGAGACGATTGATAAAAGAATATTGTTTTACATATCGTTATTGTTATCCATTGTTGTTTTCAATTGTTATAAAGAAAGGTTTTAACTTGGAGGGATTTTTGGATTTTGGATGGTTATTGACCAAGTACAATATATTAATGGATTTCATAGCCCTTTTACTAATAATACGGTAGTTTTGTGATCTTGTGTTACTGGAGTTAAAACGTTATATTCTTATACTATAGGTAGAAGTATATTGAGATTAAACTCTTGTTACTCAAGAGAATCGGCTGTGTTTGAGCTATGTGATCATTGTAAAGCTTGTATTCAATGTTAATTTAAATTTTTTAGGTCAAAGATGCGAACCTTGCAAATGGAAGAATGGTTCCTCAACTTTACCCAGTTTCAGCGAACTGCAATTACGCCAGAAACGGTGGGAACAGTGAGCAATCCGAGGTTGGAGTATGCTTTGAACACAACATTTAAGAGCGTGCAATTTTCTAGCTTTTTAGGTATGAATAAACGGTTTTTTTTGGGGTTAAAAGTTGTATTAATGGTAATATATTATGGTAAAGGGGACAAAATTTATCTTATTGGGTCTTTTTACTCCCTAGTTGATTTTTACCTTAAGAAACATTTAGGTATAGGCGGCAGGGACGTATTATAGCTGGGGAGGCGGATCTATCTCTCCTTCTCCAGAAATATAATTTTAACGACTGATAGGCGAGAATATCTGTAGATGCTTGAATGGACCTTATAATTTTTAGGTGGATGTATTGTACATCCAATCTACCGTATATACAAGCTTGTGACGAGGGATCCGGCTAAAGAAACGACGAACACAACCAAAATTATTCGAAATGCTTCAAGGAAACTACAGGTAACCATGTTATAAAAGCTATAAGAGAAGAGTAAAATATTTGGCGGTGTGAAAAATTCATTATATTCGATTTTTCCGATTTTTTGAAAATTTACTTTGATAGAGGGCACAGAATTATGTGGGCAATCTAATATAATAAGTAATACATATGTCAGTAAAAAGGATAATATACGACATTACACAACTTACTTTTAGGGTCGTATTTTACTGGCTGGACTAGCAGTAGGCCCGATTATTGGATATCTCTTACCATACTTTGGTGGCGTTAAGGAACCACAGCTGAAACAACTGTGCTATGAACATAGGATATCAGGAGACATGTTGGTTTGGGTAAGTTTAGGCTAACTTGATGTTATAACCAGGGCTCGACGAGTAGACAAGCTTTAGATGGGATTTGTTATTAGTGAAAGGGCTATGGTATTTCTGTTGTAAATGAGCTTTTGGTCGATTATATTATGGTCAACTATAGTTTTTTCTTGATTTAAAATATATGATAAAAGGATATTGTTGTAGGATCGAGCCACAGTAACATTCGGCTTCGTTGGATGGTATTGGAAACGATTCCAAGGCATGGTAGATGGAGTTAACCTTGCTTTAGCCTACGTAATCGCTTATCACTACGTAAGTTTTTTTTAGTTTTTTTACAACAAAAACTGGTGTTGCCTTGAGGATATACTGCAGTTTGTGTATATATACTGTATCTTTCAAATTTAAAACAAAAATGAATTACAAATTAAAAAATTTTAAATTCCAGGTGATCAAGACGAAAACGAACGTTCTTCTAACCGACAAATTCAAACCAGAAGAGCTACATAAGACTGTGGAGGAGGCAGAACAAAAAACAGATTATCTGAAAGGCCAGTTCAAGACCAAGGATCTCTTTGTCCAAAAGTCGTAGGGTGATATTGTACAGTTGCTTTGTATGAATACAGTCTGATATATATAGCCGATCATAAGCAGTGTTTTGTCGGACCGGTCCGGATGAGAATTTTTTCGGTCCGGTCCGAAAAATTTTCTGTCCGGTCCGGCTCTATTTTTTTTCGCTCAGGTCCGGTCCGGACCAAAAAGGTCAGGTCCGGTCCGGAAAATTTTTTGTTTATTTTTAAAAAGAGCCAGGAGCGCTCAAACTCCTTTCTTTTTGCTTAAAAACTCTTAAAAATATGTTTTATTTGCAATTTTTAAAACAGTTTTATTAAAATAAAAAAAAAAATTTTTCCGGACCGGTCCGGAACTTTTTTTCGGTTCGGTCCGGACCGGACGGGTCCGGCAAAACACTGATCATGGTAGGCTTCAAATTGGTTTGATCATTGAAGTTTGATAGGCCATATTGGAAAAGTTTGGTTCGAACTGTATTTGTACATTAAGTTAGGTCGTTATCTATTGTTAAAGATGTTTTTTGATAATAAAGGTTATGAGAAGATTGAAAACGACTAAATGTAGTTATATTATTTATTACTTACAAATCTACAATCATGGTTAATATATGTACAAAAGTGATTACCTGTAGACTAATAGTAAGTTACTACTGCTTTGGATCATCCTTATCATAATAGTGAATCAATGATAAATCTCCTTTGGATCATACCTTATGATAACAGTGAATCAATGCTAAAACCACTCATCTTTTGCTTCTTTGCCCTGTAAGTCGTAGTAGAAAAGGCGGCATGTTCTGACAGCTCAAATTGATCGACCTTCCTCTTGCGGGACAAAGGTGTTCTCATGACCTCTTCTTCTTCTATGTTATTGCTCATCAGGATCTCGAGCTCGGTTTTTCCTGAAAAAAATGGAAATACGAACCTTGTTTTAAGATAAAGATTTGTTTAAAATTTTTATTATACCTTAACATAAAATGAAAAAGGCTTGACCAACCCCTTCGCCTCAAAAAATAAAGAAAAACTTACGACGCTCAGCCATGAGAAGTTGGTGATCAAGTTCATCGTAAAGTTCGAGAAATCTGTTTAAAACTTCAACTTGGTCCATCTTCTTTCCCATCAACTTTAACTCTGGCTTCAATTCGTACAATAACTCCTTCATCTTGCCAATTTCTGCCGTTGTCCTCTGGCGTCTGACTGCTTCTGCCTGTACTTTTTTCAGTCTCTAAAGTAAGTTTATAATACATATTTTACTTTTTAATGTTTTTATATAGAGTACCATGAATTTTTTGATCGAAATAGTAAATTTACGTTTTGGATTAAGTTTTAGGTAAAGAAACTGGTTTTAGGCTTAGAAAACGTATGTTTAGGCCTAAATTTAGGTATAAAAGTAAGTTTTCAAACTTGAAAATGAAATTTTAGGCTTCGAAATTCATTTTGAGCTTGAAAATAATATTTTAGATATAAAATCAGGTTCAAAGAAGCAAGCTTAAGGTTTAAAAACAAAAGTTTTAGGTATAAAAAAGGTTTTTTTTAGATTTTAGATCAAAGATAAACTTACGCGGGTTGAAATTAATTTTAAAAGCAAAAAAAATTTTTAAAAAATAATAACTTACTTTAGCTTCAGCTTCGCTAACATATACAGGAAAAGTCATTTTGCTTCGAATTATCAACAGACTTCGGGGAAACCAAGACGTTTTGTGAGTGAAATAAAACTTGGAATGAAACTGGACGAGAGAGGTCGATGAAAAAAGGATTTCAGCACAAATCTCGTGTTATTGAGCGTGTTTGTTACTTCAAAGTAAGTCTTTTGTGTAAGATTATAAAGATTTTTGTGCGGGTATGGGTGGCGAATGGGGAATTTTGTTTTTAGGGGGAGAGCAGGGTAAAATTTTTTAAAATTTGGCAGCGCAAAATAGTGCAGGGAGGTAAAAAATCTTTTTCTACACTACCCTACCTTTGCCATATTTTTGCAAAAAAATGGGGATTTGCCCAGTTTTACCATAGTAAATAAACGAATGTTGTAGGTTACATATGCTTATTTACTTTAGTAGTGAATTACATTGTTTTACCTTACCTATTCCTTGCTCTAGCCTCATACCTAGCCCTAGTCTCTATCTCTAGTTCTAGCCTTTGCTCTCGCTTTTCTTTTTTTATTAATATGTAGTTTGTATTTATATTAACTATAGGAATTCACTTCTAAAATAAGCATCCAAACCAGATGCATGCCCTTTATGTTCCCTTCGCACGCACATAAACGTATGTATATTTTGGGAATTACAATGTAAAACTGCTTCGACAAGTGCTCAAATCCCTTCCGACAATTAGGACAAAGTGTTCGGCACAATTGTTTTCGCACTTGCCCTAAGGGCGTGTTTGGAATTGAGAGATGAATGAATTTTTAAAGGCGTTTAGTGAGGGTTAATTTTAGTTTTCTGAATGAAAGAAAATTAGTTTTTTCTTATATTTTAAGTAGCATTGTTGTTAATGTATGCTGGGTGGTGGTAGTCGTTAAAAAAATAGAGGAGGCATGGGTAGGGTAGGGTATGGTAAATCTAGGGCAGGTGGTGACTAGGGAATGCTGGATTAAAACCGGATAGATTAATGGTAGGATCGGGTAGGGTAGGGTTCATTTGATTTTCCAGTCGAAAGGAGAGAGTGTGAAAAGAAGAGAGCGCCGAGAAACAAAGAAAAGCAGCTTCCTTTTCTTTTTCGTGGGAACCCAATCAAAATGCATTTGACTGCTTTTATACCTGCTTTCTTTTAGTTGTAGGGTCAGGTATATAACCTAAACTTAAGGTTAGTACAATAACCAGCTCGGTAAATCTGTGGCTGTAAATTGAAATTTTGGAATGTTCGGCTAATGGCTGGACTGATAAGGTACTTTTTACTGCTTTGGTCAAAAGATGGCTTAAAACTTTTAAACTTATTCCTTGCTTTAATTTTCTTCTGTCATAATATATGAAATGCCGTTTTCCATTCAATTGTAACCTAATCCCTCCTCCTTCTGAAGCCGGTCCTTCATCCAATTTTATAAATTTTTGATTATTTTTTTGAATTCTCAAGGTTTTTTAAAGTAAAATACCTTTATGGGAGGATGGTTGATCTTTTATACGTTTTATGGTAAATATAGTCCAATTTCCTTACTCTAGCTCAAACTCTAGCCTTAACCCTAGCCTTTGGCTTAGTTTTACCACTAGTCTTATCTTGGCCTTGGGGCTAGCCTTGCTCTAATCTTATGGCTTGCTTAACTTGAGTTTTTGAGCTGGACTTAACCTAGTATTGGATATAGCATGGCCTAACTTTAATGCTAGCTTTAGCCTAAGCTTAGGATTAATCTTACTCTAGCCTTAAGGCGAGCTTTGTTTTAGTCTTAGGACTAGCCTTATCCTAACCTTAGGACTAGCCTTCGCCCTAGTTTTAGACCTAGTTCCAGCTTTATATTAGCTTACTTTTGCCTTTGCTTTACCGTAGTTTTATCCTATGGTAAAATGTTTTTTACTACGAAGCCTACAATACCAAAAAAAATCTTTAATATTCACACTAATTTATGCGATAGTTAGGTTCTATTTCTCATCTCTAGGTTGACATGTTTTCAGACAGTGGGAATATTCGTTTTGCAAAAGAATTCGTCCTCTGGCAATAAAGTTTTAGGGCTAATTCGAACTTGAGTTTCCTTGTTTCGCTCCCATTACTGCACGGGTTTACTGCATCGGTATAGAGGCCAATTTGTTACGTTTACACTTTCAAAATTCTTGGAAATTTGTGGTTTTTTTGTTGGCGATGGCATATTTTCGGGTTTTTGTAGGAAGAGGCAGGTTCTCTAGGGTCTTTACAATGTACAGACAAGCGGCGAGAGAGAGAGAGGTGATTATGTTTATAGTAGCGGTGCTTATAAGGGGCCTTGCTCCAATTTTAATATTTCTAACATTGCGTGACATTCTCACTTTATATATATATATCTCCAGGCCGAATCCTATGACATGTTGTTTTGATGTCACTTTGTAAATAAGATTAAGCTAATCACTTTGTTATCGTTTGTCAAAGTTTGATTAAGCTTCGCGATTAACTCAAAGAAATTTGTCGTAATTATTGCAATTACACGATGAAGTATTGTCATTGGACTATACTGGGTTTGGGCATGTCTGACATATTGTTTTGTTTAAAATTTTAAAAAATTAAAAAGAGATTTTTCTTTAAATTTTAATGAAAGATCAGTGTGGGGCTCGTTCTTTTGGTGTTAAGGGGGTAGGGGAGGATTTAAAAATTTTATCAAACATTTTCAAACATCGGGAGGGAAGATCCGAGCTGTTAAAGAGCCAGCTTGGCTCTAATTTTTTAGCCCGGCTTTTTTTCAAATTTGCTTCAGCTCGGACCGGTCTCGGACTGGGCCTAGCGAGCCTTCTTTCAGGTTTAGGGGTAATAAACTTTTTTCAAAATTGATTTTGGGGTAAAATTTTTTTCTCTTTTTATAGTACAGTCTAGTTTACATCAAAATTTTTTCATTTTCTCAAATCTAAAAAAAATATTTTTCGACTGGTTTACTTCATGAACATTATAAATAACAGTCTCTTTTGTAAAACATAACAAAAAAAAGTAAAAAAAATGGGTAATTAAGTCTTCTTTTGTCCATAAAGATAATCCATTATGGGTCAATTGTTTTTTGAAAAGCGCACATGCCTTTGGCTTAAAAGGCTTAACTTGGAATTTTAATTTTGAAAAATAGAAGTTTTAGCCTCGAAAACTAAATTAAAAAAAAGTTTTAAAAAAATTTCAAAATTTAAAAAAATCAGACTTAAAAAAGATTTTTTTGAAAATTTGAATTTTTAAACTTTTCCATCCTGACGAAAAAAATTTGGATTATTTACACCTTATCCTACTCTCCACACACCCCTCCCAACCAAGATTTTAAATTTTACAGCCCCTTCCAAAAATTTTTTACCTTACACGCCTCTTTCAAAACCCCTCATTGTTTCTGTCGGAACGCGTTTAACGAAGTATAGTATTCGAATACTTATTTTGCATACTATTTCCCGTTCTGCCGGAAGTTATTCGGCGCAAATTTTGCGACAAAAAATAGGGAATTTGTGACGGGTCAACAAATGGGTTTGGTTTAGTTTTTGTGCTCAAAAGAAGGTGGAAAATGGGCTGAAATTTGCATAGTTAAAGAAAATTTAGAAATTTTTAAGGATCTTGAAGTTGCGCAGATTTTTTATATTATTTTTATGTCGTACTAACCTTAAGTAGACATGAGCAACGGGCCGGGCCTGAGCAAAATCGAAAACGGGCCGGGCTTGAAAATTGGGCCCGGGCCCGAAAAAAAAAATTTTAAATTTTTTAAAATTTTTTATTTTAATTACCGTTTATGTTTTTCGATTTTATTGGATTCTATGATCCATAAATGACCTAAAAAAACAATTTAAAGCCAAATTTCCGTTTAGTTTTTAAGTTTTAAAATTTTTTAAAACGGGCCGGGCCTAAAAATTTTCTGATCGGGCCGGGCCGGGCCTGACCAAAATCAAAAACGGGCCCGGCCCGTTGCTCATGTCTAACCTTAAGTTTAGGTTATATACCTGACCCTTTACCGAACGCAGCCGAAGCCTTAAAATAGTCAAATGCGTTTTGATTGGGTTCCCACGAAAAAATAAAAGAGAAAGCTGCTTTTCTTTGTTTCCCGGCGCTCTCTTCTTTTCGCACTTTCTCTCTTTCTTCGAACTCTCTTCAAACGTCATTATAATATCCTACTCTACTCTACCCTACCTTACCCTAACAAAGGCCGCTACCCTACCTTTACCGTGAAATAAGGACCCGAACCTTCACCTATCAAAGCCTGAACTTTGGGGATGAACCAGCTAGTATATTTGCTATTTTATAATTTCATTTCATTTATTCCTCTTTTCAAAGTTACAACTGTTGACAAAAGATAAAAGTAATCAGAGAGTATAAAATCAAATCATGTCTCCATCTCTGTCTCCGAGATATTGCTCTCGCCAGTTGCCAATGGAGGTAACCAAGGCAGTGTTCCATCCAATTCCGTGTCTGCACCTATTCAGCCAGTCTCTAACACACAGCTCCACGAACTCGTCCTCCCATCTCATTCTAGGTCGACCAACTCTTCTTTTTCCTTCAGGAATCCAGATTAGCACCTTCCAGTCCAGCCGTTCATTTCCTGCTCTTGGAATTTTTGCCGCCATCTTCCATTTTATTGTGATTGCCACTTCAACCACATCCTTCAGTTTAGTCCGAGCCCTGATTTGTCTGCTTCTCACTTCAAATCCCGTAGTGTCAGTCCCAACATCGCTCGCTCCATTCTTCTTTGACACCGTTCGAGCTTCCATTTGTCCGCCAGCCTCAGTGCCCAACTCTCAGCTCCATAAGTCATCGCCGGTAGTACACACATGTTGAAGTACCTTCTTTTGATCCATACCTCCGTCCTTCTACTGGTCAGGAGATCATATTCCGCCCTGAAAGCGGCCCAGGCTGCCTGAATTCGCTTCTGAACTTCAATGTCCGTTCTCCTCGGCATTTCGAAGTGTTGTCCAAGGTATTTGTACCAGCTTGTCTTCTGAATTGCTTCACCATTCACATACAGTGCCCCATCAACCTCTCCCATCCACATGGTCTTCTGTTTGTTAATCACCAAACCAATCTTCAAACATTCTTCGGTTAAGGTACATCAGATTCAGTGCCACCAAATGGTTCGCTGCCGAGAAGCCTCTTCTGAACGCAGCTTGGTCCGGCTTCAGTTTCCCTTCTATCTGGGTTTCCACTCTTCTCCGTGCAATTCTGGGGGTTAGTGACTTTTCGGGCAGGGACATTTCGGGTAGCGACTTTTCGGGTAGGACATTTCGGGCAATGGTAATTTCGGGTAGCTACTTTTCGGGTTATCGACATTTCGGGTAGGAACTTTTCGTAAAATTTAAAATATTAAGTTATGGATAATTACAATAAAATTTCCAGACTTAAAATTATGACTTGCAATATTAAAAATCGTAATTATAATTTTTTAAAAAAACTAAAAAATTAAATAATTAATAATACATAAACCATGAATTATATAATTTTCATTTATTATGCTATAAAAGATAGAAGACTGAATCACAACCTGACTAAATCATATATCCTTTTTTACCCTGGCCTAATCACATGTCACTAAATCTCATGTGACTGAACCACATGTGCCTGGCGCTAGGACAAATGCGGTTTTTGGACATTTGCGGATCTGCGGTTTTTAGACACTTGCGGACCTTCGGTTTTTGGACACTTGCGGATTTTGGACATTTGCGGATTTTTTAAAGGGGTTTTTTTATTTTTTATTTAATTTAGTTGTAGTATGGTACTAAATGGTACAAAAGTTTAAATTGGCACTGTCTTAATATTTCTTAATGTTAAATAGTACTAAATTTTTAATCGGTACTGTTTTTATATTTTTTGGTACTAAATAGTACTAAAATCCCAAAAAGGTACTGTTATGTTAAAACCGTACCAATTCAAACTTTAGTACAATTTAGTACCATAATACAACTAAATTAAGTAAAAAATAAAAAAAACCTTTAAAAAATCCGCAAGTGTCCAAAAACCGAAGATCCGCAAGTGTCTAAAAACCGCAGATCCGCAAATGTCCAAAAAACCGCATTTGTCCTAGCGCCATGTGCCTTTATCGTTAACGTTGACATGGCACCGTGAACGTTGACATCGTACCGTCAACGTTCCTATGATACTTTTTTTGTATATTTTTAATGCAAGGTCGCATGCTTACCAGAATACTATGAACGTTATCGTACCGTGCTGTGAACGTTCTAGTGTTACTGTTTTTGTAATGATTTTGCAAAAATAGATGATAGTAAACGTAAGATATCGTTATCATCGGGTTCAAAAACAATAACTTTAGAACGTTACAATTTTTAACATTGCAAGTCATAATTTTAAGTCTGGAAATTTTATTGTAATTATCCATAACTTAATATTTTAAATTTTACGAAAAGTTCCTACCCGAAATGTCGATAACCCGAAAAGTAGCTACCCGAACAATCCCTACCCGAAATTACCATTGCCCGAAATATCCATCACCCGAAATGTCCTACCCGAAAAGTCGCTACCCGAAATGTCCCTACCCGAAAACTCCTGCTCCCCAATTCTGGACAGAATTTTGTACATAGTAGTGGCCATGCTGATCGGTCGGTAGTTGTTAATGTCCATCACATCTCCCTTCTTCATAATCAACACCAGACTTGAGGAAGCCATCTTTTCATCCAATAATTTGACATCCAACATCCTGTTGAGTATCCTTGCAATCAGTTCCGGACTCATCCTCGCTATTTCCTTGATCACCATTGCCCTGGTTCCATCTTCTCCCACATTCCAACCTCCTTTGATCTTCTTAGTCGCGCTTCCTTCACCTCCTCTCCAGTAACCTGGTCAATCTCAGTGCTTGGATCATCTGTGAGTATCGGACCATTCACATCCTCGTACATTCTTTGGAAGTGATCCACGATCGTCCCAATGGCTTCCGTCGATGTGCTAGTGCTGCCTCCTCCTTCTTTGTGCAGACGAAACCCAACGCTTCTGACCACCGACTTCTCACTCCTGCCTGCTCTTAATCTTCCATTCCTGATCGCCCTATCCATGACCTCCAATTTCCAACATCTCAAGTCATTCTCAATCATCTTCCTTGTCATCTTATCAATGTTTTTCATCTCCCCTTTTTTCAATTTCACCTTCATTGTACAGCATTCTCTTCTCGTACCTAATTCTCATCCATTCTATCGTTGATGGCCCAAATTTAGCTGAGACTTCCTTGGATTTAGCGCATTCGTTGAATATTACTTTCTGTTCCTCCACCAAGGCTCCAAAATCATCAATCCGGTTCAGGTCCTGCCTCTTGTTCGCTAGCACCACTTTGAGCTTCCTTCTGTCCCCAACCTTCTTATTTACCGTTCCGTTCCGTCCGACCATTGCCATAACCTCCAGCTTAGCCATTACCAGCTTATGATCACTGAATCCCATCACCATAGCTCTCACGTCCCTTATCCACCCAAGGTCTTCCGATAGGAACATGTCAATCATGACTTTGGTCGGGTTCCTTGCTCCAGCCAACTTCCACGTCCACCTCCTACCCATTCTCTTCCTGAAGCAGGTGTTCAAAACCCACAGGTTCTGTTCAACGGCAAAGTCCATGAGTAGTTGACCATTTCTATTCCTGGCCCCATATCCATATTGCCCCAGTTTCTCCGCATCATCCTGCTTAAACCCAACATTTCCATTCCAGTCGCCCGCCAGTAGAAGTTTCTTTGTTCTAACTCCATCCATCTTCACCAATTGAATCAGATCCGTAACCTTGTCGATGAACTGGTTGTATCCTTCAACTGTCTTGCCAGAATGAGGGGCATAGGCTACTACCAAGCTAATTCTTCTTCTTCCAACTTCCAGCTCCATTTCCATGATTCTTTCATCGTAGAAACGCGTGCCAATGACCATCTTTTCCATTATTTTGGGTAACAATATTCCGACACCAGCGTTTTCACGGCCACTTCCACCCACTTCCGAGTTATGTCCAGAGTAGTAGTATAGCCATTGCCCATTTATGCTGTCACATCCCTTTCCCGTGCTTCTTGTCTCAGTCAGGCCAAGTATGTTGATGTTGACCTTCTCCAGCTCTTCCAGCAGCTCCAATTTCCTTTCATCAGTCCTCAATCCGTGGCAGTTTAGTGTGCCGATCCTGAGCTCCATCTTCCCGTTGTTCTTCGTCGTCTCCACTACCTCGGTTGAATTTGGCAACCGGCTGGCCATTAATGTCCTTCGATGCGCCACCATCTCGTAGCCGGGAGAAACACTTGACTCCTTTCCGAGAGAGAGCGCAAAAAAGGCGCCGCCTCTCCGCTTGAAAGAAAAAAGCGAACTGATTTAGTGTTAATTTAAAATTTTACATATGTTTTATATATATGTTTTCAGAGGTTTTTTCTTACCTTTTCATTACCAGGAAAAATTGAACTTTGGCTTTCGTTCAGCATGAATTAGTCTTCAATTTATGTTGCAATGCGAGTTTTATTATAGACATAATTTTACACGATATATCTTGTATCTTCAAATTTAAATTTGTTTTTACTTTTATTTTATTTTAGGTTAGGGGCAGAGTAAAAGAAAGTAAGGTAGGGTGGGATAAGGCAGTGTAAGATAAAGTAGGGGTGAGAAACGGGCCGGACCCATTTTTAAGGCCCGTTTTCGTTTTTAACTCAGGCCGGCTCGGCCCGAATTTCTTTTTTACCTGCAACGGGCCGGCTTTTTTCGGGCCGGGCCAGGTCTACACGGCTCACAGCCCGTTTCTTAACCTTTGGGATAAGGTAAAGTAGGGATCGAAAAGAGCGAGCGCGAGAAGAAGAGAGCGCCGAGAAACAAAGAAAAGCAGCTTCCTTTTCTTTTTCCGTGGGAACCCAATCAAAACGCATTTGACTGTTTTATGACTTGCGTTCTTTTAGGTGAAGCGTTAGGTATACAACCTAAATTAAGGTTAGTACAATAACCAGCTCGGTAGAATCTGTGGCTGGGAATTGAAATTTTGGAATGTTTGGCTGATGGCTGAACTGATACGGATTATTTACTGCTTATAGCTGAACACTAGTGTAGTTTTTTAGCTGAAGAAGATAAAACAAGATTTGGCTAACCTTGTTTCAGTTTTTTTTCATCAATCTAGTTCCTCAAAATCCGTTCCCGTTTCAAATTCGATTACGTTTTTTTGTTTTTGAATGCGAAATGAATCATAAAATTTGTTCTCATTTCACCTTTCATGTTGCTCTTGAAAATAGAGCCGCCTTTTCGGCTCTTATAATTCTACGTTTCACGTGGTCTTTAACGTTTAAATTCGAAATTATTTTTAAATTAATTTTTTTTTAGTTTTTACTAAGGCTGAAAAGGTAATTTTGACCTGGGAATGATGATTTTTTTTATTTTGTATTTTTTGTTTTTTTACTCTACAGCCCAAAGCTCTAGCCCAGAGCCCTAGCCCAGAGCCCTAGCCCAGAGCCCTAGCCCAGAGCCCTAGCCCAGAGCCCTAGCCCAGAGCCCTAGCCCAGAGCCCTAGCCCAGAGCCCTAGCCCAGAGCCCTAGCCCAGAGCCCTAGCCCAGAGCCCTAGCCCACAGCCCTAGCCCAAAACTATAGCCCGATCCCTAGTCCAGAGCCCTGGTCCAAAGCCCGAGCCCAAGATCTAGCCTTAGCCTTAGTTCTAGCCCCAGCACTGGCTTACTATTAAGCCAAACGAGCGTATTATCCTTGCTCTAAAAAAGTCGGGACGAGCCTGAAAAATGGGCCCGGCCCTTTCTCCATGGTTAATAGAACCAAGGCATTCTTTTACCACATTCTATATACTTTGCTATCGCTTTATCACATTGTTTTAACAATTCATTTACTCTATTTTTAAACATTACACTCTTTGAACAGTATATTATCGTAGTTAAGAAAGGTGTTAGTCCCACCTCTTCGCACGGCCAAACAATTTCTCTAAAATTGTTTTAATGGGCTGTCAGTTTGGCCGATGCAACAATCCAAACAACTATGGCCTTTCAAATAATACAATTTGAATGGGGGGGGGGCTGTAGATGTATGTCCTTTCTCAATAGAATCCACAGACTCCATGTTACACATCTTTTTGAAATGTGCCTATTTCATTAAGTGTCCGCGTGTTATCGTGTTATGTTAGGGGTTTACTGTGCGGTGAAAGGGTAAAAGATTCGGTAAATGAGGGGATGGGTGACGTGAATAGGTATGATTATGGCTGTTGAAAGGGGGTGTTTGAAACATTTTTTTTTCCAATTTGGTAGGGTATGGCGAGGTAAAACGGGGGCAGCTCAAAACTGGCATCTTAAGGCTATTGTAGAAGCGAAGGGTAGGGTAGGGCAAGGTGGGTTATTTCTATATCAATAACCCTCAAACCTCCCTTGATAATCCCTTTTTATCATACTATAATATCGTGTCGTTTGCGCCCCCCCCTATTCAAAATTGAATTTCGGACGTTCGGCCGAAACTTAATGAGCAAAAAGTTAGAGGCAAATGGCCTCGGGGGATTCTGTTTTGACCTATTTCCGACCGATTGCCTCGGGGCGCCAAATTTGACGCAATCTCGGGTCCTATTGTTATGTCATTATGTCGTGTAGACTTGCAAAAAAACTTTTTTTACGTTTTAGGGGTGGAATTTTTTAATTTTTAAGTTTTAGGTATAATTCTAGATTACTTATCATTAGAAAAGTTGAAAAAATTTACATTTTTTTACATTTTCATACCTAATCACTTGTTTTAAATTATTTTTCGCTCCGTGAAAGATTAAATTTCCTACCATTTTCAAGCGCTGAAATTTCAGACGGTTTGGAATGGGCCTGGGCTAGGCCACACGTTGACCAGATGCCCTTATGGTGGTTTCAACAGCCGGCTGGTTCTTGAAGCCCGGTCGTTTGCCTCGCTACATTTTCAACTACCCACATTCGGTGCTTATCGTGGTACGAGTCTTTTCAACGGTAAGGCATTGATACTACTATAGTAAAATTTACTTTAAAATTGAAAAAATGTAGTTTTTTGCTTAAAATTTGAAATTTGAAATTTTTTTAGATTTTTAAAAATTAATTTTAAAAATTTTTTGTTTCAAAATTTGAAATTTTTTGAAAATTTAGCTTCTGTTGAGTGTAGAGTATATGTTCAAGTTTCAGCTATGCTCAATATGCACATTGATCATTTGGAATTCGGCGAAACGCCAGTTCAGCCACGATTCCGGGTTTCGGCTGGTGGCGGTGTTTGATCTGCTCAGTCTTTTATGTATATTACTCTCCTTCTGGTTCACGATACAAAAATTCTACTATGTAAAGTTGGTAAGCTATTTTGATCTCTACTTCATATACTTTGAAGGCAAATATATTACACTAGATTTATGTCAAGCTCTCTAGAAGCCAGGTCGAGGTTTTTGATGCTACTTTTTAATGTAAAAAAATATTTAAAAATCTTGCAATTTCAGGATGCTGTGTTCAGTTTCACCTCAATTGTCTTCATTTTGGCCGGCATCGCTGTGACAGGGTCTGTTAGTGAGGATGTTAAGACCAACGATTTGTTCTACATTATTGTAAGTTGTACTAGACAGAGCATAATAAGTCGCAGTAGACATGTAATAAACGTGAAACTTTTTAAAAAATTATTTTTGGCAAAGGCTGTTTTTCAAATTTTCAAAAAATTAAAAAATTGGGGATATTTTGGGTATAAAATATTTTTTAAATTTAAAAATTCAATTTTTAATCATTAAAATCCGCCTTTTAAAAATTTTCGCCTAAAAACGAGTTTTTAGATTTGCCATTTGTACCTTCTAATAGCTCAACTATTTTCATTTGGCTGGGCTATATTGTGCACAAAGAACACGGCTAGCAAGTTGTTCATTTCCAACTGGGGGCGTGGTGTGAATCCGACCGAAATTGAAATGTTAGAGGAGGACTTTTGATCTAATTTCATCATACGTATGTTCTACCCTACTATAACAACATCTACTTTACTAAAAAAATATGTGCACTACTACAACAACGTCTACGTTATTGAGGTTGTATGCAAACGGCTATAACAACATCTACGTTACTAAAACAACATGTATTATAACAAAATCTACATTTCTATGCCAAGATGTTCATTGCGGTACAAAAACGTATTCTACTGTAACAAAATCAGCCATTGCTTTTTGGCCATTTTCGTTGGGCCCTAAAGTCATGCCTAATCGAAAGAGCATCGTATTATAGCTGACATTATGTATTCAAAACATTTGTATATTTATCCTTACTGAGATATTCTAACGTGTCCAAACGGGTTTTAACTCTATTTTAACTGAAAATTTAATAAAAATTATTAACGATTAAAGCCGAAATTGTGAAAAGATCCGATAGTACCATAACAAACGTCCACTTGTACCATAACAAAAATTGAACTGTAGTACAACAAAAGTCAAGAAAGGTCAACTTCTTTCGACCAAGAATCAAAACTCTTGTTCATCTTGGCCAAACAGGTTTTCCAAGGAAGCGGCAGCGGCGGCGGCTTCGTCCCTAAGGGCCTGGAGGCGCGCGGCTTCGGCAGGGTCGGTTTGGATTGGTCTGGGTTGGTGAGATTGGGCTTGAGGTTGCGCATGAGATCTTTGTGTTCCCTGTACTTGTTGACCGCTCTGTCCGAATGTATGAGTTGTATCACCATATTGAGCGTGTTGTCTTTGACCGTATTGGCTTCCATGTTGAGTTTGACCAAACTGATGACCATGCTGACCACCTTGACCGTACTGGCCATGTTGACCTTGACCAAATTGGCTTCCATGCTGTGTGCTTTTAACGTATTGACCTCCTTGGCCGTAAACTGCTTGTCCCAATGTCGAATGGCCAACTAAACTACCTGCCACTGTGGCTGCTCCTTGAATCCCTGGCTGTTGTCGATCGTCTCGTCGTACTGAAGGCAACAGAATCCGTTGAGTTTGGCCGTGAATTCCGGGAGGTAAAACTCGAGGTAGTGGTGCTTGAATGCGGTTATCCATGAGATGAGCGGATTCCGTGCTGCGTTTTAATGCTTGTGTGAAGGTGTTTCTGGCCACACCAACAATTGGCGTCATCGTTGGCTTGTGCATGGGTTTCTGTTGTTGAAGATTCTTGGGTGGTCGGCCGCGTGGAGCACCAGACTTGACCTTTGGTCCTGTTGGAGTGGGGTCTGATCTAAAAATTGAAATTCTTAAGTTGCAAAAGACACATTGTTAGCCACATTACTCACCGTTATTTAAAAAATCATTAAAAAGTTTTTTAAAAACCCACCCATCCTTTGACGCTTTCAGCGGTTTTCCCTTATTATTCCCAATAACACCACTCGCTCGTCCCTTCAGGGTATTAACATCTACTTCAAAGTGAGATGGTAGCTTCACCGGTCGCAAGAAGGGCCGTTTGTCTTTGGCCGACAGTCCTCCTTCTACTACAACTTGTTTTATAAAGTCGATAGTATGCTCCAAGATCAGACGGTCCACACAATGTTGACTGACACGTTCTACTGATAGTGCTACCGGTGATACGAAGAGGTTTTTGTCCGCGTTTCCGACCACAATGACGCCTGAATCACAGATCATGTTCTGTTGAAGTTGTTGTATGTCGACGAGGTCACAATTCGAAGCGCTTTCGCCAATTACAAAGAGCGATGGGCAGTAGGTAATGCAGATATTGTCATCAACAGACTGAAAATAGTTAAGTAAAGCATAGTAGTTAAAAAATAGTAAAACTTCGTTCTGCAACAAAAACTTACCCCTCTAGTTCCCAGATGATTCTTCAAAGGTATAGAGAAGTTCAAAAGTCCAGTCACACCAGGAGTCTTTCGAATAGCCTAAAAAACATTGATTAACAATCGATATTAACATTAAACTTAACCCTACTATAATACCAGCTTTGAATTACAACAATCGCAAATTTCTTTACCTGAAAATTAAGCAAACAGCTCGTCCCCCATCCAGCCAAGAATACATGATCGTCAGGTCGTCGGCGTGTCATGTCTCGCACTCGTTGTCGAATCTGATCCAAACACATGTGTGTCAATACTTTTGCATCAACTTGAGACTGGAACTTGAGTTCCACCTTCTCCACGCATCTAACAGCCGCTGGCAGCAAGTTTCGGAACATGTTTTCATGAGCATGTTTGTGAACGATCTGATCGCCGACCGTGATTTGTGGATAGACAAGGACTAGACTGACTCCTGGGATTGGTTTTATCTAAAAAGATAAAAATTTACGTTAGCTTTTGATGTTTTGGGTCGATAATACATATTTTCAACTTGAAAATCATGTTTTTCAACTTAAATTTTAACTGAAAATCCAAATTTTCAAAATAATTTCAATAAAAAATCCATGTTTTAAAGCTACCTCTCGTGCTCAAACTCAATTTTTAAAAATTACTTCTAAAAATTTTTGAAACAAAAAATTTATTTTTAACCTTTAAATTTAAAAAATATCAACTTACATCAAATACTTTTCCAAATCTGACCCCAGGGTCGGCCATTTTGTGGTCCAAATAATCTGTTATGTGAACATTGGCTTTTTCCATCTCTGGGCTTGATGCCTTTTCGGTCAGGAACAGTGGCAACTGAGTTCCCTAAACTGGTATTCATTAAAAACAAGTTAATACAATCGAAATTTTCTGATAAAGACTACCCCTCTGTCAAAAATTTGTACTTCACCCCCAAAAAATGTACCCTGTCCACCAAGAAAAATAAATTTCCTTTCCCCCTGAAAAAGCCGAAGTCGCTAACAAAAATTCCATGTTTAAAAAAACAAAAAATTATTTAAAAACCCACCGTGCACTTCAAGAATCTCAACAAATTCAAATATGAGCCCAAAAATTCGTCCGGCAACTGCTTAACAAGGTATTCGTGCGCTTCTCTTAACGCTTCCATCCTTGCCATCGTGTACAACAACAAGTTTTCTCGCATTCTCGACGCATTCTTCAGGGTTTGTGTGTAGAATAGTGAACATCCGCCCTTTACTTGCAGAGTGTTGAGATCTATTAGACGTTGGGTTGAGATAAATGACAACATTGTTTTCAGGTGTTGCTTCTTGTACTTGTCTTTCATGTTTAGCACTCTAAAACATACAAAATTGTTTGAAAATGCTATTTTTTGTTAATTTTTCCTGTTAAAATGAAAATTTTGATCTTTCAAATTTAAAAAATAGCATATTTAAAAAAAACAATATATAAACATGAAAATTACAGAATATATACTCCTTTTCATGCTCTATCACCTATCATTTTTAAATCTTTCGATAAATCTTAAGAACAACACAAAAACAATAAAAAAGCGCAAAAGCAAGAATTGTTCAAAATTTTCACTTTTAAATGTTTTAAAACTAAAAGAAAGATTAAACTCTTACTCAGCCTCAATGATACCAATAGGATCCATTTCCTCGTCTTCGGCAACCTCCAATGGTATCTCCTTTCGCACGTCAGCTACACATTCCATGGCTGGGTTTTTGACCAAAACTTCATTCTCTTCGTCTTCGATATTGACCATTTCTTCAAAATCCCCGCCCAAAACATCCACATCTTCATTGTTGTTAGTTATATGATGTTCTTCATGTCTAAAAGTCAAAAAAATTATCAAAAAACGCAATAACGTAAAATTAGGAAAGTATTGTCGTCTTTAAACATACGTTTCTAGACTCAAAAACGACAAGACTTTTTAAGTCAAAATTCCCAAAACCCTCATTTTAAAAACTTTCTTCTCATACCTAATATACCTCAAAATATTAGCTTTTTCAAATAATTCTGAGCCCCATCTCAAAGCAAACTTGCGGAGTTAAGAAGCAGAATTATGTAAATAGCCTAACTGTACCCCCTTCAACCCCGACATACCTAACCAAAACTTCTCGATAGAAATAGTCAGCTGGTCTAAGACACTTTCGTTCAAAATTCAGTCCCAAAGCCATTGGATTCAGCTGTTTTCGAAGCTTCATTTCTTCGAAGAACGGCCGATGAGCGTAGCCATGAACACGTTGTGTACCGTACATCTGGTAACGTTTTACAGGCTTCGGTTTGGGTGGAGTTTCCTCCAAATTAAGTGATTCCTCCGGTTCCAATTCCAAATTGTGATGGTATGCGCTACTAGTTGTTGGGATTTGAGCTGGAAAGGTTGATTATATTGAAGTAGGCAAAATTTTTCGATGAAAGTTATACTGAAGTGACTTTTTGTAAAAAAAATATTAAAGAAGGTAGCATTCATCCTTTTAAAAAAATTCAAAAAATACACTATAAAATGTTATATTTTTCTACCCAAAGCAACATTTTTACTCCCAAACCCTTACCATTAGCCTCACAAACACTGTTCTTAGCCACTCTTCCCCTTCTAGCTCCAGGTGTGGGTGATTTCAAGCTTTCCGACGTGTTCTTCAGCAATTCTGGAGCAAATTGAGAGATAGATAAAGCTTTGTTTCGTCGCTTTCGGCCTTCCAACAACGATGTGTTCAGATCTCGCTTCACGGCTTCTTCTTGGCTCTGAATCTGAGCCAACTCGTACTGTCGCTTCTGTGATTCCAACGCCAACTGAAGCGCATCGTGATCTGGCATGTAAAAGTTTGGAGTGTATGGGTATAGGGCAGTTGGCGGAGGCCCTGATGGAGTTTGGACGTCTGATACATTAGTGTTGATCTAAAAATTAAGTGAAACATAGATAATATTGTTGAAAACCATCATTTTTCCATAAAATTTTTGTCACTTTTTCCGTTTTAAAACACAATTTTTTACATTTAAAGCCAATATGTTATCTATAATTTAAAAAAATCAATCTTTTCAGCCTTACCTTCAAGGGAGTGACCTTAGGAACCTTAACAGGTGGAGTGTCATATGTTAACGAACGATTTCTGTCATCACGAGAAGGTGAAAATTTGGCCACAGGTTTAATTCTACGCTTTCTAGAAGTCATCATGGGCTCTGAACTACTCAAATCCACTATTCTTGGAGCTCTTTTCTTAGCCACTGGCTTCTTTTCTTGATCAACTGGCGTTTCGTGACCAACTGCTGTTGATGTAGACGCTTCTGGTTCTGTTTTAACTGTTGCTGCAATACGTTCAGCTGATTCTGAAGCTTCTGCTTCAGTTTTGACAAGTGCTTCTGATGGTTCTTTGCTTGTTCCATCACCTTCAGCCACTAAGAATTAAATTTTTATATTTTTAATATCAACTTACCATTTTGTGATGCCCTTTCGTCTAATAAAGATGTTGATGCTTCATCGACATTTTCTACTTTAATGAAATCTTGACTTGATAAAGAATCTTGAGAATCATCCAGCACTGAAGAAGACATTGTTGAATCTTGAAAAGAAAAATCTGCAACAGCTGGAGCCGGTGATAACGAAGTAGATGGTGTAGAATTCTCCGGACGTTCCTTAAAAGCATCAACACACTTTCGTCCCCATTTTAAAAACGACGACAATCTGGGTCTTTGTTCATCTGAGGTTGATTTAGAAGGCTTTGATTTTGATTCGGAAGACTTCGATCTGGATTCAGAAGATTTGGTTTTTGCTTCAGGAGTCTTTGCCTTTATTGCAGAAGCTTTTGCCTTCGAACTTTGAGAAAGTTGAGGCGTAATTTCAGATATTGTGGTTGATCTAACCTCTGGCGTTGATAACTTATCTGATCTGCCTAAATTTAGAATAAATGGTAATTATAAACACAAACAATTAGGTGTTTATAAAACACCACCAAGTATAAAAAGTAAAAAACGTACGTCCTCTCCCAGCAGAATTATTTCCATTTGACTTCTTCCGCCTACCAACTTCTGATACTTCTGGTTTAACCTCTGGAGAATCTGGTTCTTCTTTAACCTTTGCAGCTTCAGCCCTCGTATCCCCGCGTGTTTTAGCTTTCACTGCCTTTGGAATAGGCGTTCGTACCTGCTCAACTGGTTCTTCTTTGACTTTAACAGGTTCTTTCGCTTTCGGGGTTTCCTTAGGTGTAGGTGACTTTTCTCTTGGTAAGTCAGGTGTCAGAATCCTGCTTGCGTTACTCTAAATACCAAAAATTACTTATTTATCATTTTTATTTACAAAAGTAATTCTTTTCCTTTGCTAATCCTATATAAATCAAAGTTTTCACCAAAAAATCGTCATTTTTCATAAATTTTAGCCCCAGAAAAACCTATGACATTATAAAACTCAAATTCAAAGCAAAAACAATAGATTTTCTATCCACTTACAGCGGTTCCACCATTAAAAATGCCTAAAAATTCAAAAAATAACAATATCAACTTACTCCTTTAAACGGTTGGTTATCATTCGGCCCTGGACTATATCGAGATCGTTGTTTAACTTCACGTTTCGGCCTTTGAGACATTTTGACAATTTAGTGAACGAAAAATTAAGTGAAAATTATGTTTTTAAAAAAAATTTTATTGAAATTTGAACCCGTGAAAAATGAGCGCTAAATTTCACAAGACAAAAGAAAGGCACGGTATGCCAACAATGTGACTTTCGTTGTGGGACGCCAAGATTAACATAACGTGAATTTAATTAGAACATATTTATTGTTAACCTAAATTAAAATGTAAAATAAATGGTAAGAAATGTTTAAAAGTTGGCAGAAGAATTATTGTTTAAAAATCTTTATAAAATTTATTGATCCGCACAATATAATTTATAAAGCTATAAAACTTTGATCGTATAAAATGGATAGTCAAAAATAAATAAAGTAGAAAAAATAAATTTTTATAAAGGTAAGTTATTATTATAATGGACTTAACAGCACGCAGTAGTCATGAATTAATTGACGAAAAATTTTATTCAACTACATATCAACATATTAAGACTAGTCAAGGTCGAGAGCTTGTTAAAGTAAGTTGTTCTTGTTTTATTTTAAAATTTTAGAATTGGACAGAACGTACGGATCCTCAGAAGTATGTTTACGAGGATTGTGGCATTGTCTCCTACCTAATTGTAAGAATTTATTAATTTTGTTGTATTTTTAGAGGTAGTTGATGTCTATCGCAATATAATGCTTTTCAAGCTCTGTAACCAAATTTATTTGAAGCTTTCAGTCTTTAAAACAAGCAGAAGACTGGAAGGTAAATTTCTTTGTTGATATTGGCTGTGGAAACGGGTTATTGACGTATTTATTGGCCATAAACGGGTGGAATGGAGCTGGTATTGATGCTAGAAGCCGAAATATTTGGGAAATGTTCAAAAACAAGTGTAATTTGGTAGAAAAGAGTTTAAATCCATCTGAAAGAGAAGTCACTACATTGCCTGAAGACGCCGACTTCTTGATTGGTAATCATTCCGACGAACTCACGCCATGGATTCCTGTTATGGCCGCGAGGTAAGGTAATTTTAGTTGTAAACATTCTCTACCTTTAAAATGGATATTTGTTGCTGTGGAGCATAAAGACTAGGTAATAATGGATCTTTTTAGGAAGAAGTGCAACTTCTTTTTGCTCCCGTGTTGTCCGCATGATTTTTACACAAAGTTCTCGTCGATTCCAGCCAACCCCAAACATGGAGGTAATGGTATTGGAACTTATGGCCAATATCTAAAATATATTCACTCGGTTATTCAGAAACTTGGATTTGATGTGAAGATTGATCGTTTGAAGATTTCTAGCACCAAAAAAGTAATTTTTATTTAATCTATTTACAAAAACATTACATATTCGGGAATCGATGGTAACTATAACAGTATAACAGGTTTTTATAGAAAAACACTAAGTATACAAGGGATTTTAGATATGTTTCGTAGGCACAATACCTAAGACAGGTTTGCCAGACAGTTTAGAAGATATTATAGAGGAAATCCTGGAAAAGGCGGCGAAAATGAGACCAAAGTTCATACCTATTGCCAATAAGGTGGAAGTGAGGAATTGTACCAAATTGGACTATGACTTTAGGCAAAAATTGTCTAGAAAGCTGGCTGAAATTATACTGAGTAAAACTGAGGAGTAAGTTGGTGTTTTAAACATTAATCTATTAGGCCTTACCTTTTATGGGTTTAGACACATTCTTATGTTTTGACAAATTTATATAGAGTTTGGTCAAAATAAGTAATGAAAATGATGGTTAAAGTTACTATGTTTGTTTACAAATTTGTAGAACATTGACAGACTCAATAAAACTCAACGAACTAGTTCCATTCCTATCAAACGACGAGAAGTCCCAACTCAAAGCCCAATGTGGAGGAATACAGACCTTCCTGAAGAACTTTCATCAAGCGTTTGAGGTGAAGAAGGGTAATGTGAAGATAAGGAACTGGCTAGTGGATCACAAGAAGTTCGACAAGGAGGACAAAAAGAAGTTCTCCAAGTGCTGGTTCGATCATGTTCATCCGCATGGCTGTCCGTTGGCTAGTGTGGATTGTCCTTTTAGGCATCGGGATGAGGAAGAAATCACAAATTCATCAAAAAAAGGAGAGAGCATGCCCTAGGGCAAAATAAAAATTTAAAATTTTGGTTATAACTTTATTGTTATGTAGTTATTGTTGAGTTTTGTAAAGAGTCTTTGACAAGAAACTCCAATTCTTATTCGTTTTGCTACCTAAAAACCTCAGTTTCACCGATAACAACACATTTTCCCCCAAAAGCCATAATTTCTAGCCAAGTTTACTCAGTGTAGAACAATGGTAGCATCTTTTGCGAATTCGCATCTTTGAAGTTGTTCTGCTTCGAGGTCCAGTACTTGCCATTCGAGAACCACAACATCTTCTGGGTGATGGGGTCGTTCCGTTCGCTGAACCACATTTGAGTATGTGGGAGGTGGGCACGTTGGCGTTGCGCCACTTCCAGCAAAGTTTTGGATTCGTGGGCACGTTTGCTGTCGCCGTGCTCTAGGAAACGCTGGTCCGGGCGTAGGCGGCTGTCAGTTGGGGGAACGAAGGGTTTCTGTTCGGGGGTGAGTTCGTTCAGGCCTAACGTGAACTTGTTGAAGCCGTAGTACTTGGAGGACAACTCGTATGCGGGTGGGGCTTTGAAGAGGCGTTCTTGCTCGTTTGAGGGGAGGAGGATTCTGAAAAAAAATTTTAGTTTCAAAGAAAATATTTTTTAAATCACCCCCCGCGTAAAAATTTTGACCAAATTCACCCCCTGACCCTACCTATTGAGTCCCTTGTCCCATTGTCCGACCAGTCGATAAGCCATGGTTTGGGCGTTCTTGATCTCGCCTCGAATGTTCTTGTCACCCGTGAATAACATACGGCACTCGTACCCGTTCGTACACTGCACGACCATCTCACCCTCGTTCTTGACCCTACGTTTCGCCGCTTCTGATCGAGCGTTTTGGATAATCGTTGTTACCTAAAATTTGAAATTAGTTTATATTGCTTTAGGACATTATAGCAAAGTTATATACTGGATCTCATCTTGTTAATATTACCCTACCTTATTCCAAGTGTACTCCTCTCCATTACTCAACGATAACCGCACAGGCAGCAGACACCGTAAACTGGTACTGCCATCGAAACTGGGAGTAATTGTACCATGCAGGGTTTGTGCCCATTCCCAGCCATCGCCATCCGCATGGCACGCCGACATCGGGGGTTGATGGGACACCTGTTCGGCGTGGTACTTCCAGCCGTCGTCCGATATGTAGTCGAATGTCTCGCCCAGGAGAGGGTTAAAGGGTTTGCGGTTGCGGTAGGCCATGCCCGAGTAGCCGCTGATTATGAAGCCGGCTACAATGCACATCCGATCGGCCGGATCTTCGATCCGCTTTAAGCGATCCAGGAATTGTCCGGCGAAGCGGAGCTCTTCGCATGCACTCTGCAAATTATTTTTTGTGAAACAGTCCCTCCTGTTAACTTTCAAAAAAATTTTTGAAGAAAAAATCCACCCCCAAATTTTTTTCAAATTGAAAGTCATGTTAATTCAAAGAACTTCAAATCCCTACCTGCAGAATCCCCAATGGCTCATAGGCATGAATAGGTAGACATTTCCTCAATATGGCCGTTATTGGTATACTGTTTCCGAAGATCTGTTCCGCTGGCAATATCACCCTTCGTTTTTTGTTTGGCTGAAGGGCGGGGTGAATTTGCTGGGGCTCTTTTGGTGATTCGAGCTTCTTTGCTGTGGATGGCTCGGCTGGAGGTGGCGGTTGAACGGGCAAATTTGCTGACGGTTGATCTTGTTGTGTCAGTTTTGTGTCGCTGTCCTGAAATGAAATTTTTAATCATACCCCAAAATTTTTTCTTCATAAATTTGAACAAGCCCTCCCCCCCCTATCCTGTTGAGTTGAGACCAAAAATATTGACCACTCCCCTTCCCTCCACGATCAAAACCCAAAAATCAACAGCCAAGTTTTTTAACTTTAATGAAAATAGTATCAGTACTATGTAGCACTTACGGAAATGGCGGTCGTCACAGCGATATTGGGCATCGACGTGCTGTGCTTGACTTTGTTGTTTTGATCCGGCTCATCGTTGAGATTGAACGCCGACATCGAAGCCAACACACCGTCTAACCTCTCGACCGGTCTTGTACGAATTTGAAAACAAAAGTGAGCATCTTTTTATTCAAATTTCGAAAACTATTTTTTGGATGGAAATTTTTGAAACTTGAAAATTATTTTTCGGAATAAAATTTTATTAGGTGATTGCGAAATTATCCCGCCAATTTTTGTTTTTACCAAAATTTAAAATTTAAAAAAACAACAACAACTAATTAACAAATATATGTGTCATTATTATCAACAACCTGTTGCCATCCCTTCGGCAGCATTTGGATTCAACTTCTGTAGAAACCTGGAGTTTGAGAATTGAAAAAGTTAGTCCACCATCGCTTGAGGTCGTCTCGGTTGTCAAAGCGTATTGCATTCAGATGGTTTTTAAGAAAGTGGAACATATTATAATCTGAAGGCACAACATCGGTGGAGTACAGCGCATGTGGCATCTCAGTCCAGCCGCAACTTTTCAGCTTGTGTTGGGTCAACATTGTCACATAGGCGCGAGCATTGTCATGAATGAAGAAGACCCGGTCTTTTTTACCATGAAATGCAGCGGCAACAGATTTGATTTGTCTACAGAAGACATCTACAGGGATCGTAGTTTTATGTGGTACCATTTCCCAGTACACAACACTTGTTGAGTTCCAGCTAACGCTGGTCACCTCCTCCAGTTGGTGAAGACCAGTTTTTGGAGTTGACCCACCCTTTTCTCCACGTCCAAACCATTGTTTCTTCTTGGTGTGACTAACATACAGTACCCACTCCTCGTCCCCAGTAACCAAATTGTCAAATCATGCAAAGGTCCTTGGGAACATCAACAAATAAGTGCAACTTCCACTTAGCGTTTCAGCTGGTCGCTGTTGAAATCATGTGGAACCTCTTGGCCATATTTCCATGATCTTCCAATCTTCCAAGGGTCTGAAGTCTAATTAATATGGAAGAAGGATCACATTGAACCTCTACAGTCCAATGAGTAATAGTTCGTCTGGGGTCTTCTTCGATCAGCTTCAGAAGGTGGGGTTTCTTCAACGCTGATGGTCTACCATATCGAAATTTTCGGACATGTCAAAGTCACAGTTTTTGAACATGTGGAGCTAAACTTTTGTGGTGTCGTAAGAGACAACTGAAGGCCCTACAGCACTGCATATTTCTTTCGTCGCTCTTGTTGCGTTGCCGTTCTCACGGAAGTTGCGAAGCAACATTGCCCTAACATGACCATGTTTTACCTTGATTTCTTGAACCACCGTAAACAACAGAAAGCTTGAACATGCAATATTTTTTAGTGCTTGGACATCTCTTTATATAAGTTGACAACAGAAATTTCTAGAACAATCCAGAATTTTTAAAAAATTTTTTGAAAAATGGATAATTTCGCAATCACCTAATACTACAAAAATTGAAAAAATACAGAATTTCAGAGCGAACTTGGTCGCTAGAAATGCTACATAACTTTCCAAAAATCCATCTTAAAAATAAGACCTTTGGCATTTCAAGTAATTTCAAAATTTTTCGGTTGATATTTTATACTATTTTGTAGTTTTTAAAATTGAGAGATCAGCAGAAAGTTAGCGAAGACTCAGCAGCGAATTTTATAACTCGCGTCAAACTGGACTATACCATTAGATTAAAACTTACAAAAGTTTCCTAAAGGCATTAACTAAAGTAAAAAAGATACGTTTCTTCCTTTGTTAAAAGCCCCAAACGAAATTCTAATAGGCAACAAGTTTATTTATGATCAAAATATTACAGTACAGTTCATTTGTGGCCCTGAAGAGGGCCGTTTGGGATCAGTTGGGCTTCAGCACAAGTCCATTCGAAGTTAAGTCAAATTGAATCCGTCAAAGCTTCAAAAATCAATCAAACCATTAACATCTCACTTCACCAACTTAAGCACGTTCACCACGGATACGACGAGCCAATTGAATGTCCTTTGGCATGATGGTGACACGCTTGGCATGGATGGCGCACAAGTTGGTGTCTTCGAACAAACCAACCAAGTAGGCTTCAGAAGCCTCCTGGAGAGCCAACACAGCGCTGGACTGGAATCTCAAGTCGGTCTTGAAGTCCTGGGCGATCTCACGAACCAACCGTTGGAAGGGGAGTTTGCGGATGAGCAGTTCGGTCGATTTTTGGTAACGACGGATCTCACGAAGAGCGACGGTTCCAGGTCGGTAACGGTGAGGCTTCTTGACACCGCCGGTGGCTGGGGCCGACTTGCGGGCAGCCTTGGTAGCCAATTGTTTTCGTGGAGCCTTACCTCCGGTGGACTTGCGGGCAGTTTGCTTGGTACGAGCCATTGCTTGAAAAGCTGAATTCTGAAAGACTGATGAAGAAGCCGGTCGATCTGTGGGCCTTTTATACCTTTCTGGTGGGAGAGAGGCGGAGCTTGGAGAAAGGCGATTCGTTCCGGAAAAAGCGCGCCAAACGGGGGTTTGCAGCGTGCGGCCTGGACTTGTGCGGTATTTAAAAATTACAAAAAATATAAAGTTTGATCACAAAATAGACATGAGGAATGGAATGGGCCTGGCATAAAAAAGACTGGCCGAGCCTTAAAATCAGACCCGGTGCAGAAAGTCCATATTTGTTGTCGGGGTAGGCCTGAAATATGGAGCCAAAAAAGTAAATCGTAACAAAAAACACAATAATTTGTAAAGGTAAAATAACAACAAAAATAAAGTGTACCACATAGTACTGTAGCCATAAATTAATAAATTTGAAGACGTCTTTTGCCTATTTGGCTGAAATTTTTTCAAAACACATCATCCGTGACAATACACGATAGTATGTTTATTGAGTCGATTTATAAAAAGCTTTAGACAACTTCATCTCCTGTAAATTTTGATTACTATTTGTAAATAGTAGCAAAAATTGGTCAAATTTGAATTTCAATATTGTTTTTTGATTATTTATCAATGTCCTTTATTTATTTGTTATTGTAATTGATTTTTCATTGCCATTTTAAACTTTTTGGATCCAATACAACATGTGCCACATCACATAGATCTTTAAAACCAAGGAAAATCCAAGCTATCCTTACGTTGACCTCAATATATTCTTCCCGCCACAAAACCCAGCTACGTATTCTGTATACGATAGAAGAAAGAGAACGTCGTAACCCTAAGACTCTCTTCTTCAGCTAACACAAATTCCCTTTCACTCACTCTTCATCGTCTTTTACTCTCTTCGACTTCTGTCGCTCTCATTCTACATCGTCTGGCAACCTCTCCGTTCCCTTCATTCTCTCGCTTTTCGCCCTACTCCAACCGTGAGTCCCGCCCCTTCGCAACGACCGCTCAACGCGAAGTATAAAAGGAAACCCCCTTCTTCTTTCTCCTCATTGTGTCCGCACAACCCAACTTGAGATCAAATCATGGTTCCAAAACCAACCGGCAAAGGCGCGAAGAAGGCTGTCAAGTCCACCAAGGTGGCCAAGACCGATGGAAAGAAGCGCAGAAAGGCCAGAAAGGAGACCTACTCCGTCTACATCTACCGTGTCTTGAAGCAGGTCCACCCCGACACTGGAATCTCATCCAAGGCCATGTCCATCATGAACTCCTTCGTCAACGACGTTTTCGAAAGAATCGCCGCCGAAGCTTCGCGATTGGCCCAGTACAACAAGAGATCCACCATCTCGAGTCGCGAAATCCAGACCTCGGTCCGTCTGATCCTGCCTGGTGAGTTGGCCAAGCACGCCGTCTCCGAAGGTACCAAGGCCGTCACCAAGTACACCTCGTCCAAGTAAATTTGATTTATTTGGTGTGGACTAGCACTTCCGACCAACCGTATTGATCCCAAACGGCCCTCTTCAGGGCCACAAATTACTTGCTTTATATTTAATTTAAATGTAAATAAATAAGTTATTATGAATATTATTGTCGGTATTGGAATATTTTATATTTGAAACATTAATGTTAACTACACCATTGAAAAAAATTATAATTCTTTTAGTTGTTCTTGTAGGCATAATACTGTTAGTGTAACCATATAGAATAATGTTGTGTACTCATATTGTAGCTCTGTTCTTCTTGTGGGCAGATCATTTGTAGTTAAAATTAAAAGCTCTTCAAAAGAATAAAAAGGCAAATTCATTAAAAATACATAAAGTATAGTAAGCTGTTTAAAGTTGTGAATTAAAAAAAATTTAAAAGGTATTTTTTCACAAAAATATCTATATTTGGGCCCCTGTATAACCAAATGAGTATATAACATTTTTGATAATGTACATAAAATTGCGAAAAGTGTAGCAGTTGTATTCCTCTTTATTGTTTGCCATCTTGAGTACTTTCATACTGTGCGTAGTTTACAAAAAAGCCATGTGCATGCCCACAAGATCCATACTTTAGAAAAAAACATACCGCGGTAAGCCAGTCTCTTCTTTTGCCCCACTCCCTTACCATAAATCTAAACCCCGCCCCTCCTTCTCCTCGCCAGTATAAAAGGAGAGGACTGGCGCGCTAACACCTCATACGCATCGTCGTACCCAGATCAAGTGAACCAACAATGTCCGGACGAGGAAAGGGAGGCAAAGGACTCGGTAAAGGAGGCGCCAAACGGCATCGTAAGGTGCTCCGTGATAACATCCAAGGCATCACCAAGCCGGCCATCCGCCGTTTGGCTCGTCGTGGTGGAGTGAAACGTATCTCCGGCCTCATCTACGAAGAGACCCGCGGTGTGTTGAAGGTGTTCCTGGAGAACGTGATCCGTGACGCCGTCACCTACTGTGAGCACGCCAAGAGAAAGACCGTCACCGCCATGGATGTGGTCTATGCCCTCAAGCGTCAAGGCAGAACTTTGTACGGTTTCGGTGGATAAGATGGCTACATCTTGAGTCCCTCGTCTCTTCGCAACGACAACTTCATTGATCCCAAACGGCCCTCTTTAGGGCCACAAATTGCTGCTTTACATAACTTATTTGAATAAACTTGTAATTATTGGAAAATTGAGAATGTTTGAAGCTTTTAAAAATGTATTTGTTTTATAATGGTAAATATAATAACGTTGTTAGAGAGTAAGTTAACTGTAATGATTCTTTTAAAAAATGGCACGGTAATTAGTTAATTGATAGTAGAATATTAATTAGTAAGCAAAAAGGCAACTTTATGAAACATTGGCTTTTGCAAATTACTTTATAGTATTATTTGCGGTTCAAAATGACATTTGTAGTTATAAGTATTTGTAAAAAGGAAAAAAATCAATATTTTTCGGCGTTCTTTTTTGAATTTCCCGCCAAAACGGATTCTAATGAAACAGGAGGGGGAAATTTTTCCAAGCCCTCTTCTTCAGAAGGATATTCCCTCCATTTTTTTCGCGCCTTCACAACCCCCCACTCCCCCCCTACTAAAATTCTGTTCGTCTCTCACTCTCTTCTTCCTTGACACTCTCTCCTACTGCCCTCGTTTCGCCGTGAGCCCCGCCCACACCAACAGTCGGTATAAAAGCAAATCTCTCTCCTCCGTCCTCTCCATACCAATTCTTTGGTTCGATCAGCAACTCGCTCACTACAACAATGTCTGGACGTGGTAAAGGAGGCAAAGCCAAGACCGGCGGAAAGGCCAAATCCCGCTCATCCCGGGCCGGACTTCAGTTCCCGGTCGGTCGTCTTCATCGTATCCTGCGCAAGGGCAACTACGCCCAACGCGTTGGAGCCGGTGCCCCAGTGTACCTGGCCGCCGTGCTGGAATACTTGGCCGCTGAAGTGTTGGAGTTGGCCGGAAACGCCGCTCGTGACAACAAGAAGTCGAGAATCAACCCACGCCATCTCCAATTGGCCGTCCGTAACGACGAGGAGTTGAACAAGCTGTTGGCTGGTGTTACCATCGCTCAAGGTGGTGTCTTGCCTAACATCAACGCCATCCTTCTGCCCAAGAAGACCGCCGACAGTCAAGCCTAATTTGATCAAGTCGTCTGCACGATTCTTGGTGTTCGCCTCGAGCTAATCTGATCCCAAACGGCCCTCTTTAGGGCCACAAATGCATGTTCTTATTTATTTTGTGAGTTTTTCGAATAAACTCCTTTGTTTTTAGGTAATAATTTATAGTATAATTGAAATTGAAGGTAATATTTTGCAATATTCCTTGAATTTTCGGTATTTTCCTTGACTTTTCATTGATATTTCATTTTTTTTCTTAATTTTTAGGTAATAAATCCCTATTTAAAGGTATGAATCACTTAATTCTTGAATTTCAATCAATGATACTTTAAGAAAAACTCAAGAATTATGTGATTCATCAATGATTTTGTATATAATCTATGCCTAAAACTATTTTTCCTCTTAAATTCTTTATAATCACTTGAATCTCAATAAACAGGTTTACTTTATTCTCAATTTTGGGCTTCATAATGAACAACAACAACTTTTTTAAAAGATCTTTCCACCATGTGGCTTTAGATAAAGATTTAAATCTATACCCGTTATACAACAATATTATCCATAAACAAACACTAGATTTGCTTGAGAGAATGTAAAACAATAACTATTATCTTTGACCCCGTTATAAGACTAACAATTTTTGAGTATAACAATGTTGAAACTATGTTGTCATTGACCTTATATTATTGTTTTCGTTGATTTTTTCAAAAAATCAAAATTGAATAAATTGATTTTTCATTAAAAATCTTTCAAGAAATCAACTCACAATGTTAATATGAGTACTTTCGTCCAAAAAAGACATCTTTTATCCTCCAAAACATACCATTTGACCTCCATTTTAGTCCCCAATATTGTAAATGTACAGCTTTTTCCTACTCAATCCTCGTTTCCTCTGCGGTCGTTGAATGTTCTGTCCTGGACGTGCTACGCCAATATTAACCATGGCACTAGGACTGCTCATCAAGTTAGCTCCAACTGGTGTGTTATCTTCTTCTTCGCTTTCTGAATCCGTCGAAATCATTGAAGTCCTCACGAATCCGCCCAACTCATTATTCTTGCCATTTTCGGTTTGGGCTGCGGTTGAGATCTTCTTCTCATCCGTTTGGGTATACTTGTTTCGCATTTTATTCTTCTCTGCCACTCTTTCGTTTAACATCTTTTTCTGATGAGAGCTCATGAGTTGGACTAGCATCTTATCCATGACCGACATGGATGAGGCGTATTTTCTTATCGCGTCAACGTCTTCTGGAAAGACAGATTGTTGTTTTTAACTTAAAACGGATTAAAGTTCCAAAAATATTCACCTTGATTAAGTTCGGCCGCCGTGCTCCGCCTTCTATAATCTTCTTGCTCCTCTAATGTTGGGACTGGAATAGAAAGAACAGTGCTGGTATTCTTTCTGACGATATTTTGATCGCTCATGCTTGTTGCTATTGACATTTTTCGTCTTTCTTCTAAAATATCAATCAACTTTTACTTTCTTAAATGATATTTACGTTTATTTTAAAATTTAGGTAACAAAAGCCTTCTAACTTAAACTTTAGATAAAAAATATGTCCTAAAATTAAAATTTGTTAAATATAAACTTAAGAAGGTGATATTAGCTAACATTCTTGTGTAAAGTAAAATACGACAATCCGCAGTGAATTGTTACCTAAAAATCAAAAAATATCGAAATTCTTACCGACTAAAATTCTCTTGAAGTCATTGTCGATAGATTTGATGATTTTGGCAAAAACGTACTCGATGTGAAGCTGAATAATGTTAATACTCATGCTAACCACTGATAAGCCAAGCATGATCAATATAGCACTAATAACTCCAATTTGATGCGATACGGTAATGTCCCCCAAGCCTGAAAAATTTTTGAAGCCATATTTTTTAAATATGTACGTAAAAAACCAATGTTTTCTAATCTTTTTTAAAACTTACCAATAGTAGTCAAAGAAATAGCACAGTAGTAAAGGGCAGTAAAGAAGTCCCATTTCTGTATTAACATAAACACCACCGTGCACAGTCCAATCCACAGAACAAACACAAATAACGCCAACTGTAGAGGAAGTTGTGGCTTCTGAATCTCAAATTCATCCTTCTTTTCCAACAAGTCTACACATGCATCGTCTCCAAATTCACCGTCGAATTCATCGTACTCGGCTACTGGCTTTCGTTTCTTTGTTGACTTGAACATGTTCACACATCTCATAATATAGTTGTTCCAAATGCTTTGCATTAGCTCGAATAGACCACCACCCCATATGTTGAGAACAGTAATAACCAATGGGATACCTCCGATGGCGTAGAAGATGGTGAATAAGCGGCCGTAGAAGGTTCTGGCCGCTATGTCGCCATAACCTGAAATAATTTAGATATTTTAAGGAAATGAAAGGTTTTTATTCAATAAAACATCATTACAAACTTAATTAAAGGTATAAAAATCTTTGAAGAACGTTATGCAAAAGAATAAAACCATTGTTACCTTCTTCTCACCAACATTTTACCTAAAACACCAAAAACAAAACAAAAATCTTACCGATCGTCGTGTAAAGTGTAATAGAATAATATAATCCGCCCCAAATGTCCCATCTCGACTTTTCGTAGATCATATCAATCCTATCCTTCTTATCCGCTTCCAATTTGAAGTTCATTTGAGCATCGTATCGGTCCAGAATCTCTTGGAACGGGCGTTGATGAAGTGCCGTAATGTTGACATAACGAAAGAAGATGTACTATAAGTTAAGTTGTTAATTTTTTAAAATTTTAGGACTAAAAAGGTTCAGAGAAGCTAGTTTTACCATGTTTTGAAGGGTATTACTTGTTTTTACCGACAAAAAGTTGAAAAACCAGAATGATATAGACGCAGCTCGCAAACGTTATCTTGCAGACTGCGGAAACTTTCTATACGAAAGAAGAGAAGGTTTTTTTTTAAATTTCTGGGCTATTTCACTAAAGTTGATTATAACCTGATTTTTACACCCAGAACTGTATATTTTACTGTTATAAATTTATAAATATTAAAATTTCATTAAAAGTTTAAAGCGTTGTCAATAAAACTAATATGTTACCTGCATTTCAGTGATCAGCCCATTCCGAGCAATGTCCTGCTTCACAACTGCGGTTCGATGTCTCTCCTGGATGTGAGCTTTCTCATTTCCGTCTTCTAAAGCAACAAACACAACGGCTCCGAACAAACTGTACAATATTATAATCAAGGCCATCACAATATGGGAGGCATGGTATTTGTGGTATTTGTCCGTTACCAAGTTCCAAAACATTTCGACCGCTGGAAGGGGGCGAAATATGAACATTTTTAAACGTTTTTCGTATAGTATTAATTTGTCTTTTATCAGAATATTTTAAGTAATACTTTGGAGCTTTTGGGCTTAAATATTAGTTTTTAGGTAATAAAATGGAAGTTTAGGTAAGACTTGTAGAGATAAATATCGAAAATATGTTTGTATTAGTAAGAAGCAACTCTACTTTCAATTATAAAATAGATAAGAAGTAGATCAGATAGTTTAGCCACTTTAAAATATATTATCCATGGTGGCTTGAAGGCAATAACAAAAGTATAACGTTGGGCTGACAAATCGTGTTTGAGGCAAAGCAAAGGTGTTGGAAATGAGGTTTTTATGAGTTTTTAATTATTGCAATTTGTTGTAGAACGAATGGGTAATTGATCAGACTAACAGGGCGGCTTAGACTGCTAAGTTCATATCATATTATGTTAAAAGTGATAACAAAAATGTAGATAAAGTAAAATATGGTAAAGTAGGATAAAGTAGGGTAGACTACAGCAGGGTAGAGCGGGATGGGGTAGCTTAAAGTAATATAAAGGGGTGCAAGTAAAGGTACGGTAATTTATGTAACAGTAGGTTAAGAAAAGACAAAGCTAAAGATAATACAAAAGTAACGTAGTATAGGACAGTAGGACTTGGTTTGAACGGGTATGGTAGAATACGCAATGGTAAAAACAATAGCATGATTAGGCAATAATCATTATGTTAACCTACCTTCCACCCTCCGTTGTACCCTAGGGTGTCTAGTGTACTTGAAAATCATTGTAACGGTATCTTTGTTACTATGACACTAACGAAAATGTAAAATCTACTGTGACCAAGTAGTAAAAAAATTAGTTTTTACAAGATTATGACTTTGTGATAAATAGCTGTAGCCAAGTACCAGGTTATCAATATGAGTTATAGCCAAAGCTTAGTGGAGCAATTACTCTAGATAACAATATGGCCACAGAAATCAGATGCCAAGAGTAATATTTCAAAGAGGCAATTAAGCAAAATATTTTTAGTCAAGTATGATTTTTATTTTTTCGGCCGAAAGCGTTCGAATCAGTTGGTTTTCGGATAAAACTTTTTGAAACGAAAATTCGAGGCAATCGAGGAGGTGGCAGGGCAAAACAATGGGTGATTTTGATGGAGTAACATTCGGGGTTTCAGGTCAATTCATGACATTTGGCGGTGTGAAAAGGGAAGTAGGTCTTTCGGGGGGTGTTCATGACATCAACTTATAAAGGTCATCTTTTGGTGAAGAAAGTTGAATACTGATGAGGTGACAAGGCAAATAACAATAATATTGAACTCAATGGACATTGGTTTGCGCTAGACTAGATAGGAAAGAACAGAGAGGAAAGGGTAGAATTGGTTGGGAGGATAGAAGTAGGGTAAAATGGGAAGATTAGATTAAAGTAAGGTGCAGTAGGTAACCTTTTCAAAAACGTTACTTACGTTTAGTATTAAAAAACATGATGACGATACAAATTACAACAACTTTCAAAAATAATCGTGAGGAATGAAGTTTATAGAGCAAAAGAAAGGTCCTCATAGACAATAACTAGTGTTTTCATTGGCCAATCAATTTTTATTTCGTATATAAACTTGCTCAAAAGTTGTATTCAACTCGATTTGAATGTTGGCTTTTTGGTGGCTTTTTAAGACTAAAATACGATTTTATTGTTGAACTTAAAAAGACGTTTAGGGTTATAAAAGATATTATTAGACTTAAGTTATCGTGCTTAAAATTGAAAATTTAGGCTTAATTTGTGTTTTTTATAATAATTCTTATCAAGCCCAATATTAGGCTTAAGCTATTGCACTGAAAATTTTAAATTCAATTTATTATGTAACAAAACAATTCTAAAAATTATTGATAGGCTTAATTATCTAAAATACAAAAAATAATTTAAAATCTTACCTTTTTAATGTAACAGTAGAAAATAAGTCACCATGGGCTCAAAACAAAGTAATAACAACAAAATTTAAAAGTGTGCAAAAAATTTGAACAATATGAAAAGACTGTCCAAAAGATTTGCTCGAAACAAGGCCAAGATTAAAACAGTTGGCTTGAATTAATTACCTTATCAAAAAGGGGTGTTTGACACGTTTTTCAACAACTTTTAGCGGTGTGATTGTTTCAAATATTACATTGAAAGTTTGAAAATGTTGTCAAATGTTCTTCTGTCAAGTATAATTTTTAAACTTTGTTAAAACGGCAATCTTATAGCATGTTATAAAATTATATGTAAATTTTGAATGTTTTTTTATAAATATTTATCGTTCATAACTATGTAAACTAAATTTATGCGGTATTGGGTATAAAAATACAAAAATAGTCAAAGTAATCAATAAAATTTGTAAAAATAGCCAAAAAAGCCATGTCTATGCATAAAAACTGTCAAAACACCCAAAAAAGCGTACGCCACTTGAGATTCCAAGGACGTCTCCGATCCAAATACTAATCAAGCGCACCGTTGCTTAACTTGCCAGATCGGATTGGATGGCGTGGGTTCAACGGGCCATGGGAGTACACTTTCTTTTTCTTATTGTTATTTGTCTCTATCATAACATGCACAGTAACTTCTTTCTAATTTTATGATTTTTTATGTTGTAAAGAAAGTTCTTGCAATTTCTTCCTGTTGATTTCCTTTTTGTCTCTTGAAACTAAGCAAGGTCGAAGAGATGCGAAAAGAAGAGAGCGCTGAGAAGCAGAGGAAATAAGTATTTTCTCTTCTTCTTGTGTGGGAACCCAATCAAAATTCATTTGACTGTTTTAAGACCTGTGTTCTTTTTAGGTATCGGGTCAGGTATTAAACCTAAACAAGGTTATTGCAATAACCAGCTCGGTAAATCTGTGGCTGGGAATTAAAATTTTGGAATGTTCAGCTTACGGCTGGGCTGATTTTTTTTATTTTGGTTTTGTTTACGTAATCAATGTAATGATAATTAGAATCACAATAAGTAACCTATACAACAACATTTTAAATCCAAATAGACATATATAAACAGCAATATAACTTAAGGTTTAAACAATCCACAAGTTGCTTCTGTCTCCGGATATGCATCATAAAGCCTTTTCAAGTAGTTGCTGACAACCTTTAGGTAACTTGGGTCATCAAATGCCACGCCACGTTTTTCCGCATTAGACTGGCCTGTTTTTACTCCAATATGCATAGTAAATAGATTATTTACAATTGCAAATTTAAAGCCAGCACGACAGGTTTCATAGCCGAGTTCAGTATGGCCACGGTTTGGGTAGGGGAAGGTTTCATCGTGCAGGGGTACAGCTTCTGTATCGCCTACAAATTGGGGCTCCCACTCGCCATTGTTGTAGTCGATTATCTAGAAATCAGTTTTAAGCTTAGGATTATATGAGAAGCCAAAAATTTTTGTCAAATTGCAAACTATTTTCAAGATTTACTTTTAGCTTATTATTTAGTTTTGAACTAAAATTAGGTATATGTAGTCAAAAAGTCATTTTAAAAAGCGTTACTTTGAAAATTGAAGTTTCATCTGGATACTCGGGTACTTGAAACCACTCGTCAACGTAGGGAATCAAATGTCCTTCTGGGTAGTAGTTTTTATGAAATTCTAAGGCATATTCTAGCTTGAACAACTCCTGAATTAAAAATTTAAGGTAAGGCAAGGCAGATCAACATTTTAAAGAATAGCGCGGGGTAAACTAGGGTTATGCCTAGGGATAGATAGGGCTAAAGCTAGGGCCAGAGCTAAGGCAGAGACAGAGCTAGATCTAGGGCTAAAGTTAGGGTTAGGGCTAAAACTAGAGCTTAAAGTAGGTGTAGGGCAGGTTAAGTACTTACAAATAGTTCAGTTTTGTTTTTGGGCAGTTCTACAGCGTCTGCTATTTCAAATCGTCTATGTACAATAACCATCTTTTTTCCATTCCTATAAACAAGTCAAATTAAACCACAAAACATGATTTAAAAAAAATATATTATACTAATATCTTTGCAACAAAAGTTTTATAAATCGATAACTTTTGAGTTCAAAGGCAAAGCAATTATGGTGAAATAAACATCCTAATTGAAGTAAACTACTTCAACAAACCTACTGAATAAGTTCTCGTGTAGCCAATTTCCTCATTTTTGCTTCATAGTTTGCTACAGGCAGGTTTTCAGTATCACATGATAAAAATAAGCGTGTTTTTGCTCCTAATCGTGCCACGTTTCTAGCTGTATTGACAGGGTAGTATGGAGTTGGGCGGGATTTTGGGAACAAAAAGGTTAAGTAATCCTGAAAAATGAATTTTGACGTTATTTTAGTTCAAAAATTTTTATTTTGGAGGTAAAATACGGAATTCGGTGGACGGAGTTAGGAATTCAAAAAAACAAAATTATTTTTTATTTTTTATAGTTATACCCGCCCCACTGGTTATACTATTATAGATCTCAACAAGGGCTCACTAAGCCAAGGCATCGCCAGGTCGACCCAACTTTGAAAACCCGGCTTGGGCCGAAAAATTTGGCCTACTGTGTTCTTTTTAAAGTCTTGTTTATACTCACCTCATCTCTCGTGAAGGCTTGTGAATCTACGATAATGTCTCCACAAGACCCAAAAGTCGACCGTTCCCAAAATAAGTGAAGACCAACTTTGCCTGACAACCTTGACTTTTCTAACAGTTCTATCTTTGATAAACCATCCTAAAACAAATTTTAATAAAAAATTTTAAGAATTAGCTTGCGGCTTAAATTTTTGTTTTAAAAATAAGTTTAAGTCTTAAAACTTGAATTTTAGGTTTTTAAAAAATATATTTAAAAAATTGAAATTTAAAAAATTAAAAAAATTATTTTTACCGTAAACATCTTCGAAGCCAGGTTGGTACCAATTTGATCTGGATTCGGCATCAAGACTCCAACTGAAATTGCTCCGCCCCATACTACTGCCTGAAATGTGAAACATACAAAAATAAGTAAAATACGAAAAAAAACAGATTTTTTGTTACAGAGGGGATATAAGTAACTTCGGTATTTGCTACATAAAAGTTACACTGTATTTAAATTTCAAAAATATTGTCAAACATACATGTTCTTCCAAGTAAGCTACAAAAGGTAACGTAGCATGTAGTGTCAGTGATATAGTGTCATTGTAAATTGAATCTGACTTCCAATAGTCGTATATAACACAGTATTTGTCATCACGATAAGGTTGGGATTTTATTATAAAATATCTTTCTATCTGAAAAAAAAACTTTAAATTTCAGATTTCAAAAAATTTTAGAATTCAAAATTTTTAATAAGACCTAAAATTTTAATTTTAAATTTTTCGTTTAAAGCGTAAACTTCATTAGACTAAACTTTCAAAGCCAACAACCTACATTCTGAACCTTAGAATAGTCCATCCACCACGTAGCAACATAGTAAACCAAGTACAGAAAAATAACATGTTTTAGGTAATTTCGATTTTTCTTTGCAAAAACTTGTCGTCTAACAATATTACTATAAAGTAAAACATTTTTTAAGAATAGGCTCTTATTCATAGTAAAATAGCCTTTATTCAAAGTTAAGTTGAGACCGGAATCTGGGTTTAGATCCAGATAACACGGGTTTCATGTCGCAGGCTATAGTAGACAACTGCGCGAAACGTTGAATAAATGAACTTTTAATTTTTCTTTTTTGATGTTTTTTATTAAATTATACAGGAGTTTTTTTTAATGAAAGTGCCCAACCTGTCCCGCTCAGATCCAGCTCAAAATTTTTATATGAATTCTTTGTATCACCAATAGTACCCATAAAAAATTTTAGCTCGCGCTTTTGAGTTTTAATCTTAAATTATTTGGGTTTATTTGGCAAATTTGGCCTTGTGTTTCAAGCACTTTTTTCGGCTTTCCAGACAAGATACGCTTACAAATTAAAAAATGTAGGTTCATTTAAAGGTATTCTACTAGTATATCAAAGAAAAATAATTAGAAGTCAAAAAATGACAAAGTTACAAGCTTGAAACACAATGCCAATTTGGCGGGAAATTCAAAATGTCATTTTTTGATTTCGATTTTCTCGAGATTTCCTGGAAAGCGCGATTTATTACTTTGCCGAAGGTCTTGTATTTACCTGACCTTTCTATGTAAAAAGTTTGAAGTCGATCAAGTTCAGACAGGTCAAACACTTTCTTTGTTAATTTTAATTCACAATTTTGACAGTATTAAAACACAAAATTTCTCAAGCCTACAGTTATCTGAACACTACAGTTTTCGAACAATACGAGTTCAAAAAAAAAAAAAAGTACAAAGAGTAAGGCATGTTACAAAGGGTACGGTACAATACAAACCGTAGAGTACAGTACAAAAAATAAGGTACTGTACAAGGAGTAAAGTACAGAATAAAGCGTAAGGGACGGTACAAAGGATAGAATACGGAACAAGGCGTAGGAGACAGTACAAAGCGTAGGGTGTTTTACAAAAGGTAGGGTACAGTACAAAAGGTAGGGTACGGTGGTTTTTTGTTTTTTTTTTCATTTTCTTCTCCATAGCACCGACAATATCTGTGCGAATTGTTCTCTTACCGTGCTTGTCAAATATAATATTTTTATGTGTTATATACTACTTTTATTTTTACAATTTAAACCCATTTTTACCTTTACAGATAATGTGGTTCGTAAAACCTCAGTTTGATTTTGGCAGCTATATCAACATAAATAAATACACAAATTATCACGGATTTGGTAGGTTTTTTATAACACAATAGAATTTATCGTCTTTTCTAAGTACACGCACTTTACTTTCTTAATTTTTTAAATTTTAAACTTCATTTTTAGCCATCGCACGTCACTACTTAAAGTACATAGCCCTATTTTTGATTGGTTTATATATTGGTAATAAAAATACGGAAAAACAGTATATTTTTGTAAATAATGGATTAGAGCACCCACCAGAACGAGGATCAATGGATTACCCAGACAATAGGATTATTGTCATCACACCTACTTATCAGCATCCAGAACGGTTGGGGGATATTACTATGTAAGTACTATTTTATAATACTTTTTTTGAGTTCTACATCATAAATTAGCAAATTTTTTAAAAATTTTGTAAAAACTGTTTTTAAACTTTAGAGCTTTCGATACTTTGAAAACTTTTAAAAATTTTGAGTTTGTTAACTAAAATAAAAGAAAAAATATTTTTTAAATTTCAGGTTATCACAAACTTTGATGCACGTAAAAAGGATACACTGGGTTGTAATAGAAGATGCTAACCAAACATTACCAGTAATCGACCAGTTTCTTAAAAGAACTGGCATTTCTTACACATATCTTCACACTACTAACAAGGGATTACCTTGTAAGCCAAAAATATTTTTTTATTTAGAAAACTTTTAAAATTTTCAAAATTTCACAATGTTTAAAATTAAAAGTCTTTTTTTAATTTAAAAATTTTTTAATGTTTTAAAAAAATTCTAACTTTATGTCAAAACTAAACTTATTCTTTCCCTTCAGGTCGCGGCTGGGCCCAACGTAACCTAGCCCTAGAATATTTACGCCAAAATCGCTATGCCTTTGGCAAAAACGATGTAATTTACTTTGCTGACGATGACAATGCTTATGACTTCAGAATATTTGACGAATACATACGAAAAGTTACTACAATGGGTGTTTGGGCTGTCGGAACATCTGGGTCAACTTTTGTCGAAAGCCCAAGGGTCGAAGACGGAAAAGTGGTCGGTTTTCATGTCATGTTTCGACCAGAGAGGAAATATGCCACTGATATGGCTGGATTTGCTATCAATATTGACGTGCTGCTGAATTCACGGTAAAATTTAAAATTTCGAAAATTAAAAAAAAATTTTGAAATTTATCCTGCCCTACCCTATTCTGCCCTACTGTACCCTAAAACTGAAACTTTAGTGCCACATTCAATCTGCACTGTGCGGGCACAGTGCCAGAAGAATGCTTTCTAACTCAAGTCAATGTGCCATATGAAAAGTTGGAGCCATTTGGTTATGGCCCACAAACGAACAAGTCTATATATGTTTGGCATCGTCGCACCAGTCCAGCTCATGTCATTCCTTGGCCAACTAATGGCTACACAATTGAGGAACGAAAATTTCAGCCAAAATCTTGCGATAGGCTTATGAATATTAACCATGTTACTTATGAAGAGATTTTAAAACAAGCTGCTTTAGGGGATGATTAAAATATCGAAATTTGATTTGAAAATATTGTTATTGATTGTTTTAGTATTTTTTTAGATTGTGTCATAACTATAATAGCTAGAAAAAATGCCTATTTTACTAAATTATTGAAAAACCAACAAAAAACTGCGTTTTAAAGAAAGTTTTTGCGATTTATTCTTATCAATTTACTTTTAAAAGTCTTCCGAAAAAAAGAAAAAGAGAGAATTGCCGAAAAGAAGAGAGCGCTGAGAAACAGAGAAAATAAATATTTTATTTGTGAGTCATTTTAGGATGTTTGATAAGTTTTTGAGGTAGATAGTGATAAAATAATAGAATAAATAGCGGGTAATATTTTTGAAAGTTTAATTTAATATTATAAACTGTTAATTTATATTGTCTATTTTTTTGATTGGCTAATTAGAGGTGAGAAACCAACCTGGCCGACTTTGGAGGTCTGGGGCTTAAAGTTTAGGCCCGGCTCGTTTTCATGTTTTTCAGGCCGATCGGCCCGATCGAAAAATTTTTGGCTTGGCCTATTTATTTAAAATTTTGGGCGCAGGTCTACTTTTCAAGCCAAGTTCGTTTCAACTTTAACTCAAGGCGGCCCGGCCCGATCGTAGGGCTGGTCCGTTTTTCACTTCTACTCAAAATGCCATTTTTAAACCGATTAAACCATATTTCTTCATTTGTATTTTGAAACTTTGGTAATACTGAAATTATAATATTGTTATCAATAGCAATAGTTGTTCTCTTACTTTTTTAATATAACTATCAAGTTTTAGTTTTCTTGTCATGGTGACTGAAATAGAAGCACAAACTTTTGATTCCGACGATAGTTTAGAAGAACTGCCATGTACTAGCCAATGGATAAATGACGAATCAGAATCAAAGTCAGAGGGCAAAAAGAAACTATGCAAAAACGGGTTGGATGATTTCCGATTCTATTCCAACGCTCCGGAACGCAATTATGAAGAGTTTGGCAATAATTCACAGCTCAATGACAATCTTCTTAGGCTTATTGTAAGTTTATTTTATTGATTATGAGTTTCTTATCTTTTCTGTAGCCCTATCTTTAAGCTGAATCTTAGCCATGAGCCTACCTTTACTTCAAACTTTATAAAGTGGTAAGGCTTAGTGTTAGACTTAGTTCTTGCTCAAATCTTAGTGAAAACTTTAGCTATAGGTCTCATTATTACTATACTGTACTACATTTTACTTTCAGTTATGTTCAAAACGTATGTTTGACATCTTCTGGAGCGCTTCTGACTTTGCTGCAACCAACAGCTCTTTTAGATACGTTGCCGGGGACTTTAATACTGCATATTATACACACAACATTACACTGTTGACTAATTTATTCTTGATTTCAAATTGGAAAAAGCAACGAGGGTTCTTGACACTTATGAAGTTTGGAGATATTAACCATAAAGCTGTTAAGCCTATAATCAAACTGTCATACTTTTGCAAACGTGAGTCTTTATTTTTGCTACTCTTATTCTTCTCCTATCCTTATCTACACTTACCTTTACTTTAACTATGCCAAAATGAACTATCTTACCTTATAAACCAAAAATTTTTAATTTTAAAAATAAAAAATTTTTAATTTTAGGCCATGGCTTAGATCTAACACTAAACAATTACTTTTACACGAAAACAGTGCTGCAAGTACAATACGAATTAAGGCTTTATACAGATCGTCATCTACGACATTACTATGGAGTTGATTATAAGCCACCCGAGGACCCAGAAGAATATTATGAGCTGACTTTGGTCGATAAAAGAGGAGAAGTAATGGAAGAGGAAAGAAGACAAGGCAACCCTGAACTGGAAGAATTCTTTACGTTTCAGAAGTTGGTCTTGGTCAAGGATCCATGTAAGTTTATAACTTTTACTCTTGGAGCGGAAGGGGATGGTTAAAAGTGAAAAATTATGAATTCTGAAGGTAATAACTATACTTTTCAGATCTGGCTGGATTTTTTCAAAAAACTTTAAACGAAGCGTGTCTAAGTGGCTTCAATTACCTTACAATACACGAATATCTTCCGTAAGGAGACTTTTATTAAAGATAATATACTTTTTTTGTTTTTATATTTAAAAAATTTGCACTTTATTTAGTTTTTTAATTTTTAGGTATTAAAATTTCATTTTTTGACGATAAATGATATATTTTATAAGCAAAAATAATAACTTTAGGCTTCCTTCAATGCCACAATTGTCATCTCTGCAAGCGGATATTCGAAACTACGACATCTGCTCAAACTCTCTTCAGATTCTGAAGGAAATAACGTTAGAACTTCATCGTGTAGCTCCGATTTGCAAAGCCGAGCTCAGATCTGAAATTTGCATAAATTCTCGGACATTTGACCAACTATTACCTCACCTCGAGCCTATCATACGACGAGTTTTATTGTTCAAAGACTTTTGTCGCGAACTTTGGGATTATCCACTCTACCTCGAGTGTCATGTTGATATCAATCTACCTCTATCAGAATATGCCTCAAGCAGGAGTAAATGGACTGAATACATGAGTAGCATTACAGAGTACTACAATTTGAATTATCAACCAAATTGTTGGAATTATGGCAGTAATTTTGTGGATCCACCGCCGTTTGAAGGAAGAAACCGTATTGAGATTAATGTATGGTGCAGGTTCCATGACCATGTGCTACAGGTTTTGGGAGAAAAAGAGGTTGAGGTTTTGGAGTAGGGAGGGTAAAAGGTTATTTTGATTGTAAAAATATTTTTGTTGATCTTTTTGTTATTGTTAATTTATTCGAAGCTACAAATAAATTGTTCTTGCTTATATGTTAGGGTAGGGTAGGGTAAGGTAGGGTAGGGTAGGGTACAGGGATGATAAGATAGGGTAAAATAGAATAGAGTAGTTACGCTAATTGCTTTTCTGGTGGAATAGAGAGAGCACGAAAAGAAGAGAGCGCCGTGAAACAAAGAAAATCAGCTTTCTCTTCTTTTTGCGTCGGAACCCAATCAAAACGCATTTGACTGTTTTATGACTTGGGTTCTTATAGGTGTAGAGTCAGGTATAAAACCTAAAGTTAAGGTTAGTACAATAACCAGCTCGGTAATTCTGTGGCTGGAAATTGAAATTTTGGAATGTTCAGCTGATGGCTGGAATGATTTTTATTTTTTTTTGTAATTTATTTATGTAAAGTATGCTAAGTAACAGTTTTTAATCTCATTTTTGGTAAAAATTACGCTTTTTATCACACAGTAGACTATACTTCAAATAAATTACACACAACACAAACTACGTTTTTGATTCATTCAAAAGTTGAACGCTAAAGTGCATCTTGAAGTTTATTTTTAAACTTCGAAGTTGGTTTTTCCTGCAAAAGTACGGTGAATCATTTTACGACAACCAAAGCTGAACGGTCGAAAGTAAAACTGTTTCAAAACCAAGTTTATGGTAACATAAAACATTATACAAGTTTCCTAAAGAAGTTACTTTAATCTCAAATTTTTTATTTAAGTCAGGCTTATTTTTTGTTAAATTTTTACTTGAAGTTTTTTTTAAATTTAGTTCGATTTTAAAAATTTTTTTAAGTCGAGTATTTTGCTGAGTTTGAAAATATAATACTATTATACAAACATCGCTTTCAATACCGTATGAAAAAAATCATCATCAATGACTTTATGATAGATACGTCGACTGTACCGGACTTTAATGTTTTACACGATGAAGATAAGATCCATTGTAAAGTGTAAATTCCTCGGCACTTTTTTCATCGAAGACGCGTGCAGAAAAACCGAGTTGCTCACTTTCTTTACGACAGGATTTCCGGTAATCAATAATCGGAACGGCGGCGCGGCGTCTGATTTAAAAAGATGTTAGCGGCGTTCGTTACCTTGTTTGTGGGGTTGTTGCATCTTGGCAGGGTAGGGCCGGGTTATTGCATATTGGCAGGGTAGGGCGGATTTATCAGGCTACCTTTTGGCCACGTTGGAGGAAATTGCGTGTTTTTGTTTTGGCAGGGCTGAGAGATTTGACAAGCCATTTTTTGGCTAGAAGATGAAAGTCTTTGGCAAGGGAGAAAATTTTTTAAAACTTTTTATATCGCAGGGCGGGAAAATTTTTTTTGAAGCTTATTTTTATTAAAAAATCGTTGCAACGCGTTGTTAAAACTTTTTGTCAATAAAAAATTAAAACTGCACTTTTTCAAAAACCAATTTTTAGAACCTCACATACAACCTTTTTATACCTCAACATTACAGCAATGCCAAATATTCTTCATGCCGTTTCAATTTTCACCTTACTTTCTACCGTAACTTCTCACCCAGCAGTGACCTTAAACATTCGCCCACCTCGAGAGCCGGCTGCCTATTCCAAAGTGAGCGACGGCCAAGGATCGGCCGAGATATCATTAATTGCGCCTGTTGCCACATTTGCCACGCCTCTTTATATCGAAGAATTCGCGAATATTGCCGAAGCTGAAGAGACGGATTACATTGATCATGTGGCTGTTATGGTTAATTTAACTGATTTAAACGTAAAACCCGGAGGATTTTATGTAAATGCTGTGAGGAATTTAAGGAAGTTGTTACCTAAACTGAGCTTATGTCATTTGAAGGCTCATTATGTCATGTATTTGAGAGAGGTGGTAAGTTTGGCATTTTTAGAGTTTTTGATAAATTAAACTAAAATATGACAAAAACTTAGTTTACAAGGAACAATTGATAAGAACTGTGTTTACGGAACTTAAAGTGGCAAAAATTTTATTTACAGCAGACAAAATTGCAAGAACTTTCTTTACAAAGCAAAAAACGGCAAGAACGCTCTTTACATGTCAAGAAGCGGCAAGAACTTTCTTTACAAAACATAAAATGGCAAGAACTTTCTTTACAAAGCAAAAAATGGCATGAACTTTCTTTAAATACTGAAAACAGTAAGAACTTTTTTTAAAGGAGACAAAATTGCAAGGACTTTCTTTACAGATGTTAAAATAAAAACTTTCAAAACTCTTGTGTTTTAGGACTATACAACAATAAAAAACGAGATAGAAAGGATTGAAAACAAGCTGAACGCAGTAACTTGGGCTTTCAAGACTGAGAACATGTACCTGAAGGTTGTGGATGTAAGCATTGATGTTATCAGTCAAAGTAATGTAAGCTTTTTTTCATTTTTTGGCTTAATTCTTTTTAAAAATTTTACGAAATTTTTATAAAAATCAGTTTCAGATACCCCTAGACACCATATTAATATCAAAAATGTTTGGTCATACTGTAACATCAGCTGAAGTCTCCAACGGTATTCAATATCGTAACCTACTAAACGGGGCTCCAATTCATATTCATTTTTACTTGTCAACAACTCAATTACAACCAGAAACGACTTCTTCATCATCAAAATTCTCTACAAGACCTCAGCCATTAAATATTGACAAAAGATGGTATACAGTAACCTACAGTAACAGCTTCGGTTTACATAAAATTGAGGAGTTGCTGCCACAACAATGCGTTAGAATGATCTCTAGTTACAAATGGAATTCTGGGTTGTGTGGAAGTTCATTGAAACGGAAATACTACAGTATATATGATGGTTTATATCGACGTCATGAGTTTTGTTGTAATAGCTGATTGTTTGTCATAATTATGGCATTTTGAACTGTAAATTATTTGTTTAATAAATTTAAATTAATAAAAAATGACAAAGTATGATGTTTTTTATGGAATTTTTGTAATTTTTTAATTTCGGAGACACTTTATACGAAGAAATGTGCATGAACATGTTTCGGCGTATAACTTGTTTCAGAATAATTGAAATTTGCGCTCCATAAGACCTCAGTTACTGACGAATTATAAGATAAGATACTCCGTAATGATCTTAATGATCATTTTCTATGAAGCAAGAGACATTTTCACTACAAGCAGCTCATGGAATAGCCGACACGAGCTGTTTGAGGTCACTCGCAGCTCGCAAAACCTCGAAAAACGTTTTTTCTTTTTGGAATTTCTCCAAAAATAAATATTGTTCCAAAACAAAATTTTGTTTATAGGTAGTAAACATTATGTATTCTGTGTTTATTTACCCTTTTATGTAGCAAAAGGTCAGTTAAACACTTCAATTCAAAGTTATTTTATCTTTTCTATTAAATTTTGGGTTTTATCATAGATAATATCAAGTTATCCAAAAATTTTAGCTTTTAAATTCAGTTTTATTGTGTTTTATGTCCGGAAAAGGCTTTTTATTTGTTCACAGATTAATTTCGGATGTAAATGATATCATTTAACCGAATTCGAGCCGAAAACTTACAAAAAGGTTCTGATTTTGATATTATGATAAACGTTTTTCGATTGCAAAAGTGCGTTTGATGGATAGTGTTGCATATTTTTGTTATCAACGTGCTTTACACATTCTATTTCACATTCTTGATTGGAAAGTTAAGTAACAGTAAACATGTTTTTACCGTAACGAGTGATTTTTGTTTATAATGTGGGATTGCTGATGGTTTTAGCTAACAAAATAGGTTCTTATTATAGTAAATGGTTGTGTGCTTGTAAAAATTTTTAAAAGAATTGAAAAAATAATCTTTCGTTAACATAAAATACTTGTTGTTATGGCAGTTTAATAACTTTTCGTCGTGTTCCAACTTATCATTGAATCATCTTTGTTAATATTATGTGACATTTTAGATGAAAACAGACGATGTAGACGAGAAGTTGCATGACATTCCTTTGTTGGAATCGAAGAAGGCTGAAGTGATGGTTGTAGAAGAGTCTAAACCATTGTAAGTTGCATTTCCTTTTATTTTTATTGTTTTAGAGCCGAACCTTTAGTCGTTAAGGATTATGCTGTTATCGGGGTGCTTTTTGTTGTCAATTTACTTAATTACATGGACCGACTTACAACAGCTGGTGTGTTTTAACCTGTGTTTTGTGGTTTATATTAAATTAAGGTTTATTTTGCAGTTATTGAGTTGTTATGGCTTGTTTTCGATAAGATTTGGGCTTTTGAACCTAGTGGAATATTTAATATTAAACAGCTTTTTTAAATATAATTTTACTTTAAAAACGTTAGAATAGATCAATTAAAATTATACTCTTTCCTTCTAAACAACCTTATTTTAGGTATACTAACGTCGATTCAAGCTTACTATGTCCTAAATGATACTCAAGCAGGTCTTATTCAGACTATATTTATTGTTGTGTTTATGTTATTTGCTCCACTATGGGGATATCTTGGAGACAGATACAACAGGAAATGGCTGATGACTGGTGGATTAATATTATGGGTAGCTTCAGTTTTGGGAGCTTCATTTTGCCCGGAAAACGTAAGAGTTTGTCATGGATAATATATTGTTAGTAGAATGTAGTAGTCTCCTAAAGTTATGTTTTCTAAATTTAGGCGTTCTACATGTTTCTACTGTTAAGAGGCATTATGGGCATTGGTATGGCTGGTTATTCAATTGTAGCTCCAACAGTAATTGCTGATTTGTTTGTGGGTAACGTGCGAAGTCATGTTTTGATGTTCTTTTATTTTGCCATACCGTTTGGAAGGTAGGAATGATTTTTATATGTATTTTATATATATAGCTAAAACTATATTTTATCTAATTTCAGTGGTCTTGGCTATATGGTAAGTAGTATTGTAGCAGAAATGGCAGGATCTTGGCAGTGGGGCATCAGAATTACATTGTTCTTTGGAATTTTCTGTATTTTGTCTTTGATTGTGGTTGTTCCTGAACCAAAACGAGAAAAGTCAGGGCATGAGGATGAAGATCTGGATTCTTCTTACTTCAAAGACATAATGGCTTTGCTTGTAAAGTAAGGTTTTGAGAGTTTTCTGTAATTATCAGTGACTTAGTGCTTATATTATTGATGAAAACTAAGTTTATTTTTTTAGTAAAACCTATGTTTTTTCGACGTTGGGAGTAACGTTTGTCATGTTTGTGGCTGGAACACTGTCATGGTGGGTTCCAACGATGATTAAGCACGCAGAAGCGGCCAAACAGAACCTCACGGATACCAGTTTATTAGCTGATGAAGATAGTGAAGCGTAAGGATTTTTGAATTTTTTTTATTTAAAAAATTAAACTTTGAGCATTTAGTGCCTAAAACTGTAGATAATACTAATTAGTATTTATTCTAGCGCTGAAAATGTTAAGTGTTACCTTAAATCCAAATAACTTCAAATTTTATTACCTAAATACTTAGACAATCATATAGATTACCAACATTGTAGGATCGGTCTATACTTTGGTGCCATAACTTGTGTATCTGGATTGGTTGGTGTTGGATTAGGATCGGTAACGGCCGCTTTATGGAAGTCTGGAAAGGCTTGTTTTTGTGGTCTAAAAACGAACAAAGCCGATGCATTGGTATCAGGTATAGGATCAGCTGTAGCTGCTCCATTGTTCTTCATAACATGCATTGTCATTTCTTCGAACATGGCGTTGGCTTGGGTAAGGTTGAAGAAAAATCTTGTCGTTTCTTCACATGTTTGTCCGTGTAAATGGTTGACATGACTTATTAACACATTATTATTTTTTAATGACTTATTATAAACATTATTTTTTAACAAAAAATGAAAACCAATACATTCCAGGTCTTGATGTTGTTCATGGTAACAGCTCTTTGCTTAAACTGGGCCATAGTAGTTGATATGTTGATGTATATAGTACCGCCATCAAAAAGAGGAGCAGCCAACGCTTTCCAAGTATTTATAGGGCATGCTTTGGGTGATGCATCAGGGCCATACATAATAGGTATCGTATCAGATTGGGTGCGAAGCGGCGATGACTCGCCTGCTGGCAAATTCCACTCTCTTATCATATCATTCTACATTCCCAATGTACTACTGGTCATCAGCGCCGTAGCGTTTTTTGTGTCAGCTTTAACGCTGAATGGAGATCTCAACAGGCTTCAGGACAAAAAGTGAGTGTAATATTTGAAAAATCACAGTATTATGCTGATACTAAGTGAAATAGTGCTGTTTTTAGTACTATAAGATGTCAGAGTATCTAGGAGAACTTAATTATTAAGGATTTGTTATTGATAGCTAGTAGCTACTACCAGGGACGTCGTTTGGGGGGTGTGGCGGGGCGGCCCGCCCCTCCTTCCCCCCTCAGAGCCGATCCAAAAAAATTCCACAGGTAGGTACGCAAAAAAAAACGAAAAAAAAATTTTTGGAAAATCGGTCCACAGGTACCTCTGGACGAAAAAAAAATTTTCGGCTTCCCCCTCCCCCAGAGAAAATCTGTAGCGACGTCCCTGGCTATTACGTATTTTATAATAATATTTCAGTGCCAAAGCTTCAGCACAAAAACACGTACAATTGGAGTCATGATTAATATAATCAGCATAATCTTCAACATTCCAACTTTGTCAATATTGTACATAATTGTTCACTTATCCTCTCAATTTGGTCATACTCTTATGTTGTCATACTTTTGTTTTTGTTCGCTAGTTTAACTTATTTTTATACTTATTTAATAAATATTGAGCTTGTTTTTAATAATTTTGGCTTTCAACTTGTATAAAATTTGTTAGTTCTTATGTGAATAATTATATGTAATGTACGTATTTTTTGAGGAATTAGGACGAAAGTTGTCGGACACACATTTATTTCTACGTTCCGCAACGAAAAACCCGACTGCCGTGAAGCGCAATGCCAGAGATTCGTGGAAAAAAATATTTTTTATAAATTGCGGGGGTTCGAAACAACGAAAAAACAAAAATAAAACCGAGATCCAAGGTATTTATACAGTTTTCTGACGTGGCAACGACTTGAAAGCCGAGCGGGACGAAAGTCCGGGGCTAAAACAGTATTCACGGGTGTGTAATATCAGTGGAGACGGGATGGTTTCGGTGAAGCGCAAGATTTTCGAGTTTCAACGGCTTTTTCGGCATCAGTAAGTTAATATTTTAATGTTTTTGCTAATTTTTAAAGGTATTAAACGGTTTTCATAATAATATTAATGTTAAATGGCTTTGGTTTATTATTTCTGATCAAACAGGTCAGTTTTCAGGACCTTTGTGTTGATCATCCTTCTGATTGGCTTCTTCACTTTCCTCTCCTACATTCACACAGTAAGAAATATTACCAAGGTAAGTCTTTAATTGTTTTTTGTTATTCTGAGTTTAGAATGAGGTTCTGGAATCGCAGAGATTAGTTCGACGGCCTTCAAACCGGCAAGAACAGGATGTTTTGCCTGGAGATCATGATCCAGCAGTTATATTACAGTTTAGAGTGCTCGGAAATTTTGAACCCAAAGAAATGCCACCAAAAACTGGCGAACCAGGTTAGGTTTTGCGATGTTAACATGAAGTTTTCGGATGTTTTTTACAGGTTTACGGATAAAAAATGTTTTTAGGAGATTATGGTGAAGCTATTAATGTCGACATGAACAAGCAGGAGGTACGGAAGGCTATGTCAGAGTTTGGCTTTAACACTTACGTTAGTGATATGGTATCAATGACTCGAAGTGTTCCTGACGTTAGAATGGATGAGTAGGTGTAATTAATATATCTTTAAAGTCTTTCAGTGTTGGTTATTAATATATTTCATTATTATCTAAACTAAGGTTCTGTATTGATCTAAAACAACTTTTGGAATCATCTAAGAGCTCTTTTCAATGTTTTTGGTTTGATTTAAAAGATCTTTAACGTGTTTAATACATTTTCTTTGTTTCAGATGCAAGTACTGGCATTATCCAGAAGACTTGCCCACAGCATCAGTTGTTATAGCTTTCCATAACGAAGGATTTAGTCCGTTGCTCAGAACTGTTCATTCAGTTTTGTTAAGAAGTCCTTCACATTTGTTAAAAGAAGTGATTTTGGTCGATGATTTTAGTGATAAAGGTAAAATACGTTTTCAAACACTTTAAATATTTTAATTTATAATATATTATTTTTGATGTAATTTTTGTGAGTTTGTAAAGAAATGTTTCCTTCTAAGGCACAAATGTTTGTTTTTGATAAACTTTTATATTTGATCTGTTTAGACCATCTAAAACAACCATTGGAAGACTACATAAAGCAGTTTGAAGGCAAAGTAAAGTTGATTCGAAACGAAGAACGTGAAGGACTGATCAGAACAAGGACCAACGGCGCAAAGGCTTCAGAAGGAGACGTAGTAATCTTTTTAGACGCTCATTGTGAAGTCAACTACAACTGGCTAGTACCACTGTTGGCTCCAATCCGCTACAACAAGAAGGTGATGACCGTGCCAATCATTGATGGTATAGACATGAACACCTGGGAATACAGAAGAGTGTACGGTGGAGCGGATCGTCACTTCAGAGGCATCTTTGAGTGGGGATTACTGTACAAGGAAACCGAGTTGCCAGCAGAAGAGAAGGAACGAAGGATTCATAATTCAGAACCATTCAGAAGTCCCACTCATGCTGGTGGATTGTTTGCTATTGATAGGGAATGGTTCAAGACATTGGGTTACTATGATCCAGGACTACAGATTTGGGGTGGAGAACAGTATGAGCTTTCTTTTAAGGTAATGTGTGAACATTTATAAATTTGTTACCTAAAATTCTGTTTTTTGATTTATGTTGTTTGCTACTTTAAATATATTTCAAACCAAACGGTTTTATTTTTTGTAAATTAATCCATTATTAACTTTTTGAAAAAAATTGTTACCTAAATGATTATTTTTTGTAGATCTGGCAATGTGGTGGAGGAATCTTGTTTGTACCCTGCAGTCACGTTGGACATGTCTACAGAAGCCATATGCCTTATGGCTTTGGAAAATTGAGCGGAAAGCCAGTGATTTCAACAGTAAGTTTAGACTACTATAAGATAATCAAATATTGTGTTTAAAGCTTTTTTAAAATGAATTAATGATGGATTTTGATTTTAAAATTAAGAACTCTGGGTTAAAAATGAGTTAAATAGAGGATTGTCAACAATATTAATTGATAAAACACGATTTTAGAACATGTTACGAGTGATCAAGACATGGATGGACGACTACGACAAGTACTATTACATAAGAGAGCCACAGGCCGTGAAAAGAACATGGGGCGACATCACCGAACAACTGGAACTGAAGAGGAATTTACAATGTAAATCTTTCAAATGGTACATGCAGAAAGTGGCTTACGATGTGGAGCGATCTTATCCGTTATTACCTGAAAATGATGTTTGGGGCGAGGCGAAGAACAAAGCGACTGGTAAATGCATCGACACAATGGGTCAAGGAGTACCTGGAAGAGTGGGCGCTACACCTTGTCATGGTTATGGTGGAAATCAGGTATATAAGGGGTGCTTTTTAATGAGTGGGTTAAGATATGTATGGGGGTGGGCGATATTGGTCTGGAAAGGGAGTGGTGAATTTTTGACGAGGGGGTTTCGTTTTCAAAAAAATTTTAATAAGCATGAATTTTTCAAAAAATTTTTAGGAGGGTGAAGCCCCATTTTGGCGCTAATCTAAAGAAATAACCCAGTATTACTAATGAAAGCACCCAATTTTTATCCTATTTAAGGCATCCAAAAGTATTCAAATTTTGCATAATCTTGCAATTTCATTTTATTGTTTTTCCTTTTTTGAAAACGGTCATTCGTATTTTATCGACTGCGTGAGACGGTCGGGTCAGCATGGAATCTGACCGTGGTGATCATGGATCCATCGACTACCTGACAACCTAGGCCAAGATCAACCACCTTCAAAGAAGTCATCTTCTATCGAGTTTATAAAGACTTTTACTATGCTATACAGATGGATAACAGGTAAGAATTTAGTATTTACTTAAAGAATACGTTTGATTTTATCATAGTATTAATTTTATCTTAGCTATAGTAGCCCATTGTTTAGCCTACTATTTAGTTACAGTAGCCAACTATCTAGTTGTAGCAGCCACTATCTAGTTACAGTAGCCCATTATCTAGTTACAGTAGCCAACAGCCAACTAACTAGTTATAGTAGCCAACTATCTAGTTGTAGTGGCCAACTATCTAGTTACAGTAGCCCATTATCTAGTTACAGTAGCCCATTATTTAGTTACAGTAGCCCATTATCTAGTTACAGTAGCCAACAGCCAACTAACTAGTTATAGTAGCCAACTATCTAGTTGTAGTGGCCAACTATCTAGTTACAGTAGCCCATTATCTAGTTACAGTAGCCCATTATCTAGTTACAGTAGCCAACAGCCAACTAACTAGTTATAGTAGCCAACTATCTATTTATAGTGGCCAACTATCTAGTTGTAGTGGCCAACTATCTAGTTACAGTAGCCCATTATCTAGTTACAGTAGCCCATTATCTAGTTACAGTAGCCAACAGCCAACTAACTAGTTATAGTAGCCAACTATCTAGTTGTAGTGGCCAACTATCTAGTTATAGTAGCCCATTATTTAGTTACAGTAGCCCATTATTTAGTTACAGTAGCCCATTATCTAGTTACAGTAGCCCATTATCTAGTTACAGTAGCCAACAGCCAACTAACTAGTTATAGTAGCCAACTATCTAGTTGTAGTGGCCAACTATCTAGTTATAGTAGCCCATTATTTAGTTACAGTAGCCCATTATTTAGTTACAGTAGCCCATTATTTAGTTACAGTAGCCAAAAGCCAACTAACTAGTTATAGTAGCCAACTATCTATTTATAGTGGCCAACTATCTAGTTGTAGTGGCCAACTATCTAGTTACAGTAGCCCATTATTTAGTTACAGTAGCCAACTACCAACTAACTAGTTATAGTAGCCAACTATCTATTTGTAGTGGCCAACTATCTAGTTACAGTAGCCAACCATCTAGTTACAGTAACCAACTACCTAGTTAGAGTAGCCCATTTCTTAGTTACAGTAGCCAACCGTCTATTTACAGTAACCTATTATTTAGTTACAGTAGCCAACTATCTAGTTATAGTGGCCAACTATCTAGTTACAGTAGCCGTGCACCTTATTATATTTTTTTTCAGTTTTTGCTACAACAATCGCCATTCACGAATTGGACACTTCTACACCGCTCTTCAAAACCGCCACGTTTCATAATGATAAAATTTGAATAAAGATTGCTGGGTGCTTTAAACCATTAGTGGGTGCCTTTATTATGTTGGGTGCTTTCTCTAGTATGGCCCCAAAAATTTTTTTGGGGTGTTGCTTTTTTTTGGCCTTTTAGATGTTTTTTATGAAAAAATGTTAAATTCATTATATTAATTTTTTAACTTTAAAATTTTACAGATGGTACGCATTAATAAAGCCGGCCAAATGGCTCAAGGAGAATGGTGCATACGACCGGTCGCTGGAGTACTAAAGACTGGTCACTGCACGAAAGGAACTGTTAATGGACCATTCCAGTATGATAAGGTGAGACTTTGATTTTTTTTGAAATTAAAAATTTTAAATATTTTTTAAACAAAAGAATTCGCCGATATTGTAATCGTATTTTACTTCTTTTTACAGGATACACAACAAATCAAAGACAACTACCGTGACAAATGCCTCACAGTAAGAGACGATGGAGGCTCAGATTTAATATCTGAAGACTGTAATCCAGGAGACCCGAACCAGAAATGGGTATGGACGCCCAAATATTAACATGGTTCATATAGTCATTATTGGTTGTCAGATCAGTATAATAGTTATCAAGTGCAGCGCGTGATAACTTATTACTCATCGGCCAACAAAACGTGATATCCTAGTGTCACTTATACAATACTATGTAGTAATAGCTTTTTATCTTTTAGTAGCATGTTATCTTTTATTTAAGGATAGAGAATTATTGTTTGGTATTATCTACGTAAGATAATTTGTTATCACTTACCTTCAGCAATAGTTTTTATATTCTTATGTGTTAATACTATAACTCGATACCTATGTGTACACAAGTGGCCTTTATTTATAATAATTTATTGAAACTAGTCAAGAAAATAAAAAATCTTAGAAAATGTTGTTGTAGTAGAATTAGAAGACTATAGATACATCACAATTTACCATAGTAACCAGGTTCATTACAGTTTACTATAGTGGCATATTTTATGTCAAAAATTTGATTAACACGCCTTTGTCATCAGAAAAACTCAGCATGCATTATACTTTATAGTATGGAAAGTTTGTCACGGTCGAACACTCCAAAAATCATTAAATTAATGGTATGGTAGCGGAAATAAATGTAAATAAGTGGCTGTTTCATGGCGATTATTAGATTTCCAGTATCATAAGGTTGAGCTTGATATTAATGGCAGGTGGAATTAAGATTGTAATGAGATTTACTATTAGATAAATAACGGTAAACCATAACTTGTAAGCATTTTTGGAACGTTGACACTACTGTTACTTTTTTTGGAAGCTAGTTGCCAAAAATATTAGTCAAAAAAGTATTTTTAAAAATTTTCTTTATTATCTTACCCAACACATTGCCTATATTGCTATGAATTTTGACTGCAATTACGACTACGGTAACCTTCCGCTAGAGTACAGTATACTCTTGATAAGTATCGTTACAAATGTAGCTGTTCTGATTGTATTCAAAAAGATATTAACTGATGATAATCGATATGGATGTGTGCTGCAGCTTAACAGTGGGGCTATGATTATAAACTCGGTACTCAAAGCTGTTACTAGGGTGGTAAGTTTCATTTGTTAGTTTTTGAGAATCTGTTTTTACCTTTGGTTAGCCCTATTCTTAGTTATAGCCCTAGCTTTAGCCCAGAGCCTTAGCCCAGAGCCCTAGCCCAGAGCCCTAACCTAGAAACTTAGCCCAGATTTTTAATCCAGAGTCCTAGCTTTAGCCCCAGCCGTAGCCCTAAGCTCTACATAAGGCTACTCTTAGCTTTATTCTGTTATTTGCCTAAATTTATGTATTACTGTAACTTAGCTCTACCTCATTTAAAACCTGTTTTAATTTTACAAATAGTTTAGCATTTTTACACCGAAGATATGAAGATGTTCGCTAGAGTAGAAGGGTTACTGATACGCCGTCTACTGAAACATGTGCCAATTCTGTTTCAATACGTTATCATTGTGATAGATAAGATTGGTTGCTACTTTATCATTTTTACCACTGTCATACCGTTTTTCTGTCGATATATTATTGTTGTCAAGTAAGTCATTTTATTAAAATTAAAAAAAATATTTTTAATTTAAAAATTTAAAAAAAAAATCTTTTAAATTAAACATTTTTCAGAAACAGAATTCCATCATGTGCCGACTACTACAAGATAGTAGGATTTGGTCTTTTTATGGCCGCATTTTTTGGTGGATTACCAGCTATTAGCTCTTATTTTAGCATGAATCAAGTGTACCAATCAATGGACATAGATGGAGAGTTACTGAGTCAAAGCTGTCCTAATCCAGCATTACCTTTTATGGTCATGCTCGGGGTAGTTTTAACTTTTTATTCTTTCTTCTTCCTTCTCCTCGGAACTTTTAAATTTCAAAATTAAAATATTTTTTTTTGTTTTTTTTTTGTCTAGGTTAAACTTGGCAGCCCGGCAGTGATGAAATTTTTTATGTTCCTCACAACAAGAGTACTGTATCATAAAGTGCAAAAAATAAAAACTGTTTCAGAGTCATGTAGGAGAACAACTAAAAGCCTCGACATTACTGTTTGTAGTCATCGGATCATACGGTATTATCTACTACTGTACGACCAGAGTAGCTTGTCATATTAGACATGGTCAAGAAGTTGTGTCTCAAAAGACCCGCGCTCTACAAGAACAATTACTTTTTGCAATGCGAATTCAAGCCGCAGTACCAAGTTTCTTTTCGTTGGTACCGTTCTTGATTTCTGATGTTGCTTTTGTAACTCAATATTATCCAAATGAAGCTTTGTTCCTATTATACATTAGCTTGTTAAGCTTGAATTTCATCAATCCAATGTTGATCATCTTTACTGTGAAGGAAGTCAGAAGACAATTGTTTGCTAGATTTATACCTGGCTTGGACGTGAAAAGGGATATCCGTGTTGCTTCGTCTGTGCTCTGTAAGTTTGACTTTAATATTATACATCTATAGAATTTGGCTATACATAAAAATATTAGTCCAGCCCTAGGCCAAACATTCCAAAAATTCAATTCCCAGCCACAGAATTACCGAGCTGGTTATTGTGCTAACCTCAATTTAGGCTATAAATAGCAGAGAACAATCTCCAATGAAGGGGGGGGTAATAAAATCAGCACTTGCGTTTTGATTGGGTTCTCCTTTGAAAGAATAGAGAACTCTAATTTTCTTTTTCTCTCTGCGCCTCTTCTTTGCGCACTTTCTCTCTTTTTGATCTTTCTTGTTTTCCAGGGAACGAAAAAGGAAATTGATTGAACCAAGTGGCAAGAACTTACTTTACAAAAACGAAATTGCAAAAACTTTCTTTACAGGGCGTAAAATAACAAAAACTGTCTTTATAGTGCGTGAAATAACAAAAACTTTATTTACAGCGCATAAAATCGCAATAACTGTCTTTACAGTGCAAAAAATAAAAAGTAAAGTAAATAAAAAGATCAGGAGCAAAAAGAAGAAATGATAGAGTAGAAGAACAATAAATAAAGAAATGTGTACGATCATAGCCCGTTGAACGCACGCCATCCCGTCCGATCTGGCAAGTTAAGCAACGGTGCGCTTGATTAGTACTTGGATCGGAGACGTCCTTGGAATCTCAAGTAGCGTACGCTTTTTCGGGTATTTTGACAGTTTTTATGCATAGACATAACATTTTTGACTATTATAAATGTTTTTAATGTATTTCTATGACTATTTTTAAATTTTTTTGCTATATTACACTTAACTTTGTATACTTAACAATAATATTTAAAAAAATCTTGTGAAGACATATATTTTTTAAAAGTGTTTTTCATATAAACTATACCTTGACATTTTTTACCGTACAAAAGCTTTGTATAAAATTTTATGAATTACAATATTTCAGAGATTATACTTATATCTTTTTACCCTTTTTTAGCTTTCACCGGTAGCCACAGTGGAGCGTCGTGGCGAAAAAACAGCCATTTTTAATTATAACAAACTACAGGCCTTTTCGATAATTTGACAATTTATTTTTTAACTATAATATTAATAAATAACATTCATAAAACTTTTTTTACTTTACTACTCATTACTCTAAAATGTCAATATCCTTATTGCCCAAAACCCGTAGCACATCGTCGTTGAATCTGCAGATGATATTAAGAAAACATTCTAGAACGTCAGTCAAATCGTTTAAATGAGTTTCGTAACTCCAACGATTTCCCTTATAACTTATAGTGTATTGCTCAGTAAGCCTGCCCATTTGCTTTGTCAATTTACCGCGGCTTGAGGCACTTTCTGATACGGGTAGATTGATAGTAACATAGCTTTGAAAACAGATGTGGTTGTCTAAATGCTGACGGAAGTAATCGTTGAACAATGAAAGGCGGTGCAGTATAGCACGTAAGTGTGGTGATAGTTTGTCAAAAGTCCGTCAATTTATACAAATTAGTGATATGAGCACAATTCTGCATCTGGGAGCGACACGATGAACTTCAGATATGATTTCATTTAGAATTTGAAGAGAGTTTGGGCAAATATCAAAATTTCGAAGATCTGCTACTAAGACTTCCAATTCTGGCATTGATGGAAGCCTGAAATTCTAAAGTTAGGAGTAAACATTCGGGCCTAGCACGTTTCAAATTTTGCTCAAAGGTTGTAGGGCCGGGCCGTGCCGAGCCTACAAGACCCATTGCTCGACTTACGGAAGATATTCGTGAATTGTGAGTACGTTGAAGCCATTTAAAGTTGCTTCATTCAAGTTTTCATCAAAGAAACCGGTCAAATCTGAAAAGATTACAGTATATGTAGTAGGTCATGATCAGAGCTAGGTAGATGAATTTGGTTTAGACACTTACATGGATATTTTGTCAAAACCAACTTTTGATATTTTAAGAAGTCTTCCAATTCAGGATTCTGCCTTAGTATTTCTTCTTTCTGTACGTTTCCACGATCATCCTTTAAAGTCAGACTATAATAAGTATACAGCTTATCTGGTGATCCATAAGTATAATCTACTCCGTAGTAATGCAATAAATTATTTTCAGTAAACAATTCCAAATCATATTGCACTTGCATCACGATTTTGTTAAAAAAAGGGCCTTGTAGTTGTAGTCTAAGACCATGGCCTAAGAAAGTGTCAACAAGAGTAGAGTAGGGTATGGTAGGGTAGGGTAAGGTAAGGTATAATAACACTTACGTTTGCAGAAGTAACACAACTTGATGACAAGTTTATCAGAAATCTGACGGTCATCTCCATAACTTAAAAGTAGGGTTCGGCACGGGGGGGGATCCCCGCGGGTACGGGGGGGGGGATGGATCCCCGTACCCGCGGGGATAAAAAATGACTCTTTTTTCGGGTCCCCGTACCCGCGGGGATTTTTGCAAAAATCCCCGCGGGTACGGGGATAAAATTTTTTAAAAAAATATTCATTTTTTGTAAAAAACGTTTATTATCATGGAAATAAAATTGCGTATAAAAAGCGCAGGCAGGTCGCAATTTCTTGTTTTTTTCGAACCGCGCCCTAATTGGGTTGCGTGCGCTTTTTTGTTTCGAAACCAGACAAGATTTTGTTTTCTATTTTCTGGTAGGAAACAAGGAGAATCGACCAGCTCATCGACCCCACACCACCGCCTTTATTTACAAAAAGTATTGTAACTTTTTAAATTATTATTGTCTGTTTTTAGGTATTGTTTTTGCTTTGGAACTGCTTTGGACATGTCCGTTTCATTATCTTTAGTTGAATATATCTAATTGTTACCTAAATTCACTCTTTTAGTGACAGTTTTTTAATCGTTTTTATATTGTAAAAATCACCTCTCTACAGAAGATGACGTTGTCGATGGAATGCGATATCTTCGACGTTTTATAAAGGAAACAACAGCTAATCAACACGTCGCAAGCGGTGGAAATGAGGTTGAGGGTGAATTACAGACTGATGTAGAAAGGAACGAGCTTGAAGATGATCTGTCGTTTCTTGATGAACAACTTAGGATTGAAACTCCCGACATGAATTTGCACATGACTCAAGACAACGATCTTCAAATAAGTTTTATTTTTTATTTAATAATATGCTAATTTAAAACTTTATTAACAAGCTAATCTATGTGTTTTAAGAAGAACTAAATAGCTTCCGGTCAAAGCGCATCGAGGACAACGCTGACCCCTACAAGTTCTGGAAGGAGAATAAACATCGATTTCCACTATTGTCAAGCTGCGCGAGAGCATTGATGTCAGTACCGCCAACATCAGTTGCCAGCGAACGATTCTTCAGTCAAACAACACTCTTATTCAGCGATAATTTAAGGGTAAACTTGGGAAACGACCGAACGGAGCAGATTCTACTTTTACGATGCCAAAAGATATTGGATAAAGAAATACAAGACGAAGTTGCGGCAGAACAAGAAATCGAAGAATCACTTGATGAATGTATTGACTAATATTGTTGTTGTTAATTGTTAAAACTTTTAAATTTTCAATAACTTTGTTGTTGTTACATTTGTCTTTATATTCCTTTAAAATAAAAAAATTTTTATCAAAACATAGCTTTAATTTTTTTTTTGAAATTAAAAAAAGGTTCCTAATTTTATAGCATCATTTTAAAGATGATTTTACAACCATTACACTACTTTTTACTTTAAAAAGTACTACTTTTTACTTTAAAAAGTTGTATTTTAAAATTTTCAGTTGTCCCCGTCATCCCCCCCGTAAAAGCGGGGATGAAATTTTCGAAAACGGGGGGGGGGTACCCGAACTTGCGGGGATGGCTCATCCCCCCCCGTGCCGAACCCTACTTATAAGTGTCAAACTTGTTTGTTTTTGCTGTTTCCAATTCGAAACCAAATATAAATAGGACAAAATGGTAAGATTCGCTGTATGATAAAAAGTATCCCATTTGCCGGCCATGTATGAAAAAACGCCGTCTAACAATGAGATGTGATCAGTACTCCACAGAGTGTCAAAGATGCGTTTCGAACATAACTAAAACTAAGATGTTGTAATATTTGTGTTAAAGTAAGGCTAGGATTTGAACTAACTTACGATAAGCTTAAGAAGACTGTCATTGAGGGGTGTGTGTTCGCCAACTTCTTGATATTGACGTTCTGCCGTATTCGAATAGAATCTAAAAGCATTTAATGCGTTTGTGCATAGTCTTTTGTCAACTTCAGGATGTGGTTTCATTGCTTTATTTATCGACCGGTTACTCCAATGCCATTCTTCATTTATTGACGTGCTCCTAAATGAACGATCATCAATAATAAGACGGCCCTTCATCTGTCTGAATACATGCTTGTCCTTCTGTTGGCCTATCTAGTTGTTTTTCTATTGGATTAAGTGACTGTTCTTCTGTTTCATCATAGCAATCCGCAGTTTGAGTTTCTGCATCGGTCTTTACAGCACTAAAACAAACCAAATCAAGTAATTTTCTCATAAAAACAAGAAGTGAGTAGATTAATATCGCCACTAAAGCTACAGAAAGTTTTAAAAAATGAGGCGTTCGAAATTTAACCGCCTCCTTATATTGCATTTTTATCACCGTTAACGTCACAATTCTATCAAGAACTGTATGACTCACTGCTTCCAGTGGACAAAACAATACTCAACCTTTTAACGTTCTAATCAATAATATTGATCTGCTTACTATTAGGTTCGACCTGCTTGGATTGCCCCAAGTTTTACTCTCCTGGCCAAGGTAATTTACAACTGAATGGCTAGTACTATATAAATGCCCAAGAACTAATAGGTGCCGACATAAAGAACCCGCCATTTTTTACAAGAAAAATATGGCGGTTTGTTTATGTCGACACCTAATATGTCAATTTGGTTGCTTGGCCAACACAGGCTTCATGACATAGTCCCGCTCTTCAGACTAGGTCCTGAACTCTTGAGGAACACTTCATGACGAATGAGCCTTAAATAGCTCAAGAAAGAGAATCACCCAGATGGAACCCAATTGAATACATCTACAATGAATGGCCCTGACAGTCTTCAGCAAACCTTCATCATCCCCTCACGCCTCAAATTGTATATCTAAAAAAAAGGATAACGTTTTCTTTGTTATCAGTAATCAGTTAAACTACAAAAACTAGATAGGAAACAAGCATGTTTTAACATAACCTATACTCTATATTTAAAGAAAATGAAAAAAAACTTAACAAAATGTACTAAATAGTACAAAAGCTCAATTTTCATTTTTATTGTCAATTAAAAACTTATTATTGTATAATCTATGACAATAAACCCGGTATAAAAATCAATAGAATAAGTTAAGATAAAACTAACAATAAATTAGGGTTAAGACTGTTAAAACAATTATTGGTTCTAGTATTTGATACTAATGGTTTTTAAATCGTATGGCTCCAGCTGGACTAGGTGAGGGGTTTTAGACTCCTGCTGGTCTAGGTTAGTTAATGAGGTGGGATTAAGGCGGGTGGGGGTGTCGGCGAAGTATTCGGTTATATCGAGCTGAAAAATAGTTTTAGATGTTTTCCAAATTAAAAAAAATAAAAAACTTTCGTAATTTCAAAAAAAAAATAAATTTTAAAATTAAAAAAAACTAAGACTATGAGATTTATGCCAAAATCAAAAAACCCACCTTTCCATTATAGACCTCACAGTCCCCTCCAACCCTGCTTTCTCCACATTCCACGCCCAATCTCTGCAATATCAATGCAGCTTCATTCTTTGGCACGGTACTCTTTCCACTGCTTGAGTACGTCGTCTTTTCGCCGTAATTCCTCAACGCCAGTATATGTACATCACATGGTAGGCTCTTCTTGAGAGGACTATATGTGTCTGGCAATGAGTTTGTGGCTTCTTCCTTCGTGACCATGGTTATTAGTGGGTAATGTAGTGTTAGACTGCTTTGGTGGCCTTGGAGTGACAAGAAGCCCAATTTTCTTGTAGATTCTGGAGCAGTAAGTTGTGTTGGCTCTACCAGAAGGCGGAATCTTGATTCTGTGCGTTTGTTGTCTTGAACGCCCTGAAAATTGAAATATTTTCAAAAAAATCCAAATTTCAAAAAAAAATTTAAATTTAAAAAAAAATCAAAACTAAACAAAAATTCCAAACTTAAAAGTCAAAAAAATTTCACAAAAAGCCCTAAAAACCAATATAAAATTACCCTTTTCCAAGTCCTTAATTTTTAGACCAAAAACTTCCAAACCCCCGATATTATCCTACCTGAACCAGTCCCCTGTCATCATCCTGATCTAATCTCCTATCCAACATGATTTCCATCCATCCTGGCTCAAGACTAGCCACGCCGAGAGCTTGTCTGCCCAGCACTGACCACTTTTTGGTTTTGGTTTGGAGCATGGCCGCGCCTGGCATTGGGTAAAACTGGGCTTGGATCGGCAGCTTTTCGTAGCGTTTGCGACGGATCATCTGTAGTTTAAAACATTATTTTAAAATTACAGGTGTGGTTATAAAAATTGAATAAAAAAACCATTTTTTGCCCCCCACGCCACTCTGAACCAATAGAAAACGAATTATTTCCTTTTTTGACATTTCGCCGCATCACGGTTGGTTTTAAAATTAAAAGCTAAAATGTAAAAAAACTTTTATGAAACAATTCTCATTTGTGAAATAACAAAAATCATATATTTTTTAAATGTACATCCTTTATCTGTTGAAATTTACCATTATTTTCTGCTACATTTTGGTCAAAATAGTAGAAAAAGTTTGAATATCAGGCGAAAAAACCGACCAAAAAACAAAAAAAAAACGAAAAACGAAATGAAACAAATTATCGGAAAAAGGAATCGATTACGAATCTCTACTTTGACTGATCGGTCGACTTGGGGTAGCGTGCCCCCTACATTAAAAAAATTGAAAAAAGTCCACAGAGAGGACCCCGTAAAAACTTATTCAACCTTACCTGCTGCCCATTCAAATCAGTGTAGAACTCGTCGTTATCAGCGAAATCTTTTGATTTTATCCTCATGGCCAATTCGAAATTGCTTTGCGTTGTGATATTGACACTGTTGATGATCTCCAAGTACTCTGTGTTGTCATCTAGTCTAATTTCTTGCAGTAATTGAGCTTCTTGCAGGCCTTGGATCAAGAGAGATGACCTTACTGGTCCTGCCATTTTAATGAACTTGTTGTTGTGTTGAGCCAAAGGCTTGGCATTGCCATCTGGTAAGAAGAGGTATGCTCCTGATAGGGAGTCTCCGCCTTGGTTTTTGGCTAAAAATTTTAACCTTATAAATTGCAACAAAACTTTGTTTAAACTTAATATAGCTTGTTATTTTAAATTTATATAACAAAAATTGTCATAAAGTAAAAAAATAAATTTTTTTTTAAAATAGAAAGACCCACTCCAATGCCGTCCCCTAGCTCCATAATGAACAAACTCCATGTTCATTTCAACTGTTTCTCCATTCCTCGTCTTTATTGACCTTAACATTCCAGTTCCAGCGTCAAAAGAGGCTGTAACGGCTGCGTTCGACAACAAAACTTCACTTCCTTGTACTGTATTGGCACTTGGGAAAGCACTAAAGATAAAAATATATGTTTAAACAAAAAAATTTTTTTGAAACGATACAATAAAAGAAAAATGAAGCGAATCTTTATACAGAAGTTCCACTGTATAGCCTATAAAACCTTGAGTTAGGCCCTAGTAGACCTCAGATCAAGGCCCGTCTATTTCCAAAATTGCTTCGGCATGGCCTAGTGAGCATTTTTTCGGGTCTAACCCCTCCTTCAAAGGCCAAAAACACCCTCGCATTAATTCCTACCATACGCTACATAAATCCAATCGACACCCCCAAAAATGTCCAAAAACCCACCTCAAATCCACCCCACTTGACCCTTCGATCTTCACCATCTCCACCTGGTCTCCCTCTTCCACACTGTACTTCGCAGCTCCCAAGGCTGGTACTTCTGCGACAAAACATAGTTCAAACATGCCTTCCACAACACTTATCTTGCCATTTGTGACTTTAACGACCGGTTGAATTTGTTGTTTCACCTCTGAACTGTCTGATTTGGTTACTTTGGCCTTGTTGGAGGTGACAGTGATGCAATTGACTTCGCTTCTTTTGAATGCCAATGAGTTTTGAAGGATGATTACATTGCCAATATCAACTTCAATGTTTTCTGGAAGTTTGTCGAGGTAGTGTTTGGTATCGACAGTTAGGCCGGCTGAGGATGGGAGTTTTAGGAGGTATGCAGTTGATTGTTGAATGATTGCTTTGCAGTCTTCAATGGCTTCCAACATTCTGAAAATATAAAAAAGTAAGTAAACCTGTTACCTAAAATATATATTTTTCTCAATTTGTTACCTAAAATACAATTTTTCAAATAAAACTTACTTTTTGCCATAATCAATGACAACACTATCCCTGGCCGTTCCGGTAACTCCATCGTGATGTTGGAACAGTGACATGGCTCTCCTAGCATCGACCAGTCGATTATAAGCTTGTTTCAGTGCTTCAGGTAAGTCATTATTGGTTTTGGCCTTCCATACAGCCAGAGAATAGGTAACGTCAGCTGCTCTTACATAATGACCTACTGATCGATCCATGTGCTTGTAGAAGGGTCTAGAGGTGAAATAGCCTAAATTTTGAATTTTAGATTATTTTAGGTAATAAAAGTCTTAAAAAGGTTATTTTCCATATAATCAAACTCAAAAATTTCAAAAAACGTCTTTTTCTTATTATTATTTAGGTAACAAAAAGTAAAAAAAACGCCTTTTAATGTTATTTTAGGTAACAAAAGTTATCTTTTCATTTTTTTAAAACCATTTTAGGTAACAAATTTTCAATTATAAAAGCCTTACCGCTCCAATAATGATCATCTCGATCAGCATAAGTAAAGAAATCTCCACTTAAAATGGGTAAGTCTTGCTTATCAGTGTCAGTTTCTTCAGCCAAACGCTCGTCCATCAGCTTGAAATAGTCAGCCAGTGTTCCAAATCGTGCCTGAAAATGAAAATTCAATTATTATCTATGGCTTTATCACAAAACGGGCGTCTGCACCGGGAAATACTTAACAAAAATTTTGTTTTAAATTTTTTTATAATTTTAAAACTTCAAAACCCACATGAACATTCCAATCGCTCTTCGAATTCATGTACTCAAACAGTTTTTTGTAGTTTTCGTACTGTTCAGTCCATTCCACTTCAGTATCGTACCTAAAATCGTCTCCAAGTGGTACCAGTAGTACATTTAGTCCGTACAATTGAGCCTTCTTTCTGTACTGATCATATAACATTTCTGCCCTCGAGGCAACGTTCTTACTGTTGATTCGCTTCGGTTGTTTGTCCCATGGACAGCCATGAGCTGATAGTCGTTTGAAGTCGAAAGTGCAACAAACTGATGGGTCTGGTCCACAAGTGTGTGGAACATCGTATGAGTAGAAGGGAAACATGTGGGTTCGGATGTCTGTGCGGGGTGAGTCGCCTGAAGTATGATAATGTAGTTATAAACTTAAAGTTCAGTTGTTAAGCCTAAACTGTAGTTTAAAACCTACAATTTCATTTTTAAGCCTAAAATTCATTTTTAAACCTAAAATTTTACTTAGACAATCCCTATATGAACTCACCAGCATAAAGTTGTCGCCATCTGAACTCGAGTTGCTTCCTTTCGGCCAAATAGCGTTTTACAGAGTAATGAACCCTTTGTACTGCCATATGAGTTAAGTTGGCAGATTTCGTTACCTGAGCCAAGACTGAGCTCAAACCGAATGGATCAATACTCCAATGAGATCGCGGTTTGTAATTCATTTGGGTATCCAAGAACTCGTGACCTTCAAACAGCTCCATTACCATTGAATAGAGATGAGCATTGGCCTCATCTGTCATTACCCAGCCTCCAGTCACTATTTCCAATTGGCCGGACTTGAGAAAGCTAAAAAAATAATTTTGTTACCTAAAATTTAAAAAATTACAAAATTTAAAATATTTTTGATCAAAAAATGTTCCATCAACTTTTTGACCTGTAAAGTAAAGAATATCGAAAAAGAATGTTATCCTACCCTTTGACCGCCTCTTTGGTGCTTTCTGACTGTTCTGACCACCAAAGTTCGAAGAATGACATTTCAGCATAAATAAACTTCATATCAGGCTTTTCGGCTAAATTAGTGGCCATACCATCCAAGATATTCTTAGTCTGAGCCTTGTAGTAGCCTTCAAACGTCTGTAGCCAACCTGGGTCACAATGGGAATGAGGTATAACCACAACTTCAAGTTTCTTTTCTTCTTGAACCTTTTTCTTATCATACTTTATATCAAACCCTTGTTTCCAAACTCCACCGTCCGGATTGTCAAACTTTAGTTCGTCGTACACGTCCAGCATCTAAATATTTAAATGTCGAAGCTATTTTTTAACTTTTAGGTTATAAAAGTTTTTTTTTTAAATGTTGAGTAAAAAACTTTCTTTTTTTAATAACAACAAGCTTCAAAACCATTTCTTTTCACATTTAAAACAATAAAAAAGTCTTACTTGAATATCACTCTTAGCATTAGTGTTTGGACATTGTTGTGAGTTAACTATATTCTTCACGACACTTTCTCCACCGGCTGGAATGTCTTTAGGTTGTGGAATTTGTTTTGGTTCATTGTTACCAATGTTAGGCTCATTGTTTCCATCCTTAACATCCGGTTGATGAACATTGTAAGCATTCAAACGATTATTCAAATCTTTTACAATCACTTCATTATGATTTAATTTGTTTTGAAGTTCTTTCACTTTTGCTTTCAATAAATCCACTGATCCGCCCTGAAAAATAATTTTCTAGCAAATAAACTCAATGTCTATGCATCAAATTATACGTTAAAACCTTCAGAATTTACTGCCCATCATAATAAATACCATTTACCAAAGTTTCAGCTCAAATAGACGCAAAATTTAAACATTTCCCGATGTTATCCATGAAAAACCTAAAATCAGAAACAAAAACAAAATAACTTACGTTCTGGTTAAGCAAACTGCTTCGTGCTGCAGCATTAGAATCCACAAATGTATACAATGTAAAGCTGATAAACATAAACACACATAAGCCTAAAAACACGGCGACTTTGGCCGGTGGAACCCCCGCTGACATCACATCAACTAAAACAATATAAATTAATATTCAAAAACTAAAATAAAGATGTATAAAACATTTCAGAACGTTAATCTTATCGTAATCGACGTCAGTTTAAGAACACTTCAGACTAACTTTGAGGTTACGTTTTATTAAAACGTGGCAAAAAAAATAAGCATCAATATTACCTAAAATCACAAAATTTAAAATAAAAAAATATTAGTAAAATATTTTAAAATTAATATTCTTACTTTAACACTATAAACCCGTAAAATCTACCAATTCTTAAAGTCAATAATTAATTTCTAAAATAATATCGGAAACCAAAAAGAAACACTTGACTCAATAAAGAAGAGAGAGAAAAACTTGGCGCAAATTTATTATTGGAAAGTTGTGAATAACTTTTGGCCTGGAGCGAGCTTTCCTATAGCTGGGATTATTGTTATTCTAATCCCGGATGCTTTTTGAATGGCGGTGAACAGTGGGAAAGGACTTTGGACGTGGAAAGGTCAAAGAATAGCAAGTTGAAGAGTGTTTTGGCATGGATAATATGCGAAAAGAGTGATAATTAAGCCGACAGACGGTTGTTTTTAATGAAATATGGTTGGAAAAGTGATTAAGAGACTTTAATTGAAATAACTAAGTATAGAGAACAGTGTAAGATAACTAAAACAGTTTGAAAAGTTGGTTAGAACAATGAAACCGAGAAAAAATTGTGAAATGTTAACTTTTTATACTTAAAAACTCAGTAAAATGTAAAAACAATATGTTTTTTGATAAATGTTAACAAAATATTGTATTTTATAACGATTTTAAAGCTCATTTTTTAAGAAATCACGTCAAAAACGAGCAAAAACATGACTAGGGGGCACCCGGATTTGAACCAGGGACCTATCGATCTGCAGTCGATTGCTCTACCACTGAGCTATACCCCCGCACGGTTTCATACTCGTTAACGCGCGTTGTGTAGGATATGTGAAACGGAGCGGTGTAATGTAAACAATAACTTTTCCGCTTATTAATGAATCTCCGTTTTCCCCGAAGGTAGGGGGGGGAGGGAGAGAAGATTTCGCGAATTTAATAGATTCTGGTCGAGAGAGTCGAGATGTGTGGGGGTATAGCTCAGTGGTAGAGCAATCGACTGCAGATCGATAGGTCCCTGGTTCAAATCCGGGTGCCCCCTATGGTTATTTTTTTATTTTTTGATAGCGATTTTAAAATTGTTTTAAAAAAATTCAAATTAAAGATTAAGGTTGTAGAGCGGGATAGGGTCGGGTAGGACAGAGTAGGAAAAAGCAAGGTAGGGTTGCAGAATGTTTGTTTGTTTCAGGCTTACCATGACACTTAGGATTTGTCATGGCCGTTTTTATTATTTTTTTTTGTTTTAATGGGGTCTTTTTACCTCTAGGGACCATTATTACATTGATTGTATAATACTATTATGAGTTGGAGAGTATTTTTATGAAAAAGCGGATACTATTGAGGTGCAAGAAGCACTAGTAATAAATTTTGTTTAAACTGATACTGGCAGGGTAGGATAGAGTAGGGTAGGGTAGGGTAGGGTAGGTAGGGTAGGGTAGGGTAGGGTAGGGTAGGGTAGGGTAGAGTAGGGTAGGGTAGGGTAGGGTAGGGTAGGGTAGGGTAGGGTAGGGTAGGGTAGGGTAGGGTAGGGTAGGGTAGGGTAGGGTAGGGTAGGGTAGGGTAGGGTAGGGTAGGGTAGGGTAGGGTAGGGTAGGGTAGGGTAGGGTAGGGTAGGGTAGGGTAGGGTAGGGTAGGGTAGGGTAGGGTAGGGTAGGGTAGGGTAGGGTAGGGTAGGGTATGATAGGGTAGGGTAGAGTTGTAGCGTATCCTATTTAAAAGTTGTTTTTGCGGTTATTTGTGACATTACCCATTTTTCCTTGTGCTTTTCGAAATGTTTTCGATATCTTCGTTTACTCACTGTAAATAATAAATATTGCTTTTGATGATAGATGTTAACATTGATCGTAAATAATATTGTAGATTTCATTGTCTTGCGTCATGTCAATAATAAGTAAAACCAGTAAAATTGGGGAAAATTATAGGTTGGGGAGGTCCGTCGTATTCGTTGTCACATGGAGTATATTAGAAGGGAGGTCGGTCGTATTTCCTGTCACATGTATTGACAATGATAGTAAACGGTTTTTAGACTTTGTTTTTGGTTCGGGGGATCTCTCGGATTGTTTTCGGAGAGTAGGGTAGTGATTGAAAGAGAAAGCTGATAAGTGATACATGATATCTTTAAAAATTTAGTTTTTATACAGGACAGGGCATAGCAGGGCAGAGCAAGGCAAGGCATTGGCAGGGAATTGGCAGGGCATTGGCAGGGCAATTCAAAATGTGGTTGAGCGATGTAGGGTGAGGTAGGATAAGTTAAAGTAGCGTAGGATAGAGTAGAATTGGGTAGGGTAGAATAGGACAAAGTAAGGGGAAGTAGAGTTGTCTACCGTTGCTTTGCTATGCATTTACTATCTTGTGGTTGCTTTTGTTACACAAGAAACACTAAACTGCTATCATTATACTTTTCCACTTTACAAACATCACTATTTTTACTACGACCGCTTTCCAAACATCTTTATTTCCACCAAATTCACATTGCAAACAACCGTTCTCGCTGTGAACTCTGCAACTTTCCCACTGAAATAAATTGATAATGACATTGTAATCGTCAAGGTTACAATGTAATATCAAATCACTTTGTTTGGGTTTTTATTTGTTACACTTTGGCTTCCTCGTATGTGGGGTTGCCGCTGAGAAAGCGGTTAAAGAGAGGGGAGGGGGGTTCCCTTTTTTATCAATAGATCGGTCATTTTTGGGTATTTAAAAGGTTATCGTAAGGAAGGGAGGTTGCGGTGATCTATGGCAATGTTTGGAAGGGGCATGACATTGTTTAATGAGTCGTTATTATTTGTGGTGTGATTAGAAAAGTGATGTCAAGGTTTAAGGAAGAGTACTTTGGTTTAGTGTCTAGTTTTATTTCGAAATTTAAGGTGTTGTTGTTGTTGTAGTGGTGTGGGCTGTTTACATTACTATAAAGGACTGGGTAGTCGTTGTTTGGCAGGGTGCGGTACAGAGAGTTTTTTTAAATACAATAAGCTTGTCAAAACTAATGCAAAATCGGGTGAGTTAGGGTAGGGTAACATAAAAGGTTTTAAAAAAATTTTTTTTAATAAAAAAAATTTTTTAACAAAAAGTTAACTTTGCTCCTCTCTCCCATAGACATAAAACACATATTCTGGTGTCATATTTCCTTATCAATTTTGACAAAAACAACAAAATACGTTCGCAATTTGATGTGCTTTTTATTGATGGACTTTTACAACGAAATGAGCTTGCTTTTCTCGTTTCATCTTGCTTGAGGTCGTTTGAATTTTGGTTTGAAATCACATTTGAAACTGTGACTTTAGGGCATTTTTTACGTGTTTTTGATTGTTGTTTTGTTGTATGTTAACATAGTTGTCGTTCTTCTGTTGTTATAATATAAAAATTTTGTTAGGTAGATATTATCTACTGTTTTAATATGTTTTTCAGGATGAAAAGCTTGGTAATACGTCGTGTTTGAGTTGTAAATAATATACTTTTTGATGTTTGTTCACAGAATTATGTGAACAACCTAATAGATAGCTATTGTTGCATTTATTTTTGTTTTAGATGTGTTGTAAGGAAAGTTATTGGCACAACGTAGCATTGAATATAACAAGGCTACGTGATGAAGGTCTTTACTGTGATTTGGAAATTGTGGTATGTTTAAAGGGCTTTTATTTATATTTTAACGTTAATAGTACTGTTGGGGCTTACAATTGTAGCACTGTAAAGGACGCGTACGTTTTCTGACTTACTATTCTATTATAGTAATATAAAGCTACTGTAAGTACTGCAAGGAGGCATAATACTATGAGGTCTTACTATAGAAAAAATTGAAATCAAGGAATAAAAGATATCCTTTTCAGTGTGAAGACCAAGTATTCAATGTTCACAAAGTGTTGATGGCTGCTGGCGTTAGCTATTTTAGACACATGCTACGTTCAGGCATGTTGGAGTCAACTCATAATCGAGTGGAATTGACTGTAAGTTTTTTTTCTATTTGTTACTGTAGAGAAAGTTAATGAATAGAGTAGGGTGATGTACGGTAGAGTATAATAGGGTAGTAGGAGTAGGTCACACTACAGTAGAGTATAGTGTGATATAATAGAGGTAGGGTAGGCGAGGTGGAGCACAATGGTGTAGGGCAGTGTAAGGTAAGGTAAGGTAAGGTAAGGTAAGGTAAGGTAAGGTAAGGTAAGGTAAAGCATGGTACGATAAGATAGCAAGTTATGAACCTGCAGCTTAAACATTTTCAGAATGTAACCCCGCGTGCTCTGGCAGCAATAGTAGACTTTGTCTACACCGGTATCTCCGCCCTGAACAATGAGAACGCTGCTGATATTCTCCTAGCCGCTAATTTCTTAATGGTACGTTTGAAACAAATTTCAAAACTATATTTTGAAATTTCAAAAACAAATAATGTACTTTTCAATATGAACTTTGAATTATGATTGATTTCAGGTCGACGAGCTGCAAGAACGTTGTGTACATTTCTTTTTGACAAACGTGAATCGAGAAAATTGTTTCAAAATCTGGAGAATCGAAAGGGAATTGAAGTTGTCTACACAGCTACGGCAAGTGGTTGATGAGTTTGTGGTCGACCATTTTGAGGTGATTTAAAAAAATTTTTTTTTGGCTTAAAATTTGTTGTTTAGGCTTGAAAATAGTTTATAAGCCTACATTTAGGTATGTTAGCTTAGTTGTTTAGCCTGAGGTTTAAATTTTTTAATTTTTATAATAAAGTCTAAAATTTATTTTCAAGCTTAAAATTTTGTTTTAAGCCTAAAATTTCATTTTTAAGTTCAAAATTTATTTATAAGCCTAAATTTCATTTTTAAGCTTAAAATTTTATTTGTAAGCCTAAACTTTATTTTGAAGTCTAAAATTTTGTTTTAAGCTTAGAATTTGTTCTTAAGCGTAAAATTAATTTTCAAACTTAAAATATATTTATAAGCTTCAAATTTACTTTTTAAGTCTAAAATTCCATTTTAGGCCTAAAATTTTGTTTTAAGCTTAAATTTTAATTTTTAAACTTAAAACTTTATTTTTTAATCAAAAACTTTATTTTTAAACTTTAAATTTTGCTTTTTTAAATTTTCATTAACTTCAGGACCTCTACAACTCTCCAGACATTGGCTACTTGGACTACGATGGCATCGAAGCCTTTCTAAAACACGACGATTTAAAAGTTCGAAACGAAGATCAAGTGTTGATCGCCGCCTTGAACTGGCTCCAATATGATATCTCACAACGCGTCGACATGACTCACTTCTTACTCCGCTCTATTCGCTTTACATACCTGTCAAACCTCGATGACACAATCAACAACATCAAAGAAATGGAACTCAAGTTTGCGATCACAGAGTTTGTAGCCAGAAATCTACCGTGCCCATCTAGTCAGAAGCCAATCGAGTTGGAGCGATATTATCCTAGTGGAGTGTTGGTGTGTTTGGGAGGCAGGAAAACGAAGCCGAATCCTTGTGAATTCGTGGAGTTATTTGGGGGAAAAAGCAACAAGTGGAAGTTTCTACAGAGTCTGCCTGTGGCTGGACGACAGGTACGGTATTTTTCAATATAATATCAGGGTAGAAAAGGGTAGGGAAAGGTAGAGTAGGAAAGACAAGGTAAGGTAGTGAACTTTTTGATCAAAATCTTATCAAACTTAAAATTTTAAAGTCAATTTTTACTATTTAGGTAGGAGTTACAGTAATTGGCTGTAAAGTCTACATGATTGGAGGTCACGCTGGACGTTATGGCGACGCCTGCAGCGGTGTTCTCGACGTAAAAACTGGTGAATACGTCCTCTTACCACCACTACTAGAGCCATGCCGTGGTATGGGGGTAACTCAATTAGACTCCCACTATGTATACGCAATTGGTGGTACAGATGAGTCAAGATCTACCAGTTTCTCTCACGTTCAAAGATACGATGTGAACACGGGGGAGTGGGAGATGATAGCGCCGTTATTGAAGGCACGTCGCAATGTGAACGCCATGGCTGTGGGCAATAGAGTATATGCTATAGGAGGGTGTACTCAGGAGGAGGAGACTTCGTATGTGAATACTGTAGAATGTTACGATCCAGAGAAGAATCAGTGGGAAGAGGCACCGCCCATGAATGTGGCTAGATTCTCGGCGGGGGCGGCGGCCATTGGGAATCGATTGTATGTGGTTGGAGGGTTCAATGATGGGGCATTGAGGTGAGTTTTGAAAGTTTTGAGGTTTTGGTTCAAAAGTTTTTGGAAATTTTATTTTTTTAAATATTTGATTAAAAATGTTTGAAATTTTAATTTTAGGTAAAAAATTTTAAAAAAAGTTAAAGATTTGTGAAAAATTTAAAACTTTTATACCTAAACTCACATTAATTTCAGAGACTGTGAATACTTTGACACAATAACCAAAACCTGGCACAAAATAGCATCACTTCGTACTGCTCGAGGTGGTGTCGCCGTCGATGCTATGGGTGGTCGATTATACGCTGTTGGAGGCTATAATGGGCATTACCTTAAGTCGACTGAAGTCTACGATCCAATTAAGGACGAATGGACGGCTGGACCTTGTTTGCACGATGCTAGAGCGGGCTGTGGAGTTGCTAGAGTACCATTGGTTGAGGATGAGGTTACACGGTATTCTGGAGAGGAGAGCGAGTAATTGTTGATATATCACGGTATTATGGAGATGAGAGAGTAATTATCGAGATATGATTGATGTTATACTATAATAGATACAAAGCTTATATGGTATTGTTGGTACAATATTGATATGATATTTGAAGCTATAGTGTATTATGCAGTCTACCATAATATTAACAAGAGCAATATAAATTTTATTACTGTAAAATCAAAGAATGTAAAGTTAAGCCAAAATAAACATTATATGATTTGTATAGGGAACGGTATAGTATGGTAACTTTACTTTTTCCACGTAACGTATACGCTACATATTATTAATTATTCTGCTCACACTTATCAATATGACAATCCTTTTTTAACTCGTCTATGGTACAATTTTGACTGTGAATATAGTTACATAGGCACTGGATGACACGAATGAGATCTTTTGGGTTCTTCCAATCAATATTGAAGTTGTCACAGTTCAATAGGCTTAGCTCTTCTTGAACCTTGGCTGCACAGTCATCAGTGTTGTTGTTCTCGCCATCTGCTAATGGTGCTTTTAAGTCCAATAATTTTGAAAAGCTTTCTAGGGCATTAGTAGGAGCTGTAACTGTTAGTATAGGGCATTCTGGGCTTAAGTTTGTAGTTGGACTTGATGTAGGTAATGAATGAGGCAGGTCAGCTGTTGGTGAAGATTCTGAAGTTGAACTGTGACCAGTTGCACAAGATTGAAAGGTTGATTCTGAAGCAAGTTGTGAATACGCTTCTAGAGCAGACAAAGTAGTGGATACTGTAGCAGGTAGTGTACTTGGGTCTGAAGCAGATTGCAAAGATGATTCTGAAGCAGGTACTCCCTTTGATCCTGAATCAGCTTGTGAAGTTGATTCAAAAGAAGACGGTACGGGAGGCAAACTAAGTGTACCACTGAAAGACGGACTGCATTGTATTTCATTGTCTTCAGGGCTAGAACCATTAATAGAAGTATTAAGATTGGAAGATGTGTTCAGTGCTGCTGCTTCTTCAGATGGAACGTTTTGACTTGGCATGATAAATGAAAGTTGATTTGAAGATGGTTGGTTACTGATCATGCCTATAATTGTAAAACGTTTACAGTTAAAGTTTTCATAAAAATTTTTATAGGATAGGGTAGGGTAGGGCAAAGTAAAATTTACTTACTAGAATCTTCGTTACTATCCTCTTCTACCGATGTTTGAAGTTCATTATTGGCTTCACTGTTACTATTATGAAGTTCATCAGCAAAATTTGACGTTGCAGTACCTTCATCAGTAGTAATCAAAATATTATCGTTTCTACTACTTAATGATAAACCCAAGCTGCTGTTCATACTGCTACAAGCGACATTGTTTGGTTGCAAGTTGACTTTTTGATGTGTAGGTATTAAAGGAACAACTTGGTTGTTTGGACCAATCATACAAGGCTGCCCGTTTACTCTGATAGCATTTATCATATTGGTTTTGTTTTGGCGTAGTTTGCCAGTTGGGTCTAGTGCGAATCCTACAATCTGGCCCTTCTTAACTATTGGTACACCAAGGTTTGTTATTAGCTCTTTGTTTTGGGTCATGATTTGGCCGGGTTGAGTTGTTATCAGTCCGTTTTTGAGGCTGACTTGGCTTTGGTCGACATTGTTAGTATAGCTTGTGGCATTGGTAATAGCTTCGTTGTTGAGAACGAGGTTGTTTGACTGGCATGACATGTTGTTAGTGGATAAGTTGATGTTGTTAAGCAACATGTTGTTGTTGGCAGTTGAGCCAACGTTAATGTTTATCGGCGTGACTTGAGACTGAAGAGAAGCTTGTTGAAGTACTACTTGAGATTGTTGAACACAGAATTGATTACTTTGGTTTTGAAGACTTCCTTGTTGATTAAAAAACATCTGTTGCTTTGAAGAACAGTTTAATTTTTGCTGTTGCTGAAGTTGTTGAAGTTGCTGTTGATTCATTAGAGAATTCTGAATTTGTAGCGAATTATTCAAAGGATTCTGAAGCTGAATCTGATTTGATTTAAAGCCTTGAACTTGGTGAACATTTATAATATTGTTGTTTATGTTCGCATGGTCTAGTGGCTTAAAGTTGTTATTGTTAAGCAAAATTGGAGTACCAACTGAACCATTATTGATCGCACTAATGGTACCATTATGAATTGCACCAATAAGTCCGTTACTGTGCAATGTTCCTATAGTATCATGGACTTGACTAGGCATTATTTGAAGCTGAAGACTATTTTGGTTGCTAACGAGTTGTTTCTGTAAATTATGTTGCTGTAGTTGCTGCAAAGATTGTGTATTGCCTTGCTGATTTAGATTAAAGTTGCTAGCCAAGTTTGTATTGCCGGTTTGTAGCTGGTATACTGAATTGGCACCTTGATTCAAGTTATTATTCAATGAGCTATCTCCCAAATTTAGAGCTGTAGAGGCTAGTTGAGCATTATTGAGTTGAGAAATTTGCATATTATGTTGGAATTGGGCAGTGTTGTTGAACTGAAGCCCAGTCGACATTGAGCTAGTACTAGGAGAGCTTTTATGATTAACTATACCTAAATTGTTCTGACCATTGGAGTTAAAGTCATTGTTGGTCTGTACTGTATTAAAAGTAAAAGTTGCCGGTTCATAGCTTCTTGACAAAGCTATTGGGGTTGGTCGATGAAGTGGCAAAGAATCATCAGTTGATGGACGCTTTGTCATGACTTGTGTAACTAAAAAATCTGCTTCAAAGTTTTAAAACATTTCAAAAAAAAGTAGAAAAATTTAAAAATTGCAAAAATTCGCTAACAAAAATAGTACCTAACCTAGACATGGCAAACGGGCCGGGCCGAGGCCCGCGTCGGCCCGTTTTTTGAATTTTTTTTTCCGCGCTTTTTTTCTACTTATCAAATCAGTCTGAAACTTTTTCTACCCCTATGTTTTATTGGGTGCTACCCCATTCAAATGATCTTAAAATCTTGATAGCTCTTACAGTTTTTGAGATATGGACTTGGCGGGAAAAAAAATTCAAAAAACGGGCCGACGCGGGCCTCGGCCCGGCCCGTTTGCCATGTCTAACCTAACCTGCCTCGCTCAGAATCAGCTCAAAATTTTTATGTGAGTTTGCTGTACCACTAATAGTACCTATAAAAAATTTTAGCTGGCATTTTTGAGTTTTACATTTTGAATATTAAAGTTTTCTGTTACTTTGGCAAATTTGGCATTGTGTTTTAACCGCTTTTTTCAACTTTTTAGACAAGCTAAAAGGCTTCCAAGTTTAAAAATGGAGGTTTAGTTAAAGGTTTTCTACTAATACAGGGTAAGTCAAAAGTTCTGTTACACTGATGTCAAAGAAAAATTTTTAAAAGTCAAATAATGACGGTTATTAGCATGAAATACAATGCCAAATTAGCGGAGAATTCAAATGTAATTATAATTTAAAGTTTAAAAGCTCAATCTTCCAAAAAGTGCAATTATATACCTTGTTGTAGATCTTAAGTTTACAAGATCTTTATGTATAAAAAGTTTGAAGTCAATCAAAGCGGGGCAGATCAGGCACTCTTTTTGTAAAATCTTTTAGCTAAAAAATTTTAAAACTCACCTAAAACCCGAATAATGTTGTAAACAATAGATAAATTAAACAAATTCAATGAATTTTAAAACTCATATTACGAAAATGGAGTCGCAAAACGTTGCAACGTGGCTGATACGACAACTCGATTACAATATCTACAGATTACTCTTTTCGATAATTTTTTAAAGATTTTATTTAGATAATTATAAGATTTTGTTAATAGATCAAGATAATTTATTTAAAATGGCGAATAAGTTGAAATGTTTCTTAGTTTTGCACTTTTAGGCGATGATCATCATAGTAGGGCATGCAAGTACACGTAGGGTAATGTACAGTAGGGTAGGGTAGGGTAGGGTGGGGTAAGGTAGGGCAGGGTAGGGTAGGGTAGGGTAGGGTAGGGTAGGGTAGGGTAGGGTAGAGTAGGGTAGGGTAGGGTAGGGTAGGGTAGGGTAGGGTAGGGTAGGGTAGGGTAGGGTAGGGTAGGGTAGGGTAGGGTAGGGTAGGGTAGGGTAGGGTAGGGTAGGGTAGGGTAGGGTAGGGTAGGGTAGGGTAGGGTAGGGTAGGGTAGGGTAGGGTAGGGTAGGGTAGGGTAGGGTAGGGTACCGAAACCTATTGTTTATTTAAAATTATGCTTGGTTTTTCATTTTTAAAACCGTTCGAATCCCATTTCAACAAACAATCTCGAGATCAAGCGGAACTGAAGGAAGATTTTGTCGATTTCTCGACGACCTTGGCCTTTTTATCCACGTTTTATTTTCGATGTTTCTACCTTCTGAAGACGCCGCCGAAGGTGCGTTCAAAACATGCAAAAAGTCTATTTGATTTGGTGAGAGTGGAGAGAAAAATAGGGATGGGAAAGATGGTGATAGACGAGTTAAAGATACTACAATATATATTGTACAAAGATGGAAAGAGGTTTGATGCAGTAAAATAAATTGAACCGTCAAGCAAAGAACATTAAAAAGATAAAGTATGAAACAGAAAACAAGATAGATAACATACGCTAGAACGAAGGCAAAGATAGATACATGTCATAGAACAAAGTAAAGGGTATACACATACGACAGCTCTAAGACAAGGATGATTACATACAACAGAACAAAAACAAAGAAGATGCTTAAACTTACATTAAAGTAAAATTCAGATAGTTACTCCTACGGTAAAAAAATTACATAAAAAATACAGTACAACATATGAATTGATTTGTCAGACAAATCTAATATGATCCGATAGACAATCAAGACTCTCGACAAGACATTACGTGCGTACAGCCATCCCCAGATTCCGATTAATTTGTTCGAAATCCATGATTTTACGGATATTTCGAACGATTTTATGCTTTTCAAAGACAAATTTTACGGATTTCAAAGAAATCCTGCGGGTTTTTAAAAATTGGATTTGAAATTTAAAATTTCTTAGTTTTTTAAAAATAATTCAAAAATTATTTTATAATTAAAAATTTTTGAACATTAAAAAATTTTTTTCAAATTTTGAAATTTTGGATAAATTGATCCGGCAGTCAGGACAAGAGGTAAATTACTGTCTGGATATATTAATAAAAAAGTCTAGACGGTATATTTGGCTCATAATGTTATAGTGCAGACAGTCCATTTCTTATGAAAGTTTTTTGACGGTCGATTTTCTATAGTTTTGGAAAGTTAGTACAGTAGGGTTAGCACAAGAACAGAGCACAGATAGGACAAACTAAACGCAAAGAGATTAAGCTAGTTATGGTGTAATAGGGCTTGAGCTAGAACTACTTGATACACAATGCTAAGTTCTTGCAATTGAATACAAAAAGTAGAGACTTTACTGTACGGATTTACAGTGTTGGTAAATTAAGGGTATGACAGAGCAAAGTGGAGCAGGATTGGCTGAAGCGCTAAGGCTCTGGGCTCTGGGCTAGGGCTCTGGGCTAGGGCTCTGGGCTAGGGCTCTGGGCTAGGGCTCTGGGCTAGGGCTCTGGGCTAGGGCTCTGGGCTAGGGCTCTGGGCTAGGGCTCTGGGCTAGGGCTCTGGGCTAGGGCTCTGGGCTAGGACTCTGGGCTAGGGCTTTGGGCTAGGGCTGATTTGAAAAGAAATTAAACTTTGGTAAATATACTATTACAGCGTTATTTTCAAGTTAATATTTACCAAACATGAGCTCAAACGTTTCACCCTTGACTGCACGAACACATTGCGCAACTTATTTGTACTTAAAAGGTTTTATTTTGATTTCGAGTAGCGATGAAGAAGATTGCAAAAGAACTCGGTCACTTTTGCGGTTTTTTCATCCCGAATCCGCTGTTTTTTGGTGGCGTTTCACCTTTTTCGGATTAGTGAAATCGTCAAGTTGCTTTTTTCAAAGTTTTCTTTACATTTCGGTTTGTTATCAACAGCTTTTGTGATCATTGTAATTACTTTAGTCATCATTTGCATAATTGTTGCAAAAAGAATGACACTTTTAATCAAATTTCAATTTTTTAAAATTAACTTTAATTTTAGAATATATTGATCTCCAGCACTGTTTATTACTCATCTTCACCTAGTCAGCCACCTTCCCCAACATTGTGATGGCAATGTTCGAAGAAGTGCCAGACCTTTTGTTAGACTGGAAAGTGATATCCTTTTACCAAGAAATTGCTAACCTTAACATCAGCGTTGTACTAGTTACACTATTTGCTTTTGCTGTCCTGTACTTTATCTACAACAATGGGGAACGTCGGTTTCATCTGAATCCGAACAGAATCGTGAATGAATGTAGAAGAAACTACGTTCTGATCACTGGATGTGACTCTGGATTCGGCCAAAAGTTGGCTATTACTTTGGCCGAACGTGGGGTCAATGTGTTTGCTGCTTGTTTAACTGAGGCTGTAAGTTATATTAAGACTTTTAAGAGAGAGTAAGGTAAGGTAGCTCAGAGGTAAGATAAATTAACAAATTTAAATATTAACAAAAGTTCATTCTAGGGTGAAGAACAAATGAAAAGAGAAACTCTGGAGTTTGGAGGATGGGTACATACTATTCGATTGGACATTACCAGCCAAGAGTCGGTCGATAAATGTTTTAAAACTGTCAGTTCTACTTTGAAAAAACAGGTAAGCTACGTTTTTGACAACATCTTTTTATGAAGTTAATTCTGAAGTTAAAATTTTTATTTTCAGTATTATACTTTACTATTTTCACTATTTAGTACAATATAGTAATGTAAATAAAAGTCTGCTGGGAATTTTGAAACTCAGTGCTATTTAGTACCAAATAGTAAAAAAAAGAAAATTTACAGTTATTTTAGAACTTTAATACTATTTAGTACTACATAGTACTAGCAAAGAAAATTTACTGTTATTTTCTAAATTGGTTACTATTCAGTACTATATAGTACTAGCAAATAAAATTTACAGTTAGTTTCTAAATTTATTACTATTTAGTACTATATAGTACTAAAAAAGTAAATTAACATTTAATTTTGAAATTTTACGCTATTTTGTACTATTTAGTACTATAAAATATTATCAGTTTGAATAATTAAATACTGTTCAGTACAACACAATTTTTTAGATATTTAGTACTATATAGTAATAATTTGAGTACTACACAGTACTAACCTCATGGCATTAAAGTTGTGTGTGCTTTAGGCATAGAAAAGTTGTTTTTATAAATATGTAAGTTCTTAAAAATAAACTTGTAACTTTCAGAAAGCCAAGCTCTGGTCTTTAGTGAACAACGCTGGCTTCTGTGCCTTCTACGGCCCAAGTGATTGGGTAACAACCGAAGAATACAAGACCTCAATCGACGTCAACCTTCTTGGCACAATTCGAATGTCCCAAAAGTTTATTCCACTACTCAAACGATCTCGTGGTAGATTAGTAACGATGGTGTCCATCTCCGGTCGAATTCATGGCTTCTACACTGCACCGTACGTTACGGCCAAGTACGGTCTGGAGGGATTCATGGATTCTGTGAGGTTGGAGTTGAGACCTTTTGGCGTGACAGCTCATATCATTGAGCCTGGAGCTTTTAAGACGACTTTGTTGAACAAGAATGCCATGTTGGACAGGGTGAACAAGACATGGATGAAGTTGCCGAAACACGTGCAGAATGAGTATGGGGAGGAGTTTAAGGAAAATTGTAAGTTAAGTTTGAGTTTGAGAATAAGTTTTGGCAGAAAAAATTTTAGTTTAGGCTTAAAAAATGAATTTTAGGTTTAAAAATGAATTTCAGGCTTAAAAATGAATTTTAGGCTTAAAAATGAATTTTAGGCTTAATTATTCGACCTTATTAAAAAAAGATATCATCAAACTATTTCAGTCATCTCTCAATGGATGAGTGGAGTCGACCTCGTAGCCAACCCCAACCTAACAGAAGTCATCAACGCCTACATGCATGCCATCCTATCAACCCGCCCCAAAACCCGCTACGTTTGTGGTCTAGATGCCAGACTTCTCTTCCTGCCTCTCAGCTTCCTCCCCTCGGCCGTCCAAGACTTTATCTTGGCCTTTTTACCCCGCCTTCAGCTGGCACCAGCTCTGGTACCTAAAGCTACTACGGTAAAGGAAACTGCTATCGAATACGACGACGACAGTGAATATACGATCACACAGGTCAAGAACACTGTGATCGATGAGAATTTTAACGAAAAGTTTTTGAAAAATGGCATTTCACACGAAAATGGCGGTCTTGAGGCTTATTAACATACCAAAAAGACGTGTTTATCATGTGCAATCTCTATGTCACGGTCTATTAAAGCTTATAATATCTATTGTATTCTATTATAATATAATTTTTATGTTTATCAGTTGATAATTTATGTTATTCTTTACTTTTAAAAATAAATTTTTTATTAAAAAATTTTGGTTTTAGAGATAAAGTTCTTGCTCTTTTTCAACTGTAAAGAAATTTCTTGCCATTTTTTTCAATTAATTTCTTTCTTTCCGTCCTTCGGAAAAAAGATAGGCAAAAAAGAGAGACTGCGAAAAGAAGAAAGTGCTGAGAAACAAACAAAATCACTTCCCTTTCTCCTTTTTGAAGCGCAACCCAATCAAAAAGCAAGTGTTGGTTTTATTACCTCCTTTGATTTAGTAGTGCTCTTCGCTATTTATAGCCTAATTAAGGTTAGCACAATAAACAGCTCGGTAAATCTGTGGCTGGAAATTGAAATTTTGGAATGTTTGGCCTAGGGCTGGACTAATATTTTTATGTATAGCCAAATTCTATAGATGTATAATATTAAAGTCAAACTTACAGAGCACAGACGAAGCAACACGGATATCCCTTTTCACGTCCAAGCCAGGTATAAATCTAGCAAACAATTGTCTTCTGACTTCCTTCACAGTAAAGATGATCAACATTGGATTGATGAAATTCAAGCTTAACAAGCTAATGTATAATAGGAACAAAGCTTCATTTGGATAATATTGAGTTACAAAAGCAACATCAGAAATCAAGAACGGTACCAACGAAAAGAAACTTGGTACTGCGGTTTGAATTCGCATTGCAAAAAATAATTGTTCTTGTAGAGCGCGGGTCTTTTGAAACACAACTTCTTGACCATGTCTAATATGACAAGCTACTCTGGTCGTACTGTAGTAGATAATATCGTATGATCCGACGACTACAAATATAGAAACAAATAAAATCAGTTTTTTTTTGAAGCGCAACCCAATTAAAAAGCAAGTGTTGGTTTTATTACCTCCTTTCATTTAGTGGTGTTCTTCGCTATTCGTTTGTTTATTGCATCTATTAATACATTTAAACAAAAATAATATAGAAAAGAAACCCAATCGAAACTCAAGTGATTGTTTTGTGAAATACTATTTCTTTGTGTTTTTGATCAAGCTACTAAAGCTAAAAAAAGGTTAGCGCAATAAACAGCTCGGTAAATCTGTAGCTGGGAATTGAAATTTTGGAATGTTTGGCTTAAAGCTGAACTGATCTTTTTGCTTTTTATTAATGGTGTTGTAGTTTTATTAACCTTAGTATAGGCTAATAGAACATCAGCTTTTTAGCGCTACTATCAAATTGTTTTTGATTTTACTTTACATTTTTACGAATTTGTAAAGTTATTACTATTTACATTATGTTTCTATTTTAATACCAAAATTTGTTCTCTTTTTCGTACTATATAGGACTTAATTAATCTTTCCGACATTCCAATTATAATTCAATTATTTATTTTAATATCACATTGCAAATTTGGCGTTAATTAATTAGGCTATTATTAGAGACCCGTTCGGTTAATCTAACGTTATTTAAAGCTTATCACAAGACTACAGCGAGATCTACAATGATTAAGGCCACATGATGATACAGCAAGACACATTGTTTTGGCGAGACAAGGCGGTTACGGTAGTATTATACGTTGAGACACAATGAGGAAGAGGAGGGTGGATGAGAAAAAAAAGAAATAAACTTAGAGGGGGGGGGGAGGGGAGGGAGGATAGATTAAAAATGCTACAGTAAGCTAACTGCGGTATTCCGAGTTTTTAAAATACTGGCTGAGCAGTCGGGCGGATACAATGAGTAAGCTGCATCAACTTGACATACAACGCCATCTTCTCCGTACGCCATGTAGAGCACTTCCCACTGTCTTCGTGTAGCCGTTTCTTCAAACAGAAGCTTCGCTGTAGCTTGTTCAGCTTCCTGATGGCCTGTGCCAACTTTCTTCGCTTCTTGTTCATCTTACGAACAGTACGACGATGTAGCAGACGAACATTACCGTAACACTCTTCCACCAACTTTTCGGTCGATTTCGACTCTTCCATTGAAAAACCTGTCGACTTTTTGTTTTCCATCAAGTCTTCGGTGGATTTCTTGCCCTCCATCGAACTACCGGTCGATTTTCCAACTTTGGATGCCATTCTTTTTTCATCCAATTCTTCCATTTTTTGACCTGTTGATACTTTTTCGGTCAATGGGTATCTTTTACTAACATCATTAGAATTCTGATCTTCTGAGACTTCAGAAGACTTGACCAGATAGTCATGACCACGAGTTGAGCGAGTCACCACCTCACGATAGTACGAATGCACGTTGATGGGCATGGGTGTGGTAGTGATTTGGTTAGGGTCGGCTGGAATAAAGTTGGGCAGATCCTTCTCGTCTACATTGTAGGCTACAGCGTCACCGTGAATTGACATTGGGCCTGAAATGGGAGGAGTTAGGAGTGATTTTTGAGTGTTATGAAAATTTTTAAAAATTAAAATTTAATTTTAAAAATTTACGTTGTTAGTAAAAAAGCTTACGTTTTAATGGTTTGTTAAAGCCAGCAACAAACAAAACTTTGTCACTTGAGTCTTTGGAATGACCTGCCACTTCATAATCAGTTTTGTCGCTGTGATATTTAAAAATGACTGGCAGGGCGTTTGATTCTAGGGCTAGTAGCGTCAGAAGCAGTAGTCGAAACATCTGGAAATTTTAAAATTAGAAAGTTGAGTATACAAACAGCACGTTCGGAATAAGATCACGGTGATTCAAATTTCCAAAAATTTTAAAAATTTAAAAAATAAATTTTTTTTGCTTCTTTTTACTTTTTTTATAACTCAAAAAATCAACCTCAGGCCGTATCATCTACCTTTACTTACTACAACATCCAGACTTTAGTTACACTTACTCCAACACCTTATACACCTTATAGACCCCAAATATACCTACTATAACATCCCATCGACCACACGTGCCGAGAAAACACAACGTGTGTGAAGATAATCTATCATACTAAATCCATCCTGAACATTATATACATGAGAAGTAAACAAATCTTTACACCGACTACTACTTTGTAAAGCCCCGCCCATTTCTAACAACTTAACGATTAATCGGATATACGGCTATAGTAAGGTAAAAAAAGTGGTGTAAAAACAAAAATTAATGTAAAAAAGTGTAGTAAAGTCTACAGAATTGCATAAGAATAAATATTTTATTTTTAAATTTGTATTGAAATGTTAAAAAAAAGTCTTGTCGCCAAATTGTTATTATTTGTACGGTCAAAAACGACAAGACTTTTTCTAATACTTCAAATAAAAAAATATTGAAGAAGAGGCAATATTAATATCAAAAAAATACTAAAGCGGCAATAAACAGTAAAAAACAAGCCAAAAATGTGAGAGACGATAGAGAAAAAAAGCCTCTAAAACCTCAAAAACATACAGTAGAAAGGATTCTTTGTTACCAGTTAAGCCATTGCCAAATTGGATTAATTAAAAGTGTTAAACAGCAATTTGAACAAAAATAAAATACAATACAACATGAAGAGAGCGCAGAGATATTTGTAAGTTAGAGAAGAAATGAATCACGTGTAAACAAGTAAATACTACTTGATAAACATCAGTTGCATGTTTATCATACTGTAAGTGTTTGAAATACTTACTTAGACAAAAACACTGTTCTTGTTATTAAACTGTAATGTACAAAGATTAAAAATGTAAAGTTTTGAGGTTGTTATTGTAGGAATTGGTAGGATAGAGTAAGATAAGGCAAAGCAAAGTGAGACATAATAAGTCCAGAATAGAGTAAGACAGAGTAAAATAGCGTAGAATAGGGTAGGGTAGGGTAGGATAGGGTAGGATAGGGTAGGATAGGGTAGGATAGGGTAGGATAGGGTAGGATAGGGTAGGGTAGGGTAGGGTAGGGTAGGGTAGGGTAGGGCAGGGTAGAGTAGGGTAGGTTAGGGTAGGGTAGGGTAGGGTAGGGTAGGGTAGGGTAGGGTAGGGTAGGGTAGGGTAGGGTAGGGTAGGGTAGGGTAGGGTAGAGTAGGGTTGGGTAGGGTAGAGTAGGGTAAGGTAAAATTACAATCTTACATTTCAAAAATCTTTGTTTTTACCCTACCTTAACATAGTAAAAATTAATTTTGCAGCCAACTGCAATTACTCAATTAGAATGAATTTCAAACAAATCCAGTCTACTCTATCTACTATACTATAATCTCACTGTTTCTTCTATATATCCGTTTCTTTACAACCCCCTCAGTAATTAATTTAAATTCTTCTAAGCGATTTTAATTAAAACTAACGATATAATTAGGAATTGAAACGTGAAGATACAGCTACGTTACTTCCTACAGTAGGATTTGAAAATTAAAGTTGGAAAGATAATGACGAAGAAAAGATAACAGTATATAAAGTTGATTTTGGGTTATATTATTCTATTGGTGTAGGTAAAAGCTCTGACCTCCCCCCCCTTTCTTCCGTCTTAAAAAATAGACAAAATTAACTCGTCCGACATTGATTGAGTTCATAGTACTTTCTGTCATTTTCCAGAAGAAAAGATATTGTAAAAGGGTAATAAATGACTCATATTAGCTACTGACTAGACGAACAGTTAAAAACAATTTCAAGTTTTTGAAGAAAGTAGATCAGGGGAGTATAATATAACACAGTACATTGTAAAAGAAAACAAAGTTCACAGTAAATGACGACAAAGTACAGTAGAATGAAAGTTAAATATTAGTCTTTGAAATTTGTATTTTTCAATAAAATTAAAAAGCAAATTTTTATTATACTATCATGCAATACCCCTCTCTTCTTCACTTTTTTTGATTAGTATTCCACGACCTTTAGCTCTGATATTACTACTATTGTCATTATATCACCATAAAAGTAAAAAAAAGGACTTTTGGCTTTGTTATCAATATATTATACTACCATAGTGATATTATTGTGTTTGTGCGAAAAATGTTTTCTTGTATACATAACAGCTTCTGGAAGTAATATGTATGTATTGTACGTTACTTAGCTTATTGTTATTATAAAATTATTGTATAAAGTGTAGTTTTTGTATTACTAATATCCTGTAAACAAGCCAGGGCTAATTTTTTGACCCGGTCCTTTCCAAATTTGCTTCGACCCGACCTAGTTCGGCTTCTTTTATGGAATTCGTACTGTTTTTGTATCGTAAACAACAAGTAATGTAACAAAATTTAATTTTTGGTTGGGTTAAGGCCAAAACAAACGTGACATTGTTATTAAAAGCCTAGTGGACCCGTTTCAAGAATAACTGCGGTAAAAATTTACATAGTATTAATGTTTTAATCAAAATTGCCTCACTTCCGACTGTTTACATCCTGGTTTTAAATTAAAAATCTAATGCAAATTTAATTCAAAATCCCGTTGAAATTATTAGTAAGCCTCATTCAATATTTCTTCTTTACTCACCTAGTACAATATAAAATCCACTCTCCTCTAATACAATATAATATCCCCGTAAGATGTTATCAGTAGTAGATTATAGTATGTTTTTAATACAAAACCCCCAAAAAGTAATGTAAAATTGATAAAACTTTGTATAATACGATATTAATCATTGTTTTATGTGTAACACCTTGATGACACACTACATTTTTGTTGACGAAAATCCATGTAGATTGCTGTGTATTATCCCTATGTTTAATCTATTTCATGGAACATGTACACTTATTGTATGTAAGGCTTATGATAGGACTTATTTATTCTATGGAAGGCTTATTTTATGTAAGTCATAGCTTTGAACATTTAGGCTTAATTCTACTACGTAAATGGTGCTGAGAATAAAAAGATACATTTTGTTTTGTAAACAAAGTTCTTGCCATTTTTTTTTGAAAACAAAGTTCTTGCAATTTTAAACTTAGTAAAGAAAGTTCTTGCCATTTTATGCTTTGTAAAGAAAGTTTCTTCCATTCTTAAATAAAAAAAAGATTTTTGGCCAAAAATCTTTTGATATTACACAAATGCCAAGAGTTATTAAACCAAGTTGTCTAATTAATTACTGAGTCTCAAAAAGCATTCAAAAACAAAAGTCAACATGCAAACTGTGAAACCTATTATATAATTACAAAAAAATGTTAAATTATTACCGGAAGGCAATTAAATATTATTTACAACAAAAAAAATTTAAAATTAAAGTTAAAACAGACTTAAATGTTATATATAGTAAAAAATTAACTGATAATTGTAAGCAAAAATTTAGAAAACTTTTGTAATATCATAACCAAACAATATACCTGTAAAGAGGTTAAGCCGCCTCTAATAGGCCTCCTTCTAGGTCTACTGAATAACATAAAACTTTATCTTTAAACTAGACGTCGATCTATCCTTTATTATAAAAATAACCTAATGACCTTTCCATCTACCGTATACTAGCTAGCTTTTTTTTATATTGTCTATTTGTACTTTTACATAAGAACTTAATAAATAATAAAAAATAAATTTTTACCTTATACAAGGGGTATGTGGTAGAGAGTAGATCCAAAAAAGAGTCCACTAGACCCTTAGTGGCTCTATTCCTATGTGACAATAACCAAAGAAAAATTTTAAAAAGAACTAGGCTGGCAAATGTAGGCCTAACGAGGTTTAAAAGCAAGCTTTACTGTATATGTATTGTTAATCAACGTAACGTATTGGCTATGAATGTCAAATTTTGCAATTTTTTTTAAATCTACGCAATAGTGAAGGATATATCTAGCTACTTAAGCTTGTACTAAATGTCTTACAAGCAGGGTTGGCGACAGGGCAGGGCATTGGCTATTTTCCATGCCCTGCCCTGTGCCCTGCTATGCCCTGCCCGGTACAGGGCATTTTACACGGCATTTACTATTATAGAGCCTAAAAGTCAATGAACTTGTAAATATCATGAAATACGTACAATAAAGTGTTGTTAAAGCCTATCAATTTTGATACACTTCAAATTGGGGGCGATTTTGGTACTAATACTTCGTTTTTGGATATTCGGCGGAGACCGGCGGAGGCTATTTTTTCCTTTGACCAATGCAAAACCGTGACTTTCTGTTCCTATGACTCCTACTAATTTGTCAAAACGTTTTGAAACAAAAAAATGTGTTTCTTTGCGTCGGCGGACAATCTGCCCTGCCCTAGGGCAGGGCAGGGTAGGGCACAGGGCACCCTGCCTTGTTGCCAACCCTGCTTACAAGTTCTTAGAAATACCAATAAGTACATTGACACGCTTTCTTATGATATAATCTTAAGCCTCAGTAAACAAAGTTTTTACTTTGAACTTGTTGACGTCGGAATAACGTCATAAAATTAATCATAAAAAATTTTTAAATTTGAGAACTTTTTCAGATTTTAAAAAAGAAAAACTTAATTATAAAAATTTTAAAAAAACCAAAAATTTTTAAGTTTTAGCTTTAGGTCTAGCCTTATCTTCAGTCTTAGTCTTAGCCACAGCTCTAGCTCTAACTTACAAAAAAAATTTTAATTTAAAATTTTCAAAAGCTAGAACGCTATTACTATAACGCACGTATTTTCGGCAAGAAATTTGACCTGCTTAAAAAGTCAATGTTCAGAGTTCAAGGTATAATAGCTGGAATGGCAAATCCGTACACAATAGTGTTGTGGCAATGTTTCGAAATACTGTGATGAGATTATCGTATTTGTGTAATCGTATTATATGTATAAAATGAATACTATAATTAT